CCTCAGAGCAAGAAGCTGGGTGACCAGTGTTTCTCGTACGTTATCTTCGGTTCAGAACAGTGCTTGGCATTAAATTCTGCTTCCAGGGGTTCGACTTGCAAACAGGGTGAGGCGGAAGGTGTCGTCATTTCCACAGGTGCCAACACTTTCTTCGGCCGTGCTGCTTCCCTCGTGGGCCAAGACGATGACACTACGGGTCATTTGCAGAAGATCCTTGCCCAAATTGGATCATTCTGCTTGGTGTCGATCGGTATTTTTGTTATCGCGGAGATTCTCGTGCTCTATGCGGGTTTCCGCTACACTTACCGTCGCGGTCTTAACAACATATTGGTGCTTTTGATCGGTGGTATCCCCATTGCCATGCCAACTGTCCTGTCCGTCACTCTCGCTGTCGGTGCTCAGCAACTCGCTAAGCACAAAGCCATTGTTACCCGTATCACTGCTATCGAAGAGCTGGCCGGTGTCACCATCCTGTGCTCCGACAAGACGGGTACGCTGACCACCAACAAACTTACCATCGACAGGGCCACAATTCGCACATACGGCCCCTTCTCTGCTGATGACGTCATGCTCCTCGCTGCCTATGCTTCTCGTACAGAGAACCAGGACGCTATCGACTCTGCCGTCGTCCAGGCTCTCGGTGACGTCTCCCGCGCTCGTGCTGGCATCAAACTCCTTGATTTCAAGCCATTCAACCCTGTCGACAAACGCACGGAGATCACTTACCGTGAAGAGTCGTCCGGCAAGTTGAAGCGCGTCACCAAGGGCATGACCGGTATCATCATCGAACTTTGCTCGCGCAACAAGTCCGAGGAGCTTGAGAATAGACTTGAAGCTGATGTTGAGGAGTTTGCCACTCGCGGTCTTCGTGCCCTCGCTGTCGCATACGAGGAGCTCGACGGCCAAGACCCAGAAGGTGAAGGTAACGGTTTCGAGCTCATTGGTCTTCTTGCCATCTTCGACCCCCCACGTGAAGACACCAAACAAACCATCGACGATGCTCTCGCTCTTGGAGTGAAGGTGAAGATGGTGACCGGTGACCAGCTTGCAATCGCGAAGGAGACTGGGCGTCGTCTTGGTCTCGGTGACCACATGTATCCCGCCAAGGTTCTGAAGGACGGCCCTGCGCCTGGCAGCAAACACACGTCGCTCGACGAGATGATCTTGGACGCCGACGGTTTCGCCGGTGTGTTCCCGGAGCACAAGTATGAGATTGTTAAGCGTCTCCAGGGTCTTGGTCACCTGTGTGCCATGACTGGTGACGGTGCCAACGACGCTCCCGCTCTCTCCCGTGCCAATGTCGGTATTGCCGTTGAGGGTGCCACAGACGCTGCCCGGGGCGCTGCTGACATTGTCTTGACTGAGCCTGGTCTTTCCACCATCGTCCATGCCATTCGCGGTTCGCGTGTCATCTTCCAGCGTATGCGCAACTACTCTATCTACGCTTGCGCTGTGACCATTCGTATCGTTGTCTGTTTCGCTATCCTTGCCTTCGCGTTCAAGTTCGACTTCCCTCCATTCATGGTCCTGATCATTGCCCTGCTGAATGATGGCACCATCATGACGCTCTCAGTCGACCGTGTCTTGCCCTCGATGACACCTGATTCTTGGGACCTCGCTGAGATCTTCTCGTACGCTGTTGCCTATGGTATTTACCTGACTGCCTCGACGTAAGCAATAATTTATCCACAACATCATCCAACTAAATGATACCCTGTAGTGTTGCTCTGGTCACCATCATCATGAAGACAACGTTCTTCTACGACAAATTTGGTGTCACCTTCAACGGGAGTCCAACACCTAACGGTGCCAACGACTATCAGCTCCACATGATCGTGTACCTCCAAGTCGCTATCATCTCGCAAGCGTTGATCTTTGTCACCCGTTCGCATGGCTTCTTCTTCATGGAACGCCCTTCTCTCGCTCTCTTGGGAGCATTCTGCATCGCGCAGCTCGTGTCTTCGATTATTGCTGCCTACGCCAACTTTGGCTTCACGCAGATCCAGGCGATCTCAGGTGGATGGATTGGTATTGTTTGGGTTTGGGTGCGTTCATCTATCCAGCTTTCTTTCTGTGCTTTTTGGCTCACTCGTGAATCTGTAGAACATTGTTTGGTTTGCCCCTCTCGATTGGATTAAATTCGCAATGAAGGCCACCGTCATCAAGAGGCTTCGCGAACGTCACGCCCAGGCTCAGGCAGCACAAGCAGAACAAGCCATCACTGGCGTCCCCATCACTCGCACTCAGTCTCGCGCTGCTTCGATACACGAGTCATTGTACTCGAACCGTGTGTCATTCATTCGCCGCGCTGCTCGCAAAGTTGGCTTCGGCTCCAAGATTACGATGAAGCCCGAGGAGCTCCAGCGTTTCAGCAGTATTCAAGCACAGCGTACGGGTGCGACACTTGCTCGCAATCCCAGTCGCACCGCTGCTGCATAGACTTCGTGAGTTGTAGAATGGGAATGCGTGTCTCGAGATAATCCGCAGCAAAGCAAATCACATGGAACGATGTCATCTGTAATCTAGATATTATTAAGGCCCGCCGACTTTCGCATGTGGTGTCATCCCTCTCCTTGCCTACTCCTACTCATTTCATGTCACCATCACACGTACATATACGCATGGCATTGGATCTGGATACCCCGTGCCCTTTTCGTCGGTTGTTCTTGGTTTAATTTTTCTGTGGTTCATGCCGTCCGACGTGTGTTTACTTTTCCGACTTTCGTGACCCACGCTCCTTTTTTCCCGCTCTTCTTCATAGTTAATGATTGATCGCTCAAGCAGTAGTGGGGCATTAATAGTGCCCTTCATGTATAGATTACTGCATGCTGCGTTCGCTGTTATGATCCATTGAAATGCCCTACAAAGTACATATGTATGTCGTAATTACAACATCATAAAAGACAGATATGTCCCTCAAAACGCAATGTCCGTACACTCCGATAAATGGCTTAGGGTTTCCTGGGGTCTAGCTATCGATACATCAGTCAACCTTATGTCTATCGGAACTTGGATACGCCAGAAAACGATGATTGAACAATTGATGAGGATATGCTTCGCTGTCAACTTGTCTTGCTATACGCGGATATGGTGATGAAACAATCGAGTCCGGAGTAGTACGCCTGATAATCGAGGGTTTCCGGTCGCAAAGGGAAACCGAAACGAATCCCACAGCCTATTCTCGGAGAAAAAAAGGTACCCAGTACTTATTTTTGCGTCTCTTGTATGAGCACACATCTGATGCGGAAATCACTGTCATGATAGATGCGTGTGTGAGGAGCACGTCAACGTCCGTTCGACGCCGCAAATCCCCAACCGATCCCAACGGCGAACTTCCCTGAGTCAAACGGCCTCCGCCAACTGGCAAAATGCGCGCGTAATTGGATCAGGGGATGGAACCAACGGGAACAACGGAAATCTCGTACGTGCCAGCCAACAGCATACAAGAGCATACAGTGCTCAACAGTTTGATCAACGGTGGACAAGCATGTGCACGCATGCCACGGTCATACACCACTTGGTGTGTGTTGATTGATGAGGTACCTACCGCCGGGGTCGTCCCTGGAGATATAGCGAAAGGAAGAACGCCAGCGAATAAGCATAGTGTCTCTGGGAAGATGGTCCACAAACCAAAGGTCGACTTTGGTCATTGATGGAATAGTATGACAGTAGCATCATCTGGCGATCAGTGAGTCGTGAGGATTTTCGTGGGACTCCGTGTTGACAACGTAGCAAGGGGTAGCTGTTCTGCTGGGCCCACCCGGACCATCTGTTGTAGCGGCCACGAGAGCATTATTCGACACTCTCGTCGCTCTTTACGAGAGAAAATCTCAAGAAAGCAGCGTGCGACGCGAAAACGTTCAGGGAATTCATAGCATAAGAGGTTCTCATCTCGCAGGATCCTGCTACCCTTGTGTCGTCTTGACGCCTGGCGCCATTCGAAGTATATCAATCGGATATATGTGGTGGCTTCATAGACACCTTCTTTGGAGGATCAGGTGGTGCGTTTATATAGTCCTTGAAATGTGGAGGGAACAATTCAAGAAAAAGCGAAACTGAGCAGATGACAGCGTGTCACTACTCCCTACTTCCACGACAGTACTGGAGTTTTGTGGTCAGGAAGGAGTTGCACGCGGCTTCCCAGTATCAAGTCGTACCGTCCATAGCGTCACTCCACGCCAAACAGCTTAGAATGTCGTGGAAGGGGCAACTTCAATATCCAAGCTACGACCCTCTATCAGGTACTTAAACTGTTTGGATGCATGGATGCCTCATTGCTGTTCAAGAAGACACCGGGTATCGGTGAGGGCAAGGCGATGTCGGAATGCTGAGTATCCGTCGTAGGACCTCTTCCTACTGACGTCAGAACCTGGGGGTGATCTTGCAGCCGTTGGTTCATAAACTCGCAGCAGAGTTGATTCCGAAGTTGAACAAGCATGAGTTTTTGCCACAGGGATGACCTCTTGTCGGTGAAAGAAAAGTGGAAGCAGTATTTATTATTAACGACAGCCACAATTGATAGGGACGCACCGTGATTGCCCTGCAGTGGTCGCCATACATGATAGGTGCCTTGGGAGTAAGGGCTTGAAACAACACCTTCTCAGCTGGTGCTAGTTGCAACTTGAATGATTCAATGGATGCGATCGTTACGTAGTGATTTGTTTTCCTGTTGCAAGTCAGCATACGATATGATACAAATGCCTAGGAAATTTCCTCCGTGTAGGTACTGGGTTAAGGCCCTCTTGTACTCACATTATCCTTCGTTTGGCCGTCGACCTTGCCATGTCATCATCTTTAACAACTGAAAAAAGATTCTCGATTGTCGCTGACACCACATACTTCCAACAAGCATGAATCAGTCCGCGAAACGTGTTGAAAAGTAAAATGAAGATTGAGGTAAATAATTACTCAAAATCAAGCGCTTCGTTGCTCTGTTTAAATTCATGCTTGACGAAGCTCTATTCACCTGCATGCGTGATTGTGCCACACACTGATTTGCGATGCCCTCTTGGATTCTCCCTGGGCGCGAATATGACCATCAGAGAACCAGCGAGTCCTTGATATGGCAGACATGGCTATTGTAATCAAGCGTAATCGTGCTACCGCACTGTAGCACTATAAATAAGTCTCAAAGATGGCTTTGTATGATGCGATACAAAGCCATCTTGGAGACTTCATTCGCGCACTCGCGCACCTTCAATCCTAGGGATATCGAGCATCACTGGTACTCGCTACTAGATCAGAGGATGTCGCTCAGACCCTCTCAGATCTAGTGGCAGATATCCCAAATTTGATTGTCGCTCCTCAATTCCCTGTTTGGTTTGTGCCGGAACATGATGAACACGAGGATGAAGATGATGGTGACGATCCCGAGATGATAGTAGAGTTGAAAGTTGAAAAGAGTCAAGAAGAGGGAGGGGTTGGGGTAGGTAACACTTCTATGGCATCAACCGTCCCGGAGAGGGATGCTAAGAGCGTCATTGTGGATTTTGTGATTCTCCATCTTAAGGCAGTGGCTCAGCCACAGTCTGACCCGGAGTGGAGGATTACTACGGCGAACATTGGCCTTCTCGTCGAAGTGAAACGGTTCGCGAGCACACCTATCTACCCACCATGAGGTAGATAAGTGATGGCATGTCTAGGATGCTGTTGTAGTGTACGCTGTCTCTCTGGCGTTGAATTATTTTGCAGTTAATAACACGGTTAATAAGTCGGTTAATTATGTAACCACTGTCAAAAATTATGGAATTTTTCACCGCACCCTAATTTGCACACACAGTGGCACTTGCTTTTCCTCACTTCGCCCTGCAGCAACGCCCTGGCTCGACTTGCTCAATACGGAAAGTCTATCAATTGAGAAGAAATATCAACACAGGGTCATAGTTTTTACCCTGGCACGATTTACGTTTATGTTACAGTTGTCTTCAGCTGGCGAAAACATATTGTGTAAGACCAAACGATACACATCCGCACCACTAGTGAGCATCACCAACAAATTGCCTTTCGTTTCCGCACATCGCAATTTCCTTCACGTTCACTCTCAGGCTGTGTCCATATTTGTTTCCATGCACCTGTGCTTATGCGTTTGCGTTTTTTCTTGGATCCATTCAAAGGTCACAGAGCTAATTTGGCTACCACGCCCACGTGCTCGCAAATTACTGTTTCCTCGACAATGCAAAACATGCCGTGTTAGAGTGGTCGGCGATTTTACGCTGATTATTACGATGTTAAACAACATATTGCTTTAAATACCAATCTCATTTGTTTACAGGTTCACTGATGGTAGTATACGCAGGCTATTCGCGGGTCTGTGCGGCGGGTTGGTTGCTTGGGAGTCATATAAACTTATGGGTGTTTTATTACCGTGTATACAAGGTTGGGGCCGGGAAGCCACTTCATAAAGTTGAAGGAATGCCCATCTTCCTTCTATCCAGGTTTGACTACAGAAGACTAGGGGGGTCCCGATGGTTTGCGCCGCAGACTCCACTCTGAATTACCCTCTAATAGCGCTCAATCTTGTGGCTTGCTGCTAAAACGTCGAGACCTGCTCACAAACATATCCTCGTAAGTGATGATGTTACTAGACTTTGTTAGATAAAAGCTGAGATAAAGCTGCGTAATTCAGAATTATGTCTTCGACATCGTCTCGTCAGACATGCCAAATTGATTGGGTCTGTGTCATGTGACATCATACGGCGGACGGCGGACCATCACTTGTTCAAGGCTCCAGGTATGTAACTTAAAATGAAAAAAAGATGCGAGACAAACGGCATGACGGAGAAAATGCAGTGTACGCCCTGGCGTTGTCCGGACTTCGAAGAAAGTGGTTAGTGGGGACATCGAAACAATGGATCAGGCGATATATCATGTGTCTGATAGCACAGAAGAGACTCGTCTGCGAGTGTTACACTACTCGCCAGACTCGAGCATGATTGCGAATAGGCTGGATCCCACGAATCCAAGGATTGGGCTTGGGTGGAAAGACGCTTATCTTTAGGTCGCCGAAGTACCACAAGCAGATCGCCGCTCTATTTCCTCTGTCTAAAGCATTAAGCGATACATACCGGTCCCAACGGCCACCTCCTCGCAAGGGCAGTCGATCGGGCGCAGATACCGCGCACGTGCAAGCCCTGAGTAGCATGGGTTAAGATCCTGACATTCTGGAAATTAATTTACGAACGGACAATTTCCCCCAGTCTGACCTCCTTTCAGGTGCCGATTTGGAGTCCCCCTTAAAGTCCCCCTTTCCTTGGGCTTTAACCGTGGCTGTGAAATGTACGAGTGTAGACTCTCCAGGCCTATTGATTAGTATTGACCCTAACATCCAGCTTGCCACTCTCTGACTTCAAGTCAGGGTTTTGGCCAGATTACTGTCATCGTACGATTTGACTTTAGGTTTGCACAAGGTTTGCAGCACCATGCCGTCTCCCTCGACGTTTCTGCCCGCCGAATTCGTCGTCTTGGTACCACGTATCAGTTGATTTGCCAATAAGATAAGTCGTTCGTGCGCTGGACATTGACGTTACTGTGGGCCATCTCCCACGAATCGCGGCCTTGTCACTGTGTGACTTTTAGGGAACTTACAAAAGCCTAGGGGCCGTTGTGGACCCGGCATTCTTGCAACTACGCTATCAGTTGCATCTTAGCTCCTTGTATCGTCTTCTAGTGCTTCGAGAACTGCTGCCACATCTGAGTCACCAACTAGTAACATCCAAGCTATGCCACTTTCTTGGGTCAGTCCTGGCGTGGCCTACCTCACTCGGGGTTTGCTTTCTATCATTTTCCCAGTCGCTTCCTCCGTCATTATCATAGTGCGTCTGGCCTCTCTGCAGGGCTTTCGAGTCTCCCCATGGCATTTGTCTGTGGTGGTTTTGAGTGCAGCGCCTCTAGGGTTTGCAGCTTTTGTTCTTGCGGATGAGATGTTGCAGCGACGAAAGGCCGGTCGACTCGGTGCCAGACTCATTCCCCGCGTCCGGGGCAAATGGCCTGGAAATCTGGATAAGGTAGTGAACATAATTCTGAGGTCCGAGAACGAATATCTTGGTAAAGCCCCCGCTCCATGCATTTCATGTTCGTGCTTTACAGAAATAAATTCTGTCCAGGACGACCTATGCTGGACGAGATCGAGGAACTTGGGCCGACTGTTAATTTTCGGCTTTTTTGGGAGGACGACATCCTGACCACGGAGCCCCAACACATAAAGGTAAGCTCCAATTTATACTCAAAGATGAATATAACGAAGCTCCATGTAGGCCATTCTTGCAACTGATTTTGATAACTACGTCAAAGGTATGTCCTATAAATGCTGCCTATTTACATGTGACGACATGCAACTCGATGCAGGTGCAAAGTTCAGAAGAGCAGCTGACTCCGTCCTTGGAACAGGCGTATTTAACTCGGATGGTAAGTGTGTATCGGAGAGACATATATTTGTGACTGATTGATAGATTGGCTGTGCCACCAGGTGAAACATGGAAGTGAGCCATGCATTTGAAGATCGCCCTGATAGGGAACCTTAGGTGTACTTCTAGGCTTCACCGAACCATGACACGGCCTTTCTTCACTCATGATCGGATCAGTCATTTTGATATCTTTGACCGTCATGCAGATCATGCTATCGCTTTGGCGAAGAAACGTTTCAGAGTGGGCTTGGCAATTGACTTCCAAGTAGTACTTCAAGCTGGCATTTTGACATCTTTTGTTAAAACCTACCACAGGATCTCATCTCCAGATTTACGCTTGACTCTGCATCGGAGTTCCTATTTGGACACTGTATTGGTTCACTCTCTGCCGAACTCCCTTTCCCCTGTAATACGACAGAATCTACAAATTCTACTCAAGAAAATAACGCCGCCGCGGCCTTCGCAGATGCTTTCTCTCGAGCTCAGCAGGCAATTTGTCGTCGCATCATTATCGGGCCGACCTGGCCACTTACTGAGATTCTTGCTGACAGCACCACACAGCATATGAAAGTGGTAAACGAATTTTTAGATCCAATCCTCGAAGATGCTCTGCAGAAGCATAGCACGGCTGCCAACCTAGACACAAATGAAAATGCGGATGACCAAACGCTTGTAGACCATCTCGTAAATCTGACGTCTGGTAAGATCGCGCGTTACCTCGAAATTGCTGCTGCTGAAATATTCTTTTAGACTTCAAGATCATCAAAGATGAGGCCTTGAATATATTAATTGCCGGGAGAGATACAGTAAGCTTGCAACTACTTTGAGTCATCCTGGTCAGTAACGAATGATAACTTGATAGACAGCCTCAACATTGACTTCGGCTATTTACTTACTTGCAATGCATCCAGAGATCCTCACTCGGCTTAGGGAGGAAATCATATCGAAAGTTGGGCTGACTCGCATGCCCACATATGATGATATCAAAGGGATCAAGTTCATCCAGGCCGTTCTCAATGGTGCATACTCTCGTTTCTTGTTGCTCGTGGGGATGCTACTAGCCTGTTTTAGAAACAATGCGCCTTTTTCCTGCTGTGTAAGTGATTGAATTTGATTTCAGACATATTAATGTGTCATCGTATCACAACATCCTAGCCCCTTTGATGTGAGGTACGTTCTTAAGCTATGCCAACGATGCTAGACTTGAGCCACAAGCTTCCAGGGAAACCATACATGACACCACATGGACATCCCCGGAACCTGGGAAGAAGCCACTGTTTGTCCCGGGGGGAGTCGTGTATGCATTTTATTCGATCGTTCAGGTTCATCGCATGACCACTTGAACAATTTTAGGATCAACTATTCAGTGTTTCTTATGCACAGGAGAACAGATCTATGGGGTCCAGATGGTAAAGAGCTTGAATTTTGTCTACGTATAAAACATCGATTCATTCGGACCCCGTGTTCTAGCGTTGGAGTTCGATCCGGATAGATGGCTCGACGAGCGCGTACAGAAATACCTGATTCCAAATCCCTTCATTTTCCTCCCGTTTAACGCGGGACCAAGAATCTGCTTGGGGCAACAAGTACGTCGCTCGTGACGTTATCCACTATCGCCATCCATCTCATACCCTATTTCGTACCTCAGTTTGCCTACAACGAAATGTCGTTCATGCTCATTCGTTTGCTGCAAAACTTTTCCACCATTACACTGTCCCCTGAGCCCGCAATGTGCCCACCTGCGTGGTGGGCCGAGAAAGATGGTCGGCAGGCAATCGAGCGATTCAGGCCAAGAAACCACTTGACACTTTACGCCAAGGCAAGTCTCACTCTGGTATACTTTCCAGCCATCTAACTGGGTTCCACCTCGTAGGGTGGTATGTGGGTTAAGATGGAAGCAGTAGATGACATCGAAGTCATTAACTAGAATATGACTTTACTTTACTGCTATAGACAAAGGTAACATCGACATGTCATATTACTTCCAGTATTGTCTTCATCCAAGTTTTCACATGAACAAAGTTGGTTGGTTCGAACTATAAACATCATTATCGGCAAGCTTGGAAACATTGAGAAATAATGAATTTTGGACACATTTCGACTGACGCGCACTAAGTTATATAGATACAAAAAAAGACCCCTGCTCTATGTACCCCTATCGTCCCAACCGACCAACACCCACATCTAATATCAATATTCACATCGTGTGTATGGGCGCTAGATCAATACATGGTTATTTTAGTTGGAGACCGCATTTGTAGACGAAGTAGTTGCCAAGCCAACTTGGCGGTTGGTGGTGTCGTAGACAGAGTAGAAGCGTTGTCTGTAGGGCAGGTCAGCTTGATACCAAACAAGATCACTTGAATACACACAGGAATGAGTAACCGTTGATGAAGTCGAGGCCAGTGCCAGAGTTGGAACCGATGTCATTAACGACAAGGTAGATGCTGTTGCTGTTACCACCGAGGTCGGTGTTTAGGGAACGGGGCCAGATTTGGCCGTTGGCGGTGAGGCCGTAGGTAGTACCGCCAATGTTGAAGTTCAAAGTTTGCAGGTTGGCGTACTGATCAGAGGTGATCATCAAGAGTCCAGTGTTGCTATCCAACGTGGCACCAGTAGCAGACTGGTACTTGTTGAATGCATCTAGTATTTTCCAGTCAGTTTGAATGACCCGTTTATGAGTAACTCGTCATACCAGTGGCAATGAGAATGAGGGTCGTTCCAGTGTCAACGATACCAGCAGTTGTTGACAAAATGGTAGAGCTACCGTAGGTAATCGATTGGTCGATACCCCAGTAAAAGCTGGATGGTGACGTAGTCGTGAGAGGGACGTAGTTCACTGAGCTCGTTGTCTTCGAGCTGTCGGAGCCACCAAAAGTGAGCTCGCCAGCGCTACCAGGAGCAAAGTAGACTCCGAGAGCATCGGTACCAATGGTACCTTTGCTGTAGAGGTTGTCGATGACAGTGGGGACCGCACCAGTATTGGACACGGTGCCCACCGTCAGGTCAGTTGGCCCGACACCAAGAATTCCATCGACACCATTAAAGCCCTGCGTACTGCTCGCGACCCCAATAGATTGGCCGGTAATGACCAAGCCAGAACTGAGAGTAACTGTGTCCAAGAATTCCTCTCCGGAGAAACTGCCGGAGCCATAAGCGACGGACTAAAGAGTTGTTATGAGCAACATTTTTATAAGCAGAGGATGTGAAAAGAAAAGACATACGACAGAGTGACCAGTGTCTACACTAGTATCGGTGCGTTTGTATGGGGTGCTTGCACCCACCCAAGTGTTGGAGCTGCCCGTGTCAATGAGGAGCGTATCTGAGAATTCTTTTAGTCAGAGACTATGAGAGTCGATGGCGAGTCTTACACTGAGTTGCCGGGCTGCCCACACCAACCTGGGCAGTGTAAACCGTGGCGGCATTAGTGATACTGACAGAGGAGCTGCCAGCACGCTTGCTCATGGACTCGGAACCAGTGTGCTGCATTGCCTGAGCACGAGCCCTGTCAACAGAAGCGATGTTGGCATTAGCAACCCTGGCGTTCACCCTATGGGTGAAGCCGAGGGTCGACGCAGGCTCACGGCGCAGGGGAGTTGCGTCCACAGCGGAAATCGCAATGAGGACAATAGAAAGGAGAGCATTAGAGTTGAGCATGTCGAAAAGATGAAGGAACTGAGTGAAGAATCAGATCGACTGGAAGTGAGGCTCCAATTGTCGATGTAAAGACTTTATATATGTCCTCCAACTGAATCATGCGATACCCACAGTCTTGAGTAGTGTAGGGCACGGGATTGCCTGTATGACCGTCCCATCCTATGGGGTGACAAGATGCCAAGTGATTGATGAAAGCTTTCCTGTGGAAATTCCTCTCCGATTTCAACATTGCTGCACGTCGTCATCACTTGAAAATGATTCATTTTAATCAAAATCAGACAGCCCAAACCTAATTTCGACAACTATGAGTCAACAGACGCCCAGAGGATTTACTGCCTGTGGACTGTGAGCATCATGGTATCTCGGTTTGCCATCACAATCAATTACGTTGCCTACCACGTTTTAGCCAGAAATCAGTGCAAAGGATATAGCATCTCGCGTATCACACGAAGTTTGCAGAGAACCCTAAATTTGTCTTCTGCTAACTATGACATGACAATATTTCCCAGCGTCAGGGCTGATATTTCTTCAGTCTCATTGTAAATAAACCCAGTGTTACTGAAAACACACCATGAAGAACCACATACATAGCCGGTACCGCCCCCGAGACAGTCGAAATCACTGATGCCATGATCTTCAGCTGGGGGCCTAACGTGGCATGCACGTTATGCCTGGCAGTACAGAAGAAAGCCGGATGCCATCATGATGTTCATACAGTCACGTTGCCGCTTATGCGGTGATCGAGAGACTGTCCGTGCACTGCTCATAATCACCACGGAGTGTTGAACGTTGAACGAGGCTGGACAACGCACTGTTCATGATGACTGCTATTTTTTGTTGGTCGTAGGAAACCTATCATTGTCAAGCTGGGTGTGCAGTTAGTATGATCCGTTAACAAGCTGTTTTTGGTAGCGATGGGGGTTAAGCTTATTATGAACCGAGGGCTGTTGGGAGAAACCAATTGGGCTCAATTGAACGGAACTCGATTGGGTGAGCGACGGTGCAGCTGACAGTGCCACAGATCCGAGTCATCCTGATGGACTTGAAACAAGTGAGTCAGCGTCAAAGGATGGATCAACAACAACCATCATCATTACGTAATGCTGAATACCGGACTTGGCGGATCATGGGCCGTTGGAGTTGAATACAAGGGCTCCGAGCTCAGCAATTATCAACATCATCGGCCAGGTGTCCTCGATCATTATTAATATTTGGCTGCAGTGCACGCGGACATTAATTCGAGATGAGTCCTCTCCTCGAATCCATCGACATCGACATCTTCATGATCATGAAGTTATGTGTGAAATAATGCTTTTAATAGCGTGCAGATCTACGAGGGGGCCGTAACATCATCGGAAAGCCTTATTTCAAGGCGAATGCAAGGTGGCAATGGTCAACTGATGCAGGACTTGCTGTAGAACTCCAGTGCACTCTAAATCTCTTTCTCACTCAGCCCTCTTCCCATCTCTGATGCACCATAGATTATTACTTCATCATTGCCCATACTACGCATGCGCAGGTGGTAGAACAGCATTGAACGTCCGATTATAGTCATCCACTAGAAGGTCGCTCAAATATCAAGATTTATCGATGGTATCTATTAGTGTGCGCTCATGACCATTATCTGCAATCTATGGAACGTTGCGCAGGGCACCGTCGTTAGCAAGAACGAATTTAATCTGCTTGTGAACAAACCTTGTCTAACTCAACCAACTTTACCGCGCAGCCGCATCAGGTTCTGAACAATCATCTCAGGCAGCGCATATGTGCCGCAGATAATATCAATCCGGATGTTATTCCAACTAAGTATGAGAAAACGAAGTGTGCTGACTGTGATAACACTGTTCGTCTCCCTTGCTACGGAAATACTGACGTCATCTCCAACACTGAGTTCGGCAGCGCCGTTGAGACACGACTTGATATGACCATTGACATCGGATTCGTTTCGTTCAGTCTGGGACCTCCATGGGGCTCAAAAGACAACATCATTGTTGTCCTGAAGCGATGCGGCTTGCCATGTGGCAGTACCGCGAGCCAGTAAAGACAAAGAAGACCATATGGGGGGGCCCGTTGATATTTTCCACCAACGCGGATCGTTTACACCCATGGAGGCAAGGAAGGAGGGATACTCATGCTGGAAATACGAATGTCAATCAAGCAGGCAAGCCGTCTCGTCATGTCCGAGCTGATAGGTAGTCGTGTGGGTGGTGAGCTGAAGGACTACACTGACGAGGATTTCAAGATTGTCGTCCATGTCATAGTCGTCGGAAAGGATTATCCCTCGGCGGTCGTACCAATTAAGGGATAATTTGTGGTCGCGAATGAAGAAGCACAAAACATAAAGCTGGAACGGTCGTGCGATATTGAAGACTGCGGTGTTGTTCATATTAGAACTGTCCTTGAAGTTGGGTCTGACTTCAAGAAAGCTGTGAGTCTGCCTCTACTTGACCTCATCCTCGACGGCTAGCCAGTGGCCTTGAGGTTGGAGGTACTTCTGACAGCAAGGACAAAGTCGCGTTTATTGCCAGGAAAGGACAAGCCGTCGGTATCCAAGGCCACGCCATGTTCCATTGACACATGATGAAACGGCGATCGTTTACATCCTGTCAGTTCTGCTGCTGCACCCTCGATCGTGAGAAATATGCTCAGTTGTGAAATGTTCATGGCATGACTGATGCGGCCAGGTTGACGAAGTGCCTGCTCGTCAGTGGTAAGTATAGATATATTTTATTAACTGTCTCTTACATTTTGTCGAAATTCAGCCAAATCAGCGCTTGCCCTGATGAATATTTCGACTGTTTTGATGGTGTCGATATCAGTCGCGTCCAACCATTTTTCGCAAGCCTTGATAGGTTTGGGTGATCGGTATTCGATATGAAGGAGGTCCCGTTCATAGGTTATGCGAGAGTCACCTGAGCTGGTCGTGCAGCCCCCTGTGGATAGTGTGAGGTTGCCGTGGGCGGGAGGACCAAGTAACTTTGATCTGTGTCAATTCAACATTGGTTCAAAATTCAAATGGCGCTGAGTTTGAATGTGTTAGACGTTGAAAGCGGACGTGGAAACGATTCTTTTCGTCAACCAGCTCGAAAGCCACGAGTGCTCATCACGTACAGGTTGCTTCATGCATCCACATTTTTGAGCGGGCTAAGGTCTGAGTATTTCAATCCCCCTCGATCGGCTCTAGCAGAGCCTGGCTGTAATCAGCTGCGCGACGTACCAGAAAAGCAGCTTCATTTTCACACCCCCAAGATCCTGTTGCAGCAGAGGAGGGCGAGAATGAAAGCTTTGGAAGCGTCGCGGGGATCGGGCAAACTCGTATCCATTGTATGGCAGTCCTATCGCGCGTGCGCCTGTCAACATGGCGCCTCAGGGACATTGACAAATCTGTGCTAGATGACTAGTCAGTTTGGGCTCCAGTCTCTGTGCTACTGCCGCGGTACATCACTATATGGGGTTCTTTCACCACCTTTGGGATCTATCGGAACCTGAGAGCTGGTACAAATTCAGACTACATTACATGTACTCTGCCATGGTACCTAACGCTTCTGGCTAGCCTAGGATTGCCTGTTGCAAGAGCCCCATGAATAACCGGTTACGGCTGGAGACAACTATACACTACCATGTTGTAGTTCTCCTTGCGTATGATGGATGTGCGCAATGGTACTGGCTTGTCCTTGAGTTCACTTCGTGGCTCGCGTATCCTTCGTGGATCGCGAAACTCGATTCAGACTACTCTTGGGCTGGTTCTTACAAATTTTTTGCTACTTGACCTCCTTTGTGGAGTGTCGTCTCCCCGATGACCGTGGCCTCGGCTTGCCTCCGGGCTGGTAGAAAGAAACGTAGTTGAAGAATGGGAGTCATGTATCTGGTATGCAGTATTCAATTCTATTAGTTTGACATCCAAGTTCACCTGGCAAGGACGGGTAGTTATTCGATAGCCACCACTTCATCATATGTTATTCCTGATGATCCCCGTTATCGTCAGCATACTTGCCGTTGCATCTCACTAAGAAAACGTAGCGGGGTTCGGCTGCGTCAGACTCCAGTGACACCTGCTTATGTGCACCAGCTGACCACGTTGACGGTCCATGGGTAATACATTAGTGGCCGCGTGACCACTATTTATATATACGGGTTGTACGGTCAACATAATCTTTGTTATACAGGTAAAAACGGAACAGAAGGACCAACTGTTTGAATTTCGCTGATATGTCGGGAATGTGCTGAATAACACAGTGGGATTGCGATGTCAGCCTGACACACAATCATGCCACTTGGTATAAATATACCCTGGAGTTCAAGGTGTTCCACACACTTCATTATTTACCCCTCGACATGCAGCCTCCAGCAAACAAGCCCGCGCCCGCTATCCCATACTTCACCCCTGCGCAGGTCCCTGCTGCAGGCACAGCATTCGACCCCCAGCCTGATGGAACACCTATACCAAAATTGTTCCAGCCCATCAAGATTAGAGGAACAACATTTCATAATCGTATCTTCGTGAGTCGTCATATTGATCGTCGACGTGATAATGGGCTCTCCTGACGTCCCATCCCAATTTCATGCAGTTATCTCCACTGTGTCAATACTCTGCAGACGACGGTCATCTCACGTCCTGGCATATGGCGCACCGTAAGTTTATGAATCTCGACCATTATAGAAGTACTCACAGTATTTAGTGGGCGGCATCTTCACGCGGGGTCCTGGCCTTTCTATAATTGAAGCCACCGCGGTCCTCCCAGAGGGTCGTATCACCCCTGACGACTCAGGACTCTGGAAAGACAGCCAAATAGAGCCACTCCGCAAGATAGTCGAGTTTGCCCATTCACAAAACCAAAAAGTTGGCATTCAGCTTGCCCATGCCGGCCGGAAAGCATCCACGGTTGCGCCGTGGTTGTCCATGGGTCTTGCAGCAACTGAGAGCGTAGGCGGATGGCCAGACAACGTATGGGGGCCTTCTACGGTTCCTTACCACGAAGCCTTCCCTGTGCCTAAGGAGCTATCGAAGGCGCAGATTAAGGCGGTCATCGTCGCATTTGTAGATTCTACGAAGAGAGCGTTGAAAGCTGGCATTGACGTCATTGAAATCCACAACGCACATGGTTATCTGCTGTTCTCTTTCTTGAGTCCCGTCAGCAACACACGCACGGACGAATATGGTGGAAGCTTCGAGAACCGCATTCGTTTAACTCTTGAGGTCGTGGATGCTATCCGCGACGTCATCCCTGAAGACATGCCACTCTTCCTGAGGTATTTCCGAGTCTATAAGATGTTCTTGCTTGATCTGATGCTTCATAGGGTATCTGCGACTGAATGGCTCGAAGAAGCCCTTCCACATGAACCATCCTGGCGTTCCGAGGATACCGTCAAACTTGCGGGTATCCTTGCCGAGCATGGTGTTGACTTCCTCGACGTCTCCAGCGGCGGCAGTCACCCAAAAGCCATCATGAAACTCGGCCCAGCTTACCAAGCGCCGTTCGCACAGGCAGTCAAACAAGCTGTTGGGGATAAGCTTGTTGTCGGGTCTGTCGGCTCAATTACCGATGGAAAGATCGCCCAAGAAGTGCTTGACAAAGGTCAAGCGGATGTCATCCTGGTTGGACGGCAATTCCAAAAGAACCCGGCGACTGTTTGGGCGTGAGTGTATCATCTTGACATAAATTAACACCTTATCTTATGATGTATTGGTAGATTTGCGTCCGACGTTGGCGTCGCGATCAAGCTAGCGCATCAGATTGGGTGGGGCTTTGGGGGTCGGGGTAAATCTCACAAGAAGATTGACTGGTGATTGCAACAGCTCGGAATTCTATTAACACACGGAGCGAACAAGAATCTCGCGTATACCCCCTTGCAATTAGAGACACGAATCATAGATATTGAAACGAAGTCCATGTTCCTATGACGCTCCAAACACCACTTTAATAAATTGCGCGATACAACACCATGTGCGCGATACATAACACCAAGTGCGCGATACACAAGGGAATGCGCGACACACAACAACAGATCAGTGCGATACACTACACTACTGGGTGCACGATACAATTTGTCAAGACACTTTTTGTAGCTACGCGTCCGATATGAATCAAGAAGGAACGACTGTCTTCCTTCTATATGGTCTGGGATACCGATATGTGGAACCGAACTGTTGGTCCGACGGCCCACGGCTCAAGGACTTGCACCTGTTCCGAACCTCTTTGAACGGATTGTTATGCGCATGCTGCCGGTGAAACGAGTACCCAAGAGACACTGATATGTTATCAGAAGAGACACCAGCCTGAGCTCATCCAGACTAGTGTCATTGTGTTAAAGTCGAGTAAGTCAGGATTCAGGAAGTTTACTCTGCGGGACTTGCCGAGCCTTGCGCCAATTTCCCGAAGCGACTCGGAGCCAGTTACAGTGTACACAAACAGTTTCTCGTATTTTCTAATCTCTCCCGCCTTGCTGCAGCGCCAAATCTTCATAGGAACGGCTTTCTATGGACCGTAACTCGATGGCGACTGGATTAAATTCACGGATTTTGGGACACCAGCATTTCCGAGCATGACATACTCGGCCCATCCTCGTCACCATCATGACACCATGCTGCCTCACTTTGCAGAGCCCCAGCCATCCAATGTAATCTTTGCGTGGTATCCCACGACCCTGATAGCCCATCTGCCCCTCCCCGTATTCATCTCTGGTCTCAGGGTTATTTTATCGGCGACGCGAATACCGCGTCCGATCCCTCGTGCCCTACTGCCATCTACTTACTTGTATCTTTTTAGTACAATAATTATGAAGCTTCCATTGCCTATACCTTGCTACCCTGACCAAACTCTTCCTGCTGTGATACAGGTTAGTACTAAGATTTGGAACATGACACTTGTGGGCTGTGTTGTGTTGAACACTTTGATATGTTGTATCGCGCACTCAATGTTGTATCGCGCGCTCAATGATTGTGTATCGCGCACTCGATGTTGTGTCGCGCAATTTATTAAAGTGGTGTTTGGAGCGTCATATGTTCCATCACCACTCGAAGTGACGCAAACGCAAGGTTGCACGGAATCTCCGATACGTCGATCTCCATCGCATTCTCAGAAGAGGGTCTGTATGATCAGGGATTCACTATACCAGTGTACGCACAACTAAGTGTGCATGTCTATCCCTCAAATGATATCATGACAATGAACAGCGAAAGGCTACCAACAATGAACCATTCACCGTTCACTATTATATGATACCCCCGCTGCAGTCTAAATCCTTACTGCGAAGCCGTCCTCGAACTAAGTTTCAGCGACGCCCTTGAGTGAGTAGTTGCAATTGTGTTGCAGCCTAGGGCGAAACAAGCGGGCAGGGAGTGAAGGGATGAAGCTTAAGGAAAGCTTGTGGTGGATCGAGCGACGTTCTTTGATAAGAACCACCCAATCAACGAGGTATTCTGTGTCTGCGTTGGATAAGTACAGAAAGAAGAGAATGACATGTGGGCGTGTAGCTGCAATTGTCGCCAGCGTTGAAGTCAGTGGTAGAGTAAACGAGCCTAGCTCTGACAAAAGCTGACTTTGTGAAAACCGTTCATGAAGGGAATACAAGAGAAGGATGACGGATAGGACGCTATAGGACAACAGCGTCACAGCCAAGAGAACGTCCAATCACGTGATGAATCCTTTTTGAATTTCATCAATTGTCCAGCCCGTGGTTAAGACTGAACCCAAGCCAGTATCCCTGCGGGTCACTTCCACGGTAGTATCCTTCTTTTATTAATGTTTAAAATAATACTGACTACGAATTATGTAGACTAATGTCAGCGTCAAACACAAAACTCCCGTGGCAAAGTGGACAAAGTCTTCCATCGCACACACTCGCAGTCTTTCCAGCATCTCGAGTATAATTCTGGTGCCACGTCGAACCTTGTAGAGGCGGAGATCCTCCCCTGTTCTGCTTACGGGGTCAAAAACCTTCCTGGAGGTTATCTGGTGGTGAATAAATGGAGCTCGGTATTCATCCCTACTCTCATTTCCGTGATTGGAGACCAAGATGAAGTCTGGGGTCATCACGAGACAAACATCTGCGCTACTATGCAGGACACCTGGAATGCAGTATATGAGAACATACCGCACACGGTCACTGTTAACGGACCTGTTATGGCTTTAGTAAGTGATTTTTTGACACGATTCGTATCTGATCATCTTCGTTTTTTCTTAGGCCACCCAGCGGGTAGCAGAGTGGTGCCATGGCATTGGCCTTACTGCTGTCACAGTACTTACACATTTCATGTCATTACAGGATGATGTCAAGACCAACAGAGACCGCAAGGATTTCGCGAACAACTTACTCTTCAAGCTCGGGTTCTTATATGGGAGCATCACAGAGGACAGCCAATTCAAGAAACCCTTCCAGTCTGACCTCCTTATTCAAGTCCTTGTACAGCACAGGGTTGCTACTGGGGGCGCTCTCGATAGCCACAGAACGGTCACACATGCGAAGGGTGCTCTTAGTCTGGTCACTGCGGCGGCATGTATATTCAGTCTCTCATCATATCTCAATTGATTTTTTTCTTCTCGTGTTTCAGATGGAACGCACCCTCAAGCTTTTCAGGCTTGAGGACATGCTCGTCAGCGACCTGAAAATCAACAGCAAAGGTAAAGCTGTCCAGATCCCCCACAAGCTGAACAAAGCCTTGGGCAAGACCAGCACCGCTCAAGGAGCCTTTTCGGACACCAACTATGGTGTGGCGACAAGGGGCTACATGAAGTCAATCAATTGCCTCGACGAGTCGGTCCTCCAGGACATCTGGGAATGTGCGAAGGAAATCGCTTCGAAGAGGTGCCGCGCGGCCCCCATTCTGGTTGATGATTCTGACGATGAGCGTGCGCTCATTTTCGATAACTGGTACTGTCTTTTTCTGTCGTAGTATAGTGTCTCACAACTGACAATTTTTGATGCTACTTTCTGTTTTGTAGAGTCACGCACTAGTACCAGTACCACTACCCTTACTGCTGCTCCCTCTCGCTATGCAAGTTCATCCTGTTGTCTCCGCTCCCCACTCATTTGTTCGCTGTTGCCCACTGGCATCTCCCGAGTTATTGCCGCTGCTGACACACCTCGTAATAGTTCTATTTTTCGCTACTTATCAGTACTTCCATACCGCTTTCTCGCCTTTTTCTCTAGCTTAATATACTTGTCGCTCGAAATGCAATGTGGTTTTTGGTCATTTCTATATTAATAAGCGTGAAATAAGTCTTGAAAAGCTTGAACAAGTATACAATAAGGGTAATAAATATCGCTAATTTCCACAATTGCACTCCTTACAATGTAGGAATAAGTGCCAGAAAAGCTAAAATAAAGTTGGAAAAGGTGAAAGCCAAGAGCTGGCACCTACTTTTTCAACTTAAAATTGCCTTATGGCAAGCTGACAGCAAGTTGGTGTCACCTTTCTTATGAGTCACTTGTCCGCTCCTTTTGGTGAAATTACCCGGCGGCAAGTTACGAAAAAGGAAGTTAAGTAATGTGTGAATTTACTGATGTAGCCTACGCCTGGATCCTTTCAGCATCACCAGCAGGATGTCCACCCAAACCCGGGCCCTTCGCATTTGAGTTCACCTGAGATGGGGATGATACCGCTGTATCCCTACTGAGCTGCAGCAACTCCACAGTTGGCTGCACTGCACCTAGGTCGGACTCCAACACCGTTCTCTGGAAGCCAGACATCGCCTCGAGGACAGTCTGTGGGTCTGGTGACGCAGCATGGCGGGACAGATGGCCATAATCAGCCCCAGAACTACAGCGGCCAACCGTTCTATTCAATGCATCAGCGTCAAATGGGACATCATAGTGGCACACCTCATAACCATCTTGATACCCCCATAGATTACTCCTCCTTGAATTCAACTGTAGCCCGTCTTGTATCCGAAGTGCAAAACCTGAAGGATGTCACTCAGAACCTGCTGTTTTCCAATAACGAGCTTCGACAATTGAACGACTCACTGAAGGCACACATTGAGGTAAACAAAGAAGCCATTGAGGAGTTCTTGAAGACCAACAGAAACAAGAAAAAAGTTGACAATAGAAATGTATCAAACTCGCATGCAGCCTTGAAAGTAAGCTTGTCAATCAGACTATATGGTAATCAATAGACTTACTATGCATGTGCCGCCAATAATCCACCCTTACTTTTTTGAACTCTGTAATATTGATCTGTGCCTCAGCAAATCAAAGCGCATAAAGCTGTTGGGAGCTGTCAAACCTTTGGGCAATGGAGATCCTCACAAGGCGGTATCATCCAAGATAGTATGGCACCTGAACTGGCTTGGTAACGTTGATGACAATGTCAACACACTGTACATCAAGGAGATAGTTAACCTGGTATGGGAAAATGAGAAGGTATGAAATATTCAATTTGATGGATACCGATGAGACTCACATTGTTGTTAAGGCATGCCATGAGAATCCTAATGCCAAGCATGAGATTGCTGATGAAGACTACGACCATGCTATCATCACTGAGTGCATGAAGACGTACTTTCGAAACATTCACAAGCAAGCAAGTGAACAGGTCAACGACAATAAGGCGGCCAAAGCTCTGGAACGAAAAGATAGACTGTGACAGTGTTCACATCGTCAAGCAGTGAGTGTCTCATTTAATGATCAGATGTCAGTCACTTACATGATCTTAGGTCACAAAATCACGCCGTCAAGCTGCATCAGCCTATGAGACTCAATCAGGGAACAAAGGGGCTGTTGTCATGATAGATACTGACTTTGCCTCCAATATCCTTTCCTATGATTCCGAGGAGGACCTTTCAGCAGACACGCTATCCAGGTGGGAGAGAGCGAAGCTTGTGAAGTTGGTGTTTTATGTTGAAGGTTCAAAATGGTGTTCTGTTGATGTAAGTCATCATCATGGTATATCTGCTAATAGAGGCACACACTCACCTGGGTGTACAGTATGTGGCCTTCCTGTGCTGGTTGTCTTTGTGCAATATGCAGAAGAACAAGGAGCACAATGAGCCTGATATGGATGCAGCAGATGACACTGCTCGACCACCGGCTACCAAGCGTCGCAGAACAAACAACACACAGAAGCACTGCAAGAAGGTCTTTGACCTAGCGCTAGCAAAGATGAACGACAACAAGCCAAAGTCGCACAAGAAAAATGTACCCTTCAAATCTATGGTATCTGCAGTCTGGGCTTGTGACCACACTGACGATAAATTCCTTGATGGTACTGAATGGCTGACGGGCTTTTATGAGAAAACAGCCCAGGGTGCATTGATAAAGGAGGATGAGGAATACTTGCAAGAACTTCAGAGGTGGCACGAGAAAGAGATGGATGGAGAGATGGATGCTGATGAGATGGCAGTTTGAGTGAGTCGTTGTTGGTAGCATAAGTCATTTTACTGTGTATAAACATCACCCAATCAATTGATCTTGTTGAAAAAGCATTTGACATACCTTGGCAAGATTGATAGTCGCCCATACCTTTGTCTTTTCAACACCGATGGACACAGTAGTCATCGCTAACTGATCATTAATCCAGTCAGGATCAATGAGCCGGGGTAACTGAACTTCATCTTCTAGGTACTCTCCAAGTGTCCACAGCCACACGCTTATGGACTTGGCGCTGAAAATAGTGTAGTGTTAGTTAACTTGTAATGTTTAGGGTTAGGTACTCACAATTTATCCCATACCACACCCACATCACCCTGCCATTGTCGGAAAATTCCTAGCGGCATCAAAATGCTCACGTGTTATAATGCGCCCGAGGGGCATTGTGATCACGATCAGAATCCATATCCGAATGTGCCTAAGACTAATATTAGCTGAGTTTAAATGATATCCCAATGATATCGGAAACCATATACCTTGCGCTACATCCGTATCGTTCTATATCACCTTTATTTGTTGTAAAATCTAGAGATGCCGAAGGACTCGCAACGCCCATCAGAAGAAGTTTCATGTGGTATATGCGGCATGATGGTATGAGCCCGAGGATTGTTGTCTCATACGAGGAAGTGTGAAAAGAAGGAGAGATCAAGGAAAGAGCAGGAGGAACTTACAGCGATCCTTCAAGAAACTGTCAAAAAGCGTGAGTCGTCATGTACTTTTATCATATGCATTGTGACTATTATTATTATATTTAGATCGTCGGAAGAAATCTCGTCAGAATGCACGCGATGATGAACCAGCACTTCGCGGTCCAGCGGGTAAGTTCTCCTCGATGATTTGATGCACGACTATTCTAACTCGACTCTATTTGTTATTTTTAGTTGATCCAATTTCAATACGGACGATACAAGATGATCCAGAAACTGCCGGTGGGGAAAACGAGGACATCAGTATGTTGTTTCCGCCTTTCGAGTCACTCAATCTTGTGAGGGCCTGACCTGTATACTAGATATGCATGGGTCGTCGCCCCGGAGTCAGCGATCGGGGGATTTCAATCCAGGATCCCCAAATTATGTAGATGTTGACCACGAACTGCCTGAAGCACGACCTCGACGGGATGATATCAAAGTGGAATATCATCCCCATAGTAAACTCCCTTCGACTGTCCATCATTTCGCGGATTTTTCCCGCAAATGTCCTACTGAAGACTCTGTGCCCCGCAGCACTTCGCCATGGGAACCATTCCGAACGCGTCTCGACTTTGAGATCGCAGAAATTGCACTGGAAGCAGCAATGACTAAAGAACAAACTAACCGACTGATTGACCTTGTACACCGCTCTGCGAATGGTCAAGAGTCCTTCACGTTACAGAATCATAACGAGGTCCGTTCATTTTGGGCAATGGCTTCCGAACGGTTCACACCAGTGAGTTTCCTTAAATCATTTGTGATCAATGTAATTAATGTTTGAAGCATAGTTCCAGGTCAGCGTAGTATCTGTGGCGCATCGAGATGATGTGCACGACTTCAACATGCACTATCGGCCCCTTTGGGACTGGGCGCTCGACCTGCTGCGAGACAGTCGCTTTGCAAAGCACTTTGTGTTTGACGCCCAACGTTTGTACAAGTTCAATGGAGAGCGCTTCGTTCGCTTTTTTGATGAGCCCTGGACTGCTAATTCATTTTGGGAAGCACAAGTATGTACTCGTCGACTATGTAATATTCATTTGTTGTAAATTCATGTTGTAATAGTCACAACTTCCACCGGATGCTAAGCCACTGGCATTCATTCTTTATGCTGACAAGAGCAAGCTGTCATCGTTTGGGACTCAGAAAGGCTACCTGATTGTCGCGCTGTGGGGACAACGAACAGACTCAGAGGAATCTGCTCTGATGTGAGGGCGATATGTTCAACCTCTAGGGGAAGCTGAGTCAGGCAGAAGTCGGGCAACTAAGTGCGCTCGAGGCGCGGGAACGCGCGAGGTATGCGGAGGGCGTGGGAAATGCGCGGAAGGCGCGGGAAGGTCGCGCTCGTAGAGCGCAAATGCGGAAATGATGTCTAGGGTCGTGTATGACACGAGGAATGGATATCAAGCAAATGTATTATGGATATAGACTGATTAAGGGAAGGAGAGTATGACTCCTGGCTATAGGAGAGTGCTCCCTAAGACATAGCACAAACTGTGGAACTCTACTAAGGGTGATTGCATAAGTAGGAACCTTCTGTCAGAAAGCCCAGTAGATATAGAGGATAGCTAGCGAAGAGGGAGCGAAAAGTGTCCTAAAGTGGCCGAAGAGCGCGGGAACGCGGCCGAGGAATGTCACAGATGTATGTAAGGAGACAGCAGCTGTCAGAAAACCAATATATGTATGTAATACGCACCTATGGACCGAATAGACAATGGATGGATGGGCCTGAGGAAAGCCAATGGAAGCGCGGGAAAGCGCGCGCTAAGCGCGAGCGCGGGAGTCTGCGCGAGGTCTGCAGAAGGTGCAGGAAAGTCGCGCCTACAGTGCGGAGAGGGATGAGGTCGATGTATAAATGAGGGGATACGAGCCTGTAGAGATATCACTCTCTACAGCGCGGATTGCAAACTTACCGGTTGAAATCAGGAATGGTACTGGCGTGGCTGGTGGTCGAGTTGTGGGTTGGCTCCCAATCGTTCGTCTTTCCGAGCCTCAGACTTTTTATCTTACTAGCCGAATTAATTTTTTCTTAGGTCAATGAAGACAAAATGCAAAGCAGAAAGCAAAGTTTCGTGAACTTTAAGAATGCTGTTTGGCATAAGTCATTTTTCCTGCTCCTGGAGGCAGTCATACAACACTCGAAGACTGGGTACTGGCTCGACTGCGGGGACATGATAAGGCGCTTTCTTTGGCCATTGATACTGATTCTCAGCGCTGACTACGAGGAACAGTAAGTATGATAGTGGTCTGTTTCTTTACATGACGCTAAGTCGCCTGCCGCAGATGTGTCATGGCCTTAATTCGTGGGCTGAAAGGAAAATTTCCATGTCCGATTTGTCTCGTCCCCCAAGATATGCAGGCTGTCTTCTCAGAAGAACACGTGCTACGTACAAATGCCCAATCTCAACAAACTTTGGAGATCACAAGAGCAGCGAGTACAAAGAAGGCCAGAGAAGCCCACCTAAAAGCATTCTCGTTGCGTGATGTTGAGGTCAGTCGTTGACGTCTGTCTTGAGCTTATGAATGTACTGATGCTAAGCCTCACAGTGTGTTTTTTGGTTGATTCGCTTTTGTGACATCCATCACGCCCTCTCATGGGATCGTCTGCACACAAGCGGGTTATGGAGTGATCATTTGTGGGAAGAGTTGCACTTCTGGCTCGCTGAATTGGGGCGAGAAGCCGCTGCTGAGATTGACACCAAGTTCGTCTTGATATCAAATCTACCATCATCATTCTACAACATTATTTACCAGTAACTAACACGTTGTTTGTTTCACTTCAGCATGGATGCTCTCCCAAGATGGCCGAACTTGCGGCACTTCGTGCATGTAATCAAAATTGATTTTTCCGATGGCTCAGTCCACGAAGATATATCAAGGGTACGTTTGTCGGTCATAATTCTACACATCCAGTTACTGAGCCTGGCCGTGTTAGATGATCATCTTTGCAGCACAGAACATTCTCACACCTACTGAGAGTGAAAACGGCTACCTGCTTCTACGATGCATCTGTCTCTTCGTCGAATTTGACATATATGCATCATTGGAGGTTCACACGGAAGATACCATTGCGACAAGAAGAGAAACTTTGTGTAAATTTGTGGTGCTGCTGGATGTAAGTGTAATTCATATTCTCGACTGACGTGCTGAAAAACTATTAGGAATATATCACAAAATCGGTGCCGGAAACAGGGAAGAACTGGAATTTTCCAAAGAAACATTCAAATGCGCATGTCTTTGATGACATCCTCGCTAAAGGCACCACCCAAAACTACAACACTAAGCCCAGCAAGAAGATGCACGGCCCATTACGTGCTATTTACCTCCGGTGAACCAACTTCAAAAATGTTGCTACCCAGGTTCGTATCACAGTTTGGATCTTGTGATTTACCGGCACTGATTTGGACTGTAGATTCTTTGCTATGATCACTGGCTGTTCACATTGACCTCCATGCGCTCCAAGCTCGATGACCTGGACGAGTACATCCGTGAGAAAGCCGTTAACCCTGAAGAGGCTGAAGAGCCCCAGGCTGTCGCGTTGACAGCACATACACATTTGGGCTTGAAGCGAGGCGACTTGCCTTTTTCACAGATTGAGCAGGAGCACGCAACAGACAGGGCCTTTTTGGGCTTTCGAATCAGGTTGAACAACTTTTTGAATGAATTCCTGCCTCAACATGGAATTCCCTTGCCAAATGGCAAGCGTGTTCATTTTCGAGCTGATGACCAGGTAATACCCCAATAGCTCGTCTGTGCAAAGATATGACATAACACATTTTTGACAGGTTGCAGTATACCAATTTCTGCGAGTTAATTACGATTCCGTGGTTGACTGGTGACTTAAACGAGACCTCCTTCGGTGCAACCCATCTTTCTTTGGGTCACCAAGGTATGATTGTGTTATGGTGAACACTGAAGACCGGCCATTTTTTGCACATCTCATTTACTTGTTCTGCTGCTCCGTCGGCGATACTGTACTTTCTCTCGCCCTTGTTCATCCCTATAATGTTGGCATCGGCCAACGCCGTAGACGAGACATCGAGTTGGGGTTATATCATGTACGAGCTAAACCTCATGCATCTCCGGAACTCATCTCTGTCGAGTCAATCATTTGAGGTGCTGCGCTTGCCAGTGACCCTAGCGCAGCTGGAGATTACTTCATTATGGACACCATTGATGCCGACATGTTCCTTCGAATGAAGTCATTCCAAGTCCACCCTAATATCTAAGGAGCCTTGACAGTGAGTGACACACTTATCAGTACAATCTATCAACACATTGACCAGCTATCTAGATAATCTGCGCAAACTTCTATTGTCAATGCAGTATTTCGAACATATAGAGATATCCGAGTCAAGTAATATACAATTTGATACATTTTCCTGATTGTCTGCTTTCAAATGACAATCATACTAGTTACTGAATTGCTTTCTTAAATCAACAACTACATAGGCTGAGTTTGAAGGCAGTCAGTCTAATCAGCCCTGGACTTTGCTCCAATACACTTAGACTGGCAGCCGATTAAAGTCTATAAGGCTTTAATTGTCATGGGACTCGGAGGAGTCTAACTTTAATTACACATCAGGAGTTTTAACATTTTATCTCTTGCAAGATTTCAATCAAAAGCAGTTTTAGACCTAGTCAGAGCACACTAGATTACCTTTCGAATGTATGTCTGGTAGATTCAGAATGTCAGGTGTTAGTATTATAGTGGGGCTCCTCTATGCTTAATAAGCACACCGCCTATTATAATTGGCTGAGAAACCATCGATAAGCCATGAGGCCCATTATTCATTGTAGCTTCTTGACCTCATTCAGTCCGACGATAACATCATGCCCACTACAGTTGTCGTCAAGACCTCGCCTCAGAAACTCATCAGAAACAGCGGGCGAAGTCACTCTTACCAGGATTCCCAGAAGTGCAAGCCTGGCACAGGATTCAAGCCCTCCCTTATTTCAAAAGCCACATCATTACCAGCCTCGCCTCTCTCTGGCAGGAGAGGGGAAGACTTAGTGACAAAGAGCACACTTTTAGCTCAACACAGGGTCAAAGATTCACCAGAAGTAGAGGATCCAGAGAACAGAAACAATCTTCTTACACCAGTATCCTCTGAATCTGAGTCTCTCACCATAGACAACCATTTATCGCAGTGTTTGGGTTATCCTAGCAGTATTTGGTGTGAGGCTGCCAAAAGTGATATACCAGTTACAGGTATTTAATTTGTTATGATACAAAATACATTACTTAAAGCTGGTATTGAGGTCAATGCAAGCTGGTGCTCCAGCCCATTGCAGATCCTGAAGACGAAGCTGCGGTACGCATGTTTGGATTAGATCGGTAGATATTACCCAGGCTAAATGATCCTTTCTTAATCAGGAGTTTTCTAATATACACCTGGAAGATTACCACACAATATCAAGCATCGTTGAACGCAGCGAGACCTTAGATCTTAAACCAAGGTAAATGCGACATCTCGTTGTGTATATCAATTGATCAATAATTGTGTGTTCATATTAGGTTGACTACGACTACATCAACTGTTTTCTTCTTGTTGAGATGCCAAGTCGTATCCATGAGGCTCCCTGCACGGTGTTGAAGTCGTGGTTCGACACTTATTTAGCAAGCCTTGACTTCAATCGCGGCCTCGTAGACACGCAAGTATTCCTGAATGCCGATATCGAAACGGACACGCTCTCCACCATTCCAGATCTGACAATGACTTTCAATGCAGGACCCCCTCGCAGACCCCTCAAGGAGGTCATCCCCGTCCTCGCAGAAACCGCATGGTCTCAGAACACCAATCCTCTTATCACCAAACCCAAGAAACAAATCACTGCCAAGCCGGAGATCTTAATGGTCTTCATGGCTCTTATCCGTGAAACCACTAAATATCAGTCACCTGTACATTCGTCGTTCACGTGGAAAACACTTTGTAAGGGGAAATCACTTCATTCACTCGAATCCTTCCTCGCATTCCAACCTGCCGACGTCAAATCAACTGATCCCATCTCCGTGGCGGACCACACATGGCTGAGTCTCCAGTCCGTTGACATTTGAGTTTGGGTGCGTGGTGACAGCCCCATCGATATCAAACTTGTCCCCGGCAAACGCACAGCTCGCGGTGTAAGTATCTCAGTCATTGCCTATTATTGCTAACTCATCTTCTACAGAGATTATTTCCTGACCCGCACATGTCCACCGTCAATGGTATGATCAACAAGGGTCTAACCTTGATCAAACAATGTCTGGGTAGCCTCTGCAAGGAGGTGAACCCTCAATACGACATCACGCAACTGCTACAATCCGGTATCCCTTTCCCTTTTGCATGGAACAGGATGTGGAATGCGATAGATGTGGCATCGGGAGTCACTGCCCATAAACGCTATCTACAGTGGTACCAGAAGTCTTCATCTAGGGGCACCAAGCGCTTGGAGCGCTCAGACTCCCCCAACAATGAGGCATCGTCCTCGAACACTCGTGCCCGCACCATCCCTGATACTGTCTTGTCTGCACAACCCGGTGCCGCCGTAGCCAGTGGTGATGGTGCGCCATCCGCTGAAAAGTCCCAGAGCAAGAACAAGAACAGGCGCAGCAAGCGCAAGAGCAAGGGCAAAGGCAAGGGTAACTAGCATTACACGTGTTTCATACTGGATATACAAATACCTCTGGGCTGTGAAGTTGCACATCATCTGACATATGTTCTTAGACATTTTTCTGTGGAGCGCTGCTTGTACTTTTACATTATGTTCTTACTTTTCTTTCATTGTCCGGCTGATCCCCTGTATTACTGTGACTGCAACAATTACTGTATAGCTCATGGATCGATCAATCTCACATGTAATGAATTGTTATTACCTTAGACTCTCTACGTGAAGTCAAAACTTCGAGATGTCGACCCGGTGAGTCTAAGCGTAATATCAATGTACCTGAAATATACACCCACGCTCTTTCTCGCTACAATATTCTCAGATCTGAAACAGCGTGTCCGTGGCATGAGGCCAGCGCAGGCGAAGAAATATGCCTATATAAGAGTTCACCGTGCAATGACATTGACACAAAGGCATGAGACCTGCAGAATAAATTACATCATGATCACCTGCAATGTACATTTTTCGTTCTGCGATACTGACAGACTTACTCAAATAACAGCCTCATTGAATTCCAGAATAGCTCTTTGGCTTGTTGACTTATTAGTGAGTAATACAAACTGTGCAGTATCATAGCCCTCTCAGATATATAAAGCGACACCCCGCTAATCGAATTGTCCTCGCAGATTGCGCTCGACTTGATAACATCCTTAATATTCCTTTGTCCATTGCTATGTCTGACACGGACTCGACATCTCGCTCCTCTCAGAGGGATACTGCCTCTGAATCATCAGATGTCGAAGGCATTCAAGTCATCGCTCCGCCAAGTGAAGGGGCCACGCTCCAACATTACCAGGAGGTATGTTCAGCTTCTTTCCATTATGGTTCTGTTTCTGATGTTTCTCGTGTCGTGTCAGTATGTCAAATATCTCCAGCTTCAAAAGGGCAAGTTAGAGACTCGCAATGCGAGCTTAAACACGACAAACAACATCCTCCAGTCAACACAGTTGCGACGATCTCATAAACAACGCCCCATTTCCACTACATCTTCAGTATCATCAGCCGCAACTACGAATACAATGTCGACGGCTGCAACCGACTCTGACCTGGCTGCAGACAAGGTCATTATAGACCTTGGGAAGAAATACGCCCTTACTATCAAAATGTTCCTGCTCGATGATTCGATTTTCAAATCGCCATGCCCTGATCCTCCTGCAGACATACAGAGTAAGTCTCGTTATGCTACTAAGGCATCGGAGAAGGCTGCTCTCGTCACAGAGCTCTACAGCTGTATCGATCACTCGTTGCACCCTCATATGCCGATGATGCATTTTATCAACAAGGTCAGTGATTTTAATGTTTGATATTACTTAGAACTAACTCTATACTAGTTCGCAAGCGGAATGCAGCGAGTACGCTCTTCATACATCTACACACTGCGGACTGTAGCTGGAAGTATCCTCGATATGCCTGCTCAAAATTTCGCTGCATCGTTCGATCGTGCATCTGTCCAGCAAATGTCGGATGCGATCAGATGGATTGCAGGAAAAGGGAAGGACTTCAATGTGCTCGACGCACCCGTTATCTACCCAGATCTTAAGATCAACGCAAAGAAGGCATTCGGAAACTGGCATGTGATCGGCAAGGTAAGCTGTAGTACATTTTTCGATATGTTTACTCATCCTTTTTAATAGTTCATCAAAGTCGCAATAGCTGGAAAAATGTCGATCTATTCTAAGGCAGGACGCACCGGAGGCGCGAACCCCTACTCAAAGCTGTGGAAGCTGAAAGGTTGCACGCCAGGTTTGATCGCATGTGGTGTGACTTCGGTGTATTTTAAATTATTTCTTAGGAAACTCACTAAGTTATTACTGATTTAACAATGTCTCACTATAGCTTGTTTTTATTCTATCTCCTGATCAACAGTTCCCGGGATCGGGCGTTGGCGCTATCTCGTCGATATCTTATTCCAATGTTTTCAGAACGGTGAAGAAATTTTTCGTCGCTCAGTGGGCGCACCCACGTGTTCAAGCAATTGTGAAGAATCTCAACAACTATGTCTTCAAAGATGTCGACGAGAAATCTCACGACCTCGGCCAAAATGTGGACGACGCTCAGGAGGACCTTGCTGATTCACTGGATCGGGTGATGGCATCCTTAGACAACGAAGATTCATCGGATGATGATCTGTACGATAAGGCAGCGGCAGTTGCAGCCCCTAGTACCCCAGCTGCATCATTCACTGCACCCAAGCCTACAGCTACGGTCTCAGTCGCAGCCCCTACTCATATCCTCACTCATATTGTCGCGGCCTCTGAATCGCTGCCCATGCTCACCATGCAAAACCACGACCATGTGATAGTGTCTGAATCTTTGGGATCACGCAGTGCATCTGCGCCTGTCACTGGATCCTGGACTGGATCTGCCCCCGCTCAAACTCATGTTCCAGTTGCCATAGGAGTTATTCTACCCAATGCTGGGGAATCCGCGTCTGCATCCGACATCAACACCAAAGTGACTATTAGTGGTAAAAAGGGGAGAAAAAAGGGCCAATTGAATGCAGATAATGCACCTCCTCGTCGTTCTTCCCGCAAAGTAGTTTAACTAGTTGTTGCACGCTTCCCCCCTCCTTGTCTTCATGCATTAATACTCAGCGCTCTTGCACATTTGGTGTATTTGAAATTCGGCCGTATCTGCTGTCACAGTCGGAATCTCAATTTCAAACTTTGTATTAATAAGTAACAACCACTGTCTCTGAATCTGAATCTGAATCGACTCTCGACAGTCCATCGACAGGAATCAACGAACTCTTTTGAATGTGGTCTGAAGGTAAATTTTTGGGCGAATGCACCGTCAATCCCTTTGTTCACTTTGTTTTCTAGTATTGGCCCAGGACTTCAAGTCTTCTGAATCAGGAGTACAAATTTAAAGGTAGTCAGTCTCTCTGAATCCTAAGTTAGACTTGGTTTAAATTCATATTTACCTTCTCTTCTAGGTGTTCCGACGATTTGATTCGCCCAGCATCATGCAGCATCAAACCTGCTAAACCCTTCGACAGTCGCAATGTTCTTTTCGGTTGTGATGGCGATGACCTTACAGTTCTCATACCAGTTGACAAACGGCGTGCTGGGGACTTCTGTCAATGTGTTCTGGTTCTCTTCATTGGTTTTCAGTATAGCAGCCGCAGTGAACAGTCTCCTGGGTCTTACCTGGAAGCAAGCAATGTAATAGTATGTCTACTCTGTGTGCTGCTTGTATTCAGATCAAGTAACAGTCTTCAGTCGTTCTCCAGGGCATAGGGTACCTTGGTGGGTATTGATATGGGCCCGCCGAGGGACGATCTTTCTCACCGCTGCGAAGGTTTCACTTCGTGCGCAAGGTTAGTCATGCTCTAGTTGATTTTTTCGTACTCTAGACCTGACGCAAAACCGCAGGCGAGTTCTGGCACTCGACAAACACAACGTGGGGCAACAACATTTTCTCACCCGAGAACTGGGAGGACCGTAACTCATGGATGTACAACCGCCGTCTTGAGGGAACACCCGTGAGTGGTGAGTGCTTGCGCAGGTTGTGCTAGTTTTCGTTTATATGACGCCTGTCCGTTAGATGAGATGAGCAAGATTCCATCCTTCCCCTACAACTACACCTACTCCCCGAGTCCAAAGGTTTACGAACGCACAGGACGGCAGCGGTTCAACAATGCCAATTTCATGACACCTCCCAATTGGTAGAATGGGTGGGTTGTTTTTCTTCCTTTGACTGCTGGAACTCTACTATTGGGATATCTCCCACTTGGCCCTCGTCCGTGAATTTGGACGCTATGCATGCAGTGACACGACGTTGGGGTCTATATTATTCCAGGCGAACTCTGGGTACCCTTAGACTAATATTAGCGTACAATGTTATTGTATATCATAGATAACCAATCCATTTATTTGATTCATTACTATGTGTATCATAATCAGTTTGCAATCATTAGGATCATCCCTAGCAATATTGTAATGTACTGTTGACCCATCGAAATCATATAATAGTGACCGTCAACGGTGTCAACAAAATCATGTTCGATTACATTTTGATGGCATAAAAATGCCTACAATAATGCTCCCAATTTGCATAAATATGCCTACGGTAATGCTCCCAATTTGCATAAAAATGCTCATTTTGTACCTAATTGTGACAAGTATGGAGATATGTTTTATGATGTGATAATAATGACCATCAAAATGCTGACTGTTTAATCACAATCAAACTGTGCGATTAAGGCATTTTAATGCAACAAAATGTCATAATAAAAGTTCCGACAATGGTTTTGTCGGAAATTCCTAATTTGGATTTCAGCGCCTTGCAAGGCATTTCAAGGTTTAAAGGCAAAATGGCCTTTGAAATGGGTTTAAATAATGAAGTCAGTCTTTAAATTGCCATAGAAATGCGGTTGCAATTGCATTGCAATCGATTGCAATGGACCTACAATGGTACAGCAATGGTTCAGCACGTTGCAACTTTCTTGCCATATTGTTGCAATATATTGAAATGTCGCAAGATACCTACCAAATTCATTTAAAGAATACCTTATTGCAACCACTTTCACAAATTTCCGACATTGAACCAACAAACGTGCACAAACCAGAGTGATCACACATGTCTATGCCAAGACTGATTGACCTGGAAAATTTCTAAGACCTCGCCGTATAGATGAATAGGATTGTCAGCAGGGATAACAACATGAACGAAGGAAGAACAGTTTGATCCGACAGTACGAGAGGCATAGTAATGTTTCCCCTTGATGACCATGTAATTGAAAAAAAAATAGTGGCGCGATCAAGCGGGAAGCTGTGAGGGACAACAGGGCGATCACAGAGGCAGTGAACTGGTGCCAGAGGGTATCGGAAGCAGAGTGTTTGAGCGAGAAGTCGATAAGTATCTGTTGTCATTGAGGTCTTCTGATGGCGGGGACTCAAGGCATAGGATTGACCGGCTGATATCATTAATAAGTTCTGCACGATACATGAGGAAAATGAGACTCACCATCGGCATTTACACCATCGAGGTCTTTGGATAGCGCCGCCAAGCCAGCAACTGTACCTCGTTCTTCATTCGAGGCTTTCAGCATGATTTTGGCAACCGTGCATGGAAGTGATGTCTTGCTGTGATTGAGTAAAGAAAAAGTCTAGGAGTATAGTTAGCAAAATAAACCCTTACCATCCGTCCTATGTGACATGTCCTCTGAAACTCGGTGAAGAACATTGTCTCCAACTCACCATTTGCGTGATTATTGGTCTTGAATGATTTGAGGACTTTGTTCAGCCGTTTGAATAGGAAGGTCCAAAAACTGTGAAGCAGGCCGAAATTGCGAGTGCATTCGACAACATGTGTAGCATAGTGGTGATTAGGTTTAATCACCGCAGATCCATACAACTTTAAAATAAGAGACATTAGTTGAGACTTTGAGATAAAAGTAGAGAGACTTATGTGGATGAGCTCTGAACAATATTTGCAAAGGAGGCGGTCTGCATGGTCAAGTTCTTGATCGCAAATTTGATGTTTGACTAATATTCATAGTGCGGCGCACAACTTCAAAAAGTTTGCAGGATTGTCGGGGTGAAGGGAAAATTTGTTGTTAGTCAGCTCCGAATCACCATTGTCTAGCTCTTGAGTTGTTCCACTTCATGTTGGTGGTGTTCGGGATCAGGGCTGACCTTCAGGTAAACCTTCGACGTTTTGCTCAACAGCTTTCTGTTTCCCCTTCAAATAATCAGCAACAAATCAGACAAACACTGAACCTGTACCTTTCTCTGAGCAGCCTTAGCCTTTTTCTCAGCAGCAAGTCGGGCCTTCTCGGTCTGTTTGATGGCAGCGAGTTGTATCTTCTCCTGGCTTTTTGCCTCAGCTGCAGCTACCTTGTCCCTGGCTATGTGAGCCTTTTCAGCTTCGAAAGCTTCCTTACCATTTTTTGGCCTCCACAAGTGCGGTCCTGTCTTCGAGTTTGTGGGTAGTGTCTGCTTCCTTTTCATGCTCCAATTTCTGTATCATAGCGACCCGCTGATGCAGAATCTGGTTGTCACTGTCAGATGGTATACAGGTAGATCATAACTGAGGTATCTATGAAGTATATTAGCTACAGCGCTGGCGCATAGATAATATAAACTTACAATTGTTGGGCCATAAGCAGTCACCAGGAGGAGCCATTGGTCCGCGGTCAAAGACCCGCCTGATGGCATCCCAATATCTGTGGGCAGTTGACCACATGATCCGGGAACAATGAACTAAGACTAAAGTTAGGACCATAGGTAGAGATACTGAAAACATGTACATCGGCAAGCATTTCGTGCAGCATCTGGAGTTCATGTGTTGGTCGAAGTATTTTACTTTGGACCCATATGTTGTAGAAGTGGGTCTTGACGAGGCCTAGTTTTTTGAAACTGGTTAGTATAGTATATGGCATGACAAAATGAACATACCGAGGAACAAGTTATGCATAGGGTCAATAATTACCTGTTCTACAATGTTGAAGTACGGAAGTCTTGACAGCTGCGTATATCTGGTCGCAAATTCCTTGACAAAATTCTTGTGAGCACTAGCGGTGGTGAGATTTCAATATTGTTCGTCCAGTTCTCGATGCTCTTCGTTCATCCGAACCTTGAATGCTGAGCAGGTCACCTAGTTAACATAAATCAATACAAGAGAGTTACTTACCTCCATCAGTAAAGGCTGAGAGTTTGTCCTTGTTGGCAATGTCGATCCAGCATGGGGTACAGAAGTGAGTATGTGAATGTGAGGCGAAGCCCCCAATTTTATGTGCAGCGGGCTTATCACAGATGATGGCCACCAAAACAACATGTATGAGTCGTCCTACAAGTCAGTGAATGAGATCTGACCAAAAAATGTGTGAATAGTACCTTGTGGACACGATTCAGTAGGTACTCTAATGCCGTCTTTCCATAATTGAAGGAGGTCCGAAATGATTGGGCCGAGAAACCACTGGATTTGATCTGGGTTCTGCTCCTTGGGGCCAGGAAGAATGCTGGTGCACATCAAATTAGATGTGCGATACCTATAGACGTGGTTAGATGGTGTTGTACAATCAAATCATCCTGCTGAGAACTCACCGGTATTCAGGTGGAAGGTTGCAGATGGAAAAGGAAGTCGGGCATGACGAATGTGACAGTGCTATATTACTTCGTATGTACGAGAACCTTATTGATTGAGATTCAGCGCAAACTAAAATGAGGAACATGTTGAAAGCTCACCAATCGACACCAATATTAACTCCAACACGTAGTTCTCCATCCGGACCAGCTTTTTCATGGGGAAGGTTTGAAAAAAAAAAGTTTACCATCCGGTGCCTTCAGTTTAGTCTTGCATACACTGCCATTGAATATATTGATGTACTGATTTGGAGCTCATGGCTTAGAACGCCAGCCATCAAGGATAGATTCGAGGCCCGGAACTTTGAGTAGTGAGTCCTAGGGATCTGCACGGGTATGGGTAACCCGTGTGGGTCACGGGTATGGGTACTACTCGGGTACGGGTATGGGTTGAGATTTTGAGACCTGCGCTCTAACCCGTACCCATGGCATACCCATACCTTCCATAAATAGTAATTTGTCGGTACAAAATACAAACACTAATGACGACCAAACATTTCCGCTTCTTGGCACCACAAAGATCTACGTTCCCGCATATCAAGTCATGGTAGCCGGTACCCGTGTGCTGGTTGCTACTCATCACCAGATTCACCACTTGCGAGCTTCGACCTCGCGCAGTACACCAATGTGCTGAAATGGCGGGAGACACTCGGGATGAGGTTTTGGGACGCGTCGTTCAGGGTTGATTAGATTGGTGCGTGTTTCGATTCATTTCAATTCAATTCATTTCAATTTGTTTCGATTCAATTCAGATTGGTGCGTATGAACGTATGCAAATTCAAACCTTCACTCTGTTGTCTTATTCAACGTCTTCATTTCAGTCGCTCTCGAGGTGATTCTGCTGTTCGTTGTAGTCTCAGGCTAGGTGGTTCTCTCGGGCAAAACACACGTCGTGGATCTGCACTATACTTAATTCAGAAACGTGTTCATGGGGAGCTCTACGAGTAGCAATGATGTGTGTTCTGCGGTATTTACAGGTATGCTACAGCTGATCATGATCATGGTTTTCAACAGTACGCTACTGCCACCTTCACAGTCCTGAATGCCTATGCAGGATGGTCCAACACGAAGTAATTCCATACGGACACTCAAGACTGCAGGCCCGCTCGGTCTTGGTATTTGCGTGGTTCTGTGCTTGCTTGCAAACATTGCCTATTTCTCAGCTGCGACTAAGGTGAGAACTTCTTTTATCTGCGCAGCTAATGAAACTAAATGGTTGGATAGGCAGAGATTGATAAATCTGGTGTCACTGTCACTGCTTTGTTTTTTGGGAACATCTTTGGTTCTGTCGCAGAGCATGTGCTTTCGGTTTTCATTGTTCTCAAATGAGCTCGACGTACTATCATGACTTTTGTTTGATGATGCGCCATAGAATGTTATTACTGTGGTAAGTTGAGGGATGCTATGTGTCTCCCATTGCTGTTGTTCAATGACTTATCTGCAGCCACTGGCTGTTGCTCCACGGCCGCAGCCCCAGCAGGAAAGCCAATTGCACGGCCAAACCCAGGCGTCGTCATCACAAACTCAGCACACCACTACCTCGACCTCCACGACACCTCCTGCTTCAGGTACTGATACTACCGCAGCTAATGAAGCTGTGAATCGAACACGAGGTTAACGCTCAACGATCTCGGCAGACATCTCTCGCATAGATAGTCCCTGATCTGCAGTACTTGGAACTCCCAGCGCTCCACCTGCAAGGCACCAGAAATCACTCCACGACGATGCGAGATCATACCGACCGGGTAACAGGTGTTGTCCAACTGTGTACCCACGGGTAAACCCCTGACGGGTGCAGGTGTGGGTCTGAGATGACAATACCCGCAGCAAAACCCATACCCCCAGTGCGGGTATGGGTTTTTGCTGGGTATGGGTGCGGGTATGACCTCTGGTACCCGGGGGTATACCCGTGCAGTTCCCTAGCTACTAGTGACTTGAGTTGATCTGAGAGTGGGAGGTAAGGGTATTTGACAAGTGGTGATTTGAGGGAGCGCTGGTTGCTGCGTGCAGTCTTGTCAGGTAGGAAGAGGTCCTTGTTGCACAAGGTACATTCATCATGAGATTGCGGGGAGTATGCAGGTGGAAACATGTCCCAACGCGATGGACAAACGGGGAGAGTGTATATAGGTTTGTCGACTCCAAGTACGCGATTGCTGGATTGCAGGGTGACAAATGGAGGTTCTATATTGGGTGAAAGGGTGAGTAAAATACATGTGAATATGGCCAGCGGTGTGTTGCATGCAACTTTTGGGAGGTGGAACTGTAAATGGAGCCATGACACGACTGCATAAATCAAGACAAGGTGACCTGGGAGGTGCATGAGATCTGTTGTGTCTTCTGTGTAGAGTCCATCTACAATAAAGAAAGGATCAGTATCGTCTTCGGCAGGTTGACCTTTGCCTAATATATCCTGGTACTTGTCAACATCTTCAAGAGGATTTGCATCAAGATCAATGTCCTGATCAAGATCTGGATTTTCTTCAGCATGTTGTATGGCCTGTTGGAGTTGGTATTGGAGATTGTGCTCTTCTTGATCTTGCGGGAGATTGTGGGCATCATGGGGAGTCAAAGGACGCGAGCCGGCAGCTGTAGCTGTGTTGTATCTGTCGAAGTGGTCAATAGCAGCAAGCAAGGTCTCAGGACTCTGAATATTGCGGCCAAAATAGGGCAATGGATCCCCTCGTCTCTCAGAGCCAAGGTCCTCAGGCTCATACCTGGTGTCCAGCACCATGTCATCCAAATCCATAGGGAAGTCGTAAAACTCGAAGTTGGGAGATATAGGAGTTGGAGGTTCGCATAATGGGACTGCAAACCCTCACAGAATGGGTCCAGCATCTTCATGAGGGCCTAGGATGATGTGTTCACCGATACACTGGAAGTTACCCTGTTCAGAAGTAGTTTGGTTGCGTAGATCTGCACGCTCGTGTGCACAAGCGGTGTGTGCTGGGACAAGAGCTCCTTGACAGTTGTTGGTTTTGCAGTGGCAGTGGACAGTGGGCATGTTGGTGATAATGTAGTCAAAAACTTGCACGCACGTTGCGAAATAGTGGGATCACATGAATGCATCGCAAGCGCTCCTACTTTACAAACAAAGTCTATTGTATGCTACTAGTTAATATTCATCAAGGTTTTGCTTTCGTTTTCTGAGGGCAAAGTCAGAAAATAGTGGAGTAGATAGAAAAGAACCCGATACATACATCGTTGTACCAGTGATGAAACTCTGCTGGTGTAGCAGGCTCTTTGGTCTCCTGGTCTGACTCCGGTTCTGTTTCACTATCGTCGACACCAACAAGCGCTTGAGCAGTAAGTTTCTAAAATATGTGCTATTCAACAACATTATATTCAAAATGAAGATGGTCGAGGACTCACTGGTTCTTCAGCGCCCAGCTCCGACTCAGGTTCAGTGACACTATCATCCACCGCTGGAGGACCTGCCTCAACAGCGCCCAACCAATTTGTAAATACTCCTGGTACTTCAGTGTGTGCTGCTGATATTGGGGCCCTTGACAGTACCTGCTTGTGGGCGTAGTATCTGGAGAGGCTGTTGGATAGATATTTCAATAGTCTGCAAAGAAAATTAGTTAGCATAAGTTTATTAGCACAAAGGACTTACTACAGGTCCTGCTGTTCTGCACTCGAAAGTGAATTTAAATGTTGTGACATCCATGGGCAGCTCAAGCTTGATTGCACCACAGGTAGCCATAGCGCAAGTAGTAACTAACACAGGACTTAGAGAAAATTTTGAAAACCTACCTTGCTTAAAGTACAACCTAAACAGACATCGAAAGGTGATGTTTCCAATGCTGGTTTGTGGTGGAATGGCACATGTTTGAAGAGAACAAACGGAGGTCAGAAAAGACATACTAATGAAGTTGGAAAAGTGTTTGTTTACTCATGTTGCTTCAGACTCAACAAGCACATGTTGGATTTTGGTCTGATTACATGCTAAGTGTGTTTAGGATCGTATTATATGTGCTTTCTATCTCCGATTAGCACAAGGTCAGGTGGGAATAATGCATTACTATTGTAATTACAAGATACAGGTATTGCATTAACAATTGTAATGGCTAATGAATTAATTTAAGATAATTTTTAATATTGGTTAGAGGGGGTTAGAGGAGGTTAGAGGTTAGATTGTTAGATGTTAGATGTTAGATTGTTGGAGGTTAGAGGTTAGAGGGTTAGTGGTTAGTGGTTAGTGGTTAGGGGTTAGTTAGTAGGGTTAGCTAGGATTATATTCTGTCTCAGATAAACAAAAAATGAACTTCATTTACAGTTAATCACGGCTCATTGAAACACCACAAGGCCATTGAAACACATCCTCGTTTACTCAACAACCACACAAAATATATGTCTGAAAATATTTGGAATACATAAAGATACTGATGACCTTGAGATAGTACGCCTTGAGACGATACGTTCAGTTATGTCCAGCATTAAGTTGTTTAAGGGGTTGTGACAATATCTGTTGTCAAGTTTGAAGCAAACTTAATTTGAGAAAATGCTGAAGACACAAAAAATGGGTGCTTGCACAGCGCCAAATTTGGTAGTTTCGAAATTTCACCATCCAGTCTCAACTCGGAACACTCATTTTTCGTCAAAATATTGCATGTATCAAGTCTAATATCATGGTGGCTACACGGAGAGCATACTCCTGTTGAAATTTGAATGATATAGCACACGGTACAGTCTAAGGAAGGTTTTTCAGGGTCCATAGGATACGAAAACATTGAAAACAGATAGATAGCTTACATAATGTTGGATAAGGAAATAATGCGTGTTTCATTCAGTGAGAAATTCCGAAAACAAGGTCCCTCCACTAAATTTGCCATGGTGCTCGAACTATTGAGAATCTACTCATAAAAATTATATAGGTCTACTTGTGAGATGTCTGTCTATATGGGAAAAATACAGTAGAGCCTCAGAGTTGTGATGCAGTGGTGTAGTGCGCTAAATATTATTTTCGTGTTTCAATGACCTGTGATTAACTGTAGATGTTATGTAATGTTATGTAAGAGGTTGCTGATAGTTACAATGGTTACAGTCGTTTGCATAATGATGTAGACAAACTGAGCGACTTCATACCATATTTGTTTCTGTTTAGCAGGAACCAAAATGTGACACTGTCACGCTACAACTGCCGTTGCACCAAAGTTCAAACGTCCACAACAATGCCTCCAGCAATGTTGACTCGTCTACACAGCTGTGTGAAGGTGTTATCATCTGGTACCATGAAATGCACATACCTATTGATGAAATTGTAACACTGTCAGGCCTTTCACGTGCAACTGTGTACAACATCCTTCAATTATACAATGATCATGGATCTCTACATAATTCAGTGGCTTCTGTGGACCCCCGCAGCACTTGGGCATGCATCAGCGCGCTCTGTGTAGTTCTTTGTTCAGTGACAGCAACTTCGAGAATCCAGATTCCAGAACGTGGTGAAACTTGGATAGCAGTTAATGGTTGTTAGTGTGATAAGTGTAACATGTTTGTATTAAAAACATAACCAAACATTTCAGTAGAGTAGTTTGGTTGTCTAAACCATTATGCAAACGACTGTAATGCAATACATTTGTCTTGTAACTATCATGCTTTTAATGCATTAAAATGACAGGATAGCCTCCGATTTAGTGCTGCCGTGGTCTGGTTCAGTCTGGTTCAGCGGAGGTTGAGCAAGAACCGAGAACTGAACCTGGGTCCGGTTCTATCAGAGTCAACAAACCCTGGACCAAACCTTTGCGAACGGTTCAGAGTGGTCAGGTTCGGTTTTTTTTTTGGTTCGAACACGAACCGAACCCTAAAATATCTAGTAGCAAATGAATTTTTTTTTGTTGAGTCCTCGTCAAGAAGCTGACTGCTCCATACCACTCACAAATGAAAACAGATGGTTTCCAGTGCTCCGCATGATCATCTCCACCTAGCGACTCCATATAATGTAAGGCAACTAAACGCCCCCGCAAGAATTACCTGAGCATATCTCAGCTGGACAAGCATGCAGACATGGGAAAACGCACCAGGTAGCTCCCAGCCAGAACACATAGAATCCGCCTCGTTTGACCCCACAATGCATATGTTCGAATGAGGTATGGTACAGATATCTCACACTCAAGGCACACGAGCACCATCACAATAATCCCTAAAGAGGACTCTTGAGATGATTATGATCATAGCCTTCAATTCTGTCAAACTGAAGAGAAGAACCACTTTGATCTCCATCGCATAATACACGAGACCTTCGGTGGATTGCTTAGGCGTGAGTTTCTCAGCAATTTTTGATGTGTCTGCACGGATAGTGCATAAAGTCGAGAATAAACCTAGTTCATCTGGTAAACATCAGTGCAATCAGCAACGACATCTATAATACTTTGCTCTGCATCCATCCATTCCGGTTTGGAAAGGCAGCCCTTGTATGACATGATGCCGACATTGACTTGGTTACACCCCGCCTGATTATACCATTGGATAGCGAATGTCTCACTGAAATCTTGCTGCTCAGAGATCCATGTTCCCTGCTGCGCTTAAGCAACGGACCTTCCAAAACAAGTAAAGAGCTACCTTGGTCAGTATGCATGAGAATGCATGAGGCAGAGCAAGAATTCCCGAGGCGCTTCCCTGGCGTGATGCTCCATATTGAAGGGGTTAAATGGACAAATAGATCACTCCGCCTGCATGGGAATCACCTGACCGCCCTTTGCGGCAGTAGGTGTAAATGTATGCCATCGATCATTGAACCGAACGTCGAGAGGGCGCCCACCATACATGTACTGAAGGATGTGTTCACATGTGCCACTCAAGACAAACAAAACAACTCACCAATAGCTGTCTCTGCCTCTGGAACCTGGGCAAACTGAACAACACTGCATCCCTTGGATCTAGCGCCATCGAAAAGGATTTCAGCGAGCTCAACTTGCCTGGTAGTCTCAAACAACTCGACGAGATCTTCATTTGCGGTAGACCAAGGGAGCTGATATGTATATAAATAATCTTGTGCATATAGAACTGTCAAAGCTACTCACATTGCGAACCATGATTTGCTGGCTAGCTCACCTGACCTGGTCATATATGTTTTTTCGTGTTGTTTTGTTGATGATCGCAAGGATGCTTCGGTTCGGGGTTCAGAACGGTTCGGGAAGGTCCGAACCTATGTTCGAACCGTTCAGGAGATGGCGGACCGCGAACCTCATTCCGGTTCGGTCCATCCAAAATTTGGAACCATGGACCGAACCAAGGACGAACCTGACCATTGGTTAGGTTCGAACCGTGGTTCAGGACCGGACCACGGCAGCACTACTCCGATTAGGGCCTTGCTAAAAAGTCGTTTCTGCAGTGATTGGTTCAAAATTCAAATGGCGCTGAGTTTGAATATGTTGGACGTTATAAGCGGACGTGGAAACGATTCTTTTCGTCAACCAGCTCGAAAGCCACGAGTGCTCATCACGTACAGGTTGCTTCATGCATCCACATTTTTGAGCGGGCTAAGGTCTGAGTATTTCAATCCCCCTCGATCGGCTCTAGCAGAGCCCGGCTGTAATCAGCTGCGCGACGTACCAGAAAAGCAGCTCCATTTTCACACCCCAAAGATTCTGTTCCAGCAGAGGAGGGCGAGAATGAAAGCTTTGGAAGCGTCGCGGGGATCGGGCAAACTCGTATCCATTGAATGGCAGTCCTATCGCGCGTGCGCCTGTCAACAAGGCGCCTCAGGGACATTGACAAATCTGTGCTAGATGACTAGTCAGTTTGGGCTCCAGTCTCTGTGCTACTGCCGCGGTACATCACTATATGGCGTTCTTTCACCACCCTTGGGATCTATCGGATCCTGAGTCCTGGTACACATTCAGACTGCATTATATGTACTTTGCCATGGTACCTAACGCTTCTGGCTAGCCTACGCTCGCCTGTTGCAAGTGTGGCCGCTGAACCCCATGAATAACCGGTTACGGCTGGAGACAACTATACACTACCATGTTGTAGTTCTCCTTGCGTATGAGGGATGTGCGCAATGGTACTGGCTTGTCCTTGAGTTCACTTCGTGGCTCGCGTATCCTTCGTGGATCGCGAAACTCGATTCAGACTACTCTTGGGCTGGTTCTTACAAATCTTTTGCTACTTGAACTCCTTTTTGGAGTGTCGTCTCCCCGATGACCGTGGCCTCTGCTTGCCTCCGGGCTGGTAGAAAGGAACGCAGTTGAAGAATGGGAGTCATGTATCTGGTATGCAGTGTCCAATCCTATCAGTTTGACGTCCAAGTTCACCTGGCAAGGACGGGTAGTTATTCGATAGCCGCCACTTTATCATATGTTATTCCTGATGATCCCCGTTATCATCAGCATACTTGCCGTTGCATCTCACTAAGAAAACGTAGCAGGATTCGGCTGCGTCAGACTCCAGTGACACCTGCTTATGTGCACCAGCTGACCACGTTGACGGTCCATGGGTAATACATTAGTGGCCGCGCGTGACCACTATTTATATTTACAGGTTGTACGGTCAACATACTCTTTGTTATACAGGTAAAATGGATCAGAAGGACCAACTATTTGAATTTCGCTGATATGTTGGGAATGTGCTGAATAACACAGTGGGATTGCGACATCAGCCTGACACACAATCATGCCAGTTGGTATAAATATACCCTGGAGTTCAAGGTGTTCCACACACTTCATTATTTACCCCTAGACATGCAGCCTCCAGCAAACAAGCCCGCGCCCGCTATCCCATACTTCACCCCTGCGCAGGTCCCTGCTGCAGGCACAGCATTCGACCCCCAGCCTGATGGAACACCTATACCAAAATTGTTCCAGCCCATCAAGATTAGAGGAACAACATTTCATAATCGTATTTTCGTGAGTCGTTATATTGATCGTCGACGTGATAATGGACTCTCCTGACGTCCCATCCCAATTTCATGCAGTTATCTCCGATGTGTCAATACTCTGCAGACGACGGTCATCTCACGTCCTGGCATATGGCGCACCGTAAGTTTATGAATCTCGACCATTATAGAAGTACTCACAGTATTCAGTGGGCGGCATCTTCACGCGGGGTCCTGGCCTTTCTATAATTGAAGCCACCGCGGTCCTCCCAGAGGGTCGTGTCACCCCTGACGACTCAGGACTCTGGAAAGACAGCCAAATAGAGCCACTCCGCAAGATAGTCGAGTTTGCCCATTCACAAAACCAAAAAGTTGGCATTCAGCTTGCCCATGCCGGCCGGAAAGCATCCACGGTTGCGCCGTGGTTGTCCATGGGTCTTGCAGCAACTGAGAGCGTAGGCGGATGGCCAGACAACGTATGGGGGCCTTCTACGGTTCCTTACCACGAAGCCTTCCCTGTGCCTAAGGAGCTATCGAAGGCACAGATCAAGGCGGTCATCGTCGCATTTGTAGATTCTACGAAGAGAGCGTTGAAAGCTGGCATTGACGTCATCGAAATTCACTGCGCACACGGTTATCTGCTGTTCTCTTTCTTGAGTCCCGTCAGCAACACACGCACGGACGAATACGGTGGAAGCTTCGAGAACCGCATTCGTCTAACTCTTGAGGTCGTGGATGCTATCCGTGACGTCATCCCTGAAGACATGCCACTCTTCCTGAGGTATTTCCGAGTCTATAAGATGTTCTTACTTGATCTGATGCTTCGTAGGATATCTGCGACTGAATGGCTCGAAGAAGCCCTCCCACATGAACCATCCTGGCGTGCCGAGGATACCGTCAAACTTGCGGGTATTCTTGGCGAGCATGGTGTTGACTTCCTCGACGTCTCCAGCGGCGGCAATCACCCAAAAGCCATCATGAAACTCGGCCCAGCTTACCAAGTGCCGTTCGCACAGGCAGTCAAACAAGCTGTTGGGGATAAGCTTGTTGTCGGGTCTGTCGGCTCAATTACCGATGGCAAGATCGCCCAAGAAGTGCTTGATAAAGGTCAAGCGGATGTCATCCTGGTTGGACGGCAATTCCAAAAGAACCCGGCGACTGTTTGGGCGTGAGTGTATCATCTTGGGATAAACTGACACCTTATCTTATGATGTATTGGTAGATTTGCGTCCGACGTTGGCGTCGCGATCAAGCTAGCGCATCAGATTGGGTGGGGGTTTGGGGGTCGGGGAAAATCTCACAAGAAGATTGACTGGTGATTGCAACAACTCGGAGTTCTATTAACACACGGAGCGAACAAGAATCTCGCGTATACCCCCTTGCAATTAAAGACACGGATCATAGATATTGAAACGAAGTCCATGTTCCACCACCACTCGAAGTGACGCAAAAGCAATGTTGCATGGAATCTCCGATACGCCGATCTGCATTGCATTCTCAGAAGAGGGTCTGTATGATCAGGAATTCACTATACCAATGTACGCACAACTAAGTGTGCATGTCTATCCCTCAAATGATATCATGACAATGAACAGCGAAAGGCTACCAACAATGAACCATTCACCGTTCACTATTATATGATACCCCCGCTGCAGTCTGAATCCTTATTGCGAAGCCGTCCTCGAACTAAGTTTCAGCGACGCCCTTGAGTGAGTAGCTGTGATTGTGTTGCAGCCTAGGGTGAAATAAGCGGGCAGGGCTTGAAGGGATGAAGCTTAAGGATAGCTTGCGGTGGATCGAGCGACGTTCTTTGAAAAGAACCACCCAATCAACGAGGTATTCTGTGTCTGCGTTGGATAAGTACAGAAAGAAGAGAATGTCATGTGGGCGTGTAGCTGCAATTGTCGCCAGCGTTGAAGTCAGTGGTAGTAAACGAGCCTAGCTCTGACAAGAGCTGACTTTGTGAAAACCGTTCATGAAGGGGATACAAGAGAAGGATGACGGATAGGACGCTATAGGACGACAGCGTCACAGCCAAGAGAACGTCCAATCACGTGATGAATCCTTTTTGAATTTCATCAATTGCGTTCTGCTTGCCCTTCGCTCGCCCAGGCTCGCCCCTGATGCGGATCGAACGATTCGATTGTGTGATGTCCGAGCGGGCTAGAGACGTTCTATCGACCTGCATGATCTCATGATTGCCGAGCCTGCGAGACCAGTATCGTGGGTTCTTCTCGGAAAAAGACGTACTGGATACTGGTGCTGGTCCTGAGGGTTATGAGCGCTGAGTGCATGGTGGTGGGGTGCAGAAAAGGAAGCATCGAGGATGTGTTTTAAGACCTGTTACGTCGATGAGGTATAAGTGTTCAGACTGGATGGAGTCTAGCTGTGGACTGGGGTTGGATATCGGAGGCGAATATGACTCAGGTACGGTGTTAGACGCCGAGCTGGCGCCAGCGGAGTGAATCAAGAGGCTAGAAGGGTGACGATGGATGATGAACCTAATTGAGCATGTATCCCTTCAAAAACTAGTCCATCCGATAATCATAGTCCCATATAAAAACCCAGCTCCAACTTTGACTGTTTTTCGACCATGGATACTTTCGCAGAACCATACACACGCGCAGGGGACGACATTTCACTTTCAGCTGTTCGTGATCATGTTAGAGCACTCGAAGCACGACACAAAGCCAATGGTGTTCAACTATCAGGTCGAATCATTCATGTCTGCCATTACCTTCCTGTAACGTGCACAATCACTTCAACCACCACGAGAGATGGCGTACTCAGTCCACCCCCTACACCTCCTCGTATCCTTACAGACGTACCACCAAGCCCAACAGATGAGCTCCCTGCTTCCGTCAACGCTCCACCACTACCTGAACGTTGGAAACTCACTCCACGTTACGGACACAGCGCAATGACAAGTGGCATTCGTAGTCTGAGCGTCACACATGAACAAGTCATCTTGGGATGGACTGGGGACATTCTCTCTCCAGCTGCTCCACCCGATGGCAATTCTTCTCCAGATGGTTATTCGCTCCCCTCCCATTCATGATAACACAACTTATTCAAGTTCACAGGTGACGTCAACCCATCTACCGGAGAACGCGTGCCTTCTGTACGTGACCGGATTCCGTCTTCTAGGATCTCTCAACAGGACAAGGATGCTCTCGACGTCGAGCTTGCTCAATACACCGACAAGAACGGGCTTACCACAGTTGAACCCGAAGTTGGTAAACCAATTACTTATCTTCCACTCTGGATGGAGGACAACGTCGCACACGGTCATTACGATGGATATTGCAAACAAAGTTAGTGCTCTCCTCCTCTCTTTTCCGTTATCTACCCGAATACTCCATTGGCCCCAACTTTCCATATCTGGCACTCCTCCTCCTGATCTACGTCCATCGTCTGCTTTCGGCCCTTCTCACTCACATCTTATTATCATTTCCTTGTTTGGATCTTTACGGTTTTCTCCTTCTCCTTCCTTCATTTCCGCACCTTTCCTCGCCCTCATTTTTTGGTCCTCGTTTCTCGGATATTCGGGCCACTTCCCTTGTTCCAATCGCGTCTTTCCCCAGTCGTTTGATCTCATTCTTATTTGATTTGCTTTTTCGCTCATCTCGACCAATCTCACTGATTTTCTCCTTCGACTTCCCAACCTTGTTTTCTGCTTCTTATTACTCCCGGACCGGGGCACCTTCTTCTGTTGACATAACGCTGACCCTCACACAGCTCTATGGCCTCTCTTCCATTACCTCCTCTGGCAGGACGTAGCGACAGAGCATGCGAGCGCTGATGCTAACTACGAGTATTATGAGCAGGTCCGTTCTAGATTCTTCGCGTATTTAAATTGATCAGCATCTAATCATCATACACACATCTACGCTCGCACATCCTACCCAACACTCTCACATCTAATCATCTCCTCAAACACGACTCACAAAGGCCAACCAAGCATTTGCAACCCGCCTCGCCAGCGTCCTCCAACCAGGAGACCTCGTATGGGTCCACGACTACCATCTCTTGTTAGTCCCTCGCATGCTCAGGAATGCGATGCATTCTGGTGCTGTGAGTGGCGTGGGTGGAGAGAATGGTGGGGATGTGTGAGTGCTTTTTTAACGATGACGGCAAGAGTACTGATATACTACGCGTAGGGTCATCGGTCTTTTCGTGCACACGCCTTTCCCGAGTTCTGAGGTGTTTAGATGTTTACCGCGTACGTCCTCCCTCCTTCTCCACACCTCTACATTCCTTCCTCGAACACCCTAATCAGCACACTAACCTAACGCACCTCCCTAGGCCGCAAAGAAATCCTTGACGGAATGCTAGGCGCCAACCTCATCTGTTTCCAAACCTACAGCTACACCCGCCACTTCACTTCGACCTGCGTTCGTGTGTGCGGGTATGAGACTACTAGTAGGGGTACTATGACTGCGTCTGCTAGTGCTTCGAGGGGTGCGAGCGTTGCTCCGCGTGGTGCTGGTAGTGCAGGCTCGAGCGGTGGGAGCGGTACCAAGGCAAATCTCAGTGTACCCACCCGCGGAGCAAGCCTCACGCGCGGAAGCAAAGCGGGCGTTGAGAAATATGTAGGCATCGACGTGCAGGGACATGTGGCTGCTGTTACGCATTGTCCGGTTGGGGTGGATGCGGAGAGGGTTGCGAGGGATACGTGAGTCTTTTATTTGGTTTTATGTGATGGACATTTCTGATGCGCATATATGCAATTCTAACACGCAATTCGACATACCCGAACCCTAACGTATACACGCACGCAAATAATGCACACAAATCAGCCTCCGCGCGGGCATCCAACCTAAACTCGAAGCCCTTCGCGTGCTCTACGCAGACAAGAAGATCATCGTAGGAAGAGACAAGTTGGATGTTGTCAAGGGGGTTTTGCAAAAGGTGATTTTTCTTTTTTTCTTGCGCCGTTGACTGACATTACCAAAACTGACGCTATAACACCAGCTCCGCGCGTTTGAGAAGCTCTTGCATGATTATCCAGAGTGGCAGCGCAAAGTCGTGCTCATTCAGGTATGTCTAGTCGTTCCGTTTGTAATTCGCGACGGAGCAACATCAAAAGTACGACACAACAAACTGATAAATGCCTCTTTGCAGGTGACGTCCCCCGCGTTAACAGACTCTCCAAAGCTCGAACGTCAAGTTTCTGAACTCGTCGCGCATATCAATGGGGAATATGGGAGTTTGGATTTTATACCCGTACACCACTAGTGCGTGTCCCTTTTATCACGTCTTTATGTGTCTAATTTATGGTCCGTACCGCATCTAATCCATATCCCTGCCATATCCAATTCCTTCCCATACACATCTAATCCCCAACCCCAACAGCCACCAAACCCTTAGAAAGGACGAATTTTACGCACTGCTGAGCGCTGCAGACCTCGGGGTGATCACCCCCCTCAGGGACGGAATGAACACGACCTCGATGGAGTTCGTGATCGCGCAAGAGCGCACGAAGCGCTCGCCCCTCGTTTTGAGCGAGTTTATGGGTATCAGTCAGCATATGGCTGATGCGCTGCAAGTAAATCCTTGGGATCTTGGAGTGCGTAGTGTTTGTTCATTTCGAACGTCTTCGGATGATTGACGGATGTGTTGTGACCAGGATGTAGCGGCTGCCATGAACCGCGGGTTGGTAATGTCGGAGGAGGAGAAAGCGTCAAGGCACGCGGCGTTGCACAAGGTCGTAACGACTCACACCTCGCACACATGGGCTGCGGTCCTTGCCAAGATGCTGCTCTCGCAGATCAACGGACAAAACACTGCACGTCAAACCCCTTACATCCCCAGAGACAGGCTCAAAGAGCTGTATGACAACGCCGGGAAGCGTCTGTTCTTGTTCGATTACGACGTGAGTGGTGGGTGAGGGATGTAGTGCTCGGCGTTGACATTTGATGGATAGGGCACGCTCACGCCGATCGTCAAGATGCCGTCGATGGCGCTTCCCTCTCCTGATGCACTCACTGCGCTCGCGAAGCTTACATCTGACCCGAACAATATTGTATACATCGTTTCCGGTCGGGACCAGGCGTTCCTCGAGGAACATCTAGGGCACTTCCCGCGCCTTGGGATGAGCGCGGAGCACGGCGGATTCATCCGTTCGCCTGACAGCGCTGTGTGGATGAATTTCACTGCGAGTTTGGACATGGGATGGATGGAAGAAGTGGCGGAGATTTTCAGGTATTATACAGAGCGTACGACTGGGAGCCATATCGAGATGAAGAAGAGCTCGATTACTTGGCATTATCGGTCGACTGATCCGGAGTGGGGGTGCGTGTTCCGGTTTGTGTTTGTGGATTTCGTTGGGCTGATGGTTGTGGGTTGCAGACAGTTCCAGTGCAGGCAGTGCCAGGATTTGTTGGAGAATAACGTGGTGTCCAAGAGGCCGATCGAGGTGCTCGTGGGTAAGAAGAATCTGGAAGTGAGGCCTATTGCTGTGAACAAGGTTTGTAGGCTTGGTCTTTGATGTATGTGGTAGACTAATTGTTCACTCAAGGGCGAGATCGTCAAGCGTATATTATATCAGAACCCTGGAGTCGAATTCATCTTCTGCGCTGGTGACGACAAGGTCCGTTCCACCGCTCCTTCCCCCATCTTACTTACTCACCCCCAACAGACCGATGAAGACATGTTCCGCGCCCTGCTCCTCTTCTCGCCTTCCTCGATTGGTAAAGTCATGATGGAGCCCCCGCTCTCGGTGATGCTCGTCGACGACACCAAGGAGTACAGTGACGTAGAGCTCGCGGTGTCTCCAGAAGCTGTTTTCACGACTGCTGTTGGACATAGTAGCAAACGAACGCTTGCGAGTTGGCATGTGACGACGCCTGAGGAGGTGGTGGAGCATATGTTGTATTTGGTTGGGGAGACTCCTCAGGGAGAGGAGGTGAAGGGGTATTTGTAAGTCGCGCGCTGCATGGGGTTTGTTTTTCTTTGTCTTGAGATACCGTCGTGGAATATGTGATAAGAACATTGATGTGCTTGCGCCTTAGAGTTTCTATAGACAATAGTTTTTGCTTTGATTTCGTCGATGCTGGGAGTCTGGCGCACAGGACAAGGGGCTTCTCGGCTTATATTCGGATGTAAATACTTTCGAGTGCGAAGGAAGGAGAGGAGGGAACTCAATGCATGGGTCTTTAGAGCTATCATGAATCGGGATGAGAAGTAACCTAGTTTCTGCAGAGGGAGGATGATTATTAGTCGTTCGTGGCTCGGCGCCTTTTTGCTAGTGCAGTCACGATTTATGTGTAGCTTGAAGTGCTAATCAATTATACATTACAAGCCAAATTCTCCTGCTCCCTGCACAGCACCAGGCTACCATCAACTCCGTCGAGCATCTCCCATGCTATACGCCACTGCCAGTTGATATATGCACGCGCTCCTGGAAAGCGATTGAGGTCATGCCAGTTGCTGCATCAGAGTCAGCCACGAGCCGAGCGTGATATTCTCGAACGCTTAGGATGAGGCGTGGTCCTAGCACAAAGGATTGTATGACTGTCACAATCTGAAGAAAACCAACCAAAATCTGTGTTTCGAGGGAAAATGGGTCCTATAGAAATAATGAACCGCAGTCCCATGCAGAGGTCAGTGAAAGATTGACATACCGCTAGGATCGTTGGAGAAAAAGTATCTATGAGGCTGAAGCAAGACACGGCAACATAACTAGCGCGTTCAATCATTCAGTGGAAAAGGGAAGCATAATCACAATATGAACTCACCTCGCAAAGTAAAGCACATGGGACTTTATCAACACCGTGAAACAGTCGCCGATAATCCCTCCTGCCGAGTGTTGTCGCAGTTCACGGAAGTGTTTTACAGCAATCCAGACTGCGAGACACAGCGCGAGGACCTCCCAGACTGTGCCAAGGATCCAAGTAATGGGAGTCAGAAGTGAGACATTGTCCGCATAGCCAATCGTGCACGCATAGGTGCCAGAGAGAATGATTTCCTCTTGTATTCATCAATGAGCGTTATGCACGTTTTTCATTTACAATTGAGTGTACCTCCTGAAGTATGCCTTGTTGTCATTACACCGGCCGCTACGTCGAAAATGTTGACAGCCAATAACAGGACGACGAGAAATATCAGGATCCTTCCGGATCGTTGATACATGGCATGTAACCGAGTGATCATGATGACTGCAACATGATTTGGTCGAGTCAATATCATAGGTCTTGTAACTGCACAACTCACCGCACAGCATTGGAAATGCTACAACAGTCGTCCAATTCCACACGGAGTACATAATCCGGCCTGAGAAATCCGGTGAGTGATGAGCCTTGGGTGAATCACACACTACAAACAGACTCACATCTGTAGCAGTCATGATAGTAAACGAATAAGCTGGTCAAGAATGACACTCACCCCTACAGGGTATCGCGGTTAATTGAATGGGAATAGCAGACATCGGTGCAGAAGACTCACTGCATCTGTCAACAAAATCGTCGGAACACTGACTGTATGCCACTGGTCAGAAGAAACAAACACGGTAAATGCAAGAAGACATACGCAGTATGTCCAGGCTGATTGTGAGAGATAGCTGATTAGCACAACACCAATGGTCAAGCCTTCTGAACATACACAATATAAAAAATGCCAAGATAGCGCACCTATTATATTGTCAAGTCAGCACAAATTCACAACAGGCAAGGTACGTACACTGAGATAGAGGACAGTCATCAGGGACCAGCGTTGTCTCTGTCGCAAATCAATATTGTTCTTCTGACGTGGAACCGTGCTCACCCAGACCAGTTCGACCTACAAACAAATCTTAGCGAGATGGCTGCCCCGGTCATAGTATCAACATACCTCTTGTCCAAACGTAAGGGCTGGAAATACTTGTGAGAAATCAGCAATTCTCATGTTATCATGCTCACCCCAATCATATACCAATCCAACACCAGCGGCAACTGGAAAACCATAATCAAGGTCAGATCGAGACATCAGCGCCGAAATCTGACTGCTCTTCACGAACCTATAAAATAGCTGTTAATGCGAAAAGAGTTGATGAGTGGCCAATAACTAGGGTCGTCTGAGACTAGTGTCATACTGTTAGAGGATGGATGTGAGGGAGCGGGGAACTTGGTGGACATACAACAATGATATTCGTGCTAGATATACTACCATGACCATCCAGTGCTTGTATGACCAAAATGAGATTGAGGGATGATTTTCGTTCCTGTCAATAGATATGATGTCACGTTCGAAGTGATGTAGCGGGCCTTGAATAAAATTCCGGTGATGCGAAAGTGATCGGGTACTGAGCGCTGAGCGCTGAGCTTCTGAAGGTTCTGCATGATGGGCGCAGTATTTTCGAATTTGCATCGTGGAGTTGGTGCGGTGGTGAGAGGCATCAGTTTTCACAGCCAGAGACATGTGCATCATGATTGAAATTCCGCGATTGATATCTGGTGAAGATACAACACCATCTCTAGCTCAAGATAGCAACACGGGGAAAAAGAAGAGTGGGAAGCACCGTTAATGACCGCGTCAAGCCTGTCTTGTTGTTCTTCAATCTAGCTGCCAGCGTACACCTTCGACGTTGAATACAATGAAGCCCGATGCGAAACGTATCATACTAAATACATCATGTAGTCGATGCCGATTGGAGTGATGAAGTCGACTTCTTCATTCGCTGTTCGTAGGGTAGCCTGGTGTGGAATACTGTCAATGTCTGTCAATGTCTCACGTGAGCCAGTTACTACCAGAACTACATAGTGCACCAACACCCCCAGAACACCCAATAAAGGTCAAGATTCGAGAATGCAGAGCCTCGAGATCATGCAGAGATGCTGTCTGAATTTGAGAATGCAGAGGCTGTAGACGGAGAGGTGATTGTAGCAGTGAGGTGATTGGTGGATATCACTACTACCTGGCGGGTGTAACAGGATCAAACCAGGACGATAAGTTGTGGGGATTGGTTGATGGTACAACATTAAAGAACCTACTTGTCTTTAGCCTCCGATCAGGTCTTTGACGATTTCATCGTCGCGATCGATGTGGATCGTCATAGGAATGTTTCTGTGCTAGAACGTGGATAGCTTGATCAGAAAGATTTCACCACTCCAGAGCCTGTGCGCAGTTGGACATTCAAATGTTGATCTATCCGGAGTGTTTAGAATACGTTTCGAAGGATACAGCATAGTACTTGAACAAGCTATACGCCGTTAATAACGCAGGAAAGCGGGATTCACATTCAGCTGGGGCAATCTCCTCGAACGAAGTCGGAGATAACTTCATCAAGTAGGCAATGAGATCGATAGTTCCGCCTCCAGCATCAACAACGATGACTCCCTGGCCGTCCGATCGATCTTCCTCCTCGTCCGAGTCTGACACATCTATAAGGTTTTTAGAGAATATATCCGATGTAATCATGCTGGTAAAACAGAAATGAAGACTTACTTCGCCATCAGTCAAGAGGTGCACGTGAGATTGCTCCTCCTCAGATGAGATGAGACCAGCGATCTCGACAGCGCGTCTAACCTGTTACCTGTTGTTGTTATTGACCTTCCCAACCGTTCGGATGCATGAGCACGAACTCGATAGGTCCTCGACCGATCTCCAGAAATTCAAATGTGATTCCTGGATGTAAGTCCGAGCGCATTGGAGAGGTAGCGACACTTCGCGTCACCCGCATTGCCAATTAGCCTGGGTCCACGGCCTGTTCGAGAGGAGAGAAGATAGACCGTTGAAGGTCCACAAGTCCTCGACTGCTGGAGACAGAGATCTAGAGGGTTCAATTAGAATCTGGGACCGAGAGAGGCGAGATGGTGACTACTATACCCTTGGAGGATACAGACGAAGTGCTGGTACCTTCGGAATTCGAATGTCAAACACCTTGCTAAGACTTGCGTACCAACAGTTGGAATGAAGTGGAGTGTCAACGAGATACCGACAAAAATAACACACGTAGCCCAACCAAGCAAGAGAGTAAGCGTAAATCGGGTATCCAAAGATCACTCACTAGCAAAGGAAAGATATTGGACATAGATCGCGCCCGATGGAGATACGGAACTGGAAGAGTTACATCACGGGGCAGCAGACTGAGAAGCAGAGACAGCGGGACGAGTTCAGCGTGGGATACACCAAAGTGCGAGGCAAAAATTGTCTCAACAACCATAGTCTTCTTCTTGAGTAGGTTGTACTTTTGCAAACCGCTGTAAAGGTAGGCCACTCAGCATATGATCTCTTGGTTCATTTGGTAGCGGGGAATAAATGAGTTATGATGCAAAAGTCCTCAGTAACTAAAAAGGACAGACCACTACACGTCCAAAAATATTCCCGAGAAATATTTCTTCATGCCTTCCGCACCGTGTACAATCGCTCCAATCACCCCGTCCGGCCGTATCACAAACACCTTCGTCTGGCCAGCTTCCACGAGATAAGCCGAATATGCATAGCCCTCCTGGTCAACGAGAACGAGGTCAGCAGGGGATGCAGCAGGTGTCACTGGTGTTGATGAAGGTAAAACGACTGCCGATCGCACGACGCTTTTGTCGTATGCCCCAAGGGCGCCCAAGATGGGGGAAGAATCTGCGAGACTCGGTGCGAACACAAGCACCGTGTGATGCCATGGTTTGTACAGACCAAAAAGAGTCTTCATGTCAGACTCTCCACGCCCCACCAGCAGCACATCTGGTGCATCAGGCGCCCTGTCTCCAGCCTCCAGATGCCCCTCATCGAGTATCCCGTAGGCTTTGATAGGTCTCCCCTCAACTGGAGTCACAAATTCATCCAGGACAATGCTGCTGAACCGGCAGTTGATACCAAGCATGAAAAGGATAGAACTTCGTCGGTCGGTCGGATCTCCTGTCTTCACTGCCTGGTTCATAATCGAGGTGGTGATCCCAAGCATTTCGGAGATGACAGGCAGACGTTCGGCATTATACGTCTCGAGCAGAGACTTGTCGGCGAGTCCTTTTTCGACGAGCGCGAGTTTCCAAGCTAAATTGAACTGATATACAATCAGGTCTTGGCATACATCATGCATTTGCAAGACTCACAGCATCTTGTACACTTGAGTTGAGTCCCTGTATATAGAGAGATGAGTACGCATCGGCATTTGATGAGAAGCACGCAGACCTGGGCACCACTTGGGGGATGGACACTAGACATATGTCAGCAGTTTGCCAAGAACGCACACAAATATAGACATACTGGGCAGCATCTATGACGACTTCCATCAGCCCAGGCATATTATTGAAAAGTAGAACCACATACCACCCACAACAAATACTCGGCCCTCGCTAAACTTGTTTACCATACGAATATTGGCCCTACAGCCAACCCATGAATGTTGAAATATATCGAGGTATAAAAGAAAAGATAAACACACCGGTACTCGCTCACCCAGACCAGCTTGTTGAATGTAACCTCCGTGGGTATCACTGACGCGATGATCTCGAAGATCAGCTCCTCGCTCTGAGCGACCTTTGTCAGGTCTTTGACACCGAAGATGAAAAATTGCCAGCCATCCTCGCCAATTTCGTCAGCCGGACGCAATGAAATGCTGTGGATCGTCGTCAATACATCTCCAAGCCTCGATGCACTAATACCAATGGTACATACGCTTGTTCATGGAAATTTCCGAATTGGTGCCAATACTTTGGAGACAGCATTAGAAGCGCTCTTCCATCGAGTAAGTAGAATTCAGACGCACCACTCTATCAAGACCAACGCCCTTTAAACGAATATCTCCGGTGATAATTCCAGCATCATCTCTAGTTTCGCCTACAAATGTAAGCCCGAGCTGTTTGCGCACGATGCCTGCAAACCAAAATTTAGACTCATCCTTCTGCATTTGAATTTAATTGCATCTCACCTTTGGCACCGTCAGCGCCGATAATCCACTTGGTATCGAAAGTCTCCAATATGCCGTTCTTTGCTAGAACAGCTGTAACACCCTCGTCGGATTGCTCGAACGAACGCAGTTCGGTGCCCATCTCGACAAAGCACGAGAATTTCTCTAGGTGGCGTCGCAGAACTTCATCTAGGAGCTGTTGACCTATCATCTTGGGAACGTCCTAAAAATAAAGTACCAAATTTTATCAGCATGACTTCTTGAGAAGACGGCGGCTCTGCGTACGAATGGTATAGCAGGGCTAGATTCCATATATGGGACCATCGAAGATTCCTTCACAGGTTCCAACGTCCCGGGCTTGTACGAACGAAGGATAGGGATGGGTTTCCCTAGGTCGTTAACTTCTGATACATTCAGAAAGTTGAAAAGCTCGAGGGAGCGTGGCTAGATTATGCATTGATAAGACTATGGAGCACCAGAGAAGTAGTGTTATGACAAACCCAGATTCCGGCACCACGCTGTCCGATGCGAGGGTTCGGGTCTTTATCGATGATGCGGACTGGAATGCCGTTCTGGAGGAGTGTCAACGCTGCTACAAGACCTGCTGGCCCAGCGCCTGCCTTTGAACGAGGAAGTTAGCTTAGACGCAATCTTCAATCATAAGTAGGTTACTTACGACTAGTACAGGAGGACGAGTGGAATTCATGTGTCGAGTTCAGAGGTTGTTGGGTCATAATAACAGACTTAATGGTGTTTTATAACACAGGGGCACAGCCGAACAGAGTGGGGTCGGGCAGCTAACCATGTGCCGTCCAAATGCGTGTCGAACAAGTTGCCGACATTCCGCGTCCCCATGCGATCGGACTCGGATGATTTGTCAAAGACGCTCACTAGTGTTGGACGAGGAACGACACAGAGCCGAGTCTCGTGCCGAGTCGGAATCCCAAATATTGCGTCTTCGACGACACGTATCGTTCCTTCCTTCCTTACCCCCTGTACGTGCCATCCGCGCATATAGTCGTCCTGTTCTCCTCGGTTCCTTGTGCCTCTGTCCGTTTTCTCGCACCCACCCTCCCATACCGCTTTTTTCTGTGTTTCTCCGCTGTTCCGCCTGCCGAACCGTTTGGGGTGGTAGGCTGAAAGAAACACAGCTGAGTCATACTCGGCACATATCGGCATGATGTCGGACATTGATCTGCCTTCTGCGTGTATCATCGGCGAACGCGCTAAACAAGCCCATCAAAGGCTACTTATACCTCTCAACCGCCAACCAGACCGCCACGATCTCTCGACCGTATTATAAAAATGTATGCCAGATGCCACTGTGACCTTTGGAATGACGCTGTAGTGTCAGTTGCAGCAACATGATGTTCTACAGGACTACACTTACTGGTGTCTTCGAACCATTTCGCCGATCACAATAGAGCCGGTGCGCGGAGCTCACCTTCGTTCAAGTTCGTTGTAGGACTGGTGTGAATATGGAAATATCAACGTCTAGATCAACGCCTCTTCTGCACCAGAAACAAACAGCTATTTGAACATCCAGGCTCTTCACTTTTCGTTACGCTGCCTCTGGCACAATGCATGAAGAAGCTTCTGGTTCTAATTCTATAAATACTCGAGCATTGAATGAAAGAGCAGCACCTTCTTTTTCACGGAGCACGTAGCATGGTTGAATGCCCTGGTCCTCTTCGTACACGTTCCGTGACATTACCATCCTCCAAATTCTCAAACATGTTCTCATAGAAAGCTTCGACAATGTGTTTTGCAACAGCGTCATCGGCCACCCACAACATGCCAATGACGTTCTTGAACCCAGAAAATTGGAGTCCAGCTGCGAGGTGGATGGCTTCGTTGGGTGTCTTCTCATCACCGACGGCGGTATGACACGCCGATAAGAATGCGGACTCGGCGTGCGGAGTGTCGTTCTCCATGCTGTCAAGCAGCGCGAGGGGTTGGTCTCTCACGGCGAAACATGAGTTATAAGGCAGCTCGCGGTCCTGCTTTCCATGACAAGCGAGGTGCATCCAGATGTTGTGTCGCAAAGCTTCGAGTGCACCTGCTCGCGTGGCGTCGTCGCCCGAGAGAGAGATGGGGTTGGCCGTCGAGGAGACGAGCTTACGGACGGGCGGGCTGCGTGGAGAGGAATGCTGCAGTTAGACCCAGCCAGATTCGAGAACGGCACTGTGATATGAGATCCTATGAGATCACTCTGGAGTACGTTGACGATGGGCAGCGTGATCTCTCCCCGTACTGTGTAGAAGAATACTATTTGATCCGTCCTCAACTCCATCAGAGATGCTTGCCGTATCGCCCTGGCGAAGTCATTTGTGGGCTTCTCCAAGTCCGCGAGAGTGATGCGCGGGAAGCGAACGTGGTGGGGCTCTCCTGACATCATCAGGACAACGATGACACTGCACAATTTCTTACTGGCAATGAGGATGATGGCTGGCCCCTGGAGTGCTGCCACTCGTAAGTTTGCGTACGACGATGGGAGCAGAAACCTTCAAGATTGCGGATTTCATGGAAGAGCCGCTGCGTGGTCATGATGGCCGACCGAACACTGCTTCACATCCACCCGAAAATGCTCTACAGCATCGTTCAGGTGAGAGACCGTCTTGATTGCCACGTATGTGGCAAATCCTGCGTGAGCTGTCCGTGTCTCGAGCAATGTCGTCGTCCACGAGGGACTACAGACGTTCTGTAAGCAAAAGCTAATAGCACAGACGCTGACGTCACTCACTTCAGGCAGTACGCCGTCCTGGTTGTTGCAAGCAGATACAACGGCCTTTAGCGTGAGGGGAGGGTGGACACCGCGAATAGGTGGGAAGGATAGTTCTATGAGATGTTAGTAGTAAATGTGCATGAATATGAAGAAAATCACTCACTGAAAGGCGCATCTCCATAATCGAGCAGCTCATAGGATCAGTTCTCAAATGGGGTCCAAAAGTCTCCATGGACTTTACAGGGTCATGATATCGCTCTACACTATAGATTTGTTTTCGTTGAGTCAACATTGATGGACACGTAGGCCGCCTAGATGCATGCGCCTGGAGGGAACTTTAAGATTTATTCCGCCGATAACTATAGATAGAGCGTGAGGATCACGAAACAGATACCAAGATGATATGGAGTGACTCACCTTCAAATCTTATGTATCAGTCCTCTAAGCCATGACGGTGCGATCAAGCAAAACAGCGGGGATCGAGGATGGGCTAGGTGCGACTATGCCAAAGAAGGTCAGTCATCAACGAAAGTGCCATGTCAAGGTGGTAGCGACATGGGATCTCAGAGTACCATGTGAACCTCAAGCTCATTGAAGGTGCTTCTCTCATCGCAGGTTGGCGTTTATCACTGATACATATTGCTCATTTAGCACACATGAAAAATCCAGTGTATATCATAGTGGAAACAATACAAACCGCTGAAAACGACGCAGACAGAAAAGCCGATGAATTCTATACAAGTCGATCCAAACGACTATGACAGGACCTTGACAGGACCAGGTCGAGAATTAAAGGAGCACAGCCACCCTTTAGTTTGTTGTCCGTCCAATATGTTTAGCGTGGGTGAATCGCATCCAATGATGATATATAATATCAGCCATCTCTTAAGTCAAGAGAGAGAGAAGTTTGGGTGAAAGGATCGCAAGAACGCGTCCTTCTAGCATATCAATGAAAGACCTCTACGTCACGTAGAGTCGTAGACATACAAATCATGCCCCCTTCCCGTCCATCACTGCCTCTACCAGCTCCCCGATCCATTGCTCGAACACCTCCTGTGCCATCACACCCTTCTCGTCGAAGAAGGCTGAGTACTCTTTGGCTTCGTGTGTTCGGCCCTTTGCAAGCAATGATTTCCCCCCTGATGTAGACTCCACGTAATTGATGGAAAGTGAATATGATGGTGAATTTGTGGAGCTGGGCTTGAAAGATAATTTAGAGGACGGCACTGGGAGTGTGCGGGAGGATATCGTAATCCGTTCTGTTATTATCTAGAGAGAAATAAGAGGAGTGAAAGACGGCATAATGGATTCAGACTCACTCTCTTTGAAAAGGTTTTCCGTCGGCCAACGAAAATGGTATCTCCCTCTACAAAGTAGGAGTATAATGTTTGAAGGGAGGTGAGAACCAGGTAGCTGTGATGCCGGAGATTTTCAATTAAATAACCACGATGTTTTGCTGGACACTTACAGTATGAAACCAACCCAAACTCCTGGCTTCGATTTTTCGAAGTCAGTTTTCCACCCATAAAGTCCTGTAGCTGCTGCTGTGAATACGCCTGCCCATCCCAAAGCCAGTCGCACATCGGTGTGAAGATGTATTTGTTTGAACAACACGGGTCTCGTTAAGTACTATGACCGCGAGTGATATGAGCATTTATTCGGGGCTACGATACCAAAGTTACGCACTCGTTTGAGAGCATCATCACATGCATTTTTGAGCTCAGTTGCGCTGTAGTTGTTGACCTTGATAACCTCGCGCTCTTCTGGAGAGACAGCGGTGCTCAATGGACCTGGTGGTTTCTCTGGAGAGGAAGCAACTGAGCTTAGACGACGCGCTGGTGTTGAAGGCGCTGGTGAGAGTCCTTTGGCGTTCTTTCTGGGTGCCATGGTGGTGCTGGAGAAGGAAAAAGGCGTCGAACGTGAGCGAGACTACAGTGTAAGGTAAGTATGTAGCATATGACGAGAAAGAACGTGTCACTGTAGATACGTGGGAAAATACTTCTTTAAACAGCAACTAGCCGCTTCAATACACAGCAGTGAGAGCGCCAGGCCCATAACAAGACTCTTCAGAAAATATGTCAGTGACTTCGTGTTGTGCTTGAGATACGAGGATTATGGCACCGTCTTCTATCGCTATCCTTGGTGGTGGTCTGACTGGCCTTTCCGCCGCTTTTCACCTTTCACGTCGGTTTCCAGCAGCTCAGATCACTCTGCTGAACAAGGACATCCACTTTGGCGGATGGGTACATTCTAGGCGCGCTAAAATCGTCCTTAAAGACGGTCGCGAAACCAGCGTGCTTTTGGAGGCTGGCCCGCGCACTCTAAGACCAAATTCAAAGAGCGTTCTCGAATTGGTGGGTGATAGGCTAGTCTAATACAACTTCCGTGAGGACCTTCTCATCGGGCACGTCCAAGACTAGATTAACCTTTTGGACTTATCGCCGTCTCTTTTGACTGTACCGAAATCATCCCCGGCCGCTCGGAATCGCTTCCTGTGTCTGCCTGGGACACATGGCCTCCTTCGCATCCCTTCATCTCCGCTCAGCCTTCTTACTTCTGGGCTCTCGCCTAAATCTTCTTCTTTACATTCCCCCCTTGGCCGTATGCTTCTTTCAGCTGTAGCACAGGAGCCATTTCGCCCATGGAACAGACCCCCTATAGTCGAGGACGAATCGGTGGACGAATTTTTGAGTAGGCGTTTCGGGAGCGAATTTGCAAGGGTTTTCGGAAGTGCACTCGTGCACGGTATATATGCAGCGGACTCTCGAGAATTGAGCGTCCGCGCGGCGTTCCCGTCACTTTGGGATGCCGAGGAACGCGGTCGTGGCTCTTTGGTAACTGGGTTTCTTCGACCGCCCAGAGTTTCCGCGACAGCGGAGGTCGATGACGCCCCATATCAGCTGGGGGGCGTAGACGAGCAGATGCGCGGAATATCTGTGTATTCGTTCTCGCAAGGAATAGGTGCCTTGGTAAATGCACTCTTGCGAGAGCTGAGGACGCGGCGAAACGTGCGTCTAGTTGGCGGTGTGTCCGCGACGGGACTTCGGATGAATCCGAGAACTGCGCAGTTCGAAGTACGTGGCGCACCTCGAATAGGTAGACTTGTTAAGAAATACCTGTGCACAGATAACAACATCGTCTTGCGAGACACTCCGGGCAACACACGTTATCTCAGCTGTGCCTCTTCCGAGTCTGAAAGGGCTCCTCTCACCCAAGATGCCACTGCCACATCTGACTGCCAATCCCTATTCGTCGGTGACAGTCGTGAACCTCGTGTTCCTGGCGTCTCCAGGGCACACACTACACCCCGTGGGGTTCGGGTACCTCGTGCCCCGGGCATCATCTGGGCACGCAGAAAACACGATCCTGGGGTGCGTTTTCGATTCTTCGTCAATGTCGGCACAAGAAGCGCCGTGGAGCGCAGATATCGTGAAAATAACTGCGATGCTCCGCGAACCTGTGGTCTCGATTCCTCGCCTTGTAGAGACGCTGTCTGAGCAGTTGGGCGTGCGTCTGCCTGACCCACTCCTCGTGAGGGTACAGGATAACGCGCATTGCATCCCCCTGCTGCGTGTAGGGCACCTCCAGCGGATGCAGGAGCTGAGCGGAGTGCTTCGGGGAATGCCGTGGAGCGGTAAGCTGGAGGTGATTGGCGCCGGCGTGGGGGGTGTGAGCGTTGGTGACTGCGTAGAAGCTGGGAGGCGCGCGGGTAGGAGTTGGGCATAGGGTTTCTTCATCACCCTTTGTATGACTTTATGTCAGGCGTGCGAGCCGGGTTGCACACTGAATGGTTTTTTGGTTCTTTGCGGCTCTGATGGGCTATGTCGGTTCCATAAGTTGCTGGATCTGCACGCGCTTAATAACTGTCGCATCCGCGTCCTTGCCATACCACGGTTACTGCCACTGACATCATTCATTTTAGCCGATAGGTATCAACGAAAACAATAAGAGCAATCAGCGCTTGCACAGTGTAGAGCTATGCATTCGGACAAGAATGACCGTGATAACAACAAGGTTTGACATGCTTGACAATGATTTCATCGAATCAGGCAGGTACGAGTCCGCCGAGTCAACGGGCGCCCTCAAGGACCTCTAAGGACCCATTTCTGCAGATAGGCTGTGCTCCTCCATTGGGACTTTTTATCCGACAGTGTCTTTTTTCTATAAACTCACGCATGGCGATTGGTGGGCGACTAAGGCGATGATGCGAGTTGCATTCGGCAGAGGACCCTCAGGCAAGATGTGAATCTTCGTGAGCGTCATTGAACGCAGCCACCAGGGTCAGAAGTTCCCTTAGCGCTTAGCGAGTGTGTTTCTTCATGGACGACGACTTATATAACGGGGTATCTGAACGACCATGACACCCATGACACCTTCTAACCTCTGATTATCCACCTTGCACTGCGCTTTCTCGAGCTAGTGTTCTGCTCAGTCTATTTTCATTTGAACGCCGTGACATACACATTCCATGGCACATTGTGCGTAGCTGTTCCTTTCTCTTCCCGTCAGCCTTGGACTGACTGTGCGTTATGTTACAGTCAACTCGTATCCACCCATTCCCGACCCTTCACCCACGCCTTTCCCATCAATTTCTATGCCTATGCCTGTCATCAACGTGCAAATGCCTAGCGCTGACGCACCATACGAGCAGCCGTATGCCTCTGAGCCCCCATATGCCTCTGAACCCCCATACACTCCAGAGCACCTATATCCCTTTCAAGAGACATACGGCTCTCAAGAGCCGAGTCATGTCCCTCCCCACGTCTCAATGTCGCCTTATCACACTGAGCTGCAAAATGATGTGTGGGTCCCAAAGGTGCCAGGGCTGTCTGGCGAGGAGGAAGTTGACCCCACGTCCGAGGTCCCCATGTCCGAGGTTCCCATGTCCGAGATCTGCATCCCTACCCCCGAGCATGTCACAGGAGCATCCGTTTCGCGTAGGCCATCCCGCCTACAGCGTCTGGCTTCCTTCCTAGGACTAAAGTCTAAGGAATCGACAGCTTCGCGTCAATCCTGAACTCACAACCCTGGATCGAGTACTTAAAATTGTTGGCCTAGATTGTTGTGTCGGCCTTTACAATTTACGGTCCCTGGTCATCCTCATCATTGCTGAGCTTACAACCCTGGAAGGGAGGATGGGGGTTACAGCTGTTCATCGTGTTGGCCTGTACACTGTTCATTTACAGGTCGTTATAGACGCCTAGAGAGTTCGTATGCAGTGTATGTATTGCCACCCAGTCTTGAATCAGTTAAATTTTATGTCGATTACGATTACTTCTCTCGATGTATTGCGCTCATTACATGTCTAGTCTCATGAAATTCAAGCGAAATGAGATCCATGCCGTAGCAATGTGGTACGTATGGAGCCAGCAAGAACAGTGAACAAGCGCCTACCAATGAGCTGGGTTATGGCCAGAAGAACCAATACTACGAGTCACCACACACAAGAATCGCGGGTTTGAGGGTCCGCGATCGATTGATCGACGATCTGCATCAGGTTATTGGTGTGCTCAATTGCAAGTCTCTGAACACATGCCGCTGAAGATGGACGAGTTCTTTGGTCCTCTGAATGCTGTTTTCGCGGACGTATATCAGTTATAACATGTGTAAGAACAGGTTCAGCTTAAGCAGCAGACCAATACTGTGCACGTGAAGTTTTACATAGTAACATACGTCTAGAGGAGACGAGATTCGGCTTCATTAAAACTCGGCTTCATTTTGCCGAGGGCACAAGGTCTATCCTAGGTAAGTCCAAACATTGAAGCTTGAAGACGCGTTGCTTCATTCAAGGCAGTAAATAAACTTACACTAGTAGAGTCGGTGGTGATTTTCTAGATTTTCCTGCATCCTAATCTGAGACCTGTTAGAAGACGGCGGTCAAACTTGCGTGGAAGATCTGTAAACATTGTCCCGAGGGACGCAGATCGCGCGGCCGTGGTACTTCATGCAGTATTCATGGAGCAATGGAGGCATGGACACAGGTAACGCAGGACACTGCTTTGAGCCATCCAGAGGTGCCGATTATCAAAGTGCGGCTGCGGTTTATGATACCAATAAGTAGGACGTACAGCTAGTACTGCCAGCGATGGTGGAAAAGAGCTCACAGAGTAGGGCATGTCGATTTGGACGAGCGCATAGCAATGGGGACCATCAATCATTGTCAATAATAGACAATCTATGTATCTTGTAATGCCGAAGGGTCTGGATGTTGTACTGTGAACAGTACTGATGTCGCAGCAATGTGATTCAGCGAGCTTCAGTGGTATCACAACCTGATCCATATTAAATAACCTCTTCTTAGAGGGGCATTGGCACTCATATCAGACAAAATTGAAAATTGAATTAAATGATCTGTAAGAATATGTCCGAAGAGATACTTATAAGCAATACATCTTACTTACCTGGTCATACATGTTGAGCAAGCCCGACCCTGATAGAACGCTGTGTGTAAGGGAAGTGGGACCAGGGTCGTTTGGCTAATCACGGCTAAGCCTAATCAGAGGAAGTTGGCTTGATAGGGATTGTGAATCAAGGCGCCGCCCGACCCAACTTAAAAAATCGTACGCACCATAATCTTGCATCATCAATACCAAAACACAATCCTCAGGTACCAGGTCGTAGATGGAAGGATTCAACCAAATAAAAACTGGGCTACTAGGTAGAATCGTTCCCACCTAACACCCCATACTTGGGCCTATACCCAAGTCAACGCTTCATCGGTGATCGTGTTTGTCCGCAGACAAGTCGTCTAAATGCATGATAGTCGAGTTCCACATCAGCTGGCAGCCTGTTATCAGAGCCTATCGTATAAATAGTTAGTTTCCTGGCTGGGGCCGGGGTAGGGGGATCGTATCATCACATGTCGTCTGGCAGTACCCCCTATTGATGGGGTGTATTTTTTTCTACTGCGGGGGGGGGGGGTCGGAATCGTGTAAATATCAGTGGTAACATTTAGCACCGGGCTTTGACTGGACCCGCAGTCTTACCGACAGGAGTTATAGAAATGTAACAGTAAGCAATGAGCACAGGATCCGATGATCAGGCTGGAGATCCTCAAGCCTCAAGGAGAGTTAACATAGCGAGCCTTACCGACATGAGACTAGTGGTAGTCTAGGCTCCTAGCCACACCTTTATAGACGGAGGAGGACAGTCGTTCCTTCTAATAAAGGAAGACTACCGTGATGCCGTATAGTAGCTGTGCGGGCGTGTGTAAAGAATTGTCGCTAACCTGAGCAAGCCTGAGCAAAGTAAGTGAGGAAGTTTCAAGCTAAGTTACAATTGACTGTCACGACTTACCGGTGAGCACGTAGTAGGGATAACGCGCGCGTCCTGCAGGATGTTAGAACATGTGATTATGAATGCCAATTCCGAAAGTTATAGCTAGTAGGTCGCCTGCGGGGCAGTTTTCAAAATGTTTAAACTTAAGCTTAAGCCAACCTTGTTATAACGTTACCGTGACCGTGCACACTCCAGGTTGCACTAACGCTCCCACGTCCTTTTGTGGTTCGTATTCTGATTAGCGTGCCACGGCGATTCCTTTCCCCTCACCTGTTTTCCCTGACTGAGATTGATCTTATCAGATTTAATTAGTGTCCTGGAACCTCGCCCAGCCGTATCATCGTGCCGGGTTTATATTACGATTTGCGGTCATGGTTGGTTCGTGACATTCGATTCTTTTGGATGCCAAGCCAAGACGGCAAGGAGCCTCAACTACAAATATCTCACATCTCATCATTTTCATGGAGCTAGAATAACACCCCAACTTCTTCTAGCATGACCACAGAACTCAAGGCTATTCGCAAAAAGCGGGCCACCTCAGAGGCTAACCCCGCATCCAGCGAAGGAAATCATCGCAAGCGTCGACGCAATCGTACGACTCAGTCATGCCTTAGCTGCCACACATCCAAGAGAATGGTACGTACAACTTAGCGCACCAGGAGAATTTTTGAAGGAATATTATACAACAGTGTGACCGGAAGCGTCCGTGTGGTCGCTGCACACAACTAGGTCTGGTAAGTGCCTTTACATAAGGCAAGTGCTACTATTGGCTGACGGCAAGTGTCCAATAGACCGGCCTTTGTGTCTACGAAGTGGATGATGCTTCCAAACGAACTGATGTTCAAGAAGACGAGAGTTTGCGGCTTCGTCAGCGAGTTGCCGAGCTCGAGGGAGTAATACGCGAGGTGTGTTTGGTCACGCCACAAGAAAAACTTCAAGCTCAAATGTCCATAATAGTTGAAGAACAAGCCTCATCCCCGCTGGGCTCAAGCGGTTTCTACCGAATCAGAATTTCAGAAGTGGCATGCTCGCTCTCAGTCTCGTTCGACTACTGAGCAGCAACAGACCGAACATCAAAGCGAGACAAAAAGTACCTCTCCATCTCGCTCAGTTTGTTCGAATTCAGGCCCTGGGGATGAGTCACATCCGTCCCCTCAGGTTCCATCGCCCCCACACCCACATCCTGCCGACTTGACAAACTCATCAGTGTTGTGCTCTCCTTACTTCAGTGGTGTATCGTGTCCCTTGAGCACACCCTCTCCTTGTATAATGACGCCGATTGATGAGTACACGCATACTCAGGCTTTTATTGCGGGCGAGCAACCTCTCACCGGAGAATTCGACTTTTCTTCTATTTTTATGTCCTATCCGGGTTTGATAGGATTTGAAAATAGCCCGGGATACGACACTCCTCAAGTTGCAGGCGACGTCTTCGCCGATCATCTCGACGACACCTGCAGGTTTAAAACCCGTGGTCATTGTGGCTGTTTGACTGAAAGATCGAGCTATGATGTAGTGCTCGAGCTTTCTCTCCGCTTGCGTAAAGCTGCAGATATCCTGCTCGGATCCGGTAATTGTTCCCTTAATCAACGAATTTTTGAACTTGACGCTCTTGCTACGTGAGTTTACCCGTGGTTACTTCCTACATGCACTTACCACCATTCAATAGGATGGCGCTAGGCAATATCACTTCACCTTCTAACGATATCAATCAAAAACAACCGTTCTCCCATTTATTCATCCCACCATCGTCTAATTTTGGTACAACATTGTGCCGCACTATGCCTGCTTCGACGGCCTCTCCACACAATCTACAAGAAATTCGCTCAAACGTTTTGTCATCGGTGTCGGATGACATCCTCTGACTCCGTCATGAGAACCTTCCTTCACAACGTTTCTGACTTGCACAGCGTGCTTCTCATTGCGGACTTAACAGCTATTCTTGCTTGCGTTCCTGTGTGTAGAATCGCGAGACTGATTAATGCTAGAAATCGCATTGTATAATCTACTGACAATCAATACGACCTCTGTAATTGTATTGCACTTCCTCTATATCAAGGCTGTCGCAATCCACGCAAGGGGGGATACATGCTTATGTACCGGAACTCAAACTTTCGACCCATCAAATGCAGGATCTTCTGACTTCACCGAACCTCCAGATAAGCAATGTAGTCGTGATCTATTTACAGCAACACCTAAGACGACGGTCGACCAATACGGTATTTTAACTTTTGACGTTGTTCTAAAAAGGCAGCTGTCAGCTACGTAGCATCAGTTTCAAGTGGTTTGATTCATAAACTTTACTTATTGATTCGTTAACAATGTACTCCCACACACCAATCTATCACGTCGCGGGCCGCCGGGAAGTTGCCAAACACTGCACGTCTTCTCGAGGAGCAATGGTCTTCGTAAACGGCTGCGGAGGCCGTCCGACAAGTCACCGATGAGTCAATCGTCTTTCTTGAGGACAAAAGCTTGAAATCCTGATTGATATGCTGTGATATCAGAATCTCTTCATTAGGCCTGAGACAACTGGGAGCTCCTTCGTGGTTTTCCATCAGTATTCAGCCATTTGTCAAGGAAGCAGGAAGTTAAGTTTCGAACTTCCGAAGCCTACTTTGATCTCGAAGCCCATTCGGTTCACGGGCTCGGAGAGCACAGGTTCCAATCAGAAAAGGCGAAACGTGTGCTAGAATTAGAAAAAGGTGTCAGATATCAATTGAGGTCAACCGGTCGTTAAGTCTGGCAATCCTCGGAACTCTGGAATAACACGAATTTCCACGCCAAAGAAGTAAGTCGCGCATGTGCTCGGTGCCGCTTTTTCCACGAGACGGGGATCAGCGAAATAGAAGGAACGACTGCCTTCCTCCCATCAAGGTCTGACTACGGGAGATTCATAGTAGAAATCCGTCGAAGCGGCAGAAGACGGCCTCACCTCCTTGAGCCGCAAGATCGTCCAGAAGAGTCTGGGGAACACGTTGATTTGCTGATAACAGTCAAGTAATCACGATGAGAAATGCAGGGATGAAATAGATGATGAACCTGCTGCAAGATTCGAGAAGCCGTGTGCCATCGAACCCTCGCGTCTGGATTCCGTTTGCTGGATCTCTTGAGCTTATCCTCCTGCCAATCGAGTTTTTGCAAAAACCGAAAGCTGGTGTTTTCAGGTAGCAAGCCATTCCGGCGCGAGAAGAAGAATCCTAGCGGAACGTCTGAACTAACAGACAGAAAAGTCATTCTTCACCCATTTTCCAGACGATATAACGCAAGCGGCTGTGTCTACACATTGGGAGGCTGGCAACAGAAAATAAAAACACTAACCGTGCCAACATCAAGTACGTACCTCACCGTGTGTCCATGGAACTTGCGCGACTCCTATCTGATACTCCCGCAGTGCATCGACTGGACCAGCAGAGTGGCACGAAGAACCCTCTCCTTGGTTCCAACGTCGTAAGGCGGACGAAGGCATGGAGATCATCACAGCAATTCTCACAGCTTCTGGGTGATTCTCAGTCTCATCTCCTGTGGGCTTTTCGGACAACGACGAGCGATGGTGAGTGCGTGAGCGTCGCCGTGGCCACAGACGAAAGTTGGAAGAATGGAAAAGAGGGAATGCAAATCGTCTTCGCGGGGGTGAAGGTTGGGACGAAGAATACTGGGAATTGTCGGGAAGAAGCCATGTTGCGGTGAAAGGATCTGCAGCAGGTGCTGCTGACTCGAATACGCCCACTGCAGGTTGACATGCAGCGCGAGAGTGGTACGCGCGGATGAGAGACACGGATACAGGCTGTCGAAATTTAACATCAAATGCTAAAACAACAGAACATTGATCCAATACACACCTGAATTCTCGACCATTCGGACTGACCCGCCATCAATACTTGCTCGGTCGAAGCGGGCGGGCGGCTCAGCCAAGTATCCCAAAAGACCGGAGGGATCAACTTCCTTCGTCCCCCACCCATTCCATACAACTGCTCCGTCGTATCTGAGTCACCGAGGAGCGCACGACGCCGCCAACGACCAAAACAGCACCCAACGATGATGAGCAGAATGACTACTGATACGAGGAGAAAGCCCAAGGAATAGCTTGCAACTGCGCCGCTAAGCGATGAACCGGAGCTGGGGCGGATGTCTGAGGGTGTGGAGCTAGCCGACGTGGAGGAAGACATTGAAATAGGGGGCCCAGACCAAATATGAATATTTGAATTCTTAGTGACTCCGTACCCGCAGTTTACTAAGGCGCTGATTGGCTAAGGTGCCGCCCGGCCAGTGAGAGCTACATGTCGGAGTCGAAAATGTGGCACGTGTTCTGAATCAGTCTCTTAAGTACTAGACGGCACAAACTCCTGAAGAAACTTTGTGTTGTATGTTGTAGCGAGACAGATAAGCCCGTTGCAGCCATGCATGATGCATGACTTGGTGGATTTTGGCCTTTGGAGGTGGGGTGGGTGAAGGAGGCGTTGGGACATCGACACGCTCCAGGTCCTTCTCTTCCTGTACAACATCATGTTGAGTCGTTGGAGGCTACAAGCACAATTCATTCTTCTATTTCATCTGGTTCTGGGACTTGGGAGTTTTCTTTCCTGAAATACAATTTTTGCGTACTATGATACTGCCTGTAATCCTGAGTATGATTACAAAAGTATGAAAGTAAGCAAACAAACTACAAGTGCGGCACAAAACTAATCCACGACACCGTCGTGTATGCGTCAACAGGAAGATGGCGTAATGTCGTGAACATAAGTACCAAGAGCATACCACGACCTGCAATGTACAACAGGGCAAATATGCACATAACGACAGCAGTCATTATAGCACCTATGTCAATATTCGATATAACACTCATGACAGCATTTATTAGAATTTCAATCCAGGGTGTGCAAGTTATAGCGACGGCACTGATGCGCCACAGTACCTGCTCCCGATATGTAGGAAAGGCAAAAAACCAAGCCATACAATGGATGCCGCCAAAGATCGTCGCAAACAGAACTCCGGCAAATACAAGTATCACCTTGTCCGAGTTTTCTAGTTTGATGCTGCCATCAAATGTAGGAACTCGGAGCTTACGCGTGGGAACGCTCAAGCCCATCAGTTCCATAAATGGACCGAAGGTTGCCTTAATGATCGTGATAAGCACATTGTCTTCATTATCATTAGGGAGGCTGAGGTAGACAATAAATAACGGAATAATCGATCTAGACGCAGACATACGCATTAATATGATCCTCTGGCATTGACTCGGTCGACTTCCAGTACACCCGATATGGACACTGAACATCGAGAGGCTTATTCCACCATAGCGCATAGGTCAGGAAATTGAGAACCGCAAAAGCGAGCGTCCCTGTTTCCAGCTGGGTGGTTTCGAGGCGATAAATCGCGCGAGAGATGAGCTGCAGAATGAACCAGGCCACTTGAAGTATGATCAATCCTTTCGATATCACATTGCCTTTGCTCCGGTCGCCGATCTCCTTTGCCGTTAGGATAGGGGCATCAATACAGTCATCACGTATCAGCTCGAGAACCTCGTTGGGCAGTAGTGTACGGTAGGGTTTCCCGTTCATATAAAGCATGAACCCGCCCATCAGCACAAAGAAGCTGTGCGTCTGAGTCCACGCGTAATCTAAGGATACACATGAGTCAAACGTTTGGGAGAGCAAAAATCGGGCGTGCCTTCGGATTGATCTGAGATGTAAGCCTCAAACAACTTTTTGAATGGCTTCGCAAGAGCATGAGTTCCCCCATATCTTGAAGTGGACACTGGAGTACTATGAACTGCCGAAGAAACACCAGTACAGATGGTTCACCTTCACCAGGACCAACGAGAAGCCGGGCTCTATCATAATCTTCAGAAGCAGGTGAATCATGAGGAAGCATATTCAGAATGTAAGATAAAATGTCGAGCTCACGTTGGAGTTGCTCTGCAGGCACTTCAGCCAACTCATAATCTAAGGACGTGTGTGGTGAGTTGTCCGAGGAACATATCCAATTTCAGAAAGCACAACTCACTTTCAGACCGCTCCAGCGGCCGAGGAACATTGAAATACCCTGACTTCTTGAACTGTTTCGTGACATGACGAGCGCCCATCCACTGGCGCATAGCCCATACGACGATCAGTTCAGGAGCGATTAGTGCCATAATCATGATCCCAAGTCGCCGCCATAGGATACGAAATAGGCTGTCCTTAGGGCTCGGAATATTGGGATGGATGGCACTGTATATACATGCGAAAAGAGTGAGAACGGAGCTCGAGATGATGTTCCACAGGGTTCTATTCGTGAATGACGGTGCTTCAAAATCCTCGCTGATAGTAGTTGCGGCTTGGATTACTCCAACGAAGTAGAGGATCATGCATAGAAGTAAGCGCATTATTGGATGTCACGTTGGGGTGGAGATATTGCGGTTTGTATATCCTGCTCACTATGGGTATTTGACCTGCTGGCGAGCGTCATCTCAAGGCAGTACAATGAGGCCCTGACAGCAAGCTTACCTGGTACCAGCAAGCTTACCTGGTGTTTGCAGCATGGCAAGCGCAAGGATGTATCGTGCCACATTAGTAGCATTGTAAATTTGAGGTATGAATGAACGCCACATATCAGTCAGATCAACACGATCAAAGATCGACTCTCCGCCTGTGACACAGCATGCAGTCTCTACACGTTCCCGACCCATCTTGGAGTGGCACGGTTGTAGTGGAGCATCAAGAATCGTCTGTTGCTGATCTTCTGATGTACCACAGGCGCCGACGAGGACCTCGCAGCTCGTAAGAAGCTGTAGACATTATATGACTCGTACGAGGGCAAGTAGCATGTTGCCCGATCGCCAAGGAGGAGAAGCAGTACTATATACTAATGATTGACACACGATCAGAGAGTAGTAGGAATGTAAACCCACATTGAGCGCCACACTGTTCGTGAGGTATCTTTCTCATCAGCGTTTGCGTTGTGCCTAGAGCTTGATCCCAACTTGAATCACGGTGAATCTGAAGGTCATTTCATTTCCGTCGACAGGCAAAAGGTGTCTAGAATGATCTCGTCGTACCATGACACGAGACACCCCATGTAGATAGCCAAGCGCCAAAGTATCTCCGTGCTACGCCAGGGTTCAGTTCCTGTTCAAAAATGGATCAAGGACATGCTGGGGCTGACCGCAACACATACCTGTGATAGAAGCAGAAGAGGTGTGTAATGAAGCGCCCAGAATCGTTCTGCGGTAGTCGAAGCATGCTCTCCTCGTTGCTGGCGAGAAGGTTCTTGATCTTGATCTTGCATGACTAGAACGCCGGGTGTGGTGGTTAGTCAGAGGACGCGTCATTGAGGGATGGAGCACCGGGAACATTATGGCGCCGCGCAAGCAAAGAGAAGCAAAAGGAGGCGATGCACCAGGAAGAGGTCAAGTGAATGTGAAAGCCCCCCCATGCGCCCACATATGTATCATGATGTACCTGTCCCTGTATCAGCTTGTAAAAAGCTCAAATCAATTCCGAACGCCAGCGATATCATCCGCATTTCTGACTCTCCAGCTCCAGAACAACAATGCGTGAACTCACTATATTCTCCTTCTGAATCTCACTCAGTCGAGTCCTCCCAAAACCCTGCCCCTACTTTCTCCTCCGCAGCCGTCGATGGTGAAGCGTGCTTTTCCAACGAAGATGAGGAAAGCAAACAGTTAAGGTATCAGTGCAGGTACTAGTAGGCCACGCACCTTTCTCTCTTTTGGCGTGCAGACCAATGAACCTGGGTCATAGAGACGCACAGGACCTGCATGGTGGTTTCCAAAACTGCTGACTGTCTGAGCAAGTTCAAGCCAGACTTAGATTTTGGTTTTTTCGGAAGTTCGCGTCATGGCGTATAGGTCGTTGATCAAAGATCGAAATTTGGATAAATCCATCGCGAGTAAAATTGGGTGTGCCAGATAGAAAGTTGACTAGGGTTCTGCCAGACGCGGCATAAGACACTGTGGGCGAGAAGTTCAATGAGTCCCGTATTGCTTAAACCCCAAGGTTGACGTTACACCGTATATTTACGCTCGAGAGTAAGACGACGGCCTTATGTGGGCATTGAGGCCATGTCGGATTCATGTCAGTGGACTCTAAAACATAAATGTACCTTCGTGATACGCCCACCCCGACTTTGATCAACGCACGCGGATCGTATTTTACACACCACAGTAGTATATTCGTGACAAGTCAGCGTCCCTGGCTTCACCCCTGTGGTTTTATATAGTGAAAACGCATTGAAGCAAGATCTGCAAGTGTCTGGAACCCATTTGAATCCATCTTTGACGTTTATACCACAGGATAGACATCCCATTGATGTCGTGATCTCGAGATTTCAAATTAGCTGGATATCTAGATCATTGACATTTCCCGAAACCTGAAGGGAACCATTGTTGAGTTCCAGGAGCGAGGGGCTGAGCAGAACATCCCTGTCATGTAATTGGATAGACGTAAAGCCAGTTAACGATCATGGCACCAGATAAACCTTCGACGCATTGTCGCAAGACGCGAGCTGATGTTAGCAGTAAACATCGGACCATGATGTGGACGCAAGAACCATGTAGGTGTGACGAACACGTTAGTTCACCATATGAGTACTGAACGAAACGCGTAAACCCATATACTGCTTGACTTCTGTCAATAATTCGTATGAACTTTACCCACGTGCGTCGTATTGCCAGACAGTGAAGGCAGCAGAACTGCTATCTAGAATTGATACAAGACTCCGATAAGAGAGCGGTGCACCTAACCAACAACCTATGTCACATTAATCAGATGAAGGGTCAAACCATGCTTGTAGGCAAATACTTACTGATGGTATGGAGCCTATCGTTGTATATCGGGGGTTCATTATGTGTCTGGTCTTGATGTCGCAATGACACGTTTCTTGGGCCTGGGCTTTGCACTATTCTTCTTAGCTGCAATTCTTGCCTTTGCCCTTTGTTCTTTTGCGGATTTCATGTCTTTGGGTGCAGTGGTGCGTAATTGTTTGATATGAGTGGGAATCAAGCATTTCGGAGTATTGGGCTGGACTGGAGGAACAAGCCAAGGTGCGCTGATTATAGGTACAGATTGAAGCATGTCGCAAAAAATTGGTAAATATGGGGCATCATCCTATTGAGGCGTCAGAAGTAAGGATCCTGACATCTGGAACACTTACATGCACGGCTATTACCGCCGCTCGTCTCAAACCGAGCGCCTGGGCAAGTGCAGACTCTGAGCCTTTTGGTAGAACGATCAATTTCAGAGGCTTCCGAGGTCCCAGAGGGTTGGATACAGGTCGTGCAGAGTTGTATCCTGCCACAAGGTGAGGGATGTGATCCAATAATATCGAAGGATTGACATCGGCACGGCATACAAAGACGGCAGCAATGGAAGAAATGTCGGGGGAAATTGGATTGGCATGAGACGCGGTAGTGAGTGTGACCGAATGTCGGACAGACTTCAACTGCGATTCAAGCCTCCTTGTCACTTCGTTGATGCCGATGGTCGTGTGGCTCGAAGATGGCGCAAAATGACTAACGACCGGAGACGGCGAAGGAGTAGAACCCGCGGCACATGCAGATGTTTTTGAACACATCATCGAGTCTGGACTCGGGTTTGTCCCCTCCACCGAATCTGCGATTTCCGGTCCGGGTAGAGCTTTCCTAGTGTATGGCTTGGAAGATTTTCGGCTTCTGCTCTTTGTCGTGCTTTCCAAAGTGGTTATGAGTGTCGCGAGGAACAAGTTTTGCGCGTTTGATGGGATTGAGGGCCTAGCTTGAGACGTTAAGACGAATTGTAAGTTGGAGGAGATCAAACTAACCATTGTATTCGGAATGGATTTTCAAGGACGCTTTTAAAAACGTCTTTTCGTTCTGTAGTTGCCCGTGCCTTTGCACGATTTGACGTATGGGTGTGGCTCCGAGCTGCTTTATCGGACATCCGATGGTAGTACTATACTCAGGAGGGATCAAGTTTACGCAGCCAACAATACTTACTTGCATAATTGTTTGGCTGAAGTTTGAATATTTAAATCACAGGGCATTACATAATACCGCGCAAGCTTGACAGGCTACTACTACCACTGGGCCCTGGCAGTAGTGCAATCCCATTTTCCAGTATACCAAATCTCATGGTTCAATTCCCGTTGGTGAAACGAATAATGTACCACGAGATCGTCGAAGCAGGCGCGTCATGCCTTGGAAACCAAAGATGCACGGGGTGCACAGGGGCAAGATTTGCATGCACCCGTGAACATCGAAGCCATTCGGGCTCAGCTCAGAATGGGAGACGTTCCGCTCAAAAGCATTGACGCAATGGAACGCGACTGGTTCAAAACGTTATCCTCTGTCCTGCTGCGCCCACGTTAGCACCGCCCCACAACATCATGATGCCCGGGAATCTACTTGACTTGCCGGGTGCCATGAAAATTCATACATGGTCAACGGAACCCAGTCACAGCTACATCGGTGTTGCTGGGTTGGAGGGCACAACGAGGGGAAGTTGCAGGCTGTGCTCAATCGTTTCAAGGCAACGTCTTGTAAGAGGCGAAGACGTAGTTGTCTGTAGCGAGATCTACAAATGCCACGGCAATTGACGTTCCCCGATATCTCTAGCGATTTTTCTTTGGGTACAACCACGGGTACTCGAATGTAACACAGGTTGTAGGTTCATCAAGGCCAGGCAAATTTAGCGTCCGTCCCTTGAAAGTCGACATAGCGCATATCTCCCCTGCATACAAGTACGTTGGAATACGTGGGGAGCGTTATTGGTACGTGTATTCCAGAAAGTGGGTTTTCCACGCTAGTGACCACACAGGATGGCAATGGCGCTGCCCCTGGCAGGAAATCCCGGATACATCAGTATGCTCTGTCTCGTAGAAGAGATATTTCTCAAGCAGAGCTACGACAAGTAATATTCACCGAATATTGGCACTTCGAGCCATTTACTGTCACCGTGCAAGTACCTCAGTCATCTCTTCGACCACAGGTGAGATTCCATTCCCTGCAAAATACTTCTACTATGTTTTTGTAGCCCCGTATATTTCTCCCACACGACGATACGTTTTCACGTTCGTTAGGTCTTTCTGCACATCACAACGTTGAGATAAAGCCACAACGTACTCTGGCAGGCGCAGCTATGGATATAAAGCTCCAGGGTATACTCCCTCATGACCAGTTATCCTTCCAGCTTCAGAATCCTCACGCAAGATATGCCTGGCTTAAATTCACCCGTTCGGTACTTTGATCGTACAAACATCCCAAAGGATGTCTGGGACGTTCTGCGGGCACATGCTGCTCGCGCAAATGTGATCCTTCCGCATGCCGAAAAGGTTTCCAGCCATCCAGAGTTCTTACCCGATTCCGAGCAGCTTTGGATGGTCTACTCGGAGCCTGGAACTTCCAAAATCCGGTTTATACTATCTTGCACAGAGGGACCATTAGGCACATACCCTATTTTCATTGTTCCCACAGCACCCATCGTTGAATTAATCCCCGAGCTCCTCCAAAGCCCCATGGAGGCGTTATGCTACGCGCTTCTGAACGAGGCCAACGTCAGAAGGCAGAGGGTGTTTTCTGTATTTTCTGTTCAACCAGTCGCCGAAGCTTTCGCCAGCGCATGGGGCAAAATTGCAGAGATCGATTGTATCAAACAACCATACTATGATGCAATTTTTACGATGTGTACTCAGTGTACCCTTGAAACGTCGGTCCTCGCTGTTGCTCCATCAGAGGAAGAGGTCATCGAGCTGCGTCTTGCTGTGCCACAGGATGTCGACAAGATTTCTTCACTCTGTCAAGAATTTGCCAATACTTCGGTTTGTCTATTGCACCACTCCTTTTTAAGCGAACATTCATTGATGAGAATCCGTAGCATCCATTCATTCTCACTTCTGAGCAAGCCTCTAAGGAGGCTAGTCTCTTAATTGAAAACGGGCAAGTCTGGGTATACGAGATTGAAGATGCAGGTGGAGAAACCGATATCGCAAGCATTGTTGCTGTGACACGGGAGTCAAACGCTGTTGCTGCTATCACGAAGGTGTACACGCCACAGAAGTGGGGGCGCAAAGGCCGTGCCGAAAGGCTGGTTCGCCGTGTCTGCAGAGAGTATGAGCTATTGGCTATGAGATTGCCCCACGATGCTAACTTGCTCGCCTAGGTTATTGAAGACGCATGAGCAAGTTGTATTATACGTTGGCGCCGACAATCACGCGAAGAAGTTGTACAACCGAGTTGGCTTCCAGGGCCTTAGTGAAGGGTCTCCTCCAATTGATGGAGTCGAGAAGTGGCTTGAAATTGGTTTTGATAGAGCCGAAGTCGAACTTGGTCACTGGTAGATTTTAGCTGCATATTCTTGTTATTCTGCTTGTTCCCCATGTTCATCTGACATCACTTATCCTGCCTGTAGCATAACCCCTGTATCTGAACTCGCCCAAGGATGTATGTCCCTGTACTGTATCTGTATCATTAGCGTTTGTACATAAACCACGTATACATACATATCTTTACCTTTGAATGAATGTTCGATGTGATTGAATCATCACTCTCGTCCCCATAGCCATTGGTCACAAAAACTACCGTACGGCAGGCTTCGCAAAGAGAAGTTCAAACAGGATTAGTGACTAGTATAGTGATGAGCGGGTTCGAAGTCGCCGTCGCAACTTTTCCTCTCGGCAGTAGCGCATGTTCAATGTCCCTATTGACATCATGCACATGGAATAGTGAAGCTTAAGGTTGGCACAAAATTGAATCCTTCCTAGCTCCCAGTGGCGTCCAGATAAATCGTTTGTGCGTCATCAATAGTTACGGCGCACGAGCAGTAGTGGCATACTGAACGGACAACAGAGCGATACTCAGTGATTATCCGGTACGCAGCGCTAAATTCCCGCCCGTACTAGCGCTCGGATCACGGACCGTGGGTGCGCGCAGTCAAGCCACTGCGAAATGCGAGGGCAACCGACTACGACAAGCTGGCGGAGGAATCCAACACGCGCTGCACTCAAAAGCACGAAAGTTAGAGGTGATACACAGCAAAGCTTAAGGGAAAAAGGGCGGACTTGACACTGGCAGCAAGATATATTTTAACGGAGAATACGGACAAGTTGGGATGCACAATGAACGCAAAGCACTAAATGCATAAGGAATTGAGTACATCGAAAGTCAAACACAGCAGAAAGAAAAAAATACGACACGATACTTGCCCGCAAAGAGCTGTGTCGTGATAGCGGACGGGTTCTTCTAGCCTGAACCGCCAGCACCACTGCTCCCTTTACGGGTCCTGACAACCTTATTTCTCAACGCTCGCTCCTTCAGTTCTTTCTCTCGCTTTTCTAGATCTGCATGATTTAGACCTTCTCCTTCCTGAAAGTCATCATCAACGTTGGCTAAGCACAAGTAATCAAGAAGGCAAATCATACATCATCCCTGTCTGCAATATCCCACTTATTTCGCCTCGCTTGACCCTTAATCTTCAGCTCACCTTTGGCATTTTGCGGAAGGGACTCGTCATTATTTCTTTGCCTATCAACATCCATACGAGAGGATGAAGGACTACGCCTCGCAGGACGCTTTCCCTTTCCTCCATCACCAGCTTCATCGCGAGTGTTCCGTCGTCTCACAGGCGAGCGAGAGACGGTGCCTCGCCTACGAGGACTCGGACTCCTGCGACGGGCATATCTCGGCGCAGACCGCGAATGACTCGAAGCGGGAGAGGGCGAACGCGATAGCTTACGACGCTGAGGAGGGGGACTTCTGCTATTTCTTTCTCGTCCGAATCTCCGTGGTGGTGAGCGCGAGTAACTGGGAGACCGTCTGCGTCTCCTGGGTGGCGGGGGCGACAAGGACCGAGAGTCGACCGATGGCGAACGTCGGCGGCGGCGTGGAGAAGGAGTCAAGGAACGTCGGCGACGAGGGGGAGGTGAGCGCGTCCGAGATCTACGGGGCGGAGGGGAGCTTCGACGGTACACAGGACTGCGTGATCTGGAACGCCTGGGAGAGCGCGAACGTCTGAGGGAAGGAGGTGGGGATCGCGAACTCCTTGCGTCAAACGGAGAGCTCGGTGACAGGGAGCGCCTGCGATGAGGCGGTGGACTGCGAGATATTCTGCGACCAGGACGCTATATCGTATATGTCTTAGAGGATTTCAAGAGTAGCAATGAGTGACTTACACCGCCACCGCGTCCACCCCAGCCATTATCTCTGCCTCGGCCACCACCTTCAAATCCACCTCTCCCCCTGCCCCGGCCCCTTCCACGTCCGCGGCCTGCACGTTCACCTCTTTCCTGGTCTCTTATCTCGTCGAGACGAACCCTCCTGTCTCTCTCACCTATGGCGCGCACGTCGCCCTCGCGAGCTTTGCGCATTTCCTCTTTCTTCTCTTCCACAAATGTCTGTGGCACGCCTGCGGGATGCTCCTGAGCCTCCAACAATAGAGACCAGAGAGAGTTCATGAACGAGGGTGTCGACGCCGTGAGGAAACCTGTGAGGTTGATTTGCATTTTCTTTGGGTCTGGAGACTAAGGAAGATATAATGAACACGAATAAGTCTGGACGCGTAAAAAAAAGTTTACGGTGTGATTTGGGTCGTCGAGGAGACCCATGGCATACTCAACGACCACTTCATCTTCAAAGCCGACGAGTTCTGTGACTTTTTTGGCGATCCATGGGCGTATAACATTGAGATTTACTTTTTTGAGGTCCACCTGAGGAATGGGATAAGTATTATTACACTGACTGGACCAGACTTGGGTGACGCACCTTTTTGTCGAACTCTGGTGGAAATTTCATTGACTTCAACAACTTCAACTCTTTGTCAGAGAAGCGACGGTCCTGGTCTGCAGAAGTGCCTTTGAAGAATCCTATTGTTCCATGCGGTGAGCAGGACCTCAGTGAAGCGCACAGTGAAAGAAAACGCACCTGCATCGGCCATGACTTGACTAGAGCTTGGTTGATAATTGACTTGGGAGCGTCGGAGGAGTGAATTCTTAATGGATGCTTACGAGTTTGGAAAGAACCTCCCACACGCCTGGAGGGTGCACTTAGTCAGCTCATTAGGGCGATTAGTATAGCCTATGATGGACATGAGTCGGACAAGTACATACTAGTACTGTTGATATTCTCTGCAACGGTCAAGCTACTTGAAAATCTATATGATCACCCTTGTAGCAACTACTGATGCTACTCGATTTTTAGGCAGTAGTCAAATTTAGGTTTGGGTTTGTTGTTTGGGAATTTGCATTACAAGGCTAATTTGAACACGAGTACCTACTAGTGGGTGACTACTACGTCCCGACTTCAAGTGAAGTCCAGAGGGTTTTATATTCATCTGCAGTCATACCAGATACTATCCCAGTGATGCTAGACTGACTGACAAGCTAGATACGTCCACGATTCGGTAACGAATTTCCGCTCCAAAGCAGACCAACGGTCCAATTCTAGAACCCTGCCGGACACTCCGTCACTGTCTTGCAATGTCGCAGACTCACCACGACAATGCAGTCATACCAGATACTATCCCAGCGATGCTAGACTGACTGACAAGCTAGATACGTCCACGATTCCGTAACGAATTTCCGTTCCAAAGCAGACCAACGGTTCAATTCTAGAACCCTGCCGGACACTCCGTCACTGTCTTGCAATGTCGCAGACTCACCACGACAAGCTGCTCTCAGACTGCAGTATGAAACAGGTTTTCGGTATCGGACTGCTGGATGAGTCCAATAATCTGTCTCAGGTTCAGTCCGCTTTCGAAGGTCTCTGACTCACATTCTTAGGCTGGTATTCCTTTGCGATATGAAACAAGTGACACTCCTCGAGGTATAAAAGCAGCGTAGGCCAGCACATCCAACTTCAATTCATCTTCCGTGTTGCACTCCATCCTCGCTCTCAGCTTTTCGACGTCGCACCATCACCTCGCACTCTCACCTCACGCCATCATCGTCAGAATGATCGACTACACGAAGATCGTTCCTTTCGTCTTCGTGCTTGCCCCTATCCAAGACGCACGATCCGTTACTCATTCTGGTATGGTCCGTCCAGCAACATGCAGCCTATCGGCTTTCACGCACTCTTCTCCTGTTTCCAATACGCCCTACGCCCTCCTCGAGGATTCATCCAGCACAGACGACGCTACGTCAGCGACGAATCAAGAGGATCCTACGTCACACACCTCCTCACCTTCATTCTCGTGTAGTGTTGTCGAGCTTTTCATCATACTCGTTGGTCAAATCGGTTTCCTCGCACATCAGTTCCTACGAATCTCCGATGTTGTCGATGTTCTCTCCGCCTCATTCATGACTCTTGAGCAGACCACTGACTTCGAAATGACGAATCTCGGTGCCACAATGGAGCTCGTCAAGCAAGATATCGATTCAGTCAAAGAGCAGACTCGTTGCCACGAACAGATCCTAGTCCATGATGCTAGGGAACTCAACAGCCTCGTCGCCAATCAGCAACGCCAAATCGACGACCTTTGCAAACAACTCCACGAGGAACGCGAACTCTCGAAAGATATCAAGAAGAATCTCGACAAGCTAAATTCTCGTGTCTCACAGGACGACAAGGAGCTTGATGTTTTCCACGGGCGTCTCTACGATCAACTTGCCTATCAAATTAAGGATCAACAAAGAACGGAGCGCGACGTCGCTGGCCTTCGCAAGGAGCTCGATGCCTTCCACGAACGCCTGCACAGCCAGCTTACCTGTCAAGTGAAGGACCAGCTACGGACGGAGAAAGACGTTGCCGACCTTCGCAATGATATCCCGAGGACACTTTCCATATACCACACGAGGATCTCAGCTCTGGAATTCGAGTTATCTAAAGCCAAATTGTCCGCTTCACCTCAAGACGTTGTTTGTGACTCCAAACCCGTACGAAGTGCTACGTTTGTCGATGCTAACCCCCTTCCGGAGCGAGTTCTTCTAGACTCTCAACATCTTCCCATACCAATCCCTGCTAGATTGCTTCGGTCCATTGAACGTGAATCAATTTACATCCGTACGTCTTCCCTTTCGTCAGCTGCGTTTAATTGACAAATACTCTTGCAGAGCCATCTGCATCAGTCGTCTCAAAGGCAGCTGGAGTACCCAAGAAGTCTACCACCCCGAAGACCCCTATGACAGTTGATTCCGTGAGACGTCCGGTCACTGTCAAGTCTTCGGTGTCTAGGGTCCTGCCGAGCTCGAAGATTGCGATACCTGTTGCGAAGGTATCATCCGCGCCTAAAGCAGTTCTCTTGAAGACTCCTGCATCCACAGGTAAGGAGTTCTTGTTATTACAATTGACGATTCTAAAGGCAAGTCGACCATAGACTTATCCCGTGATAATCGTGCCCCCCGAGAGTCCGCGACTCTCAAGAAGAGTGGCAGTGCCACCAGGGCCAAGGTGCAGGAGTCTAGAGTTCCTGTCAAGAAGAGCGGCAGTACCGTCAAGGTCAATACGAACGCACCTAAACCTCTCAGGAAGAGCAGCAACGTCAACAAGGGTAAGGCGAAGGAACTCGGTCAGTGCTCATCTTCTTACCCCGCTTGTTTCGTGCTCATCCATCCGCTCCTTAGGTAACAACCAGGTGTTGCTTCCGTCCTCGTCTCCAGTCACTCCCGCCACCACATCGCGTGCCCCGGACTCGTTGTCCCAGCCCGACGACGCATTACATGGCGTTGCTAGTCAACCCCTGTCGTCGTCGTCGTCTTTGGAAGCTCTGGATATTGCTGTGCAACTCCACTCGCTGGGCGATCTGCGTGGTCCGTTGCCTTCCTTGGACTCGATGTCCTGGCTCGATGCCACATTGGACACCGTTGCCGGTCAACCCCTGTCGTCGTCGTCGTCTTTGGAAGCTCTGGATGTTGCTGTGCAACTCCACTCGCTGGGCGATCTGCGTGGTCCGTTGCCTTCCTTGGACTCGATGTCCTGGCTCGATGCCACATTGGACACCGTTGCCGGTCAACCTCTGTCGTCGTCGTCATCCTTGAAGGCTTTGGACGCTGCTGTGCAGTGTCACTCGCTGGGCGATCTGCGTGGTCCGTTGCCTTCCTTGGACTCGATGTCCTGGCTTGATGAGTGCTACGACGTTGCAGGCCAACCTCTTTGCCCGTCGTCATCCATGGAAGCTTTGGATGCTGCCGCGCAGCTTTCGTCGCTGGACGACTTGTACGGGAAGATGCCCTCGTTGGACTCGATGTCCTTCCTCGACGATGACGCTCTGCCGGTCCCTCCCTTCAAGTGTATGTGTTTTTGCACTTTTCAGGAGGTGCTTTGTTTCTGATATTTCCCCCCACAGGTCTTGCCCGGAATAAGGCACGAAGCATAGATGCTGCCGCGCAGCTTTCGTCGCTGGACGACTTGTGCGGGAAGATGCCCTCGTTGGACTCGATGTCCTTCCTCGACGATGACGCTCTGCCGGTCCCTCCCTTCAAGTGTACGTGTTTTTGTACTTTCCTTTGCAAGCGATCTTGATTCGAACGTTTCACAGCCCTTGGCCGGAGTAAGGCTTGATTACGTGTTTGTGCGGCGTCTCTTGGTATCCCGCATACTTGAGCGCCTGTCTCCCCCCACACCGATACACCCCCATCCATCACCCATGGCTTTGCTGTTAGCTGTATACCCCTCTCATTTTTCTCCTTGTTCCTGTGTTGCATCTTTTCTTTTTTCTATCTCACTTTCTCTGTGTTGTATCGGACACCATTTCTTTCTTTCTCTCTCTCTCTCTCTCTCTCTCTCTCTCTCTCTCTCTTCTCTCTGTCAGTCTACTCGTATTTTCCTTGCTCTCTTTCTCTGTATATCCTCTATCTCTATCTACTCTACGATGTCTTTCTCTGCTGCATTATATCATTTTTCTTGTTCTCTTTACTATCATAATCTAATATCTACATATTGTAAGGACGGAGTGATTTCCAATATGGTGTCGACGCCATGTGCGCGCTCCAACTGTATATAATATATAATATATTTTCTACTGTATAACTGCATTTGCATGAGGACTTCAACCTCGAACTCATTCAATTCCGTGATTTTGGGGAGTGTGCGTGGTTCTACGTCATAGTCGTCCAGATTTAACATTCCTTAGCTAAATACAACATCTAGGAGACATGGAATGACGAGTACCCGGGAAAGAAGACCGAAGTTTGACCTGGCCCGACCACTTACAAGATCTTACTTCCGGCGTTGGGTGTCACACGAGTTCGTATGTAGCGCCACAGGATCTTACCGGCTTGCAATGATGCAGCGTTTACCCTGTGAATTGTTGAACGTCATTGGTTCCTATTGAAGTTGGAATCGATCACTTTGGCTCTCGATGCACTGCAGAAAAGAAAAGATGACCGGATGCAGATGGATACTATCATACAAATAGAAGTGTCGATCTGGGTACCAGCAAGTAGATATGCCTACAATCATGATGCTGGCGTTCACAACGCTCCACTCACTGAATCGTCAAGAAAATATATCATGCACAAGGTGCTGTGAGATTCTCCATGATATCATTCAGCTGGTCGTAGTCGTCAAAGCACTCTACAAACCTCTAACCAATCGCTTCACGGAGGTTCGAGCCATGAATGCCTTCGCCCGCGACTGTTTGCTCAGGTCCTAGTTGAAACACGTCTCGGTGTCAAATCCTTTGATCAAACGGCATGGACATGTCATGATCACTGAAGCTATCTGGATCAAGTCTGATCAGTGACAGACAGATCAGGCGAACTGGCACTATAATGAAGAGCTCCGATTGGCGCTTGGATAAACTTTATGCCCACTCAAACGCAGACAACAGAAGATCCCGCGTTCAGTTCGAAAATTCCATCTGAAGTAAGGAAATGATGGAACGCACTTATAGGCACACGTCTACAGCGGAGGCGTCTTGCGCAACTTGTGCGCGTGACCTTTCCCTCGTTCTTTGCATGTATCTCCAAACACCGCCAAACGACGAAGCGAAAGCACCTTGTCATATTTCTTTCAGTCAGCTATACCTTGTGCATTGACCGCACGAGTATCATAGAAAATGCGGGACGTGGACAATGTGTTGCTTTGAGAGTCGATCTTCGGGCAGAGAGAAATGCAGACACACGTAGTACAAATACGCATTGGTTACCGTCTCGAGCTTCGCAAATTCGTACGTCCCTCACTAAGCTATGTACCTGAACATAGGCGCCTGTGGAAGGCGTCAACAAATTTCCATTCGGAGGCAGACGATATTCACCTTATCCGCCAATTCACTTGTATCCACATTGGCACCTGGGTCCGGACGTCCATACTCGCGATCGCGTTTCGCGTTATCGTACGTGTATGACACCCACAACACTAGCGCGCAAACAGTGGCAAACGCCTCGAGGCCACATGATATAGCGAAGCCGCGGCTGCGCAAAAAAACAATAAACACGTGCAGTTGTGACGCCGAGCGTAACACAGACACAGGGTGAGAGGAGAGGGTAGGACGTACATGTACCTCGGGCTGTCCGTCGTAGGGTATATGTGCGAGCCAAGGATGCTCCCGCATTGCCCAATTGCCATGAACATCGGAATGCCCGTCGCTTTTTTAGTCTCAGAGCCGAGATTGTGGGCGTCTGTTGAAGTGTTAGTTTGGTTTGGGACAAGCGTCCAGCGATAGCGTACACCATGCGATAATCACACCAATGGCAGTGTATGTCCCGCTCGTGATGCAAAACACGGCGAAGTATCGCACGTGAACGTTGTTGGGGACTGTGATCAAAAGGAGGTAGCCTGAAATGATACATGAGGGGTACTGTGAAGATCACAAGGCTAGCTGCAGCTTACCAATCGCACCGGTAGCGCAGGCACCTGCAACCGCTAGGCCACGGTTCTGCATGCGATCGGATGTGTAGGACGTTATACAGAGGACGACAGCAGCCACTGCATATGGCGGTACCGTGAGTAACTGGGCGAGCGCGTTGGCTGGAGAGAAATACCATAATATCAACAAGGAAAACGTTGATCAGACAACAAAGTAACACGCACTGTACCCAAAAGTCTTGATGATCGTAGGCAAAAATGCCGAAATGCTTGCCAATGCACAGTTCACACCAAAGTAGATCATTCCGCCAGTGTATATACGCCAATCGAAGAGAGCTACGATGATGTGTTCTGGAGTAGGACAGGTCGATGAGTTCACACTGCGTAGTGCGAAGATAGGGAAATGGCTCGCCTTTATTGATCACAGCGCCAACATCCGCAGTCGTGCCCCTGTTCATGCGTTCCATTGCAAGTTCTCTTTCTCTCTCATTCAAGTACCTCGTGCTCTCCGGCCGGTCAGGGAGCGCGAAGAAAGTCAGAACCCCCAGAAGAAGAGCTGGGATTCCCTGAGAACAACGAAATTGTTAGTGACTTCCTCAGTGTGTCTACAAGGACAAAAGCACATCTAAATCATGCCTGAGGCTGAAAATTACCACTGATGGGTGTTTCATGGCATTCCGGGAAATCAGTAAATAGTACCACTCGCATGCCTGCCTCTAAGGGGAAAGTGCAGTGCGAGAAAGGCTCGTACATCCAAGCATTGCGCGGTGTGGCCCGGAGAAACGGCATAGCATACCGATCCTCCAGCACCTCCCAAAATCCAGGGAGACATCGGCCGAAAATGAGACACAACATGATCCAAGAATAGAGAACACTGCAGCACTCGGCCAGCGAGCGCATCCAGATTTTGAACGCCACTCGCCGCCCCTTCACCAAACACGAAAAACTGGGGCTAACCTCAATAAGGAACAGGACTTTCCAGTCCCACTCTCCCCCGATGCCAGCGACATACGGTCCATATCCCACTTGCTGCACACCGAACGCGATGACCCCACCGAACGCACCCGCGACTGCCGCAAAGCCAAACCAGTATGCCATGCGCAAGCCCATTTCAGAGCGAGTGTAGAAGAACGCTTAGATGGTTGTGTTAGAAGTTATGTTCCTCCACAGGTCTATTGCGTGATGTATAACTTACAAAAATAAAGTGGAATTGCGGGGCCAAAACCAGCTTCAAAGACGCCAAGCCCAATGCGAGCCGCTATGAGACTTCCAAAGTTGAATGTCGTTGCCTGCAGAAGAAGTAACATGCATAATGAGAATGGTTTGGGTTTGAGCATTGCTAATGAGAAGAGACAAGGAGGTTGCAAAATAATTGAGAACTTTAGAAGTGGATGAGCAGGCGAAATACCCCTGTGATGGGTAGCTTAAGGTAGCCCGCAAAAGTCTAATCGATCTACGAATAAGACAGGTCGAATATGAATTCTATGATCACACGCGTCAAGCCTTGACCTGCATTTTACGGCTGACACCCGGCCGCCTCCATGAACCAGAACTTGATTCAGATTTCCCGATAGCCAAGAAATCACTTCAATCGAAAACGAAGGGTACACATGAAGAGGAGTGACAGTATGACCCACCATCAACGTGGAACATATACCCCACCCAACAGCCGCACCTGCCATCCAATAGGATGGTGGAAACAACTTTGAGGTTATCGTTGCAGGTACTTGGCAGATAATCTGGGAGGCAATAGATCAAAAGTAGGACGATGAACTATGATCACATCACTCACATACGAAAAGAAAAATGCCGAGTTGACCCAATCGAACAGTTTACCAGTAGGATCACCACCAAGGTTCTCCTGTGCGAGTCCCTGAAGGCGCGCATTTCCAAGATTCGTGCGATCAAGATCTGATTTCACCGTCAGTACTTGAATACGTTAGCCGGTTCTTGTGGTAAAATTTGACCCACAAGCAAAAAGATAGAGTAAGCATGTTATGGGCAGAATCCTGCGATCAAGTTTGCGCACGAGCTTCTTCTCTTCCTCAGATGTGGCGATGGCCTTATTACCGCCAGCGTCACTTGTAGACTTGATTTCCTTTTCCTCGGAAGATGTACGTTTTTCTTCGTCCGACATGGTGGACTGGAAGAAGAGCTCTCGTAGCGAAGGAACGTAAGCTACTTCGCTTTCGATATAAAAGATGCTGTCCGAGCGCTCGCAGGAGCACAAGAGGCACAAATCAAATAAGTCAGGTGGACACCGCGGACTGCCAGCGGCTGCGGCTTCTGTGGGTAATCAATATTGAGGCTGAATTTTAAAATCAGCTAGCTAGTTAGCGCTGGTATGATACATGACAGCTGACCAGATGAAATCTCACGCAAATAACTTTAACTTCCCCCCAGCAGCTTGCCCGCATCAGAGAACCATCTTGGTACCATCCCCACATGGCGACCTGTGTCGGGGAGGCATGGGCGCACGGACAACTAACTAATCTGCTCCATTGCTCTTTCGGAGTCCTACCTGTTCCGAGTCCCGCGGACATATTCTTCATTGAGCCTAGCTTGAGAGCTACCCGGGTCAGTCTGGACATGTGCATCTATGCTGGCCCGGGGTCGATGAAACTCAATTGAGTGGTAGGGAATCGATGGCGCAATAGTAGATTCGAAAAGCTGCTCGTTGGCAAATGACCCACCACCACGATGCGCGGAGGGTGCTTCCGGGTCGTCTTTGGGGGGATTCTCGGTGGATCGTTCAACATCAACGTTAAACGTTGTGGGGAACGCCAATGTGTAGTCTGCCTTATTGATTCAGTTACGACTAACATCCAAGGCGATATAGTGTAGTGGTTATCACTCGAGATTCTGATTAACTCTGAGTTCTCGAAACCCAGGTTCGAGCCCTGGTATTGCCTTTACATTTTATCTTTTTTAATCGTGCTAGGTACCGAAATACAAGGGTGTAAATTATAATCTATTTACAGATCCAACAAGTTCCGTCGAGTTGTTGCTTGGTTGCCATCACACCCATGGCCACGAGCTCCTCATGCTCTTGTCTCAGATCTGCTCTTGCCATCGAAACTTTTCATTCATACTTTGATTCGCGTCGTTCTCGAGCTATGATATCCCGTAATTTGGCATACTTGCGAGGCTTATGATTGGCTTATAATGACCATTGTATGTAGGCGCTAATAGGGCAAAAAAACAATTGCATAGATTGAATATGGGTGACGCGGCGACAAAAACGTGGGTGAATAATTACAAGATCCGTGTTGTGAACTGCTGTTTGTGAAGAGATACACAAAAAAAATTGTTGAATGAGTACTGTCCACGGCAAAGCGGTACTACCAGTAAGAAAGCACCAAAGAACATTCGTACATTTTCTATCCCCTATTAAGATTCATTTGACACTCAGTACATGAATCCTCAGGCGTATGGACAAGTGTTGGGAATTGTTTGTTTAGGTGATTGGGGCGGGACAAAAAGACATGATCTCTTCGTAAAGGAGCTCTTTGAGCTGTTCACGGCTGATATCGTCCTTGTGCACTGAGACAATACGATGAACACACGTGCGCACTTATTAAAGCCGAGTACTCACGGTCAAATTCGAAGAACTCCGGATCGAGCGGTGGTGCAACAGGTTCGTCATCGGGATCATGCTGAATCAACATGTAAGCTCGTGCGCTACATGATCAAGAGATGCACATACATATGCCTCAAGGTATGGGTGAGCCAGAGCCTCTTCGACTGTTATGCGTTTCTTGGGATCAAAAGTCTAGGAAAAGATGTTTGAGCTACCACACGAATAGATAAGATCGTGACTTACGAGAGTCTTCGTCAGGAAGTCTACAGCCAAAGGATTGGCATTGGGGAAGATTTGCGCAAATGGCCGGCGTTTGCGGAAAGGAAGAGCTCTAATATAATCTCGTGATCTGCGTGTGGTAATGGCATAAAACTCGTCCAGCGTTGGTGTGCCGAGAACATCCAAGATTAAAGTGAGCTGGTGGTGGTAATCTCTACCAGGGAACAGAGGCTTTCCAGAGAGCATCTCAGCCAATATGCACCCCACAGACCAGACGTCAATAGCTTTGGTATATTGCTTGAACGTCAGCATGATCTCAGGGGCTCGGTACCACCGTGTAGCGACATATTCGGTCATGAAACCGGTCTCCGTGCCTGATGGTTCGGCGGTCTTTACTGATCGTGCCAGCCCAAAGTCGCAGACCTTGAGATCACAGTTTGCATTAAGAAGGAGATTTGAGGGTTTGAGATCACGGTGGATGACATCAGCAGAATGTAAAGCCTTGAGTGCGCGCAGGGTCTGATAAATGAAATATTGAGCGTGGTCATCAGATAGGTCTTGCGTTCGGATAACGCGATGCATGTCTGTTTCCATCAGCTCCTGAATCACTGTGTGAAAGTTTGAATGACATGTGGGTTCAATAACGTATTTCGTACGCACGGTACACTTCCTTGAAAGCGTCTAGAGAAGGAGGCTTGATGATGTCCAAAATTGAAATGATCTTCGAAGTTCTCAGTGAGCACGTATGTATGACGAATGGCAGGAGCGCTCACATTCTCGCTTACGCCAGCTTCACTGAGAAATTTGAGGAGCTTTAGTTCTCGCAGTGTCCGTAAGCAGAACATAGAGTGATCGAAAGGTGCGATCTTCTTGATGGCAACCTTGCGGCCACTGGGCCGGTGAACAGCTGAACAGACGATACCATATGCGCCCTCTCCTACGACATCGAGGACTTGATACTGGGTACCTATTGACAGACATATTTCGTCAAATCAGACATATAAAGAGCGAGGATCTGAACATACCGACGTTGAATCTTACTTTCCTCGGTGCGGGAGGAGCTTGGGATGCAGCTTTTGACTTGGAGGGAGCTGCAGCCACAGCTGAGGCCTGCTGAGGGTTTTCAGGCATCTAGAGAGGTATGTGGAAGGAGGAGGGAACGTGGAGGACAAGAAGGAGTGGGGAACAAGAGAACTATAAGCAAGGCACGAAGTATAATCTTTGCGTTGTGTAGAAGGCGTCCAAGTTTGGTATTGAATAATAGGAAATACCACTGATTTGTGCAAAATGAGAAACAATAAGTTCCTGGAAAAGTGTGTCCAAACTGATTGCCACCAAGACAACCAGTTCGTTGTCAACTACTTACGATATGAAACTTGGCCTTTGCTATAGCGATAGCAGCCATGTCGTGCTCATGCTCGTTGTCGGTCCGACCAGACTTCGTATAGGGCTCATGGCCCCGGTGGGCTAGGCTTCTCTCGCCAAAATGATTTAGACCCTGACGTTTATATATTGTGCATGCTGCGGACGCTGTCTTAATAACCATGCCTGCTGCGGATGCGATGGCACACGGTATCTCTTGATGGTTTCAAGGTCACCTAGGTTTTGAGGTGATTGCATCGAATAGGCTGAGCTCGTGGTCACAGTCTCAACCTGTAAATATCACACGTTCACAATCGTCGAGGGGCTATTGCATTCTTCGTCTGTGTTCCCTGCCGAAATAGTCCCTTTAATTAACTGGTAGATCATGAAGGACGAAGAATCGTCGAAGATACCAAGTGCATGGGGAGGAGTGCGGTCATAATGAAATATAGTCCAAGCTAGTCAACGACAACTATGCACGTATGGGTATACAAAAATCTATCCTACCGTGAAATAGATGAGCAACGGCAATTACACGCGATTCTACCGCACGCCCCCAACGCGCGCCCAGAACATGTCTTCCTTCAAACGTACGATCTCTTTCCACGTACGATCCTCCCAAGTCGCGTCACCAGCATAGCCTTCCTCATCGGTAGTAGAAGAGCGCTTCGTACTACTGGTGTCGATAGATTTCTCGCGTGTGGTGGAATCCTCAGACAGACGCCTGATTTGGCCAGCTTCAGAGGATCGGTCGACGACAGGCTGCAACTCGGCAGCGGTGTGGAGAGGAACATCCATGGACACCCGCTTTGGGGGAGATAAATCTCCATTCAGACTCGTGTCAGGCAAGGGTATGGGGGGTTCAGCAATTTCATGTTTGATCATGGACAGCTCTACAGCATCCTCACCCGCCACAGCTTTCTGTTCAGGGACAGGAGACGGTTTTACTTCTTCTTCCTTCACAGAAGCAGGCGCCTCAGCTTTCGCTAGGTTCTCATCTTTGCCAACTTCAGCCGAGGGCATCGGAATTCCTTCTTTTGTCTCGGTCTGTGCAGCAGTGGGAGGTACAGGAACTGCCCTTCGTGCAGGAGCTCGTCTTGGGACAGGCGGAGCACCATTCGGTGCAGGTGAAGCGGCCCTGGAGGGCGAGAAAGGAGAGCTCGTGCGCGGTGGTGCTGGGGAGCCGGTTCTCGATCGACTCGGGGCAATGGGTGTACCAGGGCGATGTGGTATCGGCGAAGAGACGCGTGAAGGCAAGGGAGCTGGAGAGGCCACACGAGAACGTGGGCGCGGAGGGGGCGATGTGGCACGGAACGCAGGTGACGTGGGTGTCTCGGGAAGGGGGATGGTGTGTGGGGAGGGCGGGCGATCTAGCTGCAAAGTTTGGGCCTGGGGCAGTGTTTGTGGGGAAGACAGATCCACGGAAAACGGACGAGCAAAGGACATTTCATCAACGGGGGTGGTGAACGATTCTTGAGAATTGGATGTTTCAGCTTCAGAACCGGCATTTTTGTCGGCATCGTTTGAAATAGCGGCGGGAGTGTCTATGGAATGACCACGCCCTTCACTCCTTTTGGGCAGCGGAGGGGGTACCTGGGCATGTGGATGGGCAACAGAAGGGCGTGCTGGAGGTGGTGGCGGAAGTTTTCTTGCAAGTTCCTTGTCTTTGTCCTTTCCTTTTCCCTTGTCTTTTTCCGTTTCCTTTTCTCTGTCTTTGTCTTTCTCCTTGACCCTTTCCTCCCCCTTATCCTTGTCCTTCGCGTTTTCGGTCCACCTCTCCCCAAGCGCACTCGCCATCTCCCAAAGTCGCCGGCGACGAGGAGGCACAGGTGGCTTCTCCCCCGCGGGAATGGCAGGTGCATTCGCAGCAGGAGAATGATTCTTATTCGATTCTTGGGTATCCTCTGCCCCATTTACATCCGAAATAGTGGGCTTCTTATCGGGTATGATAGGTTCCTCCTCCCATATACGTTCGACGACACATGTGCGGACAAAAGCCCAAAGGGAACAAGTACTTCGGAGGCGTAGAAGACAGTAGTTGGATGTGCATAATGGATAAGGCTGTTGTGTTTGGGTAGAGCCCGTGCGGGATGCTCCCGTGGGGTGCGCTGGTGGCCTGGAGATGGGAGGCGTGGAGGTGGAAGGTGAAGAGGTGTGCAGTGGCAAAGAGACAGGCGCGACAGCTGGGGCAGGGACGGCAGGTGCCACACGGAATACGTACACTTGCTCAGGTTGTTCAATGTCTGCGTCAAGTCCCACATGGCTTGATGAGGAACTGGAGAGCGGATTCTTGAACCAAAGGTTACCATTCGTGAGGCGGATGTTGTTGCGGCTGCGCGCGAGGGTCGCGAGTGGGTGGCTTGGGGGTGTTTCGTGCGACTGGGCACGCACGATTGCAGTCCCGCAAAGCGCACATGAAATCGAAACAGATGTGTTCGTTTGGGAGTGCGGGTGCAGCTCCTGTACAAGCGACGAGAACGGCACCGGCTCAATAATGAGCGTTCCTGTGTGGATCGCTGATAAAACGGACCGCCGGGAGAGCCAGTTTAATGAGGGAGCTAGGTCTAGCCGGACGGTCGGTTCTCTGGACCATGATGAACAGATGTATCGGAGAACAAAACGCGCGAGTCACTTACGAATCCTCTGTGATCAACCGCGCGAGGAAGGGTAGACCCTGAAGCGTGGAGATAACAGGTGAAGTAACCTGGGAGGCCCTCAGTCCCCGAAGGTGCGTAACAAATGCGATGAACTCGGCATAGGGGACATGGATGGTCACTAAGCGCATTTTCCGGACATCTACCGGATGTTGATGAACCAACTGCGCGTCCCGATCGACCCACTTGCCCTTGCCCATGCTAAGTCGCGCCTCCTCCGCCTGACGCTCAGCACTCTCTTTGTCAGCCTGCAATCTCTGCATCTGAGTCTGCATGACTTTGACAGCCTCCTCAGCTCCATTTAGTGCTTCCTCCGCCTCGCGCACCTTGCGTTCGCTCTGGGCCCGCCCCAATCGTGCTTCTGCGACCATCGTGTTCGCCTGGTGAAACAGTGACGCACTGAGATCATCGAGTTCCTTCTCAATATCACTCCTGGCTGTCTCTGCCTGTCCACGCTGCGCAGCTTCTTCAGTCGCACGTTCCATAAGTCTATTAAGTTCTGCAGTGACATGTTCTTTCTCGACGAGCAGTCCTGTATTGAGTGCAGCGAGATGGTGGGTGCGCTCGAGCTCGAGCGATGAAACGGCGACACTGGCATTGCGCAGAGAGCTCTCAGAGTCGTGCAGCTGATCTTCTAGGTCGGAGACGCGGTCGTAGGACTTGACGAGCTTGCCGTTGAGCTGGGTGACTTGCGAGAAGAGATCAGTGACTTGCGAACGAAGGGATGCAATTATTTGAGCTTGGGCGTCTGAGGCGTCTTGGTCTTTCTGGTGTTCTTCATTTGTGGGCTCGGCGTCGATGACTGTTTCGTGCGTTGGCTCTGCCGATGCCATTGACGATGTGCTCAAGTGGCGGATATTGTCAAACTCGACCAAACAAGAATTTTGAAATCCTTGGAGTACGCTCGGAAGAACTAGGGAGCAGACGCGTCTGTGTGCATGACATGATCAAGTACTACATAGTTAACATATGTAGGAGGGAGGAGCCACTAGCTAAGACACGCAATGAAAACCCCTGAAATCATTAACCGAATCACTACCAAAACACGACAGCAAGCAAAACAAACGAGTACGAGGGTGATTTTCGCATTATATCACGTCCATCACGCACGTCTACATGGACAAAAGCAAATGAAATAAGCTTAGGACAACAAGTATACCACGCAGATGAGCACCCCTCACCCTCACTCCTCCTCCAAACCACCATGTGCATGCGCTCTTACTGCTTGGGGGGTGGAGGCCCGCCACGTCCCCGAGGTCCACCCCGGGACCGGAATGAACCCCTGGACTCGCCATTAGGCGCACCACCTCGTGGCCGACTAATGGGCCGCTCGCCACGCTCCTTCCTGGTCTCCACGATGATTCGGACGCTGCCCTCAGGGCTATCGAAGCGCAGTCCGCCTTCGCCACCAGAGTTGGCAGGAAGCGAGGCAATGATTGCTTTCTTGGCAGCATCAAGGTTGTTGAACTCGAGGAAGGCACAAGCTTTACTGCGCACAATCTCGACGTCCTTGACGGTACCAAAGCGAGCCAGAAGGGTTATCAGTTGCTGTTGCGACACGACCTCAGTGACACCCTAGGACATAGTGAGTCATCGGTATGAACGGCTAGAGGAAGAAGACATACCTTGACGAAGCACTGTGGGGTCGTGAGTGCATTTGCCGCAGCGATAAGCGATTGTGAGTGGTGTTGGTGCGAGTGCGAGTGCTCTCTCCGTGGAGCAGGAGAAGGGGCACCGCTAGCCGGTGGTGGCGGGGGTGCTGGGGATGCAGCAGAAGCAGGGACCTCAGACAAGCCTTTCGACTCAGTAGCTACCTGTGCGCCCCAGCGCTTAGAGTCGGTGGCAGCGAGGCTGGCCCATGTTTTTGGTGCTGCAGGTTTTTGTGCAGGGGGTGGTGGCTGAGGAGCAGGTGATTGTTCGGGAGCTGGCGGCGGGGTGGCCAGAGTGGGAGGTGCAGGCACTGGTGGCGGCGCAACAAGCGGGGGAGGTGCAGGGGCTTGTGGCGGCGCAACCAAAGCGGTAGGTTCAGGCTCAGGCTCAGTTTCGGGAATGGAGGGCTCAGGAGTAGGCTCCGGTTGGATCTCAGGCTCATGATGGATGCCATTGACCTCAACTGGGGCAACTTCCGGCTCAGGTGGCGGGGAAATGGGCTCAGGGACCATTGTGGTTGGCTCTTCGACTTCAGGTTCAGGAGCAGGGGGCGGGGGAGTTGGCTCGCGAACAGATTCAGGTGCAGGTTCAGAAGGTGCGGTAGAGGAAGCCTCGGGTTCGCTTGCGTCATCTTCAACGGTCTCCTCCTTCAGGAAGCGAAAGATGTCGTTGAGGACAAAATAACCGTTGGGCTGCTCTGCAAGGAAGAAGGTCTGCACGAACTTGCGCCAAGGGTCGCCATGATTTGACATTTCACCGATGACTTGAATGATGATACCGCCATTGGCACTAGACTGGGCGTCAACTGAGTGGATGTAGACCTTGCAATCGTCAAAGCCAAGAGAGGTAATCTTGTTATGGATTTCCTATGAGACTTGTGAGATTTTGAAAAATGATATATGACTAGATTATTGCGTACCTGTTGACCAAAGCATGCCTTGACATCCTCTCCCTCTGTACCATGAATGAAGGTCGAGGTTTTTGTGTAAAAGCAATGCAAACGATTGGGCTGCTTGTTAACAAAAGTGTAATACTGAGGAACAAATTGCCATCCGACTTCAGAAGGAACGACGTTCTGATGAATCTGAGAAGGAGATGAAGTAGCGGAAGAGCTGGTCATTATGAGGGAATGATGCTGAAACATTTTTGTTAATAAAACCACTGAATTTTAATGTGAAACTCACCTGAAGGGAATCAAAAGTGCGTGATGGAGTCTAAAGATTACAACGAACAGACCAAGTTAAATCAACTGGCGGAGGATGCGAGAGTCACCGTACAACAGAAAAATCACAAACAGCTCAATTTTACACCGGTATTTGCCGATAGCTGACAAATCGTGTGGCGTTCCGTTCCCGCGCGTTTGTTGAAGCCTTGAAGCATACTGCAGTCTGCAGTAGACCTAGTAGCAACACGCACTGGTCACCTGGACATTCTCAAAGGTTTAATTCAAGACCAGTTCGACATCCTCAACCTTGAAAAGTTATCACTGACACAAATATATTCAGCGTGACATCAAGTCAAGAAACTCTACAAGCAATATTGGCGTTGATATCAACACCTGCTGACATTCGCAGAGTCTGGATCATGAATGTCCTGGGAATCAGCGAAGACATCGTGGGTCAATTCCTGCCAATCCTCTCCCATAAATCCTCAGCTTATTTAGTTCAGGATCAACAACTTCAGATTTAGCGTTGATCAACACCGGGCTGTCAACGATAAAGGACTTGGACGCGAGAGGAAGACGTACACCTCGGATTCAATCTTTGAAGGGCTTGCGCGCGGTGGGTAGTTACCCCATCACTTACGGCACATTCAAATGTCAGGTTTCACCGAGCAAACGCACTTTATAAATATGCAACACCAGTCACGGGGAACGTAGTATGGTGGACTGCATGCTGTAAGGGCATCTAAGGCCCAAGGCCGCCTTCAGACTCTGGCCTGATGCGGCATAAATGTTGATTTGAATATTGTCTATTAGCCTAACGAGAAGTAATCCTTCAAATCAGAAGTCTCGTAGCAGCCTTAGACACAGGTACTGCCAAGTACGCTTGGATAGCCGTATAATGGCAGATCTGACGTTTCACTTGGCTCAGATCATGGACTACTTATAGGGGTAGCCGGTCCACGGGTCTTCTCGATTTTGATATAAGTGGATACCGCAGCTCACAGCATCCTATAAGTTGGTTCAAGCGACATCTTCACTCAGATCCATCATCTATTGAAACACGGAAACGATGCCATCCAGCATTTCTCCAACGCTTCCTCTTCTGCTGTTCTTTATCTTTGCATTCTGTTTGTCAAATAATGGCGTGCATGCATTCGGAGCGGGCAACATTCCTTCGTAAATGAACAAAGTCCATTTCCTTTCTTTCTTCATTGATGATCTTGCAGATTTGCATTTGTGGAAGGCAAGGCATTTAGGCACGGAGATATTGTAGGCGATTGTCAGTCTGATCGAGTATCAGCTTGCTGATGGCGCTGTTTAGGAAGATGCGCTCGCAGACCTCGTGAAGAAGGGGGTCGGCGGATTCGCGCTCTCGAGTCTCATCGGAAAGGGTCCAAAGTTTGGCGGGCTCGACATCAAGCGCGTATACTTTGGGTGCGTATGTTGCGGATGTCAATATAGATTTCGTCGCGATCTAATTCGTCGGTGTATAGCAATTGGTTGAGAGATTACAGCCAGGTATTCCCAATTTTCCACAGTTTAAAGTGCGGCAAGTTCATGGCATTTAATAGGCTGTTGACATCGGTACACTGAAGAAGATTAACTTGCAAGTACGTCGTGATAATTGCTCCCACATTTCTGTGACATCATTTCACGAATTTCCAGACCATCATCAATTTAGTTATGGTGCTCGGGTTCATGGTATGTGCGATCATCGCCCTTGAAACTTGCTCTCAGTCGGTTTTAGGCCAACGGATATGCTACTGGCGAATTTGAAGTCACGCCAGAGAGACTCGGTGCCTATTTGCCAGTAAGTGTCCCCTACTACACCAATCTCACGTATAAACCTGCAACCCACACAGACAGAACATATCGATAATCCAAAAGGTTATGGAGAGGGAGAAGACGCACGGCAGTACGACCCCAGACTGCGCGGTCCTGTTCATGTACATATTATCTTCGGTAACCTATAGCTTGCCGTACTCACTTGTATCGCAGCCAGATGAACTTGCCATCGATCCACAGACGGGGATGAAGAACTACATCGCGAATGGTTCGTCTCTGCACTTCGACTTCCTTTTGATCTCGAGTGACTCACAAATTTGGCAGAAAACGGTCATTGGGATACATCCAAGGCGCTCGTGCGTAGAACACTTCAACAGTGCATTTTCCTCGGCAGGAAATACAAGAGTTCTGGTAATAACGCGGATCAATACGAGGCGTTTAGACTCCTTGGACAGGCTGTAAGTTGAGCATTCAACTAGAAATCTCCACCTATGACGCATAGTCCTGCCCGTCGCTCATCACCATTGATGTCTACCACTTCGCATTGATTTTATCGCAATGCTAATTGATCCCATCGAATAGCTCCACACCCTCGAAGATTTCTCTGCACACTCTAACTTCTGCGAGCTTGCTCTTGTTTCCATGGGGCATACCGATGTATTCGTGCATATTGGTGATGCTGTACGAGTGCGTGCGCGCAATGGAAAGATGGTCGCGCCAATCGTTACTGGTGAGCCTTTTTACGGTATGGTATCGTAGACGAACAATCACGCTCAATGTGCTTTCTGTCTAGGGACCTTCGGATCGAGTGATTTTATATACAGCTTGCTTGGAGGTAAGTATGGATGATCTTTCGTTATAGTAAGATTAACGAACTCGCGTTCGCTCAGAGGCTACCGATCACATCGTAAGATCTATGACCCCGGAATACATAAAAACTTCTCACTTTCATTCTCTAGAGCGAAGCTTCCGTCACGGACCTCAACAAAGAATTTGAAAGTGCGCGCTCCAAGTCCAATTCGTCGAGCGACATGCTCCGCGACGCTTTTCTTAAACTTCCTGGCGGAAGCGGCGATAAGATGGGCCGCGACATGGAAGGCATCGAGAACATCCGCGCCGGGGTAGAACGTGGTGAGAGGCGGCCCGAGGACATGAGCCCACAAGAATTGCATAGCGTATTGTGGCAGGTCTTGAGCTTTAGAGATTCTGGTACGCACTTTCTTTGGCGCTCTTTGTTTCGTGTTTTACTCTTCCAAAGTTATGAAGAGTATATCTGGGACAATAGGTGGATTTCTTTGTGTATGACAAACACCCCCGGTTCTGATGGACATTACAGAGAAGATCCCTGGGCTCAACTCAGTTGTCGAGAAAATTCAGGATTCGATTTCAGGTCGGTTCATTATGGATCCGTTGATGGCTAGGTTTTACTAATGTGGCTTTTCAACAGCGTTCGTTTTCACTACATTGGAGGTAAGAAGTTCGCCGAAAAGAGGTGCTACTCTCCGTGGTCGCTGATTACTCGGAACGTAGCCTTTTTTGAAACCAATCCTCGAGACCGCGACATCCGGGCTGCAAACGGCCTCGTCAGAGGTAATCAATAAGCATGATCAATATGAGGTGAGTATCTCCCACCAATGAAGTAGTTAGAGTTTTAGGTTAGGAAGTGCTTTTATCTTCTTTTTGTCGCATTACTTTTCGTCACCTATCATTCTACACATCAACTGACATCTTTACCTCCGGCAGGTGTTCAATGACCCACACGCTGTGAGTTCGGACACCCTTGACACGTGCGACAATATTTCCTTACCACGCTTTTACCCCACACAGAGCGACCCCACGCATTCTTTCCTTAGCAAAGATCACTTCGTACGTAAAAGCTGTTCCTCCGTGTTTCGAGGAGCTGCGCATTATTACTTGATTTCCTGAACGTAATGCTTCTAGAATTTGATCCTCAATGAACCTGCCGGCAACATCGCAAAAATTATTTTGGTGAGTTACGCTCTGGCACTTCAAATAGCTGTGCTCAGTGTTGTCTGCGGATAGAAACATACTGTCAACTTGGTAACGGGGGCCTGGGATGACAGCTCACTCAACGTGAACCAGGTCACCGAGGAGGTCTTGCAGTGCCTGTATGTCCCTTCCCCTTCATCTTCTTGGCACAGACTGATCGATCATCGGCAGCTTCCATCCCGATTTCCACCAGTCTTCTTCCGCAATCCAGCGTGATATGTTGGAATACATGAGATCGTGGGTGCAGAGTCTCGGGCGTAATCAGCGCGCCACACTCGCACGCCTTACGAAGGAATCGGTGCGAGCGCAGGACAATACTCGGTTGTCCGCCGATGGGAGTGCTCCCGCTCCTCATCAGGGTCAGAATGCGCAGATACAGCAGGGCATTCAAGGCCTCGTGCAAGGAATTCCCGGTGTCCCGCAGATACAAGGCTTGTTGAACATGGCGGGTGGGTCTGCGGGTATGGGACGAGAGCAATTCAGTGGGCAGCCTGGTTCCTATTACTCGAGGCCAGATGTGTCCACCAGCTCGGGCTATGCGCCTCCATCTGGCCCGCTGCCACCGTCAGCGGCGTATTCCCCTAGTTCGTATGCGCAGCATTCGCAGAGCGGGTCATCGTTCCAGTCGCCTTCTGCCCAGAGCCAGTACACTCCGTCCTACGTGCAGCCGACTCCTCCCGCATCGACATTCGTCAGCACGAGCAACACATACGTACAAAGCACACAGAGTGCGCCTGGCGGGTACCCAACTGCTAGACCTTCCGGCGGTTATACACCGTCACCAAACATTCCACCTGCAGGTGGGTACTCGACCTCTAGACCTTCCGGTGGTTATGCACCTCCGTCGCCAAACGTTCCACCTGCAGGTGGGTACCCGACTGCTAGACCTTCCAGCGGTTATGCACCTCCGTCACCAAACTTTCCACCTGCAGGTGGATACCCGAGCGGAAGACCTACAGGCGGCTATCCGCCGCCAAGCGTTCCATCACCAAGTATTCCACCTGGGGGCGGTTACGCTTCATCACACCGTCCGCATGCAGGCGGTTACTCACCAAGCGGCCCACCTCCAGGTGGCTTTGGTGGGTTCCCTGATGAACATCGTGTGCCTGGTCATGGCCACGTGCACGGTCATGAATTCCCTGACGCGCCGGAAGCTTATGGTGGCCGTTATGGGCAACATGCGTTCGATGATGATGATCGTCGCGGGACTGGTGACCAACAGCAGTCTTCCTTCCCGTCACCAGGAGGCTACCCCCCGCGAAATGATCCGTATGAGAGGAGGTGGTGAAGTACTCAAAGGGGCGAGTAAATGAATGCATGTTTTTAGTGTATGTTTCTAGTGTCTTGTAGCACATGGGTTTTGCACAATTGTGCCGTGTATGGAGTGGCAAACATGCCAATTGTATCACTGCCGTGGATTTGAATAAATTGAATAAGTTAACTAGATATAAAAGTCGTGGTGTCTTCGAGGAAACATGATGAAAGAGTGAGGAATAGAGATAAATGAAATGGATACAGTATCAGACTTGTGGTTGCTAGAGTACAATGCATATGTGATTATGGTGTTGCGGCTACAATAGCGAGAATGTTTGCAAAAATGGAGTGCGTAGACGATTATCATAGGTGTCAAGACGTTGCGCGTTTATGGAGACAGTTCTTCGCGGTCCAGGATAGTCATAAGTCCTGACACATTCTGGACTCTGTCCAAGGCCACTGGTTTTTGAGGATCTGGGATGGACGACCGCGAAGCGGAAGCGCAGTAGCGGACCTGGACAAAGGGAGGAACTTCTTTAGGATCTCGAAAACTCAAAACGGACGGAGAGCCCAAGACGAACCTGGACTTTGAAAGATCCTTGTCGTCTATCCCTAGGGACACGTATAGAACACTCCCAGCTGATTGCAAGCGTAAGGAACAGAAAGGTATCTCCACGAGCTCCACACACCTTTCATCTACCAAAACATTTGCACCCATGCTCTCTGCTCTTTCAAGCAAGCTTGCTCTCGACCCCCTCAGCAGCTTTGGAACATCCACTGCGTCCCTACAAAAGAACAAGTCGCTCTGCACCAACGGGACTTTGCGTTTGGACGTAGCTCCCTCCCCTTGCAGTAAGGGGTAAGTCTGTGGCTCGCCGGAAGTGGAGACAATGGATTCAGCCTTTGACGTGCTGCGTCGTAGTTTTACGAATGCATTGGCTACAGTAGAGATAGTCAGTGGGCTTCTGATGGGGGATGGAGGAGATGATAGCATTTGGGATATTATTGATATCAGCCAATTGATAAATATCGCGTACAAAGTTTAGGTGCTATATAAGTACATAAGTGTACTGCCGGCTCCGGCCAGCGTCGGAGTTTACATTGACTCCAAAGGCAACACGTCCCCTTTCATATTTCAGTTCTAGCCTAAGTTAGTCTAACTCACAGTGTGGCACAGTACAAATCGTGTTTCACACCGAACAAAGATGTGAATCATCCATTCAAGTCGCAACCATCGAGTGCTACGAGACCCTTGCACAGTGTCAAAAAAAGTACATGATTGGGGACTTTTCTTCCGGTATCGAAGCTCCTTCGGCGTCAATCATCCTCGTGTTCAGGACTGCGACGAGCGTGGCATCTGCGTTGTGGAATCAAACAAAAATATGTCAGGCCAAGACCACACCTGCATGGCTAATAGTCGTGGCGCATCATGATTTAAACCTTGTAGGCTGACAGTTCATGTGAACGGCCAACCCAATGATTGAGCTTAGGCCAAGATGAAATCCAACACGTCCTTCGACATACGATTCATTAAACTGATGACACGCAGCTTCTCATGCGTCAGCGACGTGGCGGCTGCGCCCGCACTGCCAATGAGCGCTAGACAACTACTGTACCGCTCATGACGAGGGAGTACGTACTGTGTATAGCAGATCCTCGTGCATCAAGGCATGTTTCATGAACCGAAGCCGTTCCATTCCTCTGGTTCTTCATGTTCTTTTTTGTTCATTGGCTTTTTCTTGGCGCCGGCAACCAAATCGTCGCCGGCTTCCGATTTCTTGAGGCCCAACATGATTTCATGCACTATACGTTGTATGACGCAGTAAGATCTAGGGAACAAACTTCCATGCTAATGACTTACCATCTCCCGATATTATGTCGTCAGCGATGGGCCGACTTCCAGAGGTGATGTACCTAGTCGAGACACCTCGGCTAAGGAGTGGCTGGGACATGAGTTGATTTAATTTAGCTTTCAAAGCCGCAATCTTTGCGTCGCTTTTCTTCTTCCGTTGTTTTGAAGGGTGACTTTCATCCGCGTCGCTAGACCGCCTTGTCAGCGTGATCATTTCATTGCGGCAGTGTGAATGTTCACCTCAAAATATCGGAATCAAGCTCTATCTCCATCGCTTCCGCAGTTTCCTTTAACCAGTTCCGTTCATGATTCTGCTTCTTGATTTTGTGTTGCTGGGAATCGATTTGTCGAGCAAGCAAGATACGATTTTTGAGCTTATCGAGAAGCGTTAGCTCCACTGATACCTCAGGAATATCTGCATCGTCTGATAGTGCGTGCGTTGAATATACGACGAGAGAGCAAATGTTGCCGTCACTTACTACGACCCAGGCTTGCTAACAGTGCCCTTACCACTCGACGCTCGTCGGGGGCACACATCAACAAGCTAAAACCTTTCTGCATCGCACGAGCAGTACGTCCGTTGCGGTGAACGAACACATCAGCGGAACGTGGTATTTGATAGTGAACGACATGGTCGACGGCAGGTATGTCAAGACCTCTTGCAGCAATATCTGTCGCCAGGAGAACGGCATTCGTAGTCGTCTTGAACCTGCGATGTGCAAGTTAGCATGAATGCACTCAATGCGTACGGCGGGACATGAAAATTACCGATCAAGGTTTTTGAGGCGCTGGCGTTGCTCCATTTGTGAATGTAGAGGAAAGGCCTTGAGGTTCAGGAGTTCCATCAGTGGACTGAGTCGCCTGATGCCGTCAATCGACGATAAGAACACGAGGGAACGGCCAGGGTACCGTAACAGGAAGTAGTATAGGTATGCATCCTGTGGGGTATCAGGCGCCATCTGCGCATGTGTGGTTGACGTACGCACCTTATCTGTGGAAAGACACTCTATTTTGCTCTCTTTGAGTGTGGACACAACGCCTCCTTCGGGACTAATGTCAATTACAGCCGGATCGGGGTCACGAAAGTCAAGGCGCAGAAGAAGGTCGTCTTTGGGTCGTTTTGTTCAGCAACGTTTGGGAGCATTCGAAAATGAACATACCAAGTGTGCTAGCCGGTTTGAACAACTTCTTATAGCTCTTCTGACGATAACTCCGTTTCAGGTTCTTCTGGAGATCCTTGCTGAGGGTGGCGGAGAAGACAAAGGTTTGCAGTGCATCCACAGGGGGAGCCTCAGCGTCCTCTGCACCTTTATGAGTATCGAGATAATCGTTCGGGGCTTCTGGAGGTTCAATTTCATCTTCTCTGGGAGTGGAACATGTCAACGTCTCAATGGCTACAAGGACATCACAACACATACTGGGATTTTCGAACCGTGAGCCGCAATATGTTGTCCATTTCAGCAAAATGTCCCGCTTCGACCATACGATCGGCCTCATCCAGCACCAAGAATTTCAGCTGGGCGATCTGTCTTGCCAGTCCCTCATCCTGGAGAACATGTTAAATCTGACAAGACAAATTGGAACAGGAGTCACAAACCTCTCCTAAAATGTCCCAAAGCCGACCTGGCGTCGCTACCAACACGTCAACACCCCGGTCAAGTATACGCCGCTGCTTTTGCGCCGACATTCCACCGACTATGGCAGCGATGCTAACGAGGGGTGGGGAAATCTTTTGTTCGTGCTGTTTTTCCTCAGCCTCGGTGTTTCTGAGATCGACTTCTTGTTCGTCCTTCATACCAATTACTCGTGCGAAGACATTGAGGTGATCGGAGACCTGTAGGGCGAGTTCACGGGTGGGAGCTAAAATAAGTGCCTGCAGTTTCCGCTTAGTCCTTGGCAGCCGAGGATGTGATAGGATACTGTGGAGAATAGGAAGCCCATATGCAAGCGTCTTTCCAGATCCCTGAAAAACATACCATAAGAGCAGTGAAGGTAGTGATAAGAATAAAACGAACGGTTTCTGCCACTCCAACGACGTCCCGCCCGTTCAAGGCTATCGGCAGCGATTTCGCTTGTATTGGGGTTGGTGTAGCAAACCCTCGCGAGTGAAGAACCTGTAAAAGATGGGAATGTATACAAAAAGCATGCCAATTTGGCAGCAAAGATTTGGCTGAAGGGGATAGAAAGGTCAGAAAATCGAGAAGGTCAATTGCATGGTAGCTAACGCACAGTCAAACTGCACTGAAGGATTCAGTAGTTCTGAGCTGGCTAAAGATGGCACCTCTGCCCCATGCTCAGAGCCCTTGATGGCCTTTGTTGTCTTGCTCGACGGTTCGAGGACCTAGAGTAGCGCTGATTAACGTCCATATGATGATCTGTGTCCTGCAGCTCACATTGAACTTCATGACTCTCCCTCCTTCTGTATCTTCGTACACCACTTCCACATTTTCCACCTCTTCTAGTTCCAGTATTCCATCGTCACCATCGAGGCCCGTCTCACTGGGTCGATGAACGGCCTTCCAAGGCAATCCATCTAAAGACGTGGGTTGGATTTTGAGTCGTTTTCTGGATGCTGAAGGGCCTGCCTTGGCCTTCCGTTTCACCAAAGCCAGTTTTGATTTGGGCTCTTCAGACATCAATATAATGACTTGCACGTATTACACGTACGCGGCGTATGTTCGGCTCGAAAATTGCATGAAAAATTCATTGGATATCGACAAACTTGTGCTATCTTTCCATTTCGTTGTTTGGCAAAAGCTTTAGAAATAAACAACCACTTTCGGCTATCCAAATTGGTTGTCATCGTGGGTCCCTTCCCTCTCTACTTACCAGAAGCCTTCAAAACACTTCTACAGCTGCACGGTATGTATCACGATCATTAGGCTTTGTGTTATATCTCAAAAACATTTTTAGCTAGTACGAACGAGTCGGCAGGACAGACTGGACAGTCAGACGCGTCCGAGTCAGTGATTGTTGTTGCTCGCTTCGTCTACAGTACTCTGTGTGTACTGCATTTTTGCTGCTGAAGCCAAATATTGATTTCTTATATAGCGCATATATAGGTGGGATGGGCATGCTGCGTGATTTGCCCGTAGAATTATGGCGTCCGATACTAGCGTCGCTGGTCCGATCGCCTGGTGCTCTCTCTTCCGACCGACAAGATCCATTCTCTGAAGTTCGAGATATCGACATATTCTTGAACCGAGACATGAAGACTCACTCAGCACTCCTTCTGGTCTGCAAAGTTTGGCATAACGTTGTCACAGAGCTTGCCCATGAGCACCTCCACTTGACGTCGGCAGAGCAAGTGTCTATCATCGCGAACCGCTTCGAAGAAAGCCGCAGGCGTTCAAAAAAGAATCCTCTGGGAAACTGCACTCGACGGATTGATTTGCAGCTGTCCAACCCATCCAATCAATGTTTAAACGCACTTGTGCGAATCCTGCGATGTACGCCAAACCTCGAAATTCTAGTCAACAGCAACTACTACATGACGATGAATCCAAATTTCCACGTCACGCCACCTCAGGCTCAGACGCGAACGGAAATTATAGATGCCCTCATCAAAACATGCTCCAGGTCACTACGACGAGTGGAGTGGACGTCCAACGAATATCCCTCTTGGAGTGACCTGATGCGCGTGCTTCGAACAGCCACTGGCATAACAAGCCTGACGCTCGCGAATATATATGGCAACCTCACGGAGAGACCATCCCACCTTATTTTACCCAACCTAAAAACGCTTATTCTCGGGGATAGTCCTTCATTCTCGCACGCGTCGCTGGGCAACGTTCCCCTGAACGCCCTCCTTACCATGCTCGCCAAGTCTCCGGAACAACTTCCGTCCCTGCAAAGGCTAGAAGGGTTTTCCCCCTTTAGTCCAGACTTCTTGCGAACTCACGGGTCAAAAGTGCGCATTGTTCGCACCGTCGCATTCACGCCATTATTGCCTGAAATCATCGCAACTTGTCCGAACTTGGACACCTTCATCACTATCTTTCCTCATCACATTCTGGATCTACTATCGCACCCTTCGCTGAAGAGGATTGGCATTTTCCCCATCAGTGAGGATCCCGTTGGCGTCCCGCAAGCGATATTCACCGCGTATATCATGAAGCCACTAGAAGATCTTTTGTGCCAGATTGACGAGTCCCAACTTCCGAAACTGACACAGGTCCGGATTCGCAACATTGGGACTTTAGCCAACATTACGGAACACCCCCAGTTTATTCAGAGGTGGTGGAAACGTTGGGATTCAAGGGGTATACGTTTCGATGACAAGGATGGTCGACCGTTCAATCTGGTGTCTTCAAGTACAGTACCCCTCATTCAGTTATCGCATTACACTCAAAATACCCACAGATGACGACAGTGTACTCGATATCGTGCGTGGACCATGATGCAAATCTTAATCCGGAGCCTCGAACTTCTTCACACTGAGCATTTTTGTCTGTCCATTTAACTTGAACCTACTTTTCCGCATTGTTCGGCACATTTCTTTCGTTTGCACGATCGTTTTATATTGATTTACAGTGCATGTATAACTTAACGATATTCGGAACATCCAATTTTAGGCTATAGATAATACGGTGATACACACTTGTTTGACATCGGGAAACGGAGGAATGAGTGTGTGGCTAGTTGGTAGTAGTCGCGAATAGCGTCCATCATTGTCCAAGAATCTAAAGTGATGTGAAACGACGGTGAGTCCAGAAACTTGAGTGCCAGACTACTACGAGTGTTTCCGTCTTGAAACCAGTGTGGGAAGCTGACCAGCTGCAACAGTGGATGCTTTGAATGTCCAAGAAAAGAATCTAAAGGATTGTGAGGAGACGGGACCCGAGTACCAAATCTACGAGTGTTTTCCGTCAGGATAGCGTTGGGAGCTGACCGGCTGCGATAATGGATATTCAGTGACAGGTCAGTGTTTAGCATACGCAACACTTACCAGCAGCGCTGAAACGTGCTTTCGAGAATCATTTGCTTCGAGGACAGAGACTGACAACCCTCATTCGTTTAATTTCATGACCGGAGTTCTGAAAGTACCGCGTAGTGTCGAACGACCAATGCAAACTTCCGACAATCCAGGATGCGAGACCGCCGACGTAGACCGCAACGTCCTTGTCGATCTCAGGACCCCAGGAAGGGATAAGCCCACGATTTTCGTTGAAGCGGTCGATAGACTGCCTGCAGAGCTCGCCGACGAAGTCGACAGCAGACTGGAGGTCGAGGCACTGCTCGTGCATAACAACAGATATCATGTTGTGGGTATCACCTTTGGACTGTTCCACGTTATAGGAGAAGATGTCCTAAATGGGAGTTAGCGCGAGAAAGGTAAGAGACTGAAGTACTTACATTTGACCAAGTGACCAAGTCATTCGCGGCCTCGCCGAGACTCTGAATGATCGGGTGTTCCATGACTTCGTCAGGTATATCGAGATTGTTAGCGTATTCAATGAGTGCCCAGCAGGGCTTGCAGCCGCTGGTATCGCGACGCTGGGAGATATAGGAATCGAGGTCAGGAACGACACCCTTAGCACGGTCGATGGCTTGCACATGCACAGCTTGGAAAAAGAAGTCCATCGTCTCTATAAAGCGTCTGCCCGTTCCACGGGAGGCGGTAGGAAGCATACGTCTGTAGAAGCTGTATAACACATAAAAATTAGCTTAGTTATGGTCAAGATATGTATTCATACTCCTTGGTCATTCTGTTCAATCGGGCGGGCGAGTAATAGTCGTACGGGTGATGAAGCGAGTTCAGCACGACATCTGCAATGCCTTTGGTTCCAGCCCTGTCCATGTCGTCTGAGAGGTTGTCGAGGTGAAAGAGATAGTTCATGAAGTCGCAGCAGACACGAAGCTGAGGGAATCCTGCATCTGGGTAGCACATGGATGTGAGCTGACCAGCCTTGAGCCCGTGAATCGCCTTGCGCGACTTCGGGTTAAGGTTGTCTCCACGGAAAAGCCACCGCTTTGATTCAGCAGTAGCCTGTTTGTGATGGCGGTTCATGCGCAGCTTGAAATCACAGTGGGAGACGAGGTCAGGGAGGATGAACTTGGTGGGAGCGGCGATGATCGACATCTTCAGGGGGAAAAGGAAAGGTTTCTAAAGGAGAAAAAAGAAAGCCAAAAGAGCGACGAGAACCTTCAGCGAGAGTAAAATCAAGTGGAATGGGAGAGAGTTGTGGTCCGTGGTAGGCTGTGGGTTTTAACGCTGAACAGGAGCCCAGTCAAATTTGAAACCAGACGCGCGGACTGAATTCAATACGCTTTGCGACTGCTGGTTTGAAGATGCCAGACTTGCGCCTGCATAGAATAAGTGAGCCAGTGCATAATGACAGCTACATAATAAGAAGGAGGGAAATGGATCGGAGCGTGCAGTGCAATAGCTAATCGAGAACGTTCGCACACTTCACTTCAAGGCACTTCTGCTCTGGTACATTACAGCACTGATATGGACGCCCTAGTGCGCTTGAAGTGCCCGGCGCGGTAAGTTTGGCTTTTGCGGCCTCTCTTTCAGCAGAGGTGATGCAATCTGTGAACTGTTGAAAACCCCTTCATAACGAGCAAGCGGCTAGACCTGGCTCTGGAGAAGGAAATAGGGTAGAAGAAAGCGGGTATAGTTCATGATGGAATACGTCTCAACTGATATATCATTTGCATTTCTCGTTTCAATCAACGCGGCGGAAAGAAAATGTAGCGACTCACCAGGTCGCTCGAAGACCAACAGAATGCCACGCCCGAAGAACGTGACACATATGCTCAATTCGCACTTGGTGGAACAGGAAGTGATGCACTGGGCTACCTGTAAGGCCAGCTGTACTGGGTATGAGTCGCACTGTATGCCAGTGGAGGCTACACCATCGAAATCTCAAGTTACTGAGCTAGTGTAAAAACCATGTATACGGTCGGTACGGACAACTTGGGAAAATGTTCCTTGTCACTCGATTATGGTTATACCTAGGAGTGTTACATATAGTACTTACCATGCTGCTCCCGGCGATGTTCCTGCTTTCCGATAGCCCAGCGTGATTCAGGACAAAGGAACAGAAGCTATAGCTGCAAATTATATTCAAAATAATTTCAAAGGCTGTGAAGAGTGGTTTTCGCCAGTTGATAACGCTCACCGTCGGACGTCGAAGATTGAACGACCTTTTGGAAACGACTCGAAGCAAATGGACTAGTACGGTAGAGCAGAATTTGCGAGCGGACAACCACAGCAAAGCACTTCCCTTTTTTGGCAAGTCATTACGGTAGATTGGCTAGTACTACTTGGACTGAACTTGGACGCTTCAAGTCACTTATATATTCATCATGACCACCCGTATTCCCCTCCAACCGCCAAACGTTGGCAGTCTGCGATCTAACGCGCCACCAAGAAGGTTTTTTGGCATGCGGAATGATACTGAAGAGGACGACGAGCCTTCCGGGCTAGAGCGCAGCACAAGACGGGCGTCAGGTGGCCAGAACCATCGAAGGCCCAGTTTTGTCTCGCGCTGGAGAACGAGCGCGGACATGGAGAGCGCCATCAAGTCTCCAGCACTTGAAAGGCCTCCAATACCCAACGCTCTTCGCAGCAGCGAGTCCGACTCGACACCGTTACCAGTATTGCCTATGATTGTGTTGTCCATTGTAAGCCGCTGCGCGCACATATGTAACATGACTGATCAAGCGCAAAGACCATGCTTGGAGAGTTTCTTTCTGCCAATGTCGCCATGCCGTTTCTGCTTTTCATGGTCAAAGGTGCGCGACCATATGCGGCATCGTTGCTAACCTACTAACGAACTTGGATTCAGGGTTTGGTGAGATCAGCGACGAAGCCCAGATCGCCTTTTGGACTGGCATACTCGGTATTATTGCTATATGTCTTTAGTATTTGATTTCCCTCAACGGTCTACCCTAGTGTCCGCGTTCTTCTTGACGCAGTTCCTGACCTCATTATTATGGGTATGTTCTTCTGCACTAACGGTGTTTGATTGATTCTGATTTCGAGCAATAGGCAACTGCAGCAGAGAGACATGGTCGTAGACTGGTGTTGACATTGTCCTTGTTTGGGAGCGCAGTGACGGTGTTGATTTTTGGGACGTGCACGTCCCTGCGGCAAGCGATTGCGGTGAGATTGTTGCAGGGCATTTTCGCTGGGGCTGTCGGAGTGGCGCGCGGGTGCGTTACTACGATAACGGACACGACGAACGAGGGGAGAGCATATGCTATCATGGGGTGAGCTCCAACCGCCTGATTGACATTCTGATGCTGATTTCATGACCAGATTCTGTTGGGGACTTGGCGGTGTGGCGGGCGCCATTATTGGAGGGTCTTGTGAGTGCCTTCTACAAGAGAATATTAGTGTACTGACGATTGATCAGTTGAGAAGCCCGCAGACAAGTGGCCGAACGTGTTTGGCCAAGTGTCACTGCTAGTGGAGTACCCGTACCTACTCCCATGCGCAGTGGCAGCCAGTATCACACTTACAGGTGCGTTTGCGGAAAGGTAACATCACGCAATCACTCACTTATTCCTCAGGATCGTTCCTGTCGCTGTTTCTTGGCCGTGACGGCGGACCACGGGATGGTGTAATTCGGCTGCCACTAGAAAAGCCTGAAGATCGGCACCCGACCATTCAAGAGGAGGAAGAGGTCACCACCCCCAGCGCGTTCGATGATGCTGCACAGCCTGGCTTAGTGAGCTCCATTACGCGGAAAGTGTCCGGTCAACTATCTGGTTATTTCGGATCTCGCGATTCATTCACCACACAAGAGACGCCATCGTTACCAGTGCCGCTGACGGCGTCGATATCGCCCCCACTGGACAACCAGCGCAACTTCTCGAGGATCGCCCGCACAAATGGATCCGCTTATGGCTACGGGGGAGGCAATAGGGCGACAAGCACGACCAGCACGACCACGCTTGGTGCAAGGCGTGTGAGTACTGCCAGCACTGTAAGAAGGAGACACGGGAGTGTATTCGAGGGATCGACATCGCTTACGGATCCCAGCGACCTCAACTTTACTCAGAGACTATTGATGGCAAACGAGAACGCGGTAACAAACATTGCTGATCTTTGGGTAGCAGCGGCAATGAACGTGGATAATGACGAGACATTTGAGCCTGAGCAAGACCTAGATATGAATGTCGACTCGGAGTATATTGAACACGAAGACATTCCAAGTTCCGTGACATCATCTCCAGTTCATCGAGGGCGTTCCATTGGCCGCAACATCACAAGCGTATTCGGCAGTCCCGGCCAGCGCTCATCTGTGATGACGTTTGGGCAATCCTCGCGCGTGCGCTCAACAATGCTGGGTTCTCCTACACTGGATGGGGTACTGTTCACACTGCGTTCCCCTTCGATCTTCTCGCACCCTGGAGTGCGTACGCCATCCATTGTCCTCGATGCCCAGGCCCGTGTCCAGGAGTCCACTGGGGAGACTTCGTTGCTCCCCATCTTTGAACACAGGCAGTCTGTGGTGGAGTCGGAGGTCCCCCCAGAGAAACCTCCATCCCTGACCTCGCAGCTGCCTCTGGTTGTCATCTTTCAGTACGGTTTGCTGGCGCTTCACAGCACGACACACGATCAGGTGTTCTTGTCATATCTTGTTACGTACGTAGTCTGGGTAATACTGCATGCTTCTTACTGACCTCAATTAGCGACTATGAGTCGGGGGGTCTGAACCTCAATCCTGGGCATTTCTCCCAGCTTAGTATGGCTCGAGTTACTAGAGATGAAGAATATTTACTGATAGTGTCCTGCAGTTGCTCTCATGTGCCTCGCACAGATTGTATACCAGTTTTATCTCTATCCGTATGGCCGCTTCTTATGTTGATTGTCGCTCTGCTGACTTACTACTTTTAGAAACATCGGGCAAGTCTTTTCTGGTTCTTTGTACAACACTTCCCTGATTGTACTTGCTCGTAGACCCCCTCGAGGGCGCTTCTCCCACCTCGCAATGTTCCGTCTCGGGTCACTGCTATTTATACCGTCATACCTTACTGTTACAATGTATCGGGGTTTCGCGAGTTCCAATGACGAAGGAAGCTTCATTCTTATGACAGGTATGATGTGATATCTTTTTCCTTCCTGTTCCATGGCTGATTCCTTAATGTCAGCGCTGGCTCTGAGCACGTGAGTGATGTTTGGCAGTCCATGTGAGCATATCTGACGCGTTCGCAGAGCTGTACGTTATTGCGGAAACACATTTGGTTACACCGCCATATCCATCCTCCTGAATTACAGTGCGTTTGTTGACCTTGTACTCTATTGAAGTTCCCGCTGATAGTGTCCATAGTGACGCCCCCACATGCCGTTGGTTTTGCCAACGGAGTCGCACAGAGTATAGTCAGTCTCGCACGTTGTTTCGGACCCGTCCTCGGCGGATACGTGAGTACTAGCTCTGCGCTCTGGCGATACAATGACATCCTCACACGCATCATGTAGCTTTGGGCAGCTAGCACCAAAGACGATCCGTCAGGATATCCTCTCGGATTCGTGGCATGTGCGGGCGTATGTGCGCTTGCCGTTGCACACAGCTTTTTCATTCGTTGATTCGTCACTTTTGATCTTGTTGTCTTCAAATGTCTGCGAGATAGAGTACACTTATACTGTTTGTAAGCATATGATCATCCACAACTTTCGTGGACAAAGACAATGTGTCGCGACCAGTTTGCGTAGCTTAGTCAGCAGTGGGACAGCATCCAGTCTCTCCGTTTTTCTCTGCAACGATTTTCGGCAACCTCCGATTGCCGCGTATTTCCGTTTGAGTTCGCCCCGTAAGAATCACATGCATGTGGCAGATATCCGTCCCAGACCGAACAAAATTTTCCTCATAGTATCATCACACACACTCCTGCGAGCCGTTCGCATTTGCAGACAGCTGTAGCTGTTGGCTATAACACTGACAGATGGATGCATTGAAGATTCAGGACTTTGACGAATATTCATCAGTCTGCCCTGAAGCACAAGTGAGTTCGGTATCGGGAATGAGTGGGATCTTCCCTGCGACATGATGTGGACCGGTGTGTGGTTCATGTTATGCCATGAATACGAGGTCATTCAACTGCTCCATACAAATCATACAAGATACAATAAAGATGTAACTTGGTGCACAACAGTAACTTACTACATATCCAAGTCATGATAGACATCTAAATATTCGCAAATGGCGACCGGCCCTCCAAAAACATCGCCCATCCTTCGAATTTGTCCGGTAAGCTATTTAATGGCAAGCAACTATACAAATGCAGGGGGGGCACTCCCATCTCAGCACACAAAGACCGTGTCTCTGCGAAGCGCACTGCAGCCAAAGCAAAGTTACCATGCGCAAAGGCAACCTCCCCAAGTCCACGTGTGCTGAATGCTTTATACGACAGGTTGCCTTGCATATCGCAACCTTCAATCGTGGCGGTGAGATAGGACTCGGCCCTGTCATACTCGCCTGCAGTGAGCTCGATGCATGCCAATCCGTAAGATCGGTGGAGGAATATGCGTCCATTGCGCAGCGCAAAGAATTGGAAGGTGTCCGAGGCTTTGTGGATGAGCTCCCTCGCAAGGTCATAATTCCCCTGCTTGCTCATGACAACAGCCTTCCGCACGGTGTACCAAAGGACATTGTCCGAATGTTGTCCCTCGAACATGTCTATGATTTTCTGTAGATAATTTTTTGCGTCGGATAACTTGTCCTCGCAAAATGCAGCTTCTGCAAGCCCCTCAAGTGTGTCTTCGCGGTTGAAGACATCTCTGGCACTTGTGCATTGCAGGAGCAGGTCATCCAAGTGTGTGCGCACCTGGACAGCGTCTGCCCCATGATACAATTTGGCCTGCCAGTGCCAAATCTTGAATCGCAAGTCCCAGACGCGATCTTCTAAGGGTTTCACAAATAATTCATCCGCAGACACTGTGAATGTGTGCATCCGGACATTATCCAAGTTCTTCCAAGCTCGGGCTTTACTTGATTCGCTGAGAGACTTCCAAGAGTCTGAGTGCTGAAGATCCTCTAAGAGATTCTTGGATTGAATAAAGCGACCTTGAGCTCTAAGCACGTCTGCACGGATTGTAAGACAATACGCCATGCTATCGAGGTCGTCGACGGCGAGGTAGAGTGCCTCGGCAGCTTGGAAGGCCCGTACTGCTTCAGCGAGCTGAGAAAGTTTGTCGTACAGCTGCGCGAGAGCTAACAAGCAGCGTGCTTTTAGCGACAACGTAGAGGAATTCTCGACGATGTTATAAATAGCGAGGGTAAGGGTAGTCGGACGAGGCAAATGCTCCTCCAAGCACCGCAAAAATAGCCTGCAAGCGTTATAGATCTGTTCTATGTCATCTGGGACGTGGGCAAGTTTGAAAGCAATTACGTGCTCGATGTTTAGGTGATCCGAGATAATGATATCAGCATACTGATCGCGATCTTCTGAACAGCAGTCGATACTGCGATAGTAGAATGCACATATCTCTTGTAAACACGTGGAGTCAGGCGGGGACAACGAATCTTGCACATAATGTCGAATGGGTGCGAGCATCTTGATGAACTTGTCTTGACGATAGACGAGTGATTGCATGCATAGAACATCGCATATAGCGTCGACTTGCGGGAGCGATGGCAATAAATCACTAGCCAGGTCCTCGTTGAGACCCTGGGGCAAGAATGCGATGATCGCTAAAGCACGACGACCGTCCACTCCGAGATCAAGGACCGACGGCGAGCTGAGCGACAGCGCCATGGTGTCTGACAAGCTTTGCAGCTTCCCTTTGCCGGCGTCGAGCACCTTGCTGTGCCGATCCTTCCATCTCTTGAGCAGCGTGGCTGGAGACCAGCTATTTTGCTGTGCGGCATTCGCGAGTATATTGATGGAAAGGGGGTGAAAATCCAAGTCCTTGAGCAGGCCTTTTATGTCTTCTTCGGCATCGCTACGACTGGTGTGGTGATAAATCTGAAAGAACACTGCTTGGGCAGAGGTCAAGTCCAGCGGCGGGATATCCTTCGTTATCCATCGCACGTTCGGTGCATTCCTTCTACTGCGTGACGTGAGGACCAGAATGACGCCAGATATATTAGCAATCTCAGAAATGGCTGGCGGTATCTCTCCCAGCGTCGTCGATGCACTGGCCTCTTCGAAAGTCTCAGCATTGTCGAGGACAACGAGGGCGCTGGAAGAACGAAGAAAGGAAGATATTTGGCGCACGGGATCAGCACCAGCAATTTCTATGCCCAGGGCTCCCGCGAAACGAGTCGTAAAAGTTTCGAAAGTGATGGTCGAAGGATCGAGGCCATCGTAAGTCACGAAGAAGCGCCGATCAGTGAATTTCTCCGTGACGAGTGGCTCGTTGAGGATGGCTTTGGCAAGAGAACTCTTTCCCATGCCCCCCGGACCAATCAATGCAATATGCTCATCATTGACGACGAGGTTCGTCAACTCTGCCACAAGATCATCGCGGCCATAAAACATAGCAGGCCGTGACGGAGGCTCAGTTGGGCGATACCTGATTGCGTTTAGAGGACACTCATAACCTGACAAAAATAGCAACGTACTTTGGAGCAGTGATACTAGCAGCATTACCCCTGAGTAGCTTCTTCACATCGATTGCAATGCCAGTAGTCAGTTCAGACTTAACATGGCATTCAGCAGGCAAGTCGGCATGATGTTACAGAGACATACATTGAAGAGTGCGAGGACGCGATCTAGATCCTTCTCCCATCCAGCGATCTGGTCGCGATCGATCGTGACAGAGAAGAGACTCTTCCAAAATCCTTGCTCCTTCTTTGAGGCCACTTCTGTATTGATGCGGTTAACCGATCTGCATGGTGCCATCACTTTCCGGTAACAAAAAAATTAATGTGGCTCGCGCTCACATGTTAAGCTCAGACAAGGCCTCCCCCAAGGACCCTTGCAGATCATCTTCAGTAGCATCCTTGGTTGCTCTTTCAAGTCGTTTCCTGATAGTTTCACATTTCTTGACTATCACCAGAAAATCGGACTTGTTCTTGATCACCGACTACACAGACCTGAGGATCCTTCACGAAAAATCCCGAAGATTACGCCAACGCACCTGCGCGATAATCAGGATGTTGGCAACCGTTCCGAGGATACCTTTCGCCAGGTCATTAGGAACGAGGTCTCTTGTAACTCCGATTGCCGCTATAGTGAAACCCAACAATTGGCTCACGTTGTCGTCCTGCAACTCCTCAGTTTCAGGAGCGAGTTGTTTTGAGTCCTATGATAGATCAGATACACAATTGTGGTACCTAGATATACGTGGTTCCTCACCTTCGATTTTTTGGACCCTCCCGCCTTTGGCTTCTTGGATAGTGGCATCGCCTGGGTTAGTGTGGTGGATTCAAATTGGAGGGGGTTTCAGTCATCGACTCGCGGAACGAGGGCCTCCGTCTACTTCAAGGCATAGAGTGGGAAACTGCACTGCCTAGGTTGTGCCTAGGCGCTACTGGGCCCATCAAGAGGATTTGTATCCTTCCCGAGTCGTCCCCGAGTCGTAGAGGATTGCTTTGTTTTGATGATCGGTCGAAAGCCCTGTCAAGAGGAGCGTACGTGTGCGAATATCGGAATCGGAATGTCTCTGTTTGTAGCCCATTCAATTCTGACGTAGTGTAAATGTGTCGCGACCAGTTTGCGTGGCTTAGTCAGCAGTGGGACAGCATGGGTAAACAGACTCGATTTTAGAACTGAACCAAGGTAGCTATAGGTACTTGAACTTGAATAGTATATTTAGTATGTTTGGCTCCTTTCTGTTCTCCCTCACCATCGTCCAGCTAGTCCCTCCGTTTCAGTTTGTCGTCATCGACGTGTCCTGCCAGTGCGTCCTGCTCGGTTTTGACTCGGAGGAGTTTTGATAACGACCTCACGGTTCATCCCAGAACTTTCTCCAGGCTGGACTGTCGTCTTTGAGCTCTTCTTAGCATTTTCGCACTGTCACAGTTACGTATTGATACACGTCGTAGTACTGTCTGGCTGTACCAAAAACACACAGCTGCCAGGAATCCCAGGATGCTATCAACCGCGGCTTTGTGGTAGATTCCATTTGCCTATACATGATCGCTGGCGTGGCCATGATGCGCTACACCTACGTCTACCTCCCTGATCGTGTAACCAAGATATGGATATGCTTCCTCACTGCAGTCCTCACTTACGTCGGTGATATTTTGGACAAGGAACAAGACCTGATGCGTGCGTACCGTTTCAACGATCGGGTTTCGAGCTGCCAGAAATAAGGTGATCATGTCCTGAACGCGCTTGACGCACTCTTGCGAGAGACCGCTCACCATTACTCACCACGTGTGCCGAATCTGATTGTCATGTCCTCGCTCAACTTCTTGTCTTCCCTTGTGCTTGATCATGAAACCAAGAATATACAGGTCCGCTATTTCTTTGAATAAAAGCAGTTTCAATTCCTAACCCTTGGTATTGATAGGTTCCGACAACGGCTCCTTTGTATCCCGAATATTCTAGGCTGCCGCTATCAGGCTTGGCGTGCATACGAACTCTTCATATTCCCTTCCACGCTCCCTCTCCAGGAATACATTCAATCTATGCCAGATATCGTCATCGTCATAAACCACGCAATGTAAGTGCATCATGGACTTCATATTACTAAATTTTCTAATGTCCGGTATTCAGCTAATCTCTGCATCAAGTCGTTCAGAAAACTGTGCGAGCTCATCATCATATCCTCGAATCCCTGAAACCGCATATGGAGGCCTATGGCGCCTTTATCTGTTTTTTTTTCGTGGGTAAATAGGGTTCCATACTGTCTTGAGGAGGTGCGATCTGGGGGAGATTGTGCTGTAGAGGCTTCTTGATGCAATCCACCCCTTGTTGGGACACTTCGAGTCTTCTATGACAACCAATGTGTTCATCGTCACATTTTGAGATAGCTGACTCACCTTTCTTACCAGTACTCGGCTGACTTTCGTCCCTCCACTTTTGTTGCTTTCTCCAATAACGTTGCGACTTCGATTGTTTGCGTCACTAGCTTCCGCAATTTTTCCATGTAAACCTTTCCTGTTATTGAACAAACTTATCTCTCAACCAGCCTCAACTCCACCAGCCAAGACCTATGACTGGTGGACGCTGCATGCACTTGATAACAGTCAGCTGCATGATGACCATTGACCTGAGTCGAGGAACGCATGACGCAGATTCTAAAACTGACCGATCATTAAACAAATTTAAACCAGTCTCTATTGAAATGTCTGTTGAGTCTCCACATCCCTGAGGTCCGTTTACTCACAACATTCTGCAAGGCGCTCTGTCCTCTCGGTCACCATGGCTGTTGATCCTCTCCAGCTCCTTTCCCTTATTGCCTTCCTATCCGCCCTTGAGGCTCGCGGAGTGTGTCTAACCACTGGTCTGACCAACACGACCAACTGTTTGCCTTTCAACAGACTGTTGGACAGCTCTTGGTGCGGACCGTCAAACACTAACGCCGCCGCTCCCAATATGAGCCCCTTTGGTTATGCAAGTAGAGGCTTCTTACAGCATCCTTCCGCCCCTGACCGGTCTGACCCTTGCTATCCTTTGGGCTTTTCGGACACGACATCTTCCACTACATCTTTTCTTCTGCTCTACCAGTTCCTCCTTATCTTCTCAGGTCAATTTGCTGCCATCTCACGAGAGATCTTGTCTCTGCGTCGCTCCGTTTCCTTGCTCGAGTCCTCGTTGTCTGCAGTTGAGGATCAAATCGCTCTACTTACCAACGCTCATGAATCAACTTTGGCACCGCCCAAGGACGAACCGGCATTTTACGATACCGAAAAACTGGGTCAACAATTACAGCACCTTTCCAGCATGGTGGCCGCCCAGCAGGGACAAATGAGCGCGCTGCATGACACGGTCGGTGCACTGCAGGCGTCCACAGTCCACATTGCCCCAGATCACCAATTACTTGCTGAACAAGCGCGGAGTTATGAAGAGTTTGACGCTTCCCAGAAACATCACCGAGATCAATTGCCTACTCAGATTCAGGATCACATTGAATGCAACAAAGTTTACACTGCTTTGCGTCAGGATCTGCAAAAACTCTCGGACTTGACCTCGATCAATGATACCAAGATTAATGTATCGTTGGATCACCTCCGTAGTCAGATCGTCGACCAAGTCAAAGACCAGAACCGGACTGAGAAAGAGGTTGTACTCTTGCGCGAACAGATGTCAAGAAAATTTGGGGCGTTTCAGTCACGAGTATCTTCTCTTACGTTGGACGCCGTGAAGGTACCCCATGGTGTTCAACTATCGGACCAGGCTGCCAAAGAAGCTCGTCGGGCAAAGGCAATGGCGGGAGTGAGTTGTCGTGTCATACAGCTTCTAGGTATGCAAGACCCATTGATCAATTCCATTATGACCCTGACATCCACTTACAGCCGAAAATTCGCGGTGTGTTTTGGCTAACGGAGACACCATCCTACAGAATGACGAAAACGGTGCGGTAGTTCCGTCTGCACGCTCTTCACCAATCGGACTCTCCTCAGTGGCTTCATCGAGACCTCTGGTCGGGCGCTTTCAGGTGGGTTTCTTCAGTCTGTTGGAGTCCACGTTCTTTTATGATTGCTGACCCATGCTCTTCTCTTGACCAACAGGGCTCTGACGTATTCAAGGTTTCGTCACCCTGTGTCCAACGGGTTGAGATTACTGCTCCTTCCGACACCAAGGTGCTGTCTAATCCGCATTCAACACCCCCATCTCGGCAATACACAAATTGCAAGGGTATGAGTCGATCATCTTCCTATTCACGGAGTTAACACAATGGGTAGAAAACGTGGCTGGTACTATTCATTCGAATTCTTCCTCCGTCAGTGCTGCTTGTTGCCAAGATGATGCTGGGGTTAGCGTCCTTAGGAGGAAACAGAAACCCATGACCACTCCCTTCCGACCCAAGGGTGCGTTTCCCCCCGTTAGACCTTCATATCAAGCGACAGAACGCACCTTGTTTTAAATCACAGATGTCAACCGAATCCCGACGCCTTCACCGTCATCACACGCGCTCGATGTGATATCTACCACAACGGTTTTACCTCGTCCAGGACTCTCTGCATTACAGCGTGGTCATGTATCTGCGTCACGAATCCTGGAGCGTATGTATTCAAACTCTGTTGACTTTCGTATCAATAATCAGACGCGCACACAGCTGGCGACTCGGAATACCGCAATAAGAGCCTCTATGCTTCTCCTCTGAGCGGTGCCCGCACCCGAGGGTGGCTATAAGAGCCGAGTACTATCTGCCATCTCCCCATCCTTCTTGAAATTTGGCGACCAACAAGTGTCTTTCTCCGTTTCCCTGCGTCGCAATGTCAATGACGCACAGGTAATTACAGCCTACTAAGGACTCGATTTTGTGCGCTGCTGGCACCAATTTCTATGTACAGAACCTTGTCAAATTTTCAGCCTGCCACATTCTGCCCAGCATAGTTTGCCGTCTGGCAGGGCCAGTTCTGCCCTGCCACGTGGCGGAATGAAAGAAAGACTGGTCCTCAGTCACTATGCAACCGAGAACTGGTGAATCTCACCGGTATCATCACCCGTCAGTCTGGTTCAATCCACCATATTTTAAGTTGAAGATCACCAGGGATTGGTTATAACAACCCACCCCGCAGGTCATTTTTTGTGGTGCCAAAAACCACATTTTTTGCCGGATTCACCATCTCGAAAATGAGCACGTCCCACGGTGCATACCACTGGTTTAGTCAGTAATTTTTACTGTTCACCTCCACCAACATCATTGGTGAACCTCACTCGCTCCGCTAGTTTAGTATACAACTTGTATGGGTGATCTAAACCAGTTTCATTGGACTCTATCGTGGTTTGAACGACTAGCGAAAATGTTACTTTTCACCATGGTTAATTAACCAATCGACTCGTCAGCATCTTGCGCGCATCCGCACAAAATCCGCTCAAGCGCCCAAATCTTCGTCATCATCACCCGCTATCTCACGCTCACAAGATCCACTTCCTTCTCCTACTTCTCCATCTGAGTCGTCCGAGTCATCGAATCGACTCCGTTTGTTGTTTCGAGTACCCACAGTGGCACCTGCCTTTCGTTTTTTGTTTGCCTTCCGTTTGTTCTGCAAGAATTGTTTAACCAACTCCGCTGTCGCCCAATCATTCTGAAACTTCTCAAGGTGAGGGTGGTCCCGTCGTGCCTGTAAATCATATTTACTATCACCGCGGGAGGAGATCTAACTGACATGCACACCAATTTAAACAGTTTCGCGAGGCTGCTCGTGGGTTGAGCATTGTACAACACCTTAAAGTCCAGATCCACACGTGAGCACAGCTCGTGAACTGTGGTCTATGGTACCGGTACCATTAGTAAGTGCTGACTCGCTATTTGTTTTGTCAAACTACTAACCTGAATTGCAAGATATTCCGCTTTATTGTTCTCCAGCTTCATTGCCTTGAGCAGACGGCCTCTGCTGCCCGAGTCCTTCATTTCGGCAGTGGTTGGTTTCTGAATGAGCTCATGCATAGGATCGACACGGGAGTTTCTGATCTTCTCTTCCGCAACTTTCTTGGCAGCTTCTGCCTCTGCAGCTGCGAGCTTGGCTGCCTGCTCTGCTTCCTCAAGTTGCAAGATCTTTGCTGCACCGAAATATTGTTTGTCATTCACGATACCCATGGTAAGTAAAATTTCCGTACCTTTGAGACGAGAATTCTCATCTTCAAGCTTTGTATTCTTCTCTTGCAGCACTTGCTTTGTTAAATTTTTATTTGGGGCTTTCGAACCTGGAGTCATCGGAGTCATTGTTTTGGCTGCCGTCGGCCCTCTACCTGCTCCACCGAGTCCAGAAGATACTGATGGGTTGCTTGGTGCAGCCCCGTTTTTCTTCGCTGCTGCAGTTGGCCCTGCAGGTGGTAGGTTCTCGTTGCTGCCAGGCATGGTTATATTTCAATCTGATGAGAGGGCTGAATGTGGGTATGATAACTGGCTGCGACGTTGGTGTGGGCGAGCTTGAAAATTTTGACAAGTCGTTTGTTTATCCTTGTATGCAGCCACTCAGATCAGTGAATTGAAGTCATTTTGTCCGTGAAAGCTTCGCCGTGACACCTATGGATAAATCTCAACACCGTCCTCCAGCACGTAAATTATGTCGCTGTTGTAACAAATGGGTCAGCGAACGAACGTGGCGGAATCACCGCCTACTCATTGCCCCTCCACGTTTGAAGGCCACATCACCCTATCAATCGAAACTTCTTGCTGCACGCAAACCTCCAAAAGTTAGGAGTCTAGCTAAGTGGACAGATATTGCATCAAAAGCTCCACTCCGAGAGGAAATGACAATAGGTGTGTCTCCGTGGTCTAACGAAACTCATATCTAATCAATACATCCTGTTCCTACAGACGTGCAGGATGTTTTCAATACAGAATTCAGTCCTCCGAGTCCATGTGATGCACTGACCATGGCTCGCTCATCTGAACCCTTAACTGATAAAGAGCAAGACGAACTCGAGAGCACCGGGGATGAGCACTCTGGCTCTGACTCTGACGAGGAATTGGGACAAGATATGGGGCTCGAGACTGATGTCGAGGATGAGTTCTTGGGTGAAAGGGTTGAACAGGAGCTCTTGGAGATTGGTATGCTGTCACCGTGAAATTCAGGGTAATTAATCTTATGAACGAGCAGGCGAGGACCTCAGCATCAACGACAAAGACATCTTGCGTGCTGTTGCATATAAAATCAAGTCACATACCACAGAGGCAAATTTCAACATGCTACAGTTTGCTTTTCCCTCTGCCAATGTTCCGAGCCTTAAAAAGGCAAAATCCCGAGTCGCATTTCTATCAGGACTAGAGCCTCGACATCGTGACTGTTGTGTCAACTCGTGTTGTTGTTTTGTTGGACCAAATGAAGATCTTGAAGTCTGTCCGCACTGCAGTGCACCACGTTACCAGTCAAACGGGCAGCCACAAAAACAGTTCTCCTATGTGCCTGTCATCCCACGACTCGTCTCTATGTTTCAGAATCCAGCATTAGCATCCAAAATGAAATACCGTGCCCATGATCACATACACACCCCTGGATCTATCAGTGACGTCTTCGATGGTTCATGGTACCGTGAGCTGCTCACGAAAAATGTTGCATATTTTTGTCGTTCTCGTTCCACATACTCCGGCACTCAAAGTTGATGGGCCAACAACCATTTTCCTCGCTGCATTGTCAACATGCAAACTCGAACCCACCCCTTCAAGCCTGTCTTCCCTCGACATTCACTTTTACAGCAACCTCAATGATACCTTAGATATTGTGGATATTGTTTGCTTGCAATGTCTCGTCGGCCGTGTCCCTATTGATATCGATGGAGGACGGAAGTGGGCAATCATTGACCGAAGTGGAAATCTCGCTCGTGCAGTTTTTGAGGATTGACTTCAGCAGACTAGTAACATTGTTCTCGGTGTATGATAAGTACTTTTTAACTAACTCGAGGTAAATTTTTCATCTCGAGCAACTGAGCCTTACATTCTGCATCACACCGTTCTTTCTCCGCCTTCCATCGAGCCTCAATGAGATTAATGATAAAGTCTGCCGACACCTCGAGAACGTTATCCTTCGCGCCGGATGATTCGTTCGGCTCGAGCTCAGCCTGGACTGCAAGCAATGCAAGATATTCGGCAGCTGTGGAGATCATGATCAGGACATATACACGAGGCATGAAGATGGAGGAGGAATACAAAATTCGGGAGGGTCATTTGGGTTGTCGGGGATCTTGAGGCGGCGAAACAGAGCTCGAGGCTTGTGTGGTCTGGTGAAAGGTGGTGACTCAGAGCGTGCACTTGGGATCGAGAGTCAGAGAAACTGCGAGAGACTCGGATGAAAGAAATTTGGCTTACCGTTTGATGCCAGATTCCCGCGCTGCGGTCATAATTTATGTCGACGTCGATGGTTGCGCTAGCACTCTAAACGTTAATGTTAACGTGCGCGCGCGAATGGTACGGTACATGGTGATAAGAACTGAAAAAAATGATATCTGTCATCGGATTAGGCAGTTTGTTCCAACTGGTGAAAATAACTGACATACCTGGTGGCTACAAACAGCATGTTGAATGGTGAGTGTAGTGGCTTACAAAGTGTTGAAAATCACCCGCACAGGTGGTGATACGAAATCACCTGTTTCGCACCGGTCACCGACTAATCACCGGTTCAGAAGGTGAATCGTACAATACACCAGCACGATCGGTAATTCGAACCTCCTTCCGGTTTTGTAGTGAGTGTTCTATATTGAATGTAAATATCTGCTGGAACAGTGCTACAAGTGAGCGAGGTTGCAGCAACAAGTAAGGCGGATCACACATAGCGAGCGGGAATAAGTGCCGTAGTAGTGCCAGTACTGATATGAAAGCTTGAAATAAACCTGTCGCGTTTTGCAGTGTCCTTGACGTGTTATAATTCGTAGCCAACTTTCCGGACATTTTTGCCAAAGAAAGAAGGCGAAATCGACCAAAGCTTCGCCGACCCGAATGCTCGGCGGATGCCATGACCTTCAATTAATACGCTGCCCTTGCAGATCGCTTCTCCAGCTGCGTGGGTTGGAGTCCATCGAAGATCGATATGCTCACTCAGACGTTTTATAACTCTGCGTGGGTCACTTCCATGCGTAGACACGCGCTAAAAAACTGCTTGAGCGCCCATTTCTACAGTGGCGATGCCAAAAAGAAGCCATTCGACATCTTGTTCTTTGGTCGCGACGAATTCTCTTGTAACGTCTTCAAGCAATTGCATGACGCCCGAGGTAAGTGTGGATGATAGCATGGGTAATGCAAGGTTTATTCTGACCGGAATGTAGATGTTTGGCAATCCGTGTCGATCGCTACCAACCCAGACGTGAAAACTGGTCGACGAGGTTCTCATTTATCAATCTGTGCTTATGCAATTTTTTTCATGGTGGTCACATATATTTACGGCTGCTTTGACAGCTCCACTCAAACTACTTGGAGAATCTCTCGAGGTTCCAGTTCACACCATACCACAACGAAAGGTTGACTTCAGGGGTTGGATAGTGCGTGTCACCTCCTTTTTTGCTGAACTGATTTCATGTTCTACGCAGCCTCCAGCACCATTTGTGAATACCAACGAAGCTCACGTCTCCGTCCCTGCCAGTGAAACCCATCTTCTTGTCACTGCTTCCTTTGGACGCATTCTCCGCCCTTCACTCCTACACCTCTTTCTGCCCGGCCAGCGACTTAATGTTCATCCGAGCTTACTGCCTGCATACCGAGGTCCGGCGCCCATTCAGAGAGCTTTAATGCGAGGAGAAAGGGGGACAGGTGTGTGCGTTATTGATATGATGGAGAAGAAGGAAGGGATTGATGCGGGAAGTGTGTGGGGCTGCGAGAGCATGGCAAGTAACATGGCGGTCAAATGATCATACACAACTTATGGTACTGCAGGTTGTTCCAGAAAATGCGACATTTTCTTCGCTGTCAGTGGAGCTGGCCCGGACAGGAGGAGATTTGCTTGTCACGGTACTTCGGGATATGTTACTAGGAAACGTGAGTCCGCTGGAACTTGGTTGGACATAATATTTACGTTTTGGAGCAGGCTCGTAGCATCCCGCAACCTCCAGTCTTACCTACCACCCCACATGCTTCTGCAATATCCGCTTCCGATGCACATGTTGATTTTACATCCCAAACTGCGTTGGACATCGTCCGACTGTCTCGCGCGATTTCACACCAGCGTCCTATAACGACGACAATGCTCGATGGTCGTACTCTTCAGCTGCACCATGTCAGTGTCTCCGTGAGTCATAATGATATGGGTCCTGTTGAGCCTGGGTGGGCAGTGTACGCTCCACATACACGCACGATACTCATAAATTGTGCTGACGGAGAGTGGCTGAGTGTTCTAAAGTTAAAGACCCAAGATCGTGCGCTTCTGGCTGCGAAGGAATGGTGGAATGGGGTCAAGGGGCTAGGCTTGCTGCATGAGGGTATGCTGAAACTTTGCTAGAGGGTTCTTTCATGTCGGTGTATCACATACTATCAAAGAAGTGCTTCTCGAGCGCTTGTTACAGGTCCAGACTCGGTTCACACTGCGGAGTTTGGGAAAGGTCCACCCGCCACATTCCCGGGTCTTGGATAATGATTGTCACTGACGCGTGCCTCGTGTGGATGCATGTGGTTCAGGATTGTATTGACGGCCCTACAACCCTCGAAGAAGTGCGTGGTAGGTTTGTCCAATCAGCGTAAGGTTGCATTAAAAGCCCTACAACCCTCGAAGAAGTGTGTAGTAGGTTTGTCCAATGAGTGCAAGCTTGTATTGAAGGTTCGTCAAATGAGTGTTAGCTTGTTCCGATCAATCACCCACGCAATTACATGTAATGTATCACCTGCACCAAACCTGCAGGAGTTTGTGATATATGGGGGCCGCCGATAAGCTCCCCTTCTGCCAGTGTATGCCCCAGAAACGATCTGTGCCCGAGTAGTAATTATTGGTCGCATCAAAATGGTGTAACAGGCCTCGATAGTTCAAGTCGAGGCAGCAAACCGACTGACACAACATGCCACTTGAATGAATCATCTCCCTGGATCTGTCCGAGGATACAAATTGAAGCAATCTGAACACTGGCGCCTGAGGAAGACTTGAGGATAATGGTGATGATGATATCGACGACGTGTGTTTGGCCATCTATGCCATCATGATGTACAGCTCAGGTGTCGCGGTCATGAGACAAGTACGTTGCCCGCGTTTGACGCGACGCGACTCTTTGTCCTTGTTTGTTCGTAATGGTCCTGGTCCAATGTAGTTCAGTGTCACGTCCAGACAAAGACTCGCTCGCGTCTGCTTAAATTCCTAACAATCTGAACTTCATCTGTCGTTCGATAGAGCTTAGGGCTTCTGAGCCACTCATTGCAGCCTACTCATAGAAACACTTGATCATGGGAATATCTGGGCTTTTACCCTTGCTGAAATCAATCCAGGTTCACCGACACCTCTCAGAATTCGCTGGCCAAACATTGGCAGTGGATGCTTACGTCTGGCTTCACCGGGGAGTCTATGCCTGCGCCACCGAAATAGCCACTGGAAAAAACTCTACAAAGTCAGCGTTTTTCTGCTTGTCCGGGTGCAGCTCGCGGTTGCCGGCATGCTCACCTCCTCACCCTCTAGGTATGTTGACTACGCTATGCAGCGTGTTCGCTTACTGCGTCATCACAAAATACAACCTTACATTGTGTTTGACGGCGGGCCACTCCCGGCCAAGACGGGCACCGAAACTGAGCGCAAGCAGCGGAGGGAAGAAAACCTTGCAAAAGCAAACGCGCTGGCATCCCAGGGAAGACACAAGGAAGCTCGGGAATACTTTGTAAAATGTATCGACGTAACCCCTCAGATGGCGTACCAGCTTATTAAAGTCTGCTCTCAATCCTTTGGGCCAGACACTACTCTGATACATTCTTCACTTTAGGCACTGCGCGCAGAGAATGTGTCATACGTAGTCGCGCCATATGAAGCTGACGCTCAATTGGCATATTTGGAACGCGTTGGTCTTGTGGATGGCATCATCACCGAAGACTCTGATTTGCTTGTCTTCGGATGTCGAAAGGTGCTCTTCAAGCTGGACTCCATTTCAAGTACTATTGTCTCAATCTCGAGGGACGACTTTGGATCCGTGACTGCTGCCGAAGGGGGCATATCACTTCTTGGATGGTCGGACGCTCAGTTCAGGGCTATGGCTATCCTTAGCGGATGTGATTATTTGCCGAGCATTCCAGGAGTTGGGCTGAAGACTGCATGGTCCTTGCTACGGAAGTATAGGAGCGTAGAACAGGTCGTGCGTGCTACAAGGCTTGAAGGGAAGAAATGTGTGCCGAAAGGGTATCTAGAGGCATACAATCTGGCGGAGAAGGTGTTTTTGCACCAGCGCGTTTATTGTCCCCTGGATGAGAGACTGGTCAACTTGACGGGTATTCCTCCAGGAGTTGAGTGGGGCGATAAAGAGGAATCGTATATCGGAGGGTAAGACTCTGAATAATTGGTTATTTGAAACTCGAGCACTGATTGGTTGCCCTCAAAGTGACATAGAGCCTGCTTTGGCAAGAAAGCTGGCTCAAGGGGACGTTGATCCAGTGACACTTCTGCCGATGGTTGACATTAATCCGGGCTTCGTACCTCGCACAGTGAAGCCCCTCCCCTTTCAGGCCAATAACATTAATCGGCCCAGTTCAGTCAAAGGAAAGGGGAAAGCAAAAGCCGAGCCTGAGAGTGGGCGATTGCTTGCCTTCTTCGGTACCTTACTTTCTCAGTGCTGATGACGCCCCGTTTGACAGTATTCCCACAGCCCCGAAGCCAAAATCCCTCCTTACTCGCAGTAACTCTGCGCCAACAAAGAGAACGGCAGTGCCTGGTAAAGGCAGCGGAAAGAGGACACTCGTCGATGTACTCGATGAGGATCTCGCTGCAAAACGCATAAAAATTAATCAGGCTTCGTCTTCCACCAACCATTCCCTAGTCACACATTCAAGGTTCTTCTCCTCTCCATTAAGTTCGAGAAAAAAGGTGGAACAAGCCGTGGACGATCTGATGCCCAGTTCACGTATTCCACACCCCCTATCTGATAAAGAAAATATCGCCGATCATGCCGTTGACGTTATTATTGTCGAAGAATTGGATGAAATCCTTGACGAACCCCCGGATCCCGTCACACAAGAAGATGGATACCTATCACCTTCCCCATCCTACTTCCGATCAGCGACACCTGATATCTCTTCACCTGTGCGGCCGTACAACTCCGCACGGCATGATCATGGTGACGGAGACGACTTTGGCGCCGATATCATCCCCAGCCCTACGGCAGTGAGAAGACTTACGCGACATACCTCGCATCAAGGCTTGCTGCCCAAGAAAGAGAAAGTCAATATCCTCGTCCGGGAAACGCCGCCGCCGATTAATGGCATAGGTTCTGCCGATGAGATCGATGGACCTGACTTGCGTGATGTTCTCGATATCGATGATGATATAATCACTCCGGCGTCATCATCTTCCACACCTGGTCCTATTACTCCGGAAGACAACGGTACGAATGACGAATTCGACATAGACGAATCGGTTGAAGAGGATATAGCAACCGAAGCAAGTGCACGTGCAAAACGCACGGAGATAGTTGCCAATGGGTGGTGGAACAAGTGGGCCCTGAACAAGGAGCTACATACTTCGGTTCGTATCGAAGTTTCCTTGAAGATTGTTATCGTATCTGACACGTCTAATCGCACACAGAAGACTACCATGCTCAGAAGATGCGAGACCACGATTACTGCAGATGGCCGACAGTCTGGTTGCCGCACTCGGCTAGGGTCTGCACCGCCCAAGGTCAGGTTTCCATTGTCTACCGAAGTAGCATCCAGGGCTGGAAGAACCCTGAAGGCTGTGGGAGGTAAAGGGATCCGTAGTAGTCCACAATTCGTGATCGGTAAGTCGTCTGGTCTCGGCCAAGGAGAGCAACAAGAGAAGATTGGAAGTGAGCCTGAACAATTTAGGTGTGTTAATTGCCACTATCGTAAGGTTCATTAATTTACTTGGAGCCGACGTTCACTTGATAGGTGCAAAGAGTCATGAGGTTGTTCTGCATTATTTCCGATATCTACTTCACGTCCATCACTGTATATAATTGTTAGTCGGTGGAATGTCGTTGGAAATGTCCGAGATGTCGGAGTAGAAATACATGAGGTCGACAAGCATCCAGTTAAGTACTAGCTTGCCTCCTGGTTTAATTTCTACTAGTATTTAATCGGTTCATGTTTAGCATGCCGTGCATGCAGGCATCCCATTCCGTCCATAGCGTAGTGCCTTCAGATTAATCCGTTAATTAAAACGGAATCTAATCAATGCGTGGTATTGGAGCTTGATTGTAAGGACTGGCAGTACTAATCGCCATGTCACACTGGCGGTGAAGTACCAATCAGATTACGCAATTCCGTTTGTGAAGTATTTTCAGTGGGATTGCATTGGGTGCCGTTTGTTGGGCTATTCGTGCCAACCATGAGCTGATCAGCGTCCTGACAGGTTTTCTAGAAGTGTTTACCGTCGAGGCTTACAGCGAACATAGTCTCTCTCCGCCACGCAGGCGTCGCGGAGTGTTAAATTGGATTATTTCCAAGTCACGAAAGCACTACGTCAACGACAAAGAATCGCAAGCTCCATGGGACTTTGAATCGGGCTACAACCCGCGTCGCCGTCCCTCCGGTTCTAGAAAAATGGGGGTATAATTACCCACCAATGATTCTGCTTCTGAAGCCTCACGATCGTATTTTTTTACAGCCGTTGGAAGATGTTATGCAATGTATTGCCTCGTTGACATATGGCCAAACGGTGTCATTGCTAAGTCACTTCACTTGCAATTGGTTTCCAGGGCAGTTCCCAGAACGATGGATATGAAGAATCTTGTCAAGATTTGCTGTTTGGGTTACATCAGGTTCGATCTAATAAGTAAAGGGACGTGGGGCGTCAAATAGGGCTAGTTCTCAAAACGAAGGGGGGGTGAACTTTTTCTGGTTCTGAGTACCCAAACGGTGCAAGCCACGTCTCTCAATTCGTTCATATCACCCCGCAAGATCCAGGCGCGAGCCCTCATGTTTACTGATGGACACGCACGCAGAGCACACGCCTTTCGGCTTTTATCTGACTACTGGCGTAACAAAAAGCGGCACCCTTCTTCACCAGCTGGAACTCCTACCACTGTTCTGGACCCTCAGAAGAGCTTATTTCTCTGAATTTATCTTGAGCCCTTCCCTCCCACGGTAGAAAAAGGTAGTAGACTATCTCGTGCTTGTACGTTCCTTTATCCTTCTTCTTCTTCGAAACTCATGGGATCATCCACCTAGTTCTATGGGAGGCCAAGGGCATGTGCCCCAGCTTCTTGGTACAATTTCAAGCCTAGTCATGCCGTTCGACGGCACCGAAGAAAATTTGTTACCGGACATCCACTCATCACTTCCTTGTACCTCCAAGCAATATCCTTACCTTGGTGACAGCGATATTTCTCCCCAAGGCCTCAGTTTACGCTTCATGACTTCTTGCTCCACCAACGAGCCTGAAGTTAATGACCACCAACAACGATTGTCGCCCTCCGCATCCCAGTCCGTTGGATATCCAGAGTCCTCCCAGAGGACAACCTCTGCATACCAATCCTCTGCGCAGTACGCCCCTCAAAACTTCGACTATTTCACTCCTTCCTCGTTTCTATCAGCTCCGGTCCCTCGTACTAGCCATCGTCCCTCTCACTTTCCCCCCGGTGGCAGGGGATGGGTCAGTGGTCAGGACGCCGAGCCAATAAACCAGACAGCTCGTCTTGACATCAAAGCACTGGACTATCCAGGCAGACAAAGTCCCACCGGGCGGGTGCAAGTGTCACCAGACAGCGCATCCACAGAATATCTATATCCTGACAGCTCCGACATGGAGACCGGTCTCGTCATGTCCCAGATGATGGCTCATTTCCAAGTCCATACGCCTCCTCCGAATGTGGACATGACAATGCCCGTAACTGACCAAGAACCGCACATCCCGTCTATTATGACCTTTCGGCTGGGTCGTCAGTCTCTTAAGCCAGTCACGGATCCGGACAACGCAAGGATTTTGGAAAGCTTTGACGATCCTGATGAAGACGCATCGGGGGAATCGTGCGAATCTTCATCGTCACCTTCGCCTTCCCTTTTATCTCCCAGTTCTTTCTATGATGGGTCAGCGGCGGGGAGCTGTGGAAATGTTATAGAGAGGGCTGTGTTTGGGGTGGCTTCTCCCAAGGATAGGTGTTCTTCATATACTCCCAATGACATCCACTCATTCGGCGGTCCCGACGAAGACGTGCACTCCACTGCTCCGCTACATACAAAACAGAGAACGAGCGGATCGACTAAAAGGTCCAAAATGCACCAGTGCTCAATATGCCTTAAAATATTCCCGCGCCCCAGCGGTCTGAATACGCACATGAACTCTCACTCGGGAGCCAAACGTGCGTTGTAGTCCTGCAAACAGGTCTGTATTTTTGACTTTGCGGCATCCAACAGCCTACAAGTGTCCGGTACCATCGTGCGATAGACACTTTGCAGTCCGATCTAATGCCAAGCGCCACCTGAAGACGCACGGCATAAACCCCTCTCTGATGGAGGGCCCATCTCAGGGTACCAACTTTATTGTTGGGTTTGAGGAGCCTCTCGTAAATCACCATGTTCACGATGCAGGCCGGCCACCGACAAGACTTAGGTGGATTCCGCACAGCCTCGCCACGAGGACGCAACCCGTCACTGAGTGGATCGGCTCCCAATCGACGGGTGGGGACGAATCGAAAAGAACATGCCCTGTACTCTCAGTACTGCTACCGGCAGCGGCACCCTCTTCGTCATCGAACCAATCAGCTTATCGTTACGACGCTAGTAATTACGCTGAGGCGGGTTCTCGTCATTACCATTCCAGTCAGGTCCGTCTTCGCCCCACTCGGGGGTTAAATCGCACTGATGCCTAGTGGGGTAGAATGACTTCCGAGGCGATCCGCCCAATCGCTCCACAACATAGCCAACGGTTCCTTTCGATGCGCACATGCCATGTACTTATTTACAGGAAGCTCGATGCTGTACCTACTAATCTAAAAACTGACCGCACGTTGATTAGTTTCGATCAAATATTTGACACTCAATGCACAGGTTACGGTTCACTGATCATTAACTAGCACTTGTATTCTAGCATTCGCTGCAATGTTAAATTATGGGGTTTTAGAGGATAATTGAATTTTGCCGCCGTTGCTTGAGCGTTCTTGTGGCGGCCTCTTTTCGTTTTGGGAACGACACGGTCCGTACAACACACGATTGACCAGCCCGATCGGAATGTCGTACAGCTCAGGGATAGCATCCGGATCAGCATGTTTGAAATCCTGATCTGCGCCTGGCGCAGGAAGGTGGGCTTTGTTGTCTGCCTGCTGTTTTAACTCCTAGCCACAAATATTATTTTCGGAAATTGCTCACCAATAAACGTGCTAGGGTCAGAGAAGGCTGGAGTACGTGCGATGGCGATGGCAAAATAGACAAAGTACGTCAAAAGCACGATGACAATGGAGTATGCCGGGAGAAGCAGAGCCCACTCCCTCGATATGATGCGCAATAAGGGCGGTTTTCTCATGCAAGAAGACGTGTGACTCACCTACTCGGATACCATTCCACGCCCAGCCAGACAATATAGTCATCTGGTAGCAGTGCCCATAGCACATAGAGAACAAACACGATGGACGTGGAAGTCCAGGCTACAAAGCCGTAAAATTCTGGTGCGCGACTGTGGTGTTCATCAGGTGGTGGCTCCGGAGGACTTGGAGTTACCAGTGACGTGGTCTCCATGGGCGCTAAATGCAAGTAAACAAAGTATGCAGAGGCTTCCAGACTCCAGAGGTTGGGAAAAGTAGAGGACCGGAGAATAGACGCCTAAACCCGTCGCATCTTTTGATCTACGATCACCGTCGTTCACTGAACATTGCTCGCGGATCTACAATTGCACTTGTTAACCGAGCCGGTTTGTCGGACTCAGCGATACATAGACTCGCTCGACCAACTTGAAGCATTGATCTTCGCTCACATTTTTGGTCCAGGGGCAGGCAGAACTCATGTCGATCCTTCAAAGCACTAATAAAAGAGCACTCCGCAAGGCGATAACCACGACCCTTCGGGAATTATCCCAGTCTGATATTCAATCCCAATGTGACTCTCAAATACTGCCGCACGCTGAGCTACTGACGACTAACATGCTCTGCATGAAGCACAGGCCATCACCGAAAAAGTACTGTCGCTGCCTGCATTCCAGCAATGCAAGACTGTCAGCTGTTATCTTAGTATGCCGGCAGCCGAAGTTCAGACGACTTCTTTGATCTTGAACATTCTTGGAGATTTACGTGCGTTGTCCCAACCCCAGTTTGATGGCACCTTTTTATTCAGAATACTAGGGAAGACTCTATTCGTTCCTAGCATCACATCCAGCGATGGCCACATGGACTTTGTACGAGTATACACCGAAGACGACTATCGCAGCTTTCCATCTGGTTTATGGGGTATTCCGGAACCAACGCCTGAGTGGTCGAATAAAAAACGCCAGAGTAGTACGTCAAATTTGCGTGGAAAGTCGTCATGCCTGCTCATTGTTACCCAAGTTTTCGACGCAGACTGTAATGATTTGGATCTAATCCTCGTGCCAGGTCGGTATGCATGCATCAACACGATTCGTGGAGATAATCCTCTTTTGTTACAGGTGTTGCCTTTGACCGTTCGCTCTCGCGGCTTGGGCATGGAAAGGGCTACTACGATCAATTCATATCATCATATTCTTCCTCTACCGGGCGATCAAAGCCATTACTAGGTTGGTACATCATGAGCAGCGCGGGACTACAATCTAACGAGCGGTTTCAAGTCGCTTTAGCTTTGGAGCAGCAACTTTTGGAACATGGACAAGTGCCGATGCTGGACCATGATTGGAAGATGGACGTGATTATCACACCTGACGAGGTCATCACTGCACCTCAAGATGGATATTAAGATCCGTGAATAATGGTACGCTTCACGCTCCATGGTGCGCTGGCGATAAACCTATCATCAAATTATCGATGTGGCATGCACGGGCTGCGCTTACATAGATCATATTGGTGCCGCGCCTGTCCTGACTGGTGTGTAGGAGATGAAAGAAGCTGTACTGCTCTGTCACGGAAGTTAGCATTGGAAACCACCCCAATGAATCTTGTCTTGCCCTGTTGTTCGTGAATCTGGCACAATTACCAATCGATAGGATCGACCGTTCGGTAGATAAGTTGAACCTGTGCATATGAGTGGGCAATGTGTGCCATTGCTGTTTTGGCGAGCTTACCTAGTTGTGGTACCATCACCGCCTTTGCTCCTGTTTCAAAGTTTCCTGGCGAGCCATCAGCATTGAGCAATTTCGTTGACATTTGTGAAGTTGTGATAATCTGTGATTGGAATGAGGCAACTGATCATGGCGCGGCGCTCTTTGCTCTCACTGTCAGATTGTTCGATGCACTTGCTTGCAAAAATATCTGACGGATCTTCTCCAGCAGTGCTGTCCGTTTAAAGGACTGAATATCTGGATGAGATAGGAACGGAAATGAAATTGAATTGAGAACGAGAAGCCCCGTCTATCTGTCTATTCATGCCTAGTGTTGACGTTATCGATTGCCTGCGTACCTTTGCGTGAATTTCAGGTATTAGGTTGTGTATGAATAACATTAGATCCGGCAGGGTATGGAGGCGTGTATAACGAACGAGGTCCTGATAGTCAGCAGCCGCGGGGGAATCTATCGTTGTTATTATTTTCATCCCGGCAGTGCGTGACGTGTAGCGTACTTTTGAAGGTTTTCTTCATCGTGGCAAGACTTGTCATATTCTGGGTATCTACATTTCATTTTTCAGAAAGCGGTCTGACACGTCAAAAACAACATATATTACCAACATATATAACCTCCTCGTTTGCCTCGACAAAAATTCGAGCATAATCTAGTGCAAGAGCTTCTTTGAAGCTACCTGGGGGTCCAGATATTTCTAGTATGCGTCCCCTCGGAAGACCGCCACCGAGTGCCGTGTTCACAGCAGCGTAGCTGCACGCAAAACTTTGTGATCTAGATATCAAGGAAGCCAAAGATTGACTCAAAGGCGGCCCTGTAGGCCGCTGTGATGCGGTGATTATGGTTCGCGAGTCGGAGATATCAATCCCCAGTTCTGCGGGGTTATATCTTGTTCCATCCAGATCGACGGAAATGAATATGCTACGCACCCTTAGAAAGAGTTTCCGCGGAAGTGCTGGAGAGATCGTCCAGTGTTTCATAACCTGCGCGTCTTAACACTAGTTGGGTTGAGGATGGCAGGGTTGGGTGGAGGAGGATATTCCTGGACATGCCTGGAATCTGGATTCAACTCAATGGTGATAGATTTGATGGCCGTCCGCGGCAGCTGTGTGGATTGTCACGGTCTTGTCGCTTGCTGCTCCGATTTACCGAAGGCCCTGTAGGAAGGACTTGGTCACGGACCACGGTCAACAAGATGGCAAATGTCAAATTCACGTGAGGAGTCGCGTACATAAATACGACCAAATCACGCGCGGACTTTGCCGTTCTTTCTTGTTCTCTTTCCATCATCGCTTGCAGGTTTCGTGGCACAAACGACGGTAGCCTTAAACAGCTAGACATCGCACTCTTCTTTTTCTTTCTTGTCGAGCACAATCGTTTGTTTATATCACAATATTAGTTTCATCCCCCATGACTCGCGATACATTTGCCATCAAGGTTGAGAACTTTCCCGAAAATGGTTGGTCTAAACACGCAGGGAAAAGTTGATCTAACTGTATGTGTTGATGTAGTCAAGTTGAAGGACGTCGAATCCATGTTTACTAGCACCGTTGGTTCGTGCTCTGTCACCTTCCTGTTTGCACCTGATCTAGTTACATGTATCCCAAATAGGTCCGGTCCAGCGTGCAGAGATTCATCGTGATGGAACGAACACGCCGTACTGCGTGCTATGTTTTCTCACACACGATGCCTTTAAGCAAGACTTGTGTGCTGTCACCTGATTGTACCAACTGACCACATCACAGGAAAGCTCTACGTATGTCTGGTTACAGCATCGGTGGATCCTCCATGTGAGTACTTTTCAATACGAGGAAACTAAACAGTGCATATATGCGCCATTAAAAGCATTGTGACACCCGCCAACAATAACAAAATGTCGTCCCCAAACGCTGGCAAAAATTCAGATGCGCGTCGAAATCTCTACGTCCTCGGTCTGCCTTTTGATCTCACTAAGTGTGCATATTATTGGTTCTGTCATCTTTCATGCTCACGAGTTACTAGGGCTGAATTTTCCGCTTTGTTTTCGCGTTTTGGCACTGTCATGCACGCTGTGATTCTCGCTACTGTCGACAACGCATCTCGCCGTCGCGGCTTCGTGGTAATGTCATGTCATGAAGAAGCCAAACGTGCAATGAATGCGCTCTCGCGAACGCAAATGAAGTATTAAAGCATTCACTCTGAGATTCAGAGCCAACTCACTGACGCACCGCAGAGGACACACTCTTGATGTATCTTGGGCCGTCGTGCAACGCTCTCAAGGTATGACATGAATCCGGTCGTAAATAATGTCTTACTGATCATTCGTGACAGGCTTCCTAGATGGCGCAGACAGAACGATGATGCTGGCATCCTCGAACCCTTCGTCACTCCCCGAAATGGAGCTCGATCATCAACCCGCACCGCCGACCACCAGTTCGCCCCACTACGCTACCAAACAATGGAATATCTCATTGGCACCCTCCTCGAAGTTGCTGGTATCAAAGTTGCCGACTCTTCTCTTTGCTCAGGCCAGTGACTTGCATCCTCTGTTTTATCCTTTCGGTCCCATCAAGGAAGTGAAGCTGATGGATTCTGCTACCCTCGGCAATGGAACCACGAGTGCTCTGGTCGAATATGTGAACATCTTCAATGCTCAGGAAGCCAAAGACGCACTTCAACGGCAGTTCTATGGGAGTTCACGCCTGGAAGTCCATTTCATCCAAGACAATATCCATCCCGTTGATTCGTCTGCTGCTGCGTATGCCCAGTCTCCCATGCTACCGAAAACATCTGATGCCGGACTTAATCCCTTTGCTGCTCCTTTTGTCTTTGGCTCTCGCCGCTTCCCACCCTTGGCTTCCGGTCTTAGCTGTGTTGCGCACGATTCGTTTGTCGACGACTTCTACTCCCCACCTGGTCTTCCCAGCGATACCTTTCATATTGCCTCATTCGCGCCGCACCCTGTTACATATCATCTCAAGGCCCATGTTGCTGATACGATTTCCAGATCCAGCTCCGCAACCAGCTCGAGGTAGAACTGTTATCTTCAATTAGACAAAGCTAATCCCTTCGACGCAGCTGGAGCAACGACACTCGCCCATACAGGCCTTCTCGTGTGCCATTCTCTTCTTTCACACGCGCGAACACACCCGCACAATTCACACCATTCTTCTATGCTTGAACGATCCACTTTTCCTATGGATGGACTCACTATATCGCCCATTCGTGCTCTTCGTAATTCTAATGCTTAACTCCCTTCAAGAAATGGATTCGTTGGACTTCTTCTAGGCAAAACAAACAGCACGCGTGCACTAGTCTTTATGCTATCGATTCTTGTTTTAAGTATGTCACTTATATGTTTTAGCCGTCTGTTTGCTGATACTCTCCAGTTTCGGGATTCCGTTCGTGTTGAAAAGATATCATTCCATCCCCGTGTTGATAATAATTAGTAACGTTTGTCTTCCATCCTCATGTAGTCGCTGTTTTGTTCGTCCTGTAGGGGCTTGTAATCATGGGTTTTGTCGAGTGTACTGTTGAGAAAAGTGATCTCATAACTTAGCGCCTAAGTGGAAGCCTATTTCCAATTTCAATTAGAAGGCCGCATACCACTTAGCGCTTGGCCTCTATAGCCATTCTTATGAGCGTCCTGCATTCCTGCTCACACACGTACTGGTCCGGGTACTACCTTGCCAAACTATCACTAAGGCGAAAAGCTACTAGTAACAGGACCCTTCCGAATGTCAGGAAACCAGGGCTTACATTCGCGTCCGAGTCGTCCAATTGGTTCAAGACCTTTACAGAGACGCCTGCATTCCTCCGATTTACAGAAAGGATTTTTGGTCACTTCCAGATCATCATCAAGCAAGAGCCAGCAGCCCGAGGCATTAGCCAACACCGTCACTGAAGACATTGACAGCTGGCAGGAAGATGTTCACGCTCGTCTTTCTTCGACTTTGCAACTCACCGGTTTTGAGAACGGCAACATCAGTGACCCGTTCATAGATCAACATGATTCAGAAACAGAAACTTGGATGGGAGAACCTCCAGTCGAGTCCCCAATGTATTACACAGTCGACGAGCAAAGGTCGGCGCGCTCAGTGGCAAGTGGCATTTCCAGCCCTCCTTTGAAAAAGAAGTCCTTCTCCCCTACTTTTACCCATGCTTTCAAGGCATCAAGCTCGTCTTCCAACACTCAGCCGCCTGTCACTGAACGATCTGACTCAGGGAACGCCCCGACTCGAACACCCTCGAAGGTCCGTTGGGAACAGCTGCGGCAACATGTCTTGGCAGCACCTCGCCCAGCTTCACCTCCTCCGTCTGCACGGATAGCTCAAAGCCCTTCCCGACCACATACTCCCAAGCTCTCTCGTTTTCCGCGGCTTGGCTTCCGACATGTTGTAGAGCATGCACGCGAGGCTGCAGTGGACGAGTCTCGTAGATTTGCAGATGAACTACTCCAGATTTGTTGGTCCGTTCGTGTCCCGGATACGTCGCGACCGAACAAAAATGAGCGAGACGGCACATTGGGCACAGTGGGCTCTTCGTTGCACCTCCCATTCGTGTCGAGTACGACTCTAAATTCGTTTGCAACTGGGAGTACTATGGTGCAGACTCAGACAACTCAAAAAGGGCTTATCATCAAGAGGCCTCCCTCCACAGTGTCAGGAGGGCAGAACTCCTCGCTTATCATGACACTGCATGAAATTATCCTTCGTTATGCGTCGAAGAACTCGATTTATCTTCCTCACGAGACCCTTGTCCTTTCTACTCTGTTGACGCCGTTCTTATCGAGCGAGAGCAATCCGAATGTGGACGACGATTGCTGGATTGCAATTGAAGCTTTCGAGGCTGCTGTCCAGACCTGGCAGGCGACGTCAGATGATGTACGTGGCATGACATTGCGCTTTGCCTGTTCAGGTTGCTCACGAGCTTGTAGCTTACTATCGAGAGATGTATTTGGTGTTGCGACGCCGCGTCCATGCCATCCGTCCTTCGGCCTCGCGTTCTTAGTGTGCTCACATCGCTCCTGTTTCCCCGTACTGGCCCTATTGAGCTCCAGAACGCCCATACGTTCCTTTCTCTAGTACAGGCACTTGTTACAACATTACTTCAGATACCGGAAGACCGTGAAGCGGCTATCTTAAGAGACATCATCTTGCAACTTCGCGGCGGGACGTGTGGGAGCATAGCGGGCTTTCTCGCTTCAGCGGAGATCGATGGCTCCCCGGTGATGTTGGTCGGTGTGAGCGAGCCGGAAGTCAGGGAAGCTTTGGTGGTTGAAGCTTTGGTCCGGTGCTTTGAATATGGACCTTTGACAATAAAGCGGAAAGTCCTGCATGAACTTCTCCAGGTATAACTCCCTTCTTCAGCGTGCTGGGCAACAGCTGAGCAATCATTTATACGTAGGAGTTTTGGTCGCCTTTACCCGTCTCAGCATCCTTTTCCCCTATGATTTCAGCTATCCGTTCCCGAGCTGTCGTAACATTTGCTCATGCTGCAGCTCTCTTTTGCGCGTCCGTAAAGTCGGAGCATCTGGATATGCAGAGCGTCTTGCATGTCCTGAAATCGCGCGTCGTTCCTGAGATGGCGTGTCTGACTGGGAAACGGGCTTCGGATGCCCGCGCCAGCGTGTCTCGGCTCCTGATCGAGTTGCTCTGCCTTGAGAGGGTTACTCACGAGATGTTTGGCGTCATTTGCGGTCTTACCGTGCAGCTGCTGGAAACGTCTGAGTGGAAGACGTCTATGGAAAAGATGATGCAACAATTTGTACGTGCTTCTTAGCATCACTCTAAAGTAAAACAGCTCAAGCTTCCTTCTTTAACGGATTTCTGAGGGTGAATGGCTCACAATCATCAGAATTTTAACCGCGCTCTTTCACTTACCGGATGAGCTTCGCGGTCAGCTGTTCACGTTTTTCATACCATGTTTACAAGAGGTGGGTGTTCCGACTCGCTAACTATGGCACAGTGCACATTTGATCAAATATCAGAGAATAGTCGCAGATCCGCCCCCTCTGCATCATCCGGAACTCACAGGCATTCTAGACAAGGCATCGCGCACATATCCTCAAGTATTCTTCAAACCACTTTTCACCTGTGCAGCATCTTCCAAGGCGCTCACGATTGGCCATCAACTTGGAGTCATTGCTGCTATCTCGCTGTTCCTTCCCGACTTCTGGACGAGAGACACGGAGATGATATTGGTAGCCCTGATGAATGAACCCGCTGTCGTTTTGCAACCTGGGTCCCAGAGGAAGTGGGCGCAAGCAAGGCTTGGGCAGATGATCATACTAGTTGAGCTCATTGCGCGTGTCAAGGCGGTACCGCGAATCAGCAAAGACTTTTCGGTGAGTCGATCTTCATATATTCTAGACAGTGCTGAACTCAATTTACAGCACCCTGATGACTCGGTCATTGCACCAACCCAATTTTTCAGTAGGCTTGAAGCGCGTTTAGGTGTGCTATTAGAAGCGAAAGTAAGCAGGAAACGCTTCGATCTCGAGAGATGGCCCATGGTCTAATTTGCCTTGTACAGGAACGAACTGCTCTGCTACCACTCTCCATGCGCTTGCTCTATTCAATCCTGTTCACAGAAATCAGATTGCTTACACGATCCATAAAGCGGTATGCATTTTCCTCCCAGTTGTAACCGACGATTGAAAGTTAGGTAGTCCGACTTGGCTGCAATCATCGATTGAATGGCTGCTACGGTCGCATGTTGGAGCTGTGGTGGACGACGATGGACCTTTGATTGTAGATGAAGACGTTTTCAGTGACGTCTCGCAAGTGCTGGACAGAGTCAAAGATATTTACACGTCAACACATGACAGTCTTCGAGTATCTTATCAGGTAGAATTTACATTTCACTTTGTTTTTCTTGATGTTAACAATATACAGCACCGAAGTACAATGTTCTTGTTTTCCAGTGCCATCGATGTTTCTGGGGACGGTACTGAACGTAGGACTATTCTCATGGACATGTTGCATGAGAGAATGGTGTTACTGTCATCCCTACCACGATCCATCACTCGTCAAGCCCTTCATTTATTAGTGGTGATTTCCGCCTGCCTTACACCAGAAGATTACTTGCTCGTAGGACCTTTCTTATGGGCACGATGTTTTGACTGGGCGGAACCGCGCGCAGTGCTTTCGGTGCGTGCCCTACCCTGATTTACGAGCGATGGTTCTCACAGGAGTATTCTAGGCTTCTTTTCTGGTCATGCAGTGTGCGGAGAAGACCCCAGAGAGTGTACTTGAACTCATCAGGAACGACTTGCGGAAGTGAGTTCGAACCTTGTTTGGTAACGCGTGATCTTAACATCGACTCTACAGTGAAGACAGTGCTATGAAGATCACTGCAATTCAACGCTTGAACATGCTAGTGAATATGCGATTCCAGATTCTATCTCAGCCTTTTTTGTCGGATAAAAATCGTCGTCGACCTTTCAAATTAGCTCGTGACCCATTGCCATTTGTTCCAACCGACATCGGTTCAAGCCTATTTGTCCCAGCGCAGGAGGATGATGATAACGAAGATATGCCCAAAGAACTGCGTAGGCGCTTAGCTGAGGTGGGATGGTTGGATGAAAAACGACCAACGGACCAGAAACGCGAATGGGTGAGGACGCCATTATCACTCTTGCCCAGCAATCTTCAAGATCGAAATGCTGGCGCCACGGAGCGCCTTCAGTCTTCACCTCTATTATCCCCTATATCCTCGCCAACAAGACCTCGTTCCAATAGTGATGTATCTGACAGCCACCTCAGTAGACGATCGTCAGATCCTACAAGCCGTGGCGTCAAGCGTCGCGCAGTCTTTGTTCCTGCACTCGGGACTCTATTCCCTCAATTGGTCTCTCTGACTCTCGATTCTTGCATTGACGTCTCATGTGCGGCTCGCGACAGTGTCATGGATTTACTACGGCACGAGCCTGCTCTTTTCATTCGACCCATCCTCGATTTGATTGCCAGCAATAATGAAGAAGCCGCCACGACAGCTGTCCGAGGGCTATTGCATCTAAATCACCTCCTTCCTCCCGCCATGGCTCATTATACATTCAACCATCTCGCTGGATACCTTAAATTCGTTGCTCGCGAAGTCACTTCGACAGGTGCACTTCGCAGCTTCGCTCTTGCTGCTGCTCTGTTGTCGAACCTAGTCACCCAGGTCAGCGAGATGTCCATAAGGGAGATTAGGCGAGCAAAGATGGATTTGTTCCTCATGCCGTCCGGGTCCTTATGGTTCACGACGTCGTTTCCATCTGGTCCAATGTTTCCGAAGGCTTTGTCTCTCAGTGAAAATACATCCGAGATTCCGCCATCGTTGATATCAATCACAATGATCCGCGTGGCCCAGAATCGGCTGTTTCTATCCATGTTGAAGCGAAATCCTCAGGACGTCCAAGTCATTCGGAAGACTATGGAGCACATCGTTCTACCGTCGACGGACGCTTTGTCATCAGCAAGATTTCTGGAGTTGCCAGATTTCGTACCGCGGCAGTTGTTTGCAAAACGTGATGGCCCGGAGTCAATCTTGACCCCCCTTTCCTTGATGCTTTCGCGGAGTCATCTTCTTCTCATAGCCCAAATTTTCAGATCCATGTCGAGCCATCTTAGCGATCGCAGCGAGCTGACCATCTTCATAGATGGTTTGAATCGAATCTTGCTCAGACATGGAGATGATATTGGGATTGTAAGCCAGTCGCTCATCGGTAAGCCAAGATTCTTTCTTATTGTGGTCCATATTTGACCGCAGATCCGCAGCGTTGATGGTGGCAAGTGCCCGCTTCAGGCGTCTATTTACATCCGGTGGAGGATACTCCCTCTTCATGTTATCTGTCATGAAAGTGTATACGGAGCAAGAACACCATCAGGGAATTCGGCAGGCTATCGAGTATGCCGTCAGTCGCTTCTACGCTTTTCACCAGGAGGCTTTCGTCTTCCAAACACTGGACGTGGTTGTACATGCCCTGTTGGAACCAAACTGCGACTGCTCTTGGCTGGCGAAAAGCGTCTTTCGGATGCTGTCTTCACTGAATCGTAACAATCCGATGGCAGGCCCAGATGCTTCTGGCATTCGGAACGTGAATAGACTACAAGAGAAGGAATCATTGATGATCACCACCGCTGACGAAACATTTATTGCTGCCATCCGAAGGGTTGGTAGCCAGGATTCGCAACAGCTGATGATCAGCCTTCCTGAGGAGTATGAGACGAAATCACTTAATATGGACAATCTCGTACGGTTGTTGTTAACTGTCATTGGTCACGATCCCTCCATCGTCAGAGCCCAAAATTTCCTGTCGCTACTGAAGTTGTCGACGCCCGCACTGTACAATGCTTCCATATCGGCCAGAACCGTGCTTCGCGAAGGTATTGATGCGGTTGGGACGATCATCCTACGTGCAGCCGCGAAGTCTAAGCTTCCTGAATCATTGACGATGCAGTCAGTGGGTGGTCTGACTACGGAGGTATCGCAGGAGGAGGCTGCTCTAGTGGACAAGCTCCACAAGAAAGCGAAGGCCCCGAGCGATCTCACCACTATGCGGACAGAATATCTCGGACTAGCACTTGCTTTCGTTAAAGCTGGCGGCCAACTGCCCAACACTGCAACGGAGAAGATTTTCGATATCGCGAGAATTCTTCTGCGAGAAGCATCGCACACAGAAGATCAAGTCGCTAATTTCTTATGCCAGTATTCCAAGGCCACTCTTGTCGAGCGTACACCTAGTCCCAAGGAAGCAATTTCACTCCTCGGGGACCTAGCGCCTATCATGAGCGCCTATGCGTCGGTCATCAATTTTGCTGGTATTTACGAGGCCATCTCTCATCTGGCCTCTGACAACCAACTCGCCAACAATGTATCATTCTCCAATCTGGTAGTGACGCAAATCTGCAGGAGCGGGTTGGAGTCCCAAACAGCTCGGAGCTCTGAACACAAGGAATCTTCCATGGTCTCGCTTCTTGCCACAGCCATATCCTTTCAAAAGGCTGATGTGATTGCTGAGATCGAGAAACAGCTTCCGTCACACAAATTCTTGTCCGTGGTCGTTTTCAAGCTCGTTCTTTCGCTTGAAACGTCTGCTTCAGCGCCGTCGGTGGGCGACCACGACACATGGCTGCGTGGCGCCCGCACCAGTGCATGGTTGCGGCTTCTTTCCTACGCGATGGCGGCTTGTGAAAAACCAAGCCGGTCTCAACAATCAATCTCCTCGCTAGAGCGAAGGAAATCAGACGATAAGCATCGTTCTGGATCATCGAACAAAGAACAGGTCTTGACGTTGTTAGCTGCAATCCAAATTATCAAGATGATTATCGTGAGAGCTGGAGATGACCTCTCCGCGTCCCTGCCCTCAATATGGACCCGTCTGGCTGCCCTTTTTAGATCCTTGGTTTCTGACGGAGATGCGCGGTTTGCCCTTGAGCCCTCTGAGCAATCTGCCCCACCTTCCCCCATCCACTCTCCTCATTCGAGCTTTAGTATGGCCTCCATTGATCCTTTCAGTGCTCCGGAGTCTTTCCTCACACCGTCGGTATCATTCAACTCCCGCCGCCCGTCTCCTCTAGGTAAACCACGAGTCATTGATTACGCACTCTGGTCTCTCCTGGAGCTCCTTTTTCGCTACCGCACACCTCTCATACTCCAATTGAAGTTACTCGCACAAGAAAAAGCCGCGCTTCTCGACGAGCAGCTCCGGTACGTGCAGAGTGGTTCACTTCACTCTTCCGGATACAGGCCTCCGTCTGTCTTCTCCAAGCCGAGAAAGAGATTATCGAGCATCCAATCTGCTGTCTCGCCCTTATTCAACAGTTCGCCATCAACTTTTTTTAATACAGGCCAGATGTCGCTACGCCCTCCTATGCTAGAATCCACGCCACGCAAGGCAGGGTTTGAGCGCAGCCCGACTGCTTCGCCAATCGGCGCGCAGCCGCGCATCATTCATCTTGGTCCTATAACACCAGACTTGCGTCGCTCGGCATCATCCAACGAGGATGTGCGTATGCTGACGATGTCAACGGTGGTCAAAACTAGGTCTCTTGTGCGTGCCACATATCACCGAGTAAGGCTTGTGCAGGCATGTATGGGGTATGATTTGCTGCTACCACTGCCTGCAGCATTTGACGGCACTGGAACGATGGATGATACGATTGGACTTGGAGGGCATTTAGTAGAGGAAGGAGAAAAAAAGTGGACGATGAAGCAGGCGGTTGATGCCCTTGTGAATGAGATGGACGATCTGGAGCTCGAGTTTTGTGAACGGGAAGCATGGAGGGAGGTATTGGACGAGAGCATGGTAGTCTTGGAATCTGATGTGAACGATAGTAGCATATCGATGGCAAATTGACTTTAAACGATATCTACGTATTTGACAATGCGCTTTACAAGAGTCTGCGTACTTTTGACCTACATATGTTCGGGTATCCTGTGAATTACATAGTAGCCATACACAAAGCACCTACAAGAAACAAAAACACCGGACAATTTTAACAAGATTGAACATGGAGTCAGCTCATAATACCAAACCCCCAAGGGTAAGTGCAGCCAAAACGCCGAGCCACATGCTCATCGCACTGGCACTCACGCCTATCAAACCTATCAAAGCATGCGCGCCGTTGGTCATCGTGCTAGCATTCGAGAATGCGATGCTGGGGGTATCCAGCGAAGAGTTGGTGCCGTACACGTAGGACGTGTCGGAGGCAGTGGGTGTAGTGGGGTCGTTGCATTGTACTGAGACAGACTGGAAGAGCGAGTAAAAGTGGCCTGCAGAAGAATTTCAGAGCTGTAAGAAGGTGGGAGGTGAGGCTCAAAAAGACGTACCAGCAGAGACATAGTCAGGGTCATTCCAGTTGATCATGCCTCCGGCCCATTGAACCGTGCCTGAAGGCTCGGTGGAGATACCGGCCGGCCAGATGCTGCAAGGAAGGTGTCAGAAATGTGTTTCTATGATTGCGAACGATGAACCGCGTGATACAGGGGAAAGTCGGAAGAGGCGAACCATACCAACCCAATACCTATACTCGAACACCCAAAAAGCAAGAAGGACAAAAAGGATGAACACCCACCTCAACTGAATGCGACTGGGTGTGTTGGGAAACTGAACCACGCCCGTCGCGTTGTTCGTGGTCTGAGCAGCTGTAATCGTACGCGTCACGTTTCCGTCCACCAAGAAAGTCATCGAGTCAGGTTGCCAGTCGATCTATCGGATAGAGGAAGTTAGTAGGTTCTTTGAGATAAAGAGCGAATAAGAAAGTAAGGGAATTGAACTACAGTAGCAGAATCTTTGACATCGACTATTGGGCGGCATTTCGAGAAGGGGTACACACGGCCAAACACGGACGAAACTAGGTACACCCAAGGAGTGTGCGACTGAAAGTGCGTGCGCTTTCGATGCTCATGAGTCGAGCTGTAAAAGCGTACGTACCGTGTTCGCCGAGATAGGGAATCAAATGCGAAATGATCAGCTGAAAGACTCACAGTAAAATCATGCCAGTTGGAAAAAGTATCCGTGAGACCAGTCTCAATCACACCGGCGGTTTGTGCAGCTTTCGATAACAATGCGACCAGGCGTGGGCACAGTATAGATTATGCATGGAGTCCAAGGGAAGGGGAGGCACAGCACATTAATACCTCACGCAGGATTGACACAACCGCTAAGGACTCACGAATGACTCCCTGCCAGAAATAATTGGTTTGTCCAGTAGTCGTCTGGTTGCCAGGGAATTCCCAATCGATCTCATCTTTAACACTGGACATTGTGATGAAGGCGGTAACGACGCCCGCCCAGCGGCCGGTTTTTACTAGGTATAGAAACGATGTTAGCACATTGTGAAGGCGTTAGGGTCAAAAGAGGGAAGAGCGAATAAAGAAAGTCACAAGGAATAAACGAGTAGGTCATACGAGATCGGGCTGGCGAAGAAGCTCCTTGAAAAATTGAACACTCACGTCTAGCTGTGATTTGACCGTAATGCACGTATCTGGTTGAAGACAGGAGAGTACCGCCACCGGTTTCAGTGAGGAGGACGGCAATTGCAGCCTCGCCGTTAGATGTGGTATTGATGATCGATCCCTGTTCCAAGACCCAGTCTGTGAAATAGAAAAGAAGCAAAAGATCACATGAGTGGAAACATGAGGAAAAAAATAATTCATTCTAGTGCTGACCATACTCGGAGGCATTCCCATTGAAGTAGGTGTAGTTACTAAGGATACGAGAGGTATCCGAAAGTGTGTACTGAATATTGAATTGTTATTAGATCCACTGGCGCGAAAGGAAAGCGAGTGTACACACGTTAGCACTTTCACACATGGGGCTGGGTTTGCATGAGTTGAGAGTGTTGGACGCAAGGGGGTTGCATCCACCGAGACAGTACTGCATAATGGCAAACGATTGAGCAGCGTGCTGAAACGAATAAAACAGAACGCACATATCCGTCACCACAGAATCCGTATTCACCTAAGTGAAGTTAGTACTTGAATTATAAAAAGCTCATGTGACGGAAGATGTCGATTATGCGACGCACTGCAACAAGGATACTGGGATGAACATAGGTTTGTTGAATTGCTACACAATGGAGACAAGTCAGCCTTGCACAATGAAATTTGTGACAGTGTGAACCGACCAAGTAGCACCCTGTTGTGCCGCCTGTACGAAGACAGCGGAAGTAAGGAAAGCAAGCGCAGAACTAAACAGACAAATTTGTTTCATTATTGTGATATTGCACAAGGGAGCGTGGGGGGAACGAGTGGAGAGGAGGAGCAGGAACCGCCTGAAACCCTGGAAGAAGAAAAGATGATGATGATCAACGAGTGCACTGCGGCCGAGATACAATGTCGCAACATGCCGTGATGCCGAATATTGTGTGCATAGCAAGACAAAACAAAGGTTGTTTTTAGATTTCTACGGAGCTTTGGAGACAGGCTGCGGCAGCTCGAGCTCGGCGACGACGCGTTCTTTATTGCTGGAGCCGAACGGATCTTCGACGAGTCGAGAGTTAGCGGACGTGTTCGCGTCATGGCCATGTCATACCACCAACGGAGGAAGATTATGAAGTATATATAACGCGCAATGTAAGGATCACAACTGCCCCATCACCCGCGAACTGCAATAGAGGGCAATGCTGCAAGGAAGAAGATGTCTGGCCTTGAATTGCTGTAATCGATTCAAGTCTTGTGCAGGAGTCATTCAGATCATGATGAAGCCGGGGTGAGTTCCGAATGATCATTGAATGTTGAGCACTAGATGCCACTTCAACAATGAATTCAGACTGCACTACGTGTCAAGACTCCGTCTGGGGTCAAGTGTGCCATAGCTTTGGAGATGAATGGGTTATCTCCCCCTTCCCTCATGCATTGGCTTCAAGTTTGGCGTGACTTTTCGTTACGCACTCCGGGTAGATCTCCCGGGTCAAATAAATACAAATATTAATGTCAAAACGCGCTCCGACGCGTCTTAAGCTTGTCCGAGTTCAAAATCTCGACACGTCGAAATGGCACCACTCGCACCTACAAAGAAAAAGTCTAACGATAGCATGACGCAGAAAAGTCTTATGAACTTTTTTGCGAAACCTGGCACGTCCACGTCGAGTTCGGTTCCAGCAACAAAGAACGCGACCAGTGCGACGCCAGCGCGAAAAGGCTCCACTTTACCAGGGACTCAAACTTCCTCTGGGTCGACAAAGGTTTCTTCGGTTGCTAAAACAAAACAAAAATTCATTCCCAAGACACCAGACTCAAGACCATCTTCCGACATCGACGTCGATGCAGAGAGCGGCAAGGACACTCCACCGACTTCAGACCCCATTCCTATAGATGTCGACATGGCGTCAGATGACGAGGACGCTGCGTCTGTCAAGAAGAGCGCGAATGTGAGCATTCTAAAATTGCTTCAAAGTGTTGTGCCTGACAGTTTAACGTCACTGTAGACGCGCCTAACGAAGCGTAAGATCGTTCTTGCTGACTCAGATGAGGAGGAACAGGTTCTTCCAGGGAAGAGCAAAAAACAAGCTGCATACCGCACCTCGTCCCCTGAATACTATGACAAATCCTCTCCTTCACGCGGGCGCACAAAGAAACCGCGCATAGCAACTACCCCCTCGGTTCCCACTTCAGATGAAGAGGATGAGGAGGATGCAGACGTGCGCTCGCAGTTCTCGTCGCGCTTGACCAAATTCCGCAAGTCACCTGCCAAACGTGAGTAGCTCCATATTCAGTCCAGGATTTATCTGAACATGAACAGCATCTAAGAAGAACTCGAGAGCATCCGATGACGATGACTTTATTGTCCCTGATTCTGACTCAGAGCACGAGCGTTCATCGTCGCGCGCCTCCTCGCGCTCAAAGTCGTCCAAATCTGCCGCCTCAGACGACCAGTCCGGTGAAGAATCGGATGCCCCCACAAAGAGATCTGCGAAGCCAAAGCGTCCTCCCCCGAAGAAGTCTGGAGCAGCTAGCGGTGAAACAGGAAGTGGGAATGGATTGGGAGGAAACACCATGTTCTTGACGAAGGCGGAGCAGCGCGCACAAGAGAAGAAGAACGAGAAAAAGGCCACCGAGGATCCGTTCTTCTTTTTGGTCGATGTGCGGGATGTGAGTGATCCTAATAACTTCGTTCCAAGGAGATGCATCGCCTTGTTTTTCAACCGTCGTTCATTATACGGAGAGTGGAAACATTTTCCAACGCATACATGCGCATATACGCATGGAAAACTCATCCATGCTACACCCTCCTTCGGCTGAATGGACACGTGCGCCGTGCTTTTCATCTTCTCTTTTCGAGTATTGTCTAGTAGCTTCATGTTGCTGATACGGTCTACAGAAAGACGGCGTTCGCCCCGGTGAACCGGGATATGACCCGCGCACGCTGTATATCCCGAAGAAAGCATGGACAGACTTTACGCCTTTTGAGACGCAGGTGCGGCTGATCTCTTTCTTTTATTTTGATGCCTTTGTAATAATTTTACACAGTTTTGGGAGGTACGCGGGATGTAATACTTTTTAATGGCGTCTTTGACGCTAATCATTATCTACAGATCAAGCAAGATCACTTTGACACTGTATGTATCGTGCTTGAATCCAGGCATATTCGAACTCTGCTAATTTCCTACTAGATTTTGTTTTTTCAGAAAGGGTGTGTTATCCATTCCTTCCCTTCATATTGCTTCTCATGGCCATTCCGCCTGCAGAAAGTTCCTGGAGGTGAGCTAGAGGCGTTGCTCGGAAAGCCTATGCCTGCGTGCTCACTCACACTTAGCTCTACGAAGATGATGCGCGGATTGGACACCAGGAGTTTGACTTAAAACTCACTCATCGCGTGAAGATGTCCATGGTGGGTTTCACTGCCCCATTTTCCGTTGGCAAACGAGAATATTGCTGATGCACGACTTATTAGGTCGGCGTACCTGAGATGAGCTTCAACTTTTGGGCTGCGTGAGTCCTTCCTTCATATTTGTGATTGGTCGCCCATTAAGCCACGCACACTAGCAAATTCCTTGGCAAGGGTGAGTATATGTTGATATTCTCCGCACTAGTAAGTTGAGTACAAAATTTGGATACAGGGTATAAAGTCGGCCGTGTGGACCAAGCAGAGACAGCGCTTGGTGCTGAGATGCGTCTTGCAAAGGACAAAGGCAAGAAGGGCGCTGGCGGAAAAGACAAAGAGAAGATCGTCCGTAGGGAGCTCAACAAAGTCTACACAAACGGCACGCTTGTGGACGAGGACCTCCTCACAGATGAGCAAGCGGGGCATTGTATCTCCCTGCGCGAGTCTGCCGATGGGAAGGATGGTATGAGCAGCTTCGGAGTTTGCGTGCTCGATAGCGCTACGAGCCAGTTCAGCCTGAGTGCATTCGAGGATGATGTGTGCACGACGAAGTTGGAAACGATGATGAGGCAGCTGCGGCCAAAGGAAGTGATATTCACGAAGGTCGGTCTTTTTGTCTTCTTTTATTCGTCTTTCCAGATTATATCTGTTGGAACAGGGAAACCTTTCAGTGCAAACGACACGCCTGCTGAAATCTGTCCTCCCCGGGTCTTGTTTGTGGACGAGCCTTCGCGACGTTGAAGGGTTTACCTATCCGCAGACGATCAACGAACTGAACAGTATGTTTTCTGAGGGTAATGCTGGCGGGGAAGATGCGATGGATGAGGACGCCGAGTTATCGAGTGCCGTACCACAGAGTATTCGGGATATGGCAAGTTACCGTGCCGCAATGGAGGCCCTGGGCGCGCTGATGTGGTGAGTATCCCGGATGTCCCTAAGATAACGCAGGACATGAATGTTACATCTAAAAATAGGTACCTCCGTCAGCTGAACATTGACAAGGACCTTCTTACGATGCGGAATTTCGATGTCTATGATCCAATGAAGAGAGGCACAAACGTTGTGCTAGATGGGCAGACGCTTGCCCATGTTGAGGTGAGTCTTCATTTCATCAATGTATCAATCTTCTCGGCCGGCAGTGACTGATGTGCTGGCGTAGGTTCTGCTCAATAATGAAGGTACAGAAGATGGATCGTTGCATAAACTCCTGGGAAGGTGTATCACGCCGTTTGGTGGGCTTTGCGTTTCCATTTCTTCTAGAAGGTATTGAAGCAACCATGCAGGTAAACGACTGTTTAGGATCTGGCTGTGCGTTCCTTTGCGGGAAGTTAAAGATATCAATGCACGGTACGGCATTTCTTGGGGTTAAAGAAATTATGACAGTGTTGATGTACTCTTCCGCAGCTTGGATGCTGTGGAGGACCTCATCTCGCACGCAACTTTTGAGCAAGAATTTACCGAACTCGCAAAAGGACTCCCCGATCTGGAGCGGATCGTTTCCAGGATTCATGCAAATAATTGCAAGGTCAAAGATTTTGTCAAGGTACTGGCGGTACGTATCTTCCTGTGCAAAATGAATTTGTATTGTGGGCGCATCAGATCCATGGATCAAGGTGTTGACTACATTTGATGGCTTTTCATCTGGCCTTCTGCACCACCCCACTTGATATGCCATTCTCAAGATCTGTGCAATCTGTGATGTTAACTCCCTTTCGCCTCCTAGGCCTTCAAGAAGCTTAGCCGCGGGCTCGCGAAGCTCGCTGATAGCTCTGAGTCATTCGATTCGAAGACGATCCTCGGACTTTTGAGATCAGCACCGGATTTGACACCCAATCTGAAGAACGTAGAATCGCGGTTTACTGTGGATAAGGGTGCGTATTGCCGTGTCATTCATGGATCACTCGGCTCTGTCCCTTATTGTTCGATGTTACTGATGATAAAGGAATTTTGAAACAGATGAGCTGCTCCCTGTTGCAGGCAAGGATGAGACGTACGATGAAGTCATGTGTGGAATTGAAGAGCTTGAGAAAACGCTGGACACGCAACTCAAGAAGTTTGAGAACAAGCTTGGGTAGGTCTGTGCTTCTTGAGAAGGCTGTTTGCGCTGATAAGTTTGATATAGGCGCAATCTTACGTGGTGGCATAGCGCTCAGGGGAACAAAGTCAGGATTCGCTCTTGTCGTAATAATTAATATTCACGGTTATACCTTTTGGTAGGAGATCTATCTGGTCCAGACGAAGGCGAACGAGACAAAAGAAGTCCCAAAGGACTGGGTCAAAAGCAGCGGTACCAAGGTGGGTAAATCAGGATGCGCGCCATGGGAGCATAGCTTACCGTGAAACGTCAGGCAGCTACCCGTTGGATCGTGCCTTCCCTTCAACCCACAATTCGAAGTCTCAAAGAAGCACGTGAGAACCGCTCAGCGGCGGTAAAGTCCTTCAAAGGACGTCTCTATGCCGAATTCGATACCGACCGAGGCACGTGGCTTCGCGCCGTGCGTGTCCTCGCCGAACTCGACTGCCTCTTCAGCCTCGCGAAGGCATCTGTCGCTATGGGCGAGCCAAGCTGTCGCCCTGAGTTCGTAGAAGGCGATGCTGCCTTTATCGAGTTTGAAGGGCTGAGACATCCAACACTAGCGAGCTTGCGGGAGGGCTTTGTTGCGAACGATATCAAATTGGGCGGCGATCTCGGCAGGATTGCGCTGTTGACAGGTCCGAACATGGGGTTAGTCAGAATTGTCTTTTTGTCATGCCTGACTTACATCGTACCATGCGTAGTGGAAAATCCACAGTGGGTAGTTACACCGCTCCAGAGATTTATCCTGATTTCTTCTGCTCAGGTCATGCGCATGACAGCCACGGGTGTCATCATGGCGCAGTTGGGCATGCTCGTTCCCGCCAAGTCAGCTCGGTGAGTTGTTGTTACCCCTTTGACAAGAAGCGTTCATTGACGCCAATGCAGCCTTTGTCCGATCGATGCTATTCTCACGCGGATGGGTGCTTATGATAACATGTTTTCCAATTCAAGTACGTTCAAAGTTGAACTGGACGAGTGGTGAGTGCTATCCCCCAACTTGGCATCTCGGTTATAAACGAGGAGTAGTTGCAAGATCTTGCGGGATGCCACGCCCAAATCACTGGTAATACTCGATGGTAGGCTATCTTCCCTTTTGAACGGATATTCGGCTGACCCACATTCGAGAACTGGGAAGAGGCACTTCTACCTATGTAAGAGAAGACGTTCTTTTCTTCGCGACCCACTATTGATGGTTCTTTATTCAGGATGGTATGGCAATTGCTGGAGTATGTCTCACTTGCATACCATGTGATTTTCTGATTGTGACAATGTACTACACCAGGCTGTCCTCCACGAAATTGCCACCCGCACCCTTCCGCTAGCATTCTTTGCCACACATTATGGCTCGCTCACCGATGATTTCGCCTACCACCCAAACATCAGAAACATGCACATGTCCACCATGCTTGATGACGAAAAACATGAAGTAAGTCAGCTCTATCCCATGTACTGCTGGTCGATTAACCCTTCCCTAGCTTGTCTTCCTGTACAAGTTAGTTGATGGTGTCGCGTCTTCGTCCTTCGGTACACATGTGGCCAAGCTCGCAGGCGTTCCCGAGGAGGTCGTCAAACGGGCCGAAGTCATTTCTGAGCATTTCGCGAAACAATTCAAAGCCAAGATTGACGACCGGAAAAAGAAGTCAATAGCATCCAAGCTACCTTTGGTCGCCCAAGCAGACTTTACTTATCTTCTATCCCTCGCCATGGGTAATTTGAAGCTACCAGACGATCCATTCAAGAAGCGAGAACTGCTCAAAGGACTCAAGCAGGCCGTGCGTTCGTATGTCAATTTGTAATTGCGTCGTTCACTGCTTTCGATATTTGCTTTCTCTATACCCACACTAATAGCATACACTGCTCGTACTAGTGCATTCCTCGACACCCAGGACTTCACTCTCACTTACTGGCATTGACATTTCTCGTTGTGCATCCACTTTGACAGAAATTGCTATGTAATATAGATGAATTTTTCAATGTCCTGCATCAATCCTGCATGATATAAAAGGAAGGACTTGGGAAGGAGTGTCTTTTCTTCTGTTATGACTTTATTGGGAGACTAGAAACTGCATGCATCAGAAGTACCGAGTACCTTGACCTAGATGTTCACCAACACCGTACAACCGAACATCATCTCTCTATTCTCTTCTACAAGCAGTGAACCCCTTTCCCTGTTCTCACAGCAGGTAGATGGGTCTCTCGCCGCAGATTCGTTCATACATTTCCTGAACGATGCGTCCTCGTTACCACCTCCCTCTCCACCTGCTGTCCTCTGCTCGATGCCACCACTCGATGACCAAGATGAACCAAATATTGGCTATAGCCTACATCAAACTGTCCTTCATATTCAGTCCCCAACTCTCCGGATGACCTTCATCCAGTCTCCACCTAATACAGGTCCCGGCGACAGAGACTTGGGCTTAAAGCATAAATGGCTTCATTTGCAAGTTCGAAACATGGGCAGGGAGTGGTCTTTCGACATAGGTATCGTTGACAAGTCGGGCAGGCGCGGTGTAGTTCGCTGCTCGACATTTCAGGTGCATGATATTTATGATTTTTTTCCCGTTCTTCAGAATCGACCCTTGATGCAGACCATAGTGTAATATGCCCATCTACTGACTCCTTATTATCAGAAGGAACCCAAACTTACAACGTCTCCTGCTCCGAATGCGCAACCGGTCCTTCATCTGCCTCTTTCATTTCCACAACCTTCATCTCGTCCCTTGACAGCATGGTCTACAATTACGCTTAATCTTCCGTCCTTGATACCCCATTTTAGCACACTTGCTGGCAGGAATAAGCTCGATGATGATGAAGGCAGTCGTCATGATATCAACCGTCCAGCAACATTTTCAGCGACGAATATCCCTAGCGGGACATACTCGCACTTGTCTTTCATCAAAATTTATGCGACATGTCGTTTACGAAGAATATGGTTGAGTGACCTTCTCCCGGACTCGCGGGTGCCATGGGAGTTTGAGTTATATGGGGCTTAGATGGATTATGTGGTCGCGTGGATGGTCATCTGTTAGATCGCGCGATGATGCGGTGAGCTTCAACGTAAGATGGGTGTCCAGACGTCCAAGTCCAGTGATGATAACGAGCTTCTTAGAAAAGATATATTCTTTATCATGACTATCCCTATCTCAATCACACAAGCGTCGTATATCTTGGCGTTCTTGTTCTGCACCGATAGTCACGGTCCTTGTACCCTCACGCTGCACATGATTTCTCTTGGAGTACCCGATCGTACGACTATGTGCTGAAATGGGCACAAAGACAATGCGACGCCTGCCGTCAAGTATCTTGATCTGATGGCTCAAGGGAACCTCAAGCACGTCGCGCTCAGTAAGATTGATCAAGGATACGTGTCAATGCACACCATCCATTTCGCGAATCGCTTCGGTCTGGTCCTGAACCTCCCGTGGCATAGATGCGGTTGTTGCAATGCAGATCATAGATAACCCGTCCATTATGCTCATATATTTGGCATGCTCTTATCTACGTGCGATGTCATTGTGCGTTGGCATCTGACACACAGCGCGCTTGTGCGCGGTACTTTGGCCATCTTGATCAGCATCTGGTTTACATTCCTTGTCATATATGGTGCTTCTACAACTTGTTCATCTTCGTTGATGGTACCTCACTTGCGCAGTCGTGTTTCAATAGCCCCTTGCAGCTCCACTGCCGCATAAGTATCTCTGGCCCCATGATACATACCAGTGAAGATGCCGCTGGTGAAGTGCACTGGGGCATCCCACAGTTGGATTCACATGGCGTTCATTTACATCTCTGCAGCAAGATATACGCTGCACGTGGCTTAGAATGATGCTGCAACATATCAAGCGCGTTGCAATAGATTGGGTTCCACACTAGAAGTAGACATTAGGTTCCCGGCTTTTGGCGAGTTCAGTCTTCCCGCGCATGTAAAAGAAAAGCTCATGTTAACGGCCCGGTTCATGATCGTCAGTACTCCACGAAGGAGGTTTATTCAACACCCAGAATAAATCAAAACGAGACACAACGGCGTGTCCAATATTCCGTACACTTACCCTTATGCTAGTGTGACAGTTCGCAATCTGTAGCAAGAACGTGATGGGCTAGGCTGTTCATGGGTAACCCTGAGGCAAACCTCCACTGGGACGGGGGATTCGATATGACAAGGTTCTTGAAGGGGGCCGTTCATGTTTACGTAGCTGATAGATATTGAACCCAATGTCGCTGAGTTCAAATTTCAAACTCTCGCCCAGCAGGCAGCACCACTTGTCTAGAACAAACCATGGCGGATGGCATCGGAAATTATCAGTTACGACGCTCTGGAAATAACGCAGATTACGGAACGCAGAGTGGAGTACGCACCGAAGCCTGATGTTGCTCCAAAGGTAACGGTTCTGATTCTCGTTGGCATTGAGTAATGGCAGATGGCCCTCAGATAAAATCGTCGGAAGGGAAGGTTTGTCTGCTCACCGCATTGCGTTATTAATGCCGTTTGCTCACCACTCTCAGACTAATACCCTCCTGGGTGTCACTTGTTTCACCAGCGCTGGTTCTTGCCAAACAAATCGAAAGAGGGGAGATTGATTTGTGCGACAGGAAAGGTATGTACAATTAGTACAATCCGTAATATGCTAAGATTTTAATTTGATCATGTAGTTGTTGAGCTGGGGGCTGGTTTTGCTTTCCCATCATTACTTGCAGCAGCTTCGCCCGATGATTGATCTCTTTCCCTCGTACTCGCCACAGCCCCAATGAGATCACCCTTGGAAAACTTGCAAATAATGAGGAGGGGGGTCGGTGCAAATTTAATCCAAGATGACACGTCCACTGTGTAGGTTACGAGTGGAGACAACACACAGCACAACTCCTGAGTGGAATGATCGCGTGGCCCTGATCCGTCACTGATTCCGCCGTTTGTCAGTCGTCTCTCTAGATGCGGGCGAACCATCCACCAATGGCAGCGTTGATGCGGTCATCTCATCAGACCTGTTGCATTTTGACAGTTCTCACCCGTCCTACATCACTCCTTGTCAAGTCCGCCGATGCCGGGATGCACGTCACTACTGGGAAGCACACTGCCCAAAACACTTGCGTTCATCTTGGCATCGGGTACGGGGATTGACCGGGTGGAGTGCACGGAGGTCTTAGATGACCTACGATGCACATCTGGCAAAGGCACGCTGAAAGTGAGTGGACCAGACATTAGTCTTCTATTAGCTAGTACGTTCTCCTGATATTGACGGCCTGCCCCTGCGACTAATTGAATTTGAATTTTCCTAGTATCCAAAGAGGGGACAATGGCTTGGAGCGCTTTTGCATGTTATCATTTCCGCGATTTGAATATAATCGATAATCTTTTTATTGAAGTGGACAAAATGTGAGCCTACATGTACTAAGTAATTTACGTGAATGACCAATGCAGGGTACTCCGATCAAGAATTCACTAGGTTTCCACTACCACATGTTTCATAATGCAGATCTCCCTATGCTTTATTTGCGTTTTAGCTTCAATATTGCAGTTTGCTTTGAGTTTACTCAACCTTCTTCTATTCCCAGCCATGTGTTTCCGGGGAGCCATCGCGCCTAGAGTCCCAACAACTTCGTTAAAGTTAAAAAATGATTTAAACTCAGTGACCCCTCCGAGGCTCTAAAATATTGCGCGAGTCCTCTTGCTCTTCTACCAGTAGTGTAACGAACAACATCGTACAATGGATATCCGCTGTGGCCTCATTGATATGGCGGTATATAATAAGCCGGCAGTATATTAATCAAGGCTGCTGGGGCTAGTAAGCCAAACAACAAAAAGGAAATTGAAGATCAAATGCGACGACGAGTAAACGAACAGACCCAAGCTCGATAGAGCGTAGGTGAATCAAGTGAATTAACACGGTTAACACCGCTTCATACGTCTATCTCCCCCTTATCGGCAATTGCTCGACAGCCCAAGAATGATGACGCGAATCACGGCGAGTCCGGGTAGTATCCCACCGACATGAATCATGTCATTGTCGCATGTCAAATGCATTGCGCAACATGTCGTGCCGATAATTGAGGTCGCTGCGTGAACCATGTGGCACCCCTGTTGGGTGATTATGGCACCTTTAGCCCTCCCTTGTTCTCACCACCTACGGGGGATGCCGCTATGGCAGTGACAGACGCGACGGTAGTTCCGTTTGACGCAGTGGACTCGGCTAGAAATAGTGCAGTTTTGGGAATGGTGGCAAGTGATGGTGGAGGAGTCGAGGTGACTAGGGACGATCCAGAGCTGATAGACACATTCCAAGAATACCGGTGATGAAAACTTTTCTTCTTCCGCACACTCGCTGAGTAAGCGGCTCGCATCGCTTGCGTAGCATCATTTGTGTTGCTCGCGAGACTTGACGATGAGCTACGTGTAGCCAGGGGGTAACATGAGCCTACGGATGGCACAGGGGACGCAGGGGGTGAAAGGGATGGGAATATAACCGGGTGCTCGACGTGAACATCAGAACCGAAATCTGATGACGATGAGGAATCTGAAGGCGGATATGTGGAATGCCACTCGCCGGAGGCAGGGGGCTCATCAGCGGTAAGAACGAATGAGGGGAGAGTGAGGGGGAAAGAAGTGAGGAAATCCTCGGGAGGGCGAGGGGAAGGTACGGCTACAGAAGGATATGGGGAGTCGTCTGCAGATGGGGAGGATAGGACTTCCCGGCGGGCCACCCACATGGCCAAGTTTGCAGTGCACTGACAAGCGAATATCTCCAATTCTGAGACAGCAAATATATCAGGCGCGTAAAAGTGCAGTAAAAAAATGCAAAATACCAGGAACAGCTTGTGCAACAAGGTTCATGAGTGGCTTGGCGTATGAATCAATAAAAAATATTTGTCCTCGTACTTGATCCAGTGGACATTCGGAAGGTGTGACGGATGCCGGCAAACTCCAGCGCTTCTCCAGTGTTGCTTGATATGTCCATTCGGCCATTAGGGCATTTGCCCAGTAATGGGAGACGCCGGGCGGCCGACTCTACACCGCATGCAAGTTAGAATGATATGGAATATAAACAACGAAAAAACGAACGGGGTTACTGATGTCTGCACACTTTATGATTGCCTGGCAGAACAGTAATCGGCGCTGAAACAAAGAATACTCTTCACCGTCCACGAGCGATTGAAAATCTCTTATAAATTTATAGTGGACACCCATATCCGTAGCCAGTACGATGCCAGCAAGCACTTTCCGGAAGCCGGAGTCTGGTCGATCCAAGAGTTTCCCAAGACCATGCTGCCGCATTGCCTGTATGAGGAGGGCGTAGTGCATCTGTTCAAGAGCCGACTTGTTGTCGTACACATCAGATAATGGAGCCTTTGCGTTTTTCTGCGGATGGGTGTTAGGTAGTGTTTTGTTGCAATTTGCTGTGCAGGTCATACCATGAACATGTTTGTCAACCCGGGATGACCTACATCATGTCCAATGGCAGCAACGAACAAAGCAAAAAGACATGTGTTGTTGAGGTCGAACGCGAGACGTCCTTCCTTTCCGAGTCTGTTTGGCTTCCATGTGCAGTCGTCGCTATCAAGCAATATTGACACAGGAGGAATTACACCCGCCGCACACAGGAAGGCCTGGGAGGCCTGCAAGACATCCACTGCATGTTGAAAATTATGATAACTGTTATGTCCGCAGTATAGGGGTTGCAGATGTTTCAAGAAGACAGAGATATCATCTATCGAAGCGATAAGACAGTCGTCACACGGAGACAAAAATAACACTGACCAAGAGAGACACCTATATCCTCTCGCATGCCCTCAATTCGAAATAGGCTTTCAAACAAAATTTGCGCGCAGAATAGGACTTCCTCCTCAGGTAGGTTCTGCGGCTCAAAATGCCAGCTATCAAGGAACTTAATCAGGGACGCTCGTGTATGGGGAGGTATCACGATTGGAGAGCTGAGGATGTGATCGGTTAGAAGACTTGCAGAAATGGCAGAAAAGGACATTACATGTCATGTACATGATGGCTGACGGTAGTCTGGGTGTGGTTGTACATGTCGCTAAGTAGTTCAGCATAGCTATTATCAAACATCGTAAGAACCTCTCCGATCAAAAAGATATGAAAATGTGGCTTACCGAGTCTCTCCTTGCTCATCCTCTTCCCATCCACCCCACCCATGACCCAAGCCCTGGTTTTCGAGTGCAAGCGCTAAACCCCCGACGTCAACGCTTCTTCGACGTCCATGAGAATATTCTTCGTTATCAAGCATGAACTAGGTGAACGTGGTTGGCGATGGCAGGAAAACGAGGAGCAGATAGAGAGTTAAGGAGGTGGCAGGTGATTTATGTCGTTGACAGACTACCAGTAGCTCGGATTGCCTTCGCTCGCGTGGTCGTGGTTGTTTGTGACAGATCTCGTGGCCGTCGGCTCTCGTGGCTCTCGCGTGGCGGATTTTTTTAATTCTCCGCCACATTCTCGGTCCGATTTCCCGATGCCTCGCCCTTTTTTGCCAATGTTCCAAGCTTTTGCCTTGTTCAAGGGAAAAACTATAAGCCCCTCTTTCGTTCCTGCCACCACCAACCGCTTTCCGCATTCTCTTGGACCTGAGGTTGTGGTACTTTTGTTCCCGACCGCAAGGACTTGTTCCTAGAACGGGAAACAACACCTTGAGACACGTTGATACAAGAGTCCTCGGAGTTCGTGATACAAGAGAGTGAACACGCCTAGGACTGCGACTTGGGGGTAATCCCTGACTCATCGATCTCACAAGAACGCCTGCTTCTCGAGAAGCAGCTAGCATGAAGAAGAACTGCGCCACGCTCGATGCTGGGCCAGAGGGTATTGAGGTGTGGGGAAAAAAATATGTGCGCGTCTACAACTAAACACAGTTACTTTATTAGCGGTCAACGCCTGCGACTTTCAGTCCTTTTTATCTGCATGTCAGGCAACAATTTGACCCATTACTTGCTAAAAGTCAGCAGTGAGACAATTACGGCATTCGATAAAACACAAGATAACTAACGAGGGGGAAACGGTTCAAGTGCTTGATTTTCCTGTAGCTCTAGGCGGATTTGCAACTTGAATATCTACCTGGTCGTCCAGATCGTTCGATGACCACTTCAGTGACTTCACTCACCGTCAGTGCTCGAAAAAATTATCTTCCAACCTTGGTCTCGTAATTTTTTGATCATCTCTTGGCCTCGCCTTTGTCCGGATTCCAGGATCCTCTTGATTGCTCACCAGGTATGTCACTTGGTTCTATTTCACGAGTAGATTTTCTTTCGAGCGACCTTGTGGCTCCCCCTTTTTTCTACTGTCATATAATATCGAGCTGCTCACGGCGCTGTTGGTAATGATTACGATTTTCTTGGCTGGCCTAGGCTCTACATATTGTCGCCCGTTGCGTTTCCGGTGGTTCTGTAACAGCAAGATCGTATCTTGATTATTATCGTGAGTGTTTCAAGGCACTGCAATCACCAGCGATCGGGCGTATGACATTGTCATCTATGGGCCGCTAGTCTACGCCACTATTCACACGACATGACGAACTGGTCGACTTCCCGTAAGGTCGTGCTGATAATTAGGTGCACGAGGTAACTAGTTGAGATGCCGAATCTTATCAGGGAGTGAGCAACGCCCAAGACTCGTCCTCTCTTGTCCTCTCTTGCCTCGTCATGAGTCCTCGAATCTGTGGGGCAGTAGATGCCCTCCACAGATTGAGATTGCAGTTTAGCTAGTTGGTGGCTGACTTGACATCCATTTCAGGTGTGCTTCCGTACCTTTTAGAAGGCCTTTGGCGTGTCTTGCCGTCTTTTCTCCCTGAACTTCTCGCCACAGACCGAGTCACTTCCCATCTTTCCGCGCCTTCTGCTGTCATTCTCAAAAATCACGGAGCGTGTGCTATGTTCCGTTGCTGTGCCACCCCAGATCTTCATGGGCCCTCGTGCGGTCATGAAGGATGTATATCCGGCGAAGCATCTTCGTTGCAGGGTCTCGGTATGGCCTGTCTAGAATGCAGAACAGCGGCAAGGAGCGATATTACTTTTTTGACAGATGAGTAGAAGCACATCAAGCACGCGCTAAAAACATTATTCATTGCAGCAACCAGATGAAGATGACTTTTGGAGATTCATTGCGATGATGTCAAACAATGAGCTTGTGTCTTGAGCCTTACGCCCCACGTTGTTGAACACGCCGGCTTCGCAACTTCGGACCCTGCACGGGGGTTAATCTTATTTGTTGTCCCCGTGGGGCGCAACCCTATGTCAGTACAGATCGTATCATGTGGTAGTTGGACCAATGTTTCGTGGGAGCATTATGGTGTCTGTTGGGCTTTGGATCGAGCTGTCAGAAAAAAAAGAGGGCTTCAATGTCCTAGGGTCATCACTCTAAATCATTGCGGACGTTCGACTGACCGATCTTACCCCAGGTTCTAGATGATTCGGAGTGTACCGCCCTTGTACAGCAACTTGATGCTTCCGAGTCAAAACGTTTGTGTGAATAAATAGTATGGTCAGGGGATACGTATGTCCGTGTGTGCTTCTTCTACTTGATATGATTGGCGCTCGGATCGTTCCTGTTGGATGCATCTGTGAGTTGTGATGGACATTTTCTTGGACTGACCCCATGATGAGGTTTTGGCGCTTGCCATGACAAGTCCGCCAACTTTCTCACGAGCGCGTCGTGCCGTACACACCATCTTGCACGAAGATAAATTGCAGGAAAATATCATAGAGAGGGAGAGGGGGGGCACGAGGGTGACACGGCGACATAAACAACACTCCCTCCATACATCCATCGATATATTTATAAAAATTTCAATTTTACTTTCAACATCATGAATGAAATTAATCTTAGCCGCCTCGTTGTCGGCTCAGAGCAGCTGATTGTAATCTAGACTCATCTGGAATCCGTCTTGAGGGTGTTCTTGGCCCCTCATCTCTAGAGTTGGACCCTAGTTCATGAATCGTGGTTCTTGGTACGAACATGCGTGATAACGAGAAGGATTGATGATCGGTTTTGACTTGGCTGGACTGTTCTGTATGGACAGGTACGGTACGGTACGGTGGCGGAGATGACCATGACATGAAGTATGTCAAACGGATTCGGATGCGCCCTTGCATAATTTCGAATGCCCTTTAAACAAAATCGGTGTCGTGGCGTTTTGACGTGTGATCAACTCCAGTGGTCGGTGCAACAAGATGAACAATAATTGCGATATGAGATATCATAGGTATCATATGATTTTGCAGAGTATATTACATGCGTTCCAACCTGCCAGAAATTTGATTTGAGTTCTGTCCGTGAGCGAAGAACGACCCAAGACAATAAGGAATGATCAAGAACAAGAAAAAAAATGCAACAGTAAAGGACAAGCATAGGCCCAGCAACCTTCAAATGCGATAGATGGGCAATTGCAAAAGTGCCGTAGTGACGGTTAGCCAAGACTTGATGCAGAGCGCTACGAGCTCGTCGGTCCTTTGATTAATTGTGATGGTAATGCAACGTGAGCGTACTTTATATCATGAATGGTGCCTGAAGATTGGCAGGAATAGACCAACGTCGCGCCATAGATGAGAGTGACGGGAGGTTATCCGTGGAAGAACCGCAGCTGCCAGAGCCATGTAGTGTATACGCGCCGGTGTACTGAATTAGAATTAGTAAACGATGGTTGCTATTGACTGAAAGCATACCTCTGAGGTAGACATATCCAGGGGCGTTTTACGTGAAGAAGCAGAAGAAAGTGACGGGGAGTGTGGATGCGAATTATAGGACCTGAGGGATGGCAATGTATACGAAGGACACGGGAGCTCGTTGGTAGCCCAGCTGGTATGTGGGTAGGGGAGGTCTGTGTTGTCGCCCTCCGCCCACCTCGTGTTTTCATCTAGGGCGGGCTCTGGTACCTCGATGAGAGTTTGAAGGTGGGAAGGTTGTTGTTCCTCGGCCTCCTCATCCGAGTCACGGTATCCAACGTCGAGCTGAAACTCAAAAACCTGAGGCTCCTCTTCCAATGGACCTGCATCCTCCCCCAACCAGGTACTCATGGCCTGACCACCGCCCTCATGCATTGAGAAGGGATTGAGGCGAAATACGCCCATCATTTTGCGCATTGCCTTGCTTGCTTGGGTAGCGCGCAAGGGCACTTCTGTTGGAGGAGCCAATGAGGCGCTGTCCTGCGCAGCCGGGACAGAGGTAGCGAATTCCATGACAAAGCAATCGGCGCTTGAAACGTCATCTTGTTCGAGCTTTACTGGGGGAGACCTAGATGAGGAAGCTCTAGAAGAAGCACGTGCGGAAGGAGATGCGCTTGTGACTGTGGGTGGTAGGGAGTGGGATGGGGTACTTCTGTCATCCATAGTGTAGAGAGTGGCACCCCATGAGGCATCGTCGAATTTGAAAGATGTACCTGCTGATGGGGAGCGGTGTTGAGTTTGGCGTTCAAATGATGAAGAGGGGTGACGCTGGGATTGTTCTGCGTAAGAATATGGATGACGGATTGGACATGAATATGAAGTGGATGATGAGCTCGGTACGACTTCGTTTGACCAATTAGAGAGTAAATTGACGTTCCATGTCGTTGAATTTGAGGAATAATCATGGTTAGGGATATCGTTTTGAGATCTTGTTTGATAGTTCCATTGAGGGGGAGCTAAGTCATGTAACTGGTAAGACTGCCTCTCTGAGGATTGGAAACGTCTGTCTGTAAGGATTGGATAATGATCCAACGACATTGAGTGGGATCAGTGGGATGAAGGATGAACTTGAGAAGGGTGGACTATAAGAACGAACGGAAAATGAAGTTTAAAAGAAGACATTGAGATCTATCCGACATTTGACATCTCTTTATGATGTAAAGAACGGGAGGAGCGTATGCAGGACGCCCAGATTGAAGATCTGGATCGGACTCGTTGCAGAGGCACGACCGAATGGAAGTATCTGTGTGAGAACTACAAAAGGTTTCATGTTAAAAAATATACTCATTATAATATCCATTTTATTACTCCGGAATCTTACCAATTGAATAATAACTCGGCCAGTAGCGGTGACCTAAGGCCTGAACTCCCCGTTCGTTGTAGCCAATAACCAAGTGGTCCTCACCGTTAGTCGGGAACTAAAAAAGGAAGTCTTCGCGTTGGGATCCGCATAGCACGAGCGTCTAATTCCGAATTTAGTAATTTTGATTTGGTGTCCGGTTTTCGGTTATTATCTTATTTTCTCCGATTTGACTATCCTGTCAAATTCATAAGATCTTCACAACATCCAACCTCATTCACTATGTTTTTACGTCGACCTCGGAACTCCTTCCCTTTCGGCCGGATATTTTGGATCATCTTTCGGAGTGCGTACCGCAACCGAGAGGGAGTAGGAGTATAAATATTGATTGTTTCGAGCTTGATGCTACCGATACGGTTCAGCGACACTCCATATCCCCGATGCGCTCGCAGCGCAGATCACCTTTTGAATTGAACCACTTCGGCTCACGTCCTAGGGCAACGACAGGCATCGAATCGTAAATCCATCAGTTGAAGTTTGATCCCTTCCGTTGGTTATCACGGAATGACCGATCTTCGCCGTTCAAATCTAGTGTGTATGCTAGTAGAACTAAGATGACCATTATCGGCGCTGACTCATATATTTCAGGAGTATTCATCATCATCTTCGATCTTGGCTCTGCAAGTGTCAACGATGATCTGATAAGCATCTGCATGCTGTAAACCTGACACTCTCTCCGTAAGAAAATCGGTCATTAACCCATGCTCATTGTCCTGTTTGCACGTTCATGCTCCCCATCCTTTTAACCAATCATGTGCAGATCTGCCATGCATTGGGCACATGCCGCGTCACCTGGCGTCGTGCCACAACGTGATTAGTACTCCTCCGCGTTCACTAGATACCCTGCCGTGATCCGCCGTGACAGTATAGGTCGGGTTTCCAACCACCGGTACTAACCCCCTCTTCAAAATCTAAATACCGGTCGCCTGTCCATGTGGGTGCCCTCGTGCTCAGGATCGGCGGTGTGATGACAATGCCGCCGCAGCGCCCCGCATAGGTCCACCTAGGGTTTGGGCTTCCAAGCGGGCTGTCCATCGATGATATCGATCACCCTTTACCTCTGTTCTCTTACTCTCAAGGTACAATGACATAGGACAAGTAAACCGATCCGTGTGGTTCGCGTGTTATCACGTGTAGCCGCGGATATCATGGTCTCCCATGCTGCGGACCACAAGCGCTATTTACAGTTATGAACAGCGCTCAAACCTCGATACTTTATCTCCATACTCTATCTGACGGGGATAGTCCACCGTAAAAGTAAAGGAGAGTACTTGCTTAGCAAGCTTTGCTTGCGATTGCTTGTCCCGTGGAGCACGACATATCATATTCTCCCGTCAATCATATCTTCGACTGCCGTACTACGCCGATCACGATCTTTCTCTTTCACCGCATCTCAAAAAGGTGCTTCAAATTACTTTTCTAAAATATCCCTATCTGAACAAATCTGTACTCTATCCCCACCCGCCTTATTCGGCCTGAAAGTGCCTGAAAGTCGGCGGTGATGCTCAGCGATGACCACATCAAGATCCTCGACCCGCCCGCGGACAACAACAACCTTGTGATTCGTCTGCCGTTCCTCCCCCTTGTCCTTCTTTCCTCACTTCCGGGGGAGTTTCAGGTCGCGTACCTGAGATCCGCGGAAAATGCAAGCTCAGGTGGTACTTTGTTGCCAAGCTGTAAAAAAAATCAGTTGATAATCGTCCTTTCGAGATGCCAACGGCGAATGGAATGTTCACCCACGCCGATGTCCGTGATAGCCTCCGATACATTGTGCTGTAAGACGTTAGCTAGTAATAATAATAGCCCACCGTACCATGCACGACTGCTACACGAGATGCACTCAATGAATGTCATTCACCAGCCGGTTTTAATTGTCAACCGGAGGAGAGCATCGCTCCACCAACAGCAAGCAGCCGACAGTCCGGTTCTGACGGCTTGTACGTGAATGGCTTCCAAGTACTAGAACTTACTCAGTTACTGATATGTACTAGTACAGCCATCCGAAGCTCAGCTGGAACGTTGTGAGTAAGGAAAAGGAGAACCTATGATTTTCTCGCGTGCTCATCGTGGCGCCTTCAGTTTGTTACTGTTAATATTCGAAGAGCCGCCGTGCGCTATAAGCCAATTCATTTTTCCGGGCTTTAAGAGAATACAAGCGACTCGTTCTTGAGCCCGGCAACACAGAGCGCTATGAAATAATCAGATAAGCGCGCCTCCGAGACAAGGCGTCAATTTGCCATTGTGCCCTAGTGGTTTTGTAGATCTGGCGCTGCGTGCGCTATAAGCCGAGTCATTATTCTGGGCTTTAAGAGTATACAAGCAACTGTATCTGTGGTGACGCAGATATCATATTTTGACTCGTTCTTGAGCCTTGCAACTCGGCAACACAGCTATGAAATAATCAGATAAGCGCGCCTCCGAGACAAGGCGTCAATTTGACATTGTGCCTCTAGTGGTTTTGTAGATCTGGCGCTGGCGTTTACTCCGAGCTCTTCGTAGCGTGGCATATATTGAACCTCGGAGCGCTCGCCTTGAACAAGTGTCGGGCTCATGTTCCGACGCGTTGACACGCCGTTCCTCTGGATTTTTTGGACTTGGCGACCAAGTCCACGCGCCGCGGTCACGTGATCAAAATGGTGAAACAACTTGAATCAATCTTTGAAACTGAAATTGATGAGGAGCGTCGTAGTGATCATTGATTTCATGAACGACACAATGAACGTTCCCTCCAGAGCGCGTAAGTAAAATTATTGTTCGGATATACACCCTTTTTCCGATTGCTGCTTCAAAACCTGTTCCAGATCTCAGCTCTAGCCAGACTTCGTTGGCAACTCACATCACGTATGATATGCAGGTGCGCTGGTACAGCTGTGCTAATTTAGTACACATGCATAGATGAACTCAACGGCCGGTGTGACCTTGCGATGTCACCGGGGCATTCTGCTGTTATGGCATCGTACGCCAAAAAAATATCCTTATCTTTTAGTACCACAACGCGTCACTCACCAATCCGATGCCTAGCGTGATCATAATATGCAGGTGCGCTTGTACAGCTGTGCTAATTTACTACACATGCGATGATGCATAGATGAACTCAACGGCCGATGTCACCGGGACATTCTGCTGTTATGGCATCGTACCCAAAAAATCATCTTTTAGTACCACAACGCGTCCATTCGAGTCACTCACCAATCCGATGGGCATACAGTCCCCGTTTAGATGGAAAAGAGCAGTTCAACGACCCTGTCTAGTCCCCACGCGGTCGCTTCATCTTGAAGTTGCGGACAGTACGCAAAGGGTCAAGTCACATCTGATGGGAGATGATCCCGGTCGGAGATCTCTGAGGACACGAATGGCCGCGACAGCGTTTGGTCCGGGCCGGATTGGCACACGGAGTGTTCATTTTTTCGTCTTCTCCGTGTTACTTGGCAAGTTGGCAAGCATGTGGCTATGGACTGCTGTGGCCGTGACATCCAGAAACACCGGCTTGAACGAAAGCTTGAACTCACATACTTCGTAGTCTGACAGCCGATTTTCTCCCCCGTCGATTGTGACACGTCAAAGAGAGGATGATCACGATCACCACCCGCCCCCAAAACTGGGATTATTGCATCGGCGACATCTACAAAGCTTTTACCTTTCCTAAAAACCTCACAAGCTCTCGCACCACCATCTCTGGTGCTTCTTGTTGCACCCAATGGCCCGCCCCTTCGATCAAAACGAAATCCTCGTTCTGCATGCTGCTACACACCACCTCTCGCATCTTCCTCTCAGCCCCTGGAGTTTGATACACTCCCCAATCCCTAGCCCCTGATATAAACGCTGCAGGCACCTCCACTCGTCGCCCAGCTAGAACACGTAGTTGTGCTATACGCTCAGGGGGTGGAGGTGAGAGTGCGCTTCGATAATAATTAAGCCCGCCCTGAAAGCCCGTGCGACCGAATTCAGCAGCGTATACACCTGCTTCGGCTTTGGGCCATGTAACTTGGGCAACATGACGAGCAATGACCTCTGGCATGCTTTCATGCAGCGGCATGATGTAGTATTCTGGGAGAGTAGCAAGATCCATAGCTAGCTCACTGATGCTGGGCGAAGGTGAAGATGCAGAAGGAAGAGGATGTGTATCGTTTCCAACCCAAGCGCCACTTTTCATGGAAAAATAGCCGCCGAGAAAGTCGTGCAGAGCCTTGCCCCCTTGGCCAAGCATGTCCGCGTTGGCGGAGGGAGTAGAAAAGTATGCCATGTAGTGCTTGCGTGGAGGTTGGAGCGTAGCAAGCGCAGTTGCAAGGTCAGGACCCAAAGACACGATGGGTCGTTCCTTCGCTTTATCACTTGCACCCTCGGTACTCGCTTGAGGCGAGGATGGGCTAGCAACGCCAACAAAGGGTGCGCTCATGAACACGACCGACGTAAATAGTTCCGGATGCGCGACGACGCAGTGTCCTGCAAGAGGAGACCCAAAGTCATGCCCCACGAGCATCGCGACGGATGAATATCCGAGCGCTCGTACAAGGGAACACACGTCCTCTACGATGTTGAGCATATGAAACGAGGAAAGCGGATCTTCGTATTGGATTTGGTGGCTGGATCCCATCAGCGTTGTTGTGTGCCCGTAACCACGCAAGTCAGGGGCAACGACATGATAACCTTGATGGGCGTTGGCGATAGGCACCAAGACTTTGCGCCATGAGTAAGCGAGTTCTGGAAAACCGTGAAGAAGAAGGATCAGAGGGTAGGAAGTGCTCGGATCGTTGTTTGTGTCTGGAAGCGCTTCTAGGATATGGACGTTCAAATCATCGCGGTCACTTAAAGTGATGTACCGAGACGTAATTTGGGGAGGGAGGTCGGGCAATTCGACTGACGTCAAGGTTGTGTTCATGACGTACGTCTATCCAGAGTAGTTTTCACTAGTCAGTCACTGGGTTTGGTAAATGGGAAGGAGGTCGTTACATCGTAATCTTGAATGTTGGTGATTCGTCGAATATCCGCGTGCGGTGTAGGCTTCAAGGACTTCAGTCTGAACCTCGTTAATAAGGTTAGACTCGTGTTAGCGCTCTTCCGTAATTGTCCTCAAGTGAACCGTCAGCATCAGGGGTTGATTCAACTAATGAGTCCGGGCACACCTACGACGTTCTAGATAACACAAACCACAGGGAGTTAGTCATACCCTAAGGCAAGTATTTTAACATGCATCCAATGCACCCTAGGGCCTACAACACCACTTGGGAATTATCGGGTATCGATACCCAGGATGCACGCCATATATAACTCCACTCACCAGAACGGGCTTGGGTCAGTCCACTGGCGTGGCAATGTAGAACTCGGCATATGTTTAACCTGAAAGTTAGGTACGTATGCATATTCTTATCTGCTGCGCAGCAAAAATGATGCAAACCTGTGAGATGATCGCCTTGATTCAGTGACCTCCGTTACAAGTTGCGAAGGGAAATTTGAATTTCTATTTCTGGCCCTGGGCGCGCGGCTGTCCAGAAATCAATGAGGCAGAAAACTTGATCCTAATTACAAGATGTCATACCTAAAGTATAGTGCTACGCGTTTGCTTCAAAACGCACCAGAAGTTCATGGCACGAGAAGCGGCGAGAGTAGGATGGTGATGAGGCTTGAATAAGACGTTATACAGACGGAAGCGACAAATAAGCGTTGGTGGCACTCGGGAGTGTTAGGAAATATCACAGTATGTGCCTCGATCTAATCGCCTGAATTTTCGAACCGAGAGGCTTGGACGTACATTTTTGCGCAGCCTTGATCACAACTACGAACCGATGCATTTGCTGTGTCCGCTACGACCCCACGACGGATTGTTTGGTTATATTTGTCGCACCCTCAACCCAGAATAGAGTACTTAAAGCGCGTCGATTGAGCGTCGCTCTTGTTCACCGACCTCGACGACGCCCTTCCACGCCAGCCCTTTTTACACTAGGTTTGTTTGATCTCACTATCTGTGGTGTTCCGCGATCTGATATGCTCATATAGCTACCTATTTACCCTAGAATCACGATGTGCGGCATCTTTGGCTACTGCAACTTCTTGAAGGAAAAGGTAAGCTGCTTTCCAATGCAAGCTATTTCTGTCTTCTGCTTTGTGGCTGCGCGTTTATTCTCTTTTGCCTCTACAACTCCGCGCACGCTGTCAAGCCTTTGAGCGATTTTGAGCTGAAATCTCACTATCGTCACATACCATATTTAGTAACTTTACCTACACCCTTCGCTTCGCGCTTTCTTTTCGTCGCGTGTTACCTCATAATCCGTTCACTAACTTGCGCCTATCTCAGGACCGCAAGGAGATCCTGGAGATTCTTTGCACGGGTCTAGCAAGACAAGAATACCGTGGTTATGATTCTGCTGGCCTTGGTATCGATGGCGACAAGCCAGGCGAAATTGTGTTTTTCAAGGAGGTTGGCAAGGTCGCCGGCTTGAGGCAGCGTATCGCCGAGTCCACCATCGACACTACGAAGACGGTGATGTCCCAGGTCTCCATTGCTCACACCCGTTGGGCAACACACGGTCCTCCCTCCGTTATTAACTGCCATCCCCTTCGCTCCGATGTGAACAACGAGTTCATCGTTGTACACAACGGTATCGTGACCAACGCTGCAGCTCTTCGCCAAGTCCTGCAGAAGCGTGGCTTCAAATTCGAGTCCGACACGGACACAGAAGCGGTTGCCATTCTAACAAAATACGTCTATGATTCTCGGCATGACAAGCGCATGACCTTCACATCTCTTGTGAAGACCGTCCTGAAAGAGCTTGAGGGTTCTTTCGCCTTCGTCTTCAAGTCTATCCACTTTCCCAATGAAATCGTGACTGCCCGTCGCGGTTCACCTCTCCTGATTGGTGTCAAGACTGACAAGAAACTCAAAGTCGACTTTGTGGATGTCGAGTTCGCTGGAGCTGAAGCTGATAGCAAGGCCGTGGATAGTCGTAAGTTGTCTCACTCTCGATCCAGCCTTCTCTAAAATGCTTTTCTAGTGGTTCCCACTTCCCCCACTTCTAGATTGGCGCCTCCATCGATGCCGAATTTGAATCGTCGCCAGTCGCGCAACTTCATGTCCGAGGATGGCATGCCCCAACCCATCGAGTTCTTCATCGCCTCTGACGCTTCTGCCATTGTGGAGCGCACGAAGCGTGTGCTCTACTTGGAAGATGATGACATTGCTCACATCGCTGAGGGTCAACTGCACATTCACCGTCTGCGCCGGGATGAGTCTGGTAAAGCCGAGTCACCTGCCATTCGCAACATCGAGACGCTCGAGATTGAGATTGCCGAGATCATGAAGGGCAAGTTCGATCACTTCATGCAGAAAGAGATTTACGAACAACCCGAGTCCGTCGTCAACACTATGCGTGGACGCGTGAACTTTGATGACTACAAAATCACGCTCGGTGGGCTGCGTGCCTATCTGCACATTATGCGTCGCGGTCGCCGTATTGTTTTCTGCGCTTGCGGAACGAGTTATCACTCTGCGTTGGCGACTCGTGCGATTTTCGAGGAGTTGACGGAAATCCCCGTTAGCGTAGAACTCGCATCCGACTTCCTTGACAGAAAGACTCCCATCTTCCGTGATGACGTCTGTGTCTTTGTCAGTCAGAGTGGAGAGACTGCTGATACGATCCTGGCACTGCGGTACTGCTTGGAGCGTGGCGCCCTCTGTGTGGGAGTTGTCAATACCGTCGGTTCGACGATCTCGCGTGAAACACACTGCGGTATTCACATCAATGCTGGTCCCGAAGTTGGTGTCGCGTCCACCAAGGTATGGAAATCTTTCCCAACCTGTTGACCATCTGATATGAACATTTCGTAGGCATATACATCCCAGTACATTGCACTGATGTTGATGGCGCTGCAGCTATCAGAGGATCGAATCTCCTTCACTGAACGCCGCAACCAGATCATCGATGGCCTTCGTGCTCTCCCTGCACAAATCAAGAGTGTTCTCGACAAAGACAAGAGTTTGCGGGAGCTTGCCACTACCGTCCTCGCAAACTCGCGCAGTTTGTTGTTGATGGGCCGTGGATATCAGTTCGTAGCTCTCGTTCACGACCCAAACCGTAAGACTGATCGATGATCCTTTCAGGCATGCCACTTGCCTTGAGGGCGCCCTCAAGATTAAGGAGATCAGCTACATGCACTCGGAGGGTATCCTTGCAGGAGAGCTCAAGCACGGTCCCTTGGCGTTGATCGATGAGAACATGCCGGTTATCATCATCATGACCCAGGATTCATTATACCCGAAGGTCCAGTCCGCGTTCGAACAGATAACTGCTCGCAAGGCTCAGCCCATCGTGGTCTGCAACGAGGGTGATACTGGAATCAAGGCTGGTGTGAAGACCATTCGTGTTCCTCGCACTATGGACTGCTTGCAAGGTCTCGTGAACATTATTCCCCTGCAGCTATTGAGCTACCACTTGGCCATCAAGAACGGGTTTGACGTCGACTTCCCGCGTAATTTGTGAGTTTCTGAGTTGTAGTAACTTGGCGTTTTATACTCACCTCTTCCTCCAGGGCCAAGTCAGTTACGACCGAATAAACGACTCTTTACTTTCATCCGCGGAAGGGTGGCATGCATATCCTTGCCTCAGGCTATCATCATGGACTTTCAAAATTACTGTACACATACCGCTTTTACGGACTGGATAAGGTTTTGTACTCGACAACGGACGATTTGCATTCACGGACGGTTTTGAGCTTTCTTCTCTTTGACTTCACGATCCTCATTCGCTACCGTATATCCACCCTTACTTGATCTTCGAGCCCCATTCGTTCCGCATAGCATACACGTTAGCAACTGTCCCCACAGCGAAAATTGAATGGTCTCGGTTATTTGGAGCACGATCCGCGTGATGAATATGTTTGTGACTCGCAATTGAGTCACAAGTTAACGTCTGCTATAACTTAAACTTCAAGTCAAGCTTCAAGTTACACGACAAGCTAACTTGTTTCCGCCCTCTGACGACCTTCATCTATTCGACCAGCGAATCGCGGAGACAAGCTCCCGACGCCCTGTCTCACAAATTACACAAGCCGAGTTGCGGTCTAGCAATACCGGCTCGAGTACTGCAGCCGAAGTCTCTGCCAGTGACCGTTAACTACTACGGAACCTCGATCCCTTCCTCTCTGTGGGACGCCTCAATTTTTGTGTTTGAATCTCTTGCCACCTTCGATGATGTTTGCAGTGGCTACTTGGTCCGAGGTCCGAGTCCTTCCTTCACTGCGCGATGATATTCTCCGGCCTCTGGGCGTCTATATGTGAACTTCGAGCAAGAGAAGAAGTCGGTGATCTCGAACATAGCTGTTCTGCAGCTGAACGGACCAAATATTGGCGACCTTCTGGCGTACTGATGTTGAAGAATAAGTCAACGACACGTTCATAAAAGAGCACATCGGACTCGTGACAGAAACCACAATTACTATGGCCGTGACCAGGTTGAATTCAGTTACAAACCACCGTCTGTACAGGCATTCGCTCGGCCTTGTCCTCCATTCTCTGTGCTCCCTTCTCAAATTTGTGCTTCGACGACTGGCATGGACCGGGTAGAACTTGGGTAGTATTCTGGGCCCCACATACAGCAACAAATTGACGATGTCATCTCCACATCCGCATGCTGCCTGACCTTTCTTGCTTTCTCTTGCTCAGACTGACCTCCAGAGGGCGGCAGAACTCGAACTCACCACCATCGTCAATGCAAGCCAGTACGGCGGTGGCCTCTGATCACCCTGAGCGCCTGTGGTCATCAATGATAGCTGACAATCATGGCCCTGTCGAGAACCTCCAAGACCGCTTTGATGTTGTGTACCGTAACTTCCTTGCTACCATTTCCATCGCCTTGAAGGGATTTCCGCCTAGGTGCTTATTCAAAAGATACGCACCTTATAACTTCACGCTCACGGGACAGTGACTTTTCGGGCTCGAGCCACTCTGCTCGACCTCGGAGTCTCATTGATCTTTGTCCTAGACGATATGGTGACTAGATGTGGCCCGAATATGACCACGCTGGACGAACTAATTGCATTCGGCCTTCAGGGAATGCTGCACATCATGGTTGCAGCTTGTCCGACGGCGTGACAGCCACCTCCCAATATCAATCACTCTATCCATATGACTGGTGGAAGGGATGCCAGACGGCCGCTCATATGTGTTGACATAATGACCTTGAAGCTAAGATGCGTAAGCTCATGTTCGTCGTGTACAAGCAGATGCACGAAAGGTCTAACACACATTTTATCCCTGGGAGCAATAATGATCCTCGGGTGGTAGCCTTGAGACCTTGGTTGAGAGTCAGGTTTGGGGAACGTGTGATGCGACCTGGGACACATTTAGTGATGCGTCGGCTTGGCCCGAAAGTCAGGGCCCAGACCCCAGGCTTTTTAAGCCCTGCCCAGGCTGTGGGGCTAGTCTGGACATAGGGCCCGGGCTCAGGGCTCGGGGCTCGGTGAGCATATTTCCATTGACCGGTCATCCGTGATCAAGTCGAAGGAAGGAGACGTCGACAACGTCTGATGTTGAACGACAATCGAGGTACGAGGTGCAACTCGCTACTTATCGTTGTAGCTGATTTGAAGTGTTCGAATCTGTTTCGAACCTCCGAGTCGTTGCTTCGATCGAGGTGTGTATTTACGTTACACTGTAGGTAATGTTTCTCAGGGTGTGGCGGCCATTGGATCGGCATCTGATTCATCCCGGGGCGATCAATTGTTGAAGCGATAAGGCGCAAAGTACTACTTACTTATGTATAAAGCTCTCCTTCGAAATCTCAGGGTTGCCTCGCACAAGCTTTACCACCCAACCTTCTGACTCAATCCACGTTGTGGGAGCACCATGGATCCCGACCATAACTTGCCTTACCGTGACACCCCCATTGAGCACTCTGCTCAGCCCCAAGTCCAGCGGCAACAGCCATTGCCATCACTGGGATCTGCAGACAGCGGAGGTCGTCCACAGACTCAGACATCGGCGACTGAGAAGCCCCTACTTGACAATCGTAGTTCAGAGGGACAATCACCGGCTCGTGATCGCAACGATCCATATGCGGATTTTGAGCCTGTCCCTCAGGCTCCAGCTACGAGAAGCGGGGACGGTCATATGATGCGTGGACTGTCGCGGCGCACAGTTATGACAGGCCAGGATCCTATCAGCGCTGCTGGCCTGGGCTGGATAGTACCTGTTGAAGAGAAACCTCACGTTTGTGTTGCTCCATACTTTTATGTGAACATTATCCCTCAACCTGAACCTACAGCGACGGACCATAGGAGAGCGACTCGATCCAAGTATTGCCAACGCGGAGAGGGAGAGGGCGCAATACGCCATAAAAGGTTAGTCACTTTTCAAATATTAACCTCCTCTGCTCGGTATGCGAGCACGAAATTCAGTTGAGGTTCCTTGTTTCTGGGGATGTTCTGACGGCGTGCCTTTTGAAGCAAAGATGACAGGCTACGCGTTGAACATCGCGATAGGTTTACAAATTTTGCTTGGGGCACTTACTACGGGTCTTGCGGCGGCATTGACCGGTAAGCAGGTCAGTTTGAAAGTGCATGCATATGAATTTACGATAAACTGACCCTCAATACCAGGTTTCGATCGGCACAACCCTTCTTGGTGCGTATTCAGGTCCCCTACATTCAAAGCTTTCCTGAAGATTACGCCTCAGGTGGCATGTCGACCTTAGTTGCTTCCTATCTCGCTCGGGCACGGGGATCAAATGAACCAGAACTATCCATCACTCGCGTGAAGGACCTAGATCAATTCTTAAGAGATTGCCTTGCCTTCAAAATGGACCACGGACATGAATATGGGACAGCCGACAACGGGCTGAATAATCGACTTGAACTTCTCAGAAGAAGGTTTGAAGAACTTCTTGGAAATGCTGATGGGTAGGTCATCTCGCGCTCGTGTTGCTATGCTATGTTGACGACATACTTTAGGCAGCGGAAACTTTCTCCACCTGTTTGAGTTTAATTGTATGTACAACTGTCATTCTAGTATTTTATCCACAAGCCAATACGTAGCTCTAATGACTCACATTATTGGCTGCCCCGAAACGCTCTGCAAACGGTTTGTTGCTGGCATCGGAAACCTTGAGTCCTTCACACTTATCCACCACATTGGGGAGGCGACTGACTTCTCGTAAATGTTCAAGTCATAGCTGCTAATGCTTGAGGGACAGCACATTACTGCTGCACAAAACCCCCACCTTTACTCGATCGAAGGTTAACGCCCGCTAATTTCGTCACCAGTATGTCAACTATTATCCCCGATGCTCTCTGATGCGATTAGTGATGTGCAGGGTCGGCCATATCGTCGAAATCTTCACTTGTGCTGTAAGTGAGGTAAAGCAGTTATCCTCCGGTACCTCGTTCTTCTCAACGGGTACCTTGTTACGCGCGACAGCCTATCAGCCACATGTGATGCCCGTGATGCGGCATGCCGATCTTGTTCGGTTCCCTGTGTATTACTGCCGTTATTAAAACTTGTCAAGGCAGTGCATCGTACCACTGAAAGTTTTGGCTAAAGTCAATTCTGCAGTTCAAAGACATTCTAGCACATAGTCAACAAGAATGAAAGGACGGAAATACAAGGTTAGCAAATTCGCACCTGTGTTAATCACCACCTAGTAGTTGATGGTCATTCTAGTTGGCCCACAAATCAGTGAGTTCGAAATCCTAGAGTATAAAAACTGTCAAAGGACAGCGAGAGCGCAAAGTATAGCTCCTTGAATACTCGAATTTGCGTATTCTTAGTAGTACCCCACAAGATCAGGCATGGGGTCCGACACAATGTAATGGAAGGCGGCAGACCCTTGATTTTTCGACAAGTGTGATAGCTTGGGTCAACGAGTAGCAATAACGAATCAACGTGCCGTCGTGTCGCAATGGGCGGGGGTTGAATAAAGGATGATGGACGTGAGGATGGGGCCAGCGCCCAAGGATGCGGTGACCCTCCAATGGACAGCGGAGTACCCATATCAAAAACACCAAGTGTCACGTAGGCAGCGTACATGGCCCCAAAGGTTCCGGTATGGTGTACATCATATACATCGGCGCACCCAGCAAACATAGGTTCCGACGTACTTAGTCGAAAAGCAATTGGTACTTGGGCACTGGGTAGGTGCTGCGCCAACAGAAAACTAGGAATGAGTCTTCCCTCGAGTCCTCACTTCAATTTCGTGATGTAGGTCCGATGACCTGAGGACGACCTGCCATCCTCAGTCATACGGCCCGCGCGAGTAGCTTTCTACTTGAACAAGGATCTTCCTGGATTTGTGCAAGCCACATAGTTGCAGTCAAGATATCTTGACGTGGTCCTCCCGCACCATGCAACATGTCGAAAATATCGATGCGAGGCCCGACGCGACATAACAGCATGTGTGAGGTGTGCCTCAGGCAGCACTGAAATTTGACGAGGCATGGAGGGGTTTGAAAATTTGGGGCTGACACGTCATCGTGGAACGACTCCGAACGAGGTTTCAATGAATCAAGTGAAGCTCAAGCCCCATGATCATGAAAACTAATGTCCACTGGAGTCGGACCACCATTAATTATATGTCAACGACCGCACAAAAATTTACGACCTAGTCACGGTACTACAAGATGATACATTCGCGCTGGATGAGTGGATGCACGACGTTCAAATTTCCAGTGTTTCGAGCAATCTTGCATCATACAAAAAGGTATGTTTTATGAGTTTTATGGTAATGATCACTACCAGTGGCAGCTAGCTCGTAAACTTATCTTAGAAGGACTATCTTCATTCTATCAAGGTCTGACTCCGTCAACATGAAGGTTTATACAACTGAAAATTATTTCCGCTCGGTACGCTAAAGCGATAGTAAACGGTAAATGCTACACCTAATTGTCTACGATGAATTCCACGCACCGTTTTGAAATCAGCCCTTTTAGCTCTAGCCGCCCCTGCATCCACCTTAGTCTGATTCTACCATCTCCCACAATTTCTGATGGCCCAGCGTCACCGGCCAGAAATGATGAGTAAACCCCTCCTGCACCCCATGACAGAATCCTGTCATTTTGTGCGCAAACCTCTGGAATAAATTGGCCTATTTAATGGTTAACTTGAAACTGGAATCGTTTATCTACACCTCCAAGTTAATCATTGATTGTTATGGCTGCTCTCTCTGCTTTGGTTCTGGCCGCTATCGCGACTGTGGTTCAAGCCCAGTCTCTGACCGTTCTCAACTCTTGTAGCGAATCTGTTTTATTGTCCACGGGGACCAGCTATGGTACTATCCACAACAACGTCAATGTCGCCGCAGGCCACAGCACAAACCTAGGCATTAGCTCTAACTGGGATGGCGCTATCAACGTCGGTAAGTGTGCAACCACACCTACTCTCCAGCCTTTCTCTGACCGTGCCACTAGGTACTGGATGCAACAGCAACGGTTCCAAGTGCACCACTGGTGGTCCTACCTGGAACGGTAAAACTCCATTCAGTAGAGCCGAGTTTAACTTTGTGGGTCTCAAGGGCTTCACTATTTGGATTACTTCACACTTAACAGCCTGGCGTAGTGGGCAGTCCCCGGACGTGTGACATACGACATTTCGCTCATATATGGCTATAACGTTGGGATGAAGATTTCCCCTGCTGGTTCTAATTGCGATGCATTCGCCTGCACCATCTCATCCGGATGTGTAAGCAGTTGATCCACGTTGTCATTATGCATCTTTTCATACTAGTTTCAGCCTGTTCGCGGACCTGGATCCAATACATGCTACTCCCCTTGCTGCTCCTCTGCCAGCGCGTGCAGCAGTGGCGCGCTTCCTGCTAGTGGAGGAGGTTGCGTCAATAATGCGGGCCCTGGTCCCAATAGTGCTTTCTACTACAACACATGTACTAATGCCTACGCGTTCCCTGACAATGACGGCGCGAGTATGTATTCCTTGCCTTACTGCATTGGTATAGCAGGACTCATGATTATCGTTCAGACGGCTATGTCCCAGCTAACAATGTCGATTACACTTGTGGTAACACCACTATCACCCTTACTCTGTGCCCTGGCACAACCTCTCACATCCCCAAGTAGGCGTACATGATGGAATTTCGGTAAGACCATTTGTGCCACAGTTTGGAGTTCAGTCTCTCGTAGGCTGACGGTAGGCTGACCAAATGGAAGGAAGATAATCGTTCTTTCTTTGTTATGTTGGAGTTATGTTTGATACAACATGATTTCTTGGTACTCATCTTATTGATAGCTCATGGGTTGCAGTCAATGCGTCCGAGTCTCGTGAGATGCCCACGTTCCTCGCTACTGTCTAGTCGAGCTACCGCGAAGTATGACAAATGTCAGGATATAGGAATCTCCATGCCTCTCTTCCAAGATGCCCTTGATTCGCATTACTTATACCGGTCATGCAGACCGACCTCTCACTTGGCGGCCAGGTCTGTATAGAGGTGAAATCGACGAGGGGGATGATGGCGGTGATGCGCACAAGTATATGCGTCATTTGGATCGAGTACGCCAAGATCTCCGTTGGAGAATTACCAAATAGTCACATCGACAGTTGCTTCTGGTATGATTCACTCCTGACGAATGTTAATGCCGATAACGATAACCCAGCCTTCATCTTTCAGCCTAACGAGGTTCCCTGTGCAGACTGCGGAGCAGTGAACATTTCAACATTTCAACCCTTCAAATATGACGCTAGAGTTCTTCGCCCCGTTACTCCCGTGAGTAGTGATTTGATTTTCATATATAGACTCGCTGTCTAAATATGCGCTTAAGCTTGTAAAGTCCGGTTTACTATGAACAACGTATGGTTGTGCCTTACTCTACGCAACCTGCTACTGCATTCATGTATTGACTTGACTGAATACTTCCCTGGTGTTCTGGCTCCCGTCAGGTCTGACAGCCGGACAAAGAATACCGCTTCGAACAGATTGTATCCAACCTGCACTACGGGGTCACGAAAGGCACGGACCTTCAGGTAATGTAGTACCAGACTAAAGCAATTTTGCATAGGGAGTGCATTGTCAAAAATAGAAGGATAGAAGTACAAGGTTTGCACCTGTGCTCATATGCGATGTCCGGTTGGTGTAATTCTAATTAGCTCATAAATCAACGGGATTGACTTCCGGAAGTATAAAAACCATCAAAGCACAGCGAGAGTACTTGAAGACTTCAAGTAGCGAGTGTTTAGTTAGCATCCCAAATGTAAAAGACGAAGGAGCTGTTCAGAGTACATAGTTGCAGGAGTAAAAAATCCAACGCTGCAGAAACAACTTCTTACCCTAAATTGTTGTTCGTGATGCTCGGGTTGGATCTCGATAGGCTCATTCGAGCAAATTTGGCTCACCGGCGATTCATCCGCTATTATGACAAGTAGTAGCTCCTATATGCGTTCATCAGTTCCATCATGATGCTCCAACTGATAGGTGCCGTCATAAAGCATTGCAGAGGGAGCGAGGGCGCCGCTTCTCTCGGTGGCCGTGATATCTCTGACTCAAATCCGTCTCGGATAACAGAAACCCATCCGTTTTTTGATTACGGTATTGTCAGTGGACTGCGTACGCAGTCCACATACGTTAGAGAACTGCTGTGTTGGTGTAACGGAAGCTTGTAAAAACTTCCATGGAAGCCAGTGGTGTTGAAGGTCCTACAATTACATAGTGGCCATATAGTCATCAGGTTCGGGCCGTCCTTCGCAATATGCGCTTTAAGGCTATTTAAGTGATACTCATCCTGGGCCTGCGGACGCGGCATCGAAAAGAGGGCCACGAATCTGCTGACCACGCTGTTGACATGCCGGAATATGAAGGATAAATCCGCCAGAGTACGCAACTAACCATGGGGGATTGCCAAACTGACATGAACAGTTGATTTTCACCATCTCTGCACAGAAACGTTATCTGGGAGGGCAATGATTATCATTCTCTGAGACGAAGCAATACTCACTGTATCGGCATGACCTCATACTCCATTTCCTCGGCTGCGAGATGTGGTAGCAGGGCAGCACAGGATATATTCTGCGACAGAGACTCACTTCCCGGTGCCTATACGGCACAGCTGGCCGTTTGATTCGAAAATACTGATCACATTTGACAAGTCCAGGTATTTTGAGGGCACAGCGAGTCAGTACGACAGTCACGGACTATCCACTGCCCGATGACTAGTATGGTAGCGAAGGCAGACCCTTGATTTTTCGAAAGGGTGACGGGCCGGACCAGCTAAATCTAGGACGGACGTGGGGTTATAGAATGATGCGTCTTGTAAACGCTCGTGTTAAGGTTCAATTCTGTGAATACTAGGGTACGAAATGCATGAATGCCGATGCGTACGCAAAGAACTCGGATGACTGCGTGGGGAAGGTTCAGATCTCAGAGTCAAGCCCATGAACCTAGTCCGGTAATGGACTCACATGCTATTTGGAGACGGCAATGAAAATATTCATCTTTCATCGCAACCTATCGCAATATTGTACTAGGACGTGGAGACAGGGATGGTCGATGACGTAGTGGCCAGCGCTTTACTAGTAGGACGCCAGTAGGTGCCGATAGGCAATGATGCGCAGCGGGGTAGTAGTGACGAAACTCCGAGTCCGATGCGTGGAGGCTGTATACATGGGCGTTTGGTATGATGCATCACTTTGCAAAAATAGGCCAAGACATGCACCAATTAGACGGATGCTACGACAACAGAAAACTAGGATGCATAGGCCTTCCTTCGGGTCCCGAAGCCTGATGTGTCAGGTGCTGTCGCGTTTGGATCCTTATAAGCTGTATACAAGAGTCAATGAGGGATTTGTGTGACTTTTGCTTTCAAGCGTGAACTGAACCACACGCCGCGGAGTTGAAAACAATATTACATGGGAGGAACTGGTGTTTATTTCAAACCCCGATCTGCAAAGGAACCGACAAGTAGAACAGTTAATTTAATTCAATGCTCATGATCAACTTGTTCGCGATAAATTTACTGCCAACTCAAGCTTGGCCAAAACTGTTCATGTGTCGTGTGACGGTTTCAAGTGAGTCTCCGAACCAGTCTTGTTCACCGACCCGACTGAAAAAATAGTTTCGTGACCTTATGTATATCACAAAAATCTATCATGCGCCGACTTTAGCACTATTTTGCTGTTTGTGTGCTTGATCACAGGACTTATTTTGGCCCTCTTTTAGCACCCTTCGTGTAATGTTGGGCTGCCACCGCATCCTCCGTCAAGTTCTTACTGTCTCCGATCAGTACTAGTGTTTCTAGGATGACCATGCCGATCCTGCCGCAGCATACAACAGAATCCTGTGGTTTAGATTTTGGTATGCACTTCCAAGATATTCAATTTTAATAATTATCTTGTATAACGTTGACGCGCTCACAGCCCAAGACCTCTGGTATAAAGGTTTCCATGAAATGTTGAAACAAGAATCATCATCCACACCTCTAAATCGTCTAACCAAGTCTTCTAATCATTACTTGCAATGTCCACCCTCTCTGCTTTGATTCTAGCCGCTATCGTGACTGTGGCTCAAGCCCAGTCTCTGAACGTTGTTAATTCTTGCACCGAATCTGTTTTGTTGAACACGGGGACCAGCTTTGGTACTATCGACAATAACGTCAATGTCGCTGCAGGCGGGAGCGCAAACCTAGGCATCAGCTCCGACTGGGACGGCGCTATCAACGTCGGTAAGTGTGTAACCCTCCTCCTTGACTTCTCGCTGACTGCGCCACTAGGTACTGGATGCAGCAGCGACGGTTCTACGTGTACCACTGGGGGCCCTACCTGGGATGGTAGCACTCCCTTCAGCAGAGCCGAATTCAACTTTGTGGGTCTCATGCGCTGGCATTGCAATAAATTCTGATTCAAAAGTGCAGTACGCAATCCCCGGAAGCGTGACATACGACATCTCGCTCATCTATGGATACAACGTTGGAATGGAGATTTCCTCTGCTGATTCGAGCTGCGATGCTTTCGCTTGCACCATCAACTCCGGCTGTGTGAGTATTTTATCTGCGTTGACATTATGCATTTTCATATTATTTCAGCCCGTTCCCGGACCTGGAACTGACACGTGCTACTCCCCATGCTGCTCCTCCGCGAGCGCGTGCAGCGGTGGCGCCCTTCCCGCTAGTGGAGGAGGCTGCGTTAACAATGAGGGCCCTGGCCCGAACAGTCCTTTCTACTACGACACTTGTCCCAATGCCTACGCGTTCCCTGACAATGACGGCTCGAGTACGTATTTCCATCTTACTGCCATCGGTATAGTGGGACTAATGAGCATTGTTCAGACGGCTATACTCCTGCTGACAATGTGGTTTATACTTGCGGCAACACCGCTATCACTCTTACTCTGTGCCCTGGCACAACCTCTGACTACTAGTAAATATAAACGATGGAACGACCATTCACGCTGTAAATTAGAGCTGTGATGTTCGATCGATACAACTTTTCTTGTTGCTAATCTTTGTTTTATTAGTTGTTTACGAGTGTAGCAAAGTCTACTTATGCTTTGAATATATAGAATCTCTTCGTCCGAGAAAATGGTGAAGTGAGTTGCTCCGAAATTTAATCGACACGCCCTCGCATGTCGATAAAACCTGCTTAGTTCCTAGACTCGTAACCAGTCTGGACTACGTCTTTGATATTGTTAAGTGTTTGACGTAGTCAGACTGGTCGATCTCGGAGTGATTTGGCAGGCGAAGCGAGGAGTTTGAAATTTGGCAGATGCCGGTTGTGCCGCTTTTGGTAGTCATTGTATTTTGACAGCGCTGACCACACAAAGTTCCTTCATTCGCATCGTACAAAGCATCGTATGCCTCTAACTGATTATAGCGCATCTAGGAGCAGTACTAAATGTTAAATAGGACAATCAAATGATACCTTTTCATGCTTTATACCCACCCATGATTGTCGAGGTTAAACGAACCTAGGACACGTCAGCCACATATCGGAGATTACATAACCCGGCGGTAATACAAAGTATATATAACCTGCGCGGACATATCCGAATGATTAAGCAATCTTAGCGCCCACTCTCGTGTGCCTCTTAAGTCTAATATTTTCACTCTTACCTTGTGAATCAATCAATATTGTATCTATCGTAATCTCAATAGGTTACGAGCCCTGTCGTATCGCATATCGACCCTCATAAATCAGAAACAAACAAAACACGCTGCGCAAATACTCCTATCTAAAATGACTGATCCTAATAACCCAAACACAAGCATGGTTGTTGATGCTCATACCTCTTCGCGTCCCGCTATTAACCTCGGACCTGTCACGTCGTATAAAATCGAGGCCCTAAATGATATAAACTGGATCACGTGGAAGGAAAGGATAGAAACCATCCTTAACCTTCACGGAGTCCATGGGCACATTGATGGGACCTGTAAAAGGCCCACGACGGACAAGGATGAGATCGCATACTGGGATAAACAAGATTATGTGGCACGGACACTCATCTTGAACAATATCAAGGATGATAAAGTAGTCCACGTGTCACGTGCGAAGACCATAAAGGAGGCATGGGAGAATCTAAAGACAATCCATGAGACGAGGAGTCAGTCGAGTGCGTTAATGGCGAAACGCACCTTTTATGCTATGCAAGCCGAAGAAGGCTGCGATATTACGGAACACGTTACTGAGATGGTGAATAAGCGTAACCAACTCGACACCATGGGGTGCGAGATCCCAGACGCAGAGTTCAAAGCCATTCTCGTAATGTCGTTACCGAAATCGTGGGGAACTTGGACTGCGTCCTATTTAGGGGCGCATGCCGAGAAAATCGAATCTGACAAAATAAAAGGATATACTTCCCAGGAGTTAATCTCCATCATCCTCGACGAGTATAAACGTCGAAAAGGCGAGGACACCCAAGAGAAAGGGTTCTACGCAAAGACTGAGAGGAGCGGAAAGAAAAGGAAGATTGAGAAGCACGTGGAGATGCCTAAGAGCCGAGCTAAGTGTACAGTCTGTGGACGAAATAATCACGCCACAGATGATTGCCGGTTCAAGGGCAAGCCGAAGTGTGTGTCTTGCGGAAAGTTCGGACACGAGACTAAAGATTGCTGGGGGAAAGCGGGACCATCATCCCAAAAGCCGCGTCAGCAGAAAGAGCGTGCCAATATCGCGAGAGATCCGCAGGAAGACGAGCCTATGGATGAGGATAAGGCTTATGTAACCAAAAACGTATCAGTGAATGAAGACGCCGACGAGCGTGTTTCCTTTTACTCGTGGGTAGCTGATACAGCTACCACTTCCCACATTGTGAGCCAACGAACCGTGTTTGAAGAGTACCGTCCAATAAGCGGCGGCACCATAATCGGAATCGGAAATGTGCCAATAAAAGCACTAGGCCGTGGATTAGTAAAAATACAAACACGAGTCAAAGACAAGTTAAAGACGGTACAATTGAGAGACGTACTGCATGTTCCAACAGCAGTAAACAACCTCATATCAATCAGCCGACTAGACGAGCAAGGGGGAAGAGCCCGATTTGACAACGGACAAGTCACATTGCTCGATCAGAACCGACGAACCATAGCAACTGGACGCCGTGTAAATAGATTATATATCCTAGACGCCACGACCATTCAGCCTCAAATCGAGTCAACCAACAAAGCAAATGACTCACTTACTTGGGAAGAGTGGCATAAACGCTATGGACATATCGGCGTCACGGGATTACAACGACTGGCAAAACAGCAGTTAGTAGACGGCTTTGACGTAGATCAAAGTTCACCTATTCCAGAGTGTGAAGCGTGCATCGAAGCTAAACACTCTCGAAACCCGTTCCCTAATCAAGCTGAAAATAGAGCTAGAGTACCGGGTGAACAAACACACTCAGATGTTTGGGGACCAGCTCGAACAACGGCTATAACGGGGGCAAGGTATTATGTTAGTTTTGTAGATGACTGCACAAGAAGGTGTGTCATCAAATATATGAAAACGAAGGATGAAACCACCGAAAAGGTGAAAGATTACCTATCCTATGTTGAGCGGCACTGTGAAAAACTCCCCAAAAGTATTCGCACCGATAACGGTACAGAATATATAAATAATGAACTAAAAAACTGGTGTCAGCAAAAGGGGATAGAGTTAGAAACTACTGCACCTTATTCGCCCTCACAAAATGGGGTGGCAGAACGCTTCAATAGAACATTAATTGAGTTAGCGCGAGCAATGTTAATAGCTCGCGACTTACCTAAATTCCTCTGGCCCGAAGCGGTGACTCACGCAGCATATTTACGCAATCGAGCGCATACACGAGCACTCGAAGAGTATACACCTGAGGAAAAATGGTCAGGAACACGACCAAATGTGTCTCACCTGCAGGAATTTGGTGTACCTGTATGGATATTAAGAGACGGTCAGAACATATCAAAACTTGAAGCGAAATCAGAAAAACATACATTTGTTGGCTTCCTAGATGGTCCGAAAGCCGTAAAGTATTACGACGCGCGCACGAAACAAGTTAAATCATCTAGAAATTATCGCTTCCTACAAATGAAACCCCAAGAAACAATCATGCCAGATATGCAGCGTGAGGGGGAGTGGGGAGAGATTGACACACCACAATCTGACGAAGATGCTGGAAGATTCGATGGCGGACAGACCAGTAAAACTGGTGAATCAAGTGTTAATCTCAAGCGGAAGCGAGAACAGGACGAAAACGTACCTGATGAACCACAAAGAAGCACCAGAACAAAAATAAAGCACGATTATCGAGTGTTAAATGATCCGCCAGAAGAACTAGCTGAACTGGTAGATGATCCTGACGAAGGAGAGGTTACATCATCAGCAGCCGAAATGATATTTGCCGCGTTCAATGAGAGCGGTATTGCTCCGGATGACCCAAAGTCGCTAAAAGAAGCGAAGACATCCCCAGATTGGCCACAGTGGGAGAAGGCTGTGAACACCGAGCTAGAACAACTCAATACTATGGGTACCTGGGAGTTAGTAGACCCTCCAGAAGAACGGATACCCATAGGGAACAAATGGGTTCTAGTCCGAAAATATAATAAAAATGGGGAACTCGTTAAACACAAAGCACGACTAGTAGCGAAAGGGTACTCACAAGTACCGGGGATGGACTACGATGATACATTCTCACCCGTCGTACGTCTTGAAACAATTCGCGCAATACTAGCATTGGGTGTATCAGAAGACTGGGATATACAACAAATGGACGTGAAAGGGGCTTACCTAAACGGTATCCTAAAGGAAGAAGTCTTCATGAGACAGCCGGAAGGATTTGAAGACGGAACAGCAAGAGTGTGCCGTCTAATAAAAACATTATATGGCCTGAAACAATCTGGTCGTGAGTGGAATATCGAGCTCAACAAACAGCTCGAAGCAAAGGGGTTCAATAGACTGATAAGCGACCCATGCGCATACATAAGGAAGACGGGAGACGGAATTGAAATAATTACCGTGTGGGTTGATGACCTACTCCTGTTTACGAACAGTACAGCGCTAATGCTAAAGCTAAAACGTGAGTTACAAACAATGTTTGAAGTCACTGACCTCGGTGATCCAAGCAAAATCGTTGGTATCGAAATTGATCGTGATCGAGAAAAGGGAGAGTTACACATTTCCCAAACGAAATATATCGAAGCGATCCTTGCGAGGTACGGCCTTGCGGATGCAAATTCAGTTGGGATGCCTCTCGATCCAAGTATCAAACTCGAACCAGTAGACAGCTCACCTGAAACGGGAAATCGTAGTAACAACTACGCATCCCTCATAGGGTCCTTGATGTATGCCGCTGTGGCAACACGTCCCGATATCGCGTATGCTGTATATCGGTTAGCGTCGTATACAGCGAATCCCGGAATCACTCACTGGACTGCTGCGAAACGTGTTTTACGGTACCTCAAGGGTACCAAAGACATAGGAATAACCTATAAAACAACTAAACTCTTGAGTAAGACCGAAAACCGATTCGTTGGATATTCGGATGCGAGCTTCGCAAATAACGATGATCATACCTCTGTCTCGGGATACACCTTCTTGTCGAACGGAGGGGCGATAACGTGGGGATCGAAAAAGCAAAACGCCATCTCCTTGTCAACGACGGAAGCTGAATACATCTGCCTCTCGGACGCAGCGAGAGAAGCAGTATGGCTCCGCAATCTATACTTGGAGTTAGGATACGAGCAAAAAGAGCCTACCTTATTACACGAAGATAACTCTGGCTCGTTGGCGATTGCGCAAAACCCGCAATATCACAAGAGAACGAAGCACTTTGATTTAAAACATCACTATATCCGAAATAAAGTTAAAAGTGGTCTAATAAAATTGAAATATTGTCCTACCGCACAAATGACGGCGGACATCTTCACAAAAGCGCTACCCAAACCTACACATCACCAACATATACGTGGACTTGGGATGTCCTAGGTTTGAGGGGGAGTGTCGAGGTTAAACGAACCTAGGACACGTCAGCCACATATCGGAGATTACATAACCCGGCGGTAATACAAAGTATATATAACCTGCGCGGACATATCCGAATGATTAAGCAATCTTAGCGCCCACTCTCGTGTGCCTCTTAAGTCTAATATTTTCACTCTTACCTTGTGAATCAATCAATATTGTATCTATCGTAATCTCAATAATGATGCAGCCTGAACATTTGGCTTGGATGGTCAATCCTTCCAGCCTGGACGAGGAAGGAAAAATTCTCGCTGTCCTCAAGATACTTCGTGGATTGCGGATGACGGTCATGGACCTCATGCTGCACTCGATCTCGCAAAGACCCTCCATGGCAACTTGGAGGGAAGGTTTTTTTCGGAGCAATGCACTTGTGCAATTTCTCAATGTGTTGAGCACCGACGAGCGAGCGAGCGAGCACCTCCGTGTCAGTTTACGACCCCTTGCTATTGCAATGGTTATTGACGAGGTTGACACTGAGATGGAGGCCGCTAAACATATTTTTCACATGTCATCGAAAGACATCACCCCCGAACTACTCCTCTCGTTTAACCTCGACATGGAGAGGGCATTCTTCCGCCAGGCTTGGAGCAGTTCTTCCAATAGTGGGCGCTGCTTTGTTGGACGGTATTTTTTGCGTGTCTTCTTGGGCTGGGCTTGTAGATGAACATAAAGTCCGTCGGGAGATCTTCAAACGCATCTCGAGCAGCGAGCGATAAAGGTCGTATGGAACTCATGGTTGAAACTTAACATAGCATATAGTCTGAACGAGCGTATGGTAGACGCATAAGTTGTGCTACATACGATCGAGTACCGCCGGCACGACCGGCACCTACTAAATTTCAAACTCCTCGCTCCTCCTGCCAAATTTCTCCGAGATCGACCAGCCTGGCTTCGCCACTCGACTTGTCCGTGGTATTGGTAAGCCAGGCTGGTCACGAGCCTACTTAGTTCCTTGACCAACCGCATCTGTGAGAAGCATCAGACTAGTGTCATTTTAATATAAATCACGGCGTGCAAGCTGCAGCAACGTACTAACCTCCCAGGCTGGTCGTTTCCGTGCGTAGCCTATTGGACTGTCGTGGAGCTTCTCTGGCCACCGCCCAGCCATATTCCACATAAGAGTAATCCCTTCCATGACAGAACATGGCAGTCCTCAACTAATTAGATCTAAATGCGAGCTCGAGGCATCTTACACAATGCTGTGCCCACGTGACGTGTCTATGTGGCGGCCTGCACAGGCTGCACGCGCGCTCAATTGAATCTTCTGTTAGATAAATCCCTCTTGGTCTGCCTCGTTACCAAACTCCCGGGATCACTGGGCCCGGTGGTTCAACTTTCATGCCTCAGGATAGCCCTTATGTTTTCCTAGTAACGAATATGCTGTAGAAACCTTCAATTCGATCGTCAGCGTGCCAGAAGCTCAGCGCTCATCCGAAGTGGCAGGGCCACTGTGATCCGCGAAACTAGGATGCATAACGCGTGTCCGTCGATACTCGTTGTCGTGGTGTTCTTCCATAATGGAAGCACGTCCATGCAGAATCACGCGTGCTTCCGCGGAATCCTACTTACATGTCATGTTTCACAACATCAGCGCCTGGCATTGCGTTTATGATTTGGTGTGTGCAGCTTCGATGGGTCCTCGCCTTTCTTGACGCTGCGCTGTCGTGGCTAAGTTATCACAGCATTCTCACTTAAAGTAGACTGAAAGATGCTCGTTTGTCTCCACAGTGCAACGGACTTGGATCCGGAGTGAGGGGGATGTTATTGCCGGCATTTTGTGAATTCACACTTCAACTATTACGTCGAACACCACACCCACACTGGCAGTCACTTGTCGGGTTCGGCCTTGTCCATTCGACCCTAGTTACACATCTCGAATCCTTCCACCATGCCGATTACTTCGTTGCGCCTGGCCCCTTCCGAACGTCATAGTGCACGGATGCTAGAAATGATACGGATTCCAAATTGTTCTTTTATTCACTAATGACGCATGCTTACAGTTGTCCCTCCGAGAGGCAGGTCGCTCACCTAGGTCCGTGTGCTGTATTTCTGGCTGGTCGTTTTTTGTCCACTGCACCTGGGGATCTCAGCTGCTGTTAGCGAACTTTCAAGGGACCTGCCAGTCGGGTGGCTGCCAATCCCGTCTCCAATTGATCTACCCGGGTGCCACGAAGGCTTTTGTTATCAATTTAGCGCTCGCCATATACAAAGCTCACTCCAAAACACAATGTGATTGCTTGTAGTTGATCCGCTCTGGTATGGCAACATTGTCACATCGACCAGAAGTGATGATCATCCTTTCAACTTGCCTGTTTGAATATCGATATTGCAACGAAACACAGCGCGTGACTAATCCATTCCTTCCACCACTGTAGCGGGATTGCCCAACGCTAAGAGCTTAGTGGAGGCCTGGCAATGATAGCCAACATTCAACCCTCTTATCGAGCTGCGGTGGGGAACAGCGCCAGAGATGCAGGAAGTTAAAAACGACTCATCTACAGAACCCAGAAGACATACAAACCAAATCCTCTCTGATCCAATATGAACGCAGAACGGTTAGTGGCGACATCCTCTATCATTTCTTGAGTGCTCACTATTCCTTATTCCAGTTCGTCTGAAAAAGTTCGCATGGTCCATGGTATGCTCCAGGAGCATAACGGGATGAATCCCATCGTGATTGACCGGGATATCCTGCGCGACGCCGATACCGACTCGAGGGTCAAAGTGCACCCGTGTAACTGGAACGGGTGCGATATGCACGTTGGTGTCGAGCACAAGCAGGTCGCCAAACACCTTCAACAACATCATGGGATCAATGCCAGCGCAACGAGCAAGGCAGCGCAGGAGATTGCCTGCCTTTGGAAGGGTTGTCTCGATTCCCACACGAAACCAGGCAATCTCGCACGTCATATACTTACACACATTGAAGTACGGCATATTTGTTTGACGTGCCAGAGTTCATTCTCGCGGGATGACGCCTTCCGGAGACATACTACTGAAAAGATTGGTTGCCAGTATGCGGAAGTCGCTATTTCGTATGGAGCCGAAGTACAAGCAATTGACACATTGTGCATGGACAGTGGTTGGTCGATCAGCCAAAATGTCATGTGCATCCCCTTGTAAATTTCTCAAGTTGATGTAGCCCGGTGGTGTTATCTTACAGTACTAGTAGTGTCCCTGTTGTTTTGCGTTCCGGCCTTATATGCATCTCCCTATAGCTCCTGTCCATAATCAGTAATCACGATTGTCCTACCGTATAATCCTACTTAGTTGATCCTATCTACACTATTTGTACTGGAACATATATTTTCTCGGATTTGGTCGTAGTGTCGACCGTTAGGTTCGATCATCGTCTGCATATTGAATTGCCCACTGCTAGGCTCACTTTGCATTGAACTCAGGGGCTGCGTTCGGAAAATGCCGAATTCAAACACCGCTTATTACCTTGTGGAGTAATGATTTCTTTGACTTGAACAACGACGTGTTACTTTTCTTCTGCTTTCAAATCTATTGAACTACATAATTACTTGACGTTCAAGTACTTTCTATGGCTCCTGTTAGGTCTGAACCGAGGCAGAAAAAGCCTTATGCTGTGAGTTTTGATTTTAAAACGGGTATGTCGTGTCTAATTTATTGATGCCTTCAGCGTCCTCGAGGGTCCGATGGCCACTGGGTCCATGACCGAGCTCCTCTGCAATCAGCAAAGGCAAATGCACCAGCCAACGCCGGTTCATCCGCAAAGCTCATCGTATCCAACCTGCACTACGAGATCACGCCTAAAGATTTGGTGGTAAGTCTTTTATGCCGCCCATGACTAGAAAGCGCCTTATATCCCCCTTTTCAGTCCATTTTCGGACAAATAGGCACGCTCGTTCGCGAGCCTTTGATCAGGGTACGATGATTCCGAAACCACCTCATCACCTCCTGCCCGGATTTTTATTTCGCTCGCATGGACCTTGGACAATGCTTGTGGATGATTCGGATCGCTTTCGCTTCTGGCTCGTATAACTGGAGATGACAACGAAACTGAACCTGAAATCCGCTTTTGATTTTTTCAAGTACGACCGCAGCGGACGCTCATCTGGTGTGGCAGTTGTGTTGTTCGAGACTCCCTTGCAAGCGACGCGTGCCAAGAGACAGTTTGATGGCAAACTTGCCAAAGGTATGTGTTAATAGTCGATGGTTTGAGTCTGCAGTGCCACTTGCATGTTCATTAATTAATTGTTTGTTCTGATTTTTTTTTCTACCAGGACAACCTATGGAAATCGCATTCGATACTGCGCCTCTACGAACATCCTCGCTCTTGAGTAGGATTGAACGACCTTCATTGGCAGAGCGTTTGGGTGGCAGTGCTGGATCGAAACAGCAGGGAGGGTAAGGAGCAAAACATTCCTTTAACATTGTTCTAATCGTATCCTCGCGCCCTTAGCGCCGGTCCGACTCGCGCACGCCCACCACGAACTCCAAGAGTTGCCTCGTCATCGAAGATAAAGGCTCCAAAGCCTACGCGATCCAAAGCCCCAACAGCAGAGGAGCTTGATCAAGAACTCGACTTTTTCATGGCTGATGACAAAGGTGTTGCAAATACTGGAGCCAAGAAAACAGCTGCTACTGCAGAGGATGTTGAGATGGCGTAACTTGTTGGGTGTGTGTCGAGTTTCTGTACATATTAAATGTATGCTATCATATATCGCGTTAGTTGCATGTTTTAGTTCTGAATTGGTCTTCATTCCCCATTTTTCATCCCACGTCGCACGGGGCGGTTCAGAAACTCGTTACAGGCTAGATTCGACTCCCAGTCCCGGTATTACAGCAATGTATTTGCAAAAGAACAATGAGAATGGAATAATCTGAAATACATAATGATAATGCCGTATATACTGTCCATTATGATCTAGAACTTTTTATGATCCTCGGTGATTATACAGCGCTCCTGGTCAACGCCATCACGCATCTTGGCAGACTGGGCTTCCGTGAGTAATACAATGTCATATTGCAATAATTTGAATGAGCGACCGTGAGGAAATCCGCGTTTCCGGGCTTCCTCCTCGTCTACAATATCCTTCAAGCTCTGTTAAGAGCAGGGTCAAACCAAATAGCCTGAGAGAATGTCAGGAACCTGGACATACCACTACCAAGGATTTCTTGACACCGAAGACGCAGTCGCTTTCCAGGTACTTACAGCCATCCGGATAAAATGCTGTTACGAGTTTGTGGAAACCAGGGGCTTCAACCATCATGTGTAAATGGTTTGGCCGCATGTTGTGCCGACCGAGAAGGAGAAGAAGTTCACCAACAGGACCCTGTTAGAGGCACATCATTTTCAGTGTGAGATCGCGTAGGCATGAAACAGCCTTACGTCTCCAGGAATTGGATACGCTACTGGAACAACAGCGCGATAGCCAAATCTGCCATCGTCGCCAGAGCGTAGGCGACCTCTGCAGTCGGGATAAGAGCGGTCTGCGTACTGCGTATCATAGAATCCTGACGGAAATTATGAGTATGAACTTTGAGATGAGAACAGGAAGGAGCTAACCGTCGGCATCGGTCTCCCAAGTTTCGATGACGGCATTAGGGATTGGCTGTCCGTCCGTTGTCAAAATTCGACCTTCGACGTACATGTAATCTCCTTTTCCCTCAGACGCGATCGATTCGCCAAAGTCGACTGCGGATCTATTTATAATCTGGATGTGGACTGGAATTGGGTATAACTCACCCTCTGCAGCATCCTCCGTGAAGAATGGACCGAGGACGCTGTTCTCGGTTGCTCCTCCCGCAACGGGGTTATTTAACGAGTCGACGAGAGCAGAAACACCTAGGACATCTGATAGCAGGATGGTTTCTTGACGCAATGGTGTGCACTTTTGTCCTGTGCGCGTCAAGAAATCAATTGCTGCCATCCATTCATCTGTGGTTAGACTAAGGATAGTCGATGCGTCAGTTGAGAACTGGAGATTCGACGTGAGGAAATAAACGTGCCTGGTCTCGTTGACGAACTGGTGTAGGTGCTTGATGAGGGCCTTGAAGATGAACTTGTGCCGTCTGCAACATGTTATATGTATACCCAAGGCTTGTGTTAGAAGTACATGTAGACGTACGGATTAGGTGTTTGCTCCGTCAACTTCTGGACGTTGGCGGTGATAATCTCTGGTTTGTCAGGTAACTAGTGCCTTGTCAGAAAGAGTGGGTGAGTATCACAACGAGGACTGACTGGCAAGTTGAAGCTTGGAGGAGGGATGCCATTTGAAGTAGCGGCCTTGACTTCCGGTGCGTCTGGCATGATGTGGTTCCAGAGAGAGTTGGGGTAGCGTCACGGACCGGAGCATGGGGTTATATAGTGTGGCGGGTAATGATATTTGGATGATTCGGATCTTTGGGCTTCCCGGCGCTTCATTTATGTAGATCCATGGTTTCGATTACTTACCCGGCGTAGAGCATGTGCACAACCAGTAATCTATGTTACGTTACCGTAGGCTACAAGTAACTTCGGCACTGCCCGGATTCATCGAAACTCCATTGGGCCCTCTCAGTCTCATAGTACTCACTGACCGTACAGTGCGAAGCAAAACAAAAACACTGTTCAGCGTCAAAGTCTCTATTTTATATTTTCTGTGCTACCCTACGCCGCCTCGTTGGAGCAAACCTGAAACGGGATTGACTAACATGAAACATTCATTCGTACTAAAATTATTGCTTAAAACCATGTTATCTTAACTGAATGGGACACAATTACATCATCATGAACGCTACCGTATACGACAACGCCCGAAGCCTTGATCAAACACTGTGGGCCCGCACGGCCGCATGTATCACCCCGGTACCCCCACGCCGCTTATGATATAGCAACTTTGGCAACCAGAAGCTTGGAAGAGGGATGCCGTTTGAAGTAGCCTTGACTTCCGGTGCGCATTGCATGATTTAATATTGATTAACTTGGGCTGGGACATGGTGTTAATATAGTGCGAGGTATGGATCTCGAGCATCTTCAGGGGTATATCCATTACTAGCCTGAGGTAGCACGACCCGAATACGATCGCAGCTTGCCGATCTATCAGCTTCGTGCGAAACACGCAACTTCGCATACGGTTACTACTTAGTAAGTACTCCCTGAAAGTTCAACATCAAATATCATTGACAATTGCGAAGTTCTGACTTGAACCAGCCTGTATTTCTCACAATCACCAGCTGGTCCATCAAGTCAGTGTGTCAAGTTATCATACCACTCATTTGCTCTCCCAAAGTCAGAAGGGGGGACATTTTCCTGTTCTCATTCTTAGAACCGGGAAAAATAAACATATAGTGGACAAGTGACAAGTCTGTACTCGAATACACATCGTGTGAGCGTATTGTTTCCTCTGATTTAGGTGCCATTGTGGTCAGCCATATCCGTATGTTACTGATAATTCGACAGCTAGCAACGCCAATGACACGGCGTCAGTTAATCATGGACAAACTGGCGAAGACATACTTCCCAGCCAGCGACATCGGATGACGGTCGAACGCGGGGCTGCTGCCAATTTGGCAATGTGCACCCTGAAATGATCTACTGATCCCGGAGCGCGAGAAAACGATCAAGAGAACCAAGAGAACAACCTGGTATTTTGCTGGCGGTACTTTAGAATCCCGAGGGTGGCTAAAACTGCACATTGCATTCTACTTAGCTCAGCTGCGGAAGTCAATCATGGGGCGAACTGAAGCCCATGAAGGCCTTCTTTTGCTTCTACCTGAATGCGATTTGAATGTGTGGCATTGAAGAATAATTGGGGGATACCATCGATGGTGTTGGCATGTAAGTACGTACATTATCTTCCTTGTCAATTTTTTTTTTTAAATCATATTTGTATCCATTAGGGTAGTCTACCCTATGTCGGATAATTCTATCTAGTCTAAAGAGCACCTGTGCTCTTCGTCGCATCACCAAAATCGCAGATGTCCCAGTGTGAGGCGTGCCCCCGCTGGTCCGCCGTTCCCGCCGGCCGTTTTAGGTGCGCATTTTGTCGATGATGCCTTGTCAATTAAAAGCCATAGTACCCCTATCCTACGAGCTGATATACATCAATCGCCTCCGTATCTGCGACCCTTGGGTTGCTCAACACGAGCCCTTCTTCGCCAGTAACGCAAGTAGCGAGCTTCGGCCTGTCAAGTCTTTCCCACACATTCATGCGGTTTTGTCTCGGTTGACAAAGCGCGCCAACCTAGAGGTGGCGTTTCGCAGCATCATTCTATGTTTGGAGCGGATTACAACTGTGATGACGCAGTTGGGAAAATGCGATCTGCGGGCACACGCCATATCCTGGTCTCCTTCTCGGCGTTGTGTGCGTCTAATGGAGACCCTTGATTCATCATCAGTAGTAATTAAAAGGGTTGACGGAGAAATTACGGAAAGTAAGAGAGTAATTAGCTTTCTGTCATAATTAAATAACAAGGAATAATGGCTGTCTTGAATCGTAGTCTTCAGGTTGTCTCTACATGGTTTGTTTAGGGGAGACTGCCTTTGTATGAAAAATATGTCGGAGGCCCATGTAGGCATTGACTCCCGTGGCAGAAGCTCTATGGCACGATAATTTAATGGAACAAGGATGTCCATGTTCAGTCCGAAAGCACTAAGAACGCATCCGCCACATATATCTCATCATAAGCAGTAACACAACATCAAGCATTTCGATCTGCAAAACGACGCGACTACTTGTTACACGATATCCAAAGATTACAGTCAAAACAGGACAGACGGTCAGACCGGTCATAACTTGATTCCAGCAAACTCAGTCAAGAATTTCTCTTGCGCTTCAACCACGACCTTGACGTGTTCAAGGGAAAGCGGCTCATCCCTAAATGAGCAAGCATAAGTACTGGGGCATACATCATACAGGGAGATGGCATACGATGACATGGCCAACGCTTGCGCGGTCCGCACAAGATTCTTGATTGTGCGACCTAAGGAACGAGTCAATGAAAAGGTGCCAAATATGAAATCAGTTCATACCGTTGAAAGGCTTCGTAGCCAGTTCCTTCAGGTCAGCGAGCGAAACATAGCACTGCGGCTCTTGTCCTTCAAGTTTGACAAACTCGTCCGGGCTCTGCCGTCCGTCTCCAGGCTGTCCACTGCCGCCCCACAATTCGCACCCAGCAAGCTCAAAGAACTTTCGCCAGATGGTCAAACGGGCGTCAGCATCCAGCTCCGGGTACTTCACGGCTTTAACAAACATCAGATGATAGGAAAATACCTAATAGAGGGGGTAGCTACCAATGGAGAACCGCGATAGGAAGGCTTCATCAAAGGCCTGGATACGATTGGTAGTCAAGAAAAGGACGCCACGGTGGTACTCAAGGACCCGAAGAGCGACAGAAACGAGAGCATTCCGTTCCAACTTCAAGAACATTCAGGCATAGTGCATTGTAAGAGATGTATAATAACGGACCTCGTGAAGACTTCTTTGCTCCAGAAACACCTAAATATGCAGAATATATTCAATGAACATGAAGCGTAGACGTCGACACTATAAGTCTCACATCGGCTTCGTCAATGAGGACGACTGCATCCCATGTCGTTGCGAGCTGTAACAGGTGCGATGATTCAGAAAAGGCGAACGAAGATTTCGGAAGTCGCAAACCTTCAGAATATCACCCAGCTTTTTCTCCAAAGTAGCGGGTGTAGTTGAAAGCTCAAGTGAACTGAGAACGTAGAGTGGTCGTTTCAGGTGTTCGGCCACAGCCTCCGCGGTCAGAGTTTTTCCTGTCCCAGGCGGACCATGTAGGAGCGCAATCTGAAAGCATAACCGTGACACCAGAATCATCTATCGTAGAAAGTGTCCTCACCAGTCCTCCACCTTTCCCAGTAATGACATCAGAAAACAACTCCCTAGAGGTATTAGTTGTCTTTGTGACATTGACGAGCCCTTTGACAAGAGCCTGATCAACTTTTAGAAGCTGATTATTCAAGTTCGATTGTCAATGCTTCTACCTTTGTCGCTTTATTAAGGACGAGATGATCCCAAGCATTTTCATCGAAATGAATCTCCTCAAGGTCACGTACGTCGATCGTCTCCCAAGACTGATGCAAGGTTAGTGACATGATGGTTCAATAGACACGCCGATTGGCTTGTACATGCCTTGCGACGGACATCGAATCCATGTACTTTCACTGGTAAGAGGTACAGTTGGTCTTCCGGGAACCCTCTAATGTCATTATGAGCATAACATTCACAAGCGTTGGTGAGAACATACAGAGATTCCTGCTGTCCTCCCTGTAAATTGTCGCCGCTAACGGATACTTTCATGAATGACAATGTTCGGCAACAAAACGGCACATACGCGTTAGGGGAACCAGGACGAGGAGTATGTGCCCCGTCGTAAATAGGTGGAGGTGACACGCGGCATCTATGTGAGTACGGAGAAATATCATCATAACCACTAAGCCTCGAATTAGCATATCAATCACGATATCAACATCGGAGGGTAAATACCGTGGAGACTCTGGATCTCTGTCACAATAGCCATTTTCGTCGATAATCACGCGGCGCTGGAGAAATTTTGTCAAGCTGCATGAATGAGAGTGATACAGAACTTACGCCATTATCTTGGAGTGCTAGGTTAGCTAAACATATGACACCAAAAAAAAACAATACGCACATGACTTGAAATGAACGCCTGAGACAGCAGCATACAATTTTCCGCGCTCTGGAAGAATGAATGTAGGGACGTGCTTCGTCGTTCATGACAAATAAAGACCTACCAGTCAGCTCATTGTATACGTCATCTTGCATTATTTTGCACTGAAGATCAGATAATGCCTTTGTCCCCTGAAATCCCATCGGTGAAAAGTAGTAGTAGCAAGAAGGTCCAGCTTACGGGGTAACGAGAAATGTCAACAAATCTGTTTTCCCAGACGTGACCTATGCCATTCCACATCATACCATGGCCTTCGATAGTAAGGGTACTGAGAGTTGCAGTCGTTTCAAAACATGAACAAAAATACCGGCAAAAACATGCTTGCCCAAAAGATGAGTCCTTGCTCGTGTCAGCTAGTACAAAGGCCATCTAACTCGCATAAGTCGCTCAGTACAACGCCCAGCAAAATATCATAACTGACCTTGTCGCCCCGAAACTCGTGATAGTATTTCTCTCCTTTCTTGAAGTAGTACATGAGGAGATCAAATGAAATGTGGCCGTAAGATAGCTCTAGTTCTAGGCGCTTGGATCTGGCAAAGCAGGGATGAGCAATTGTATGATTTTGCGACATAGGTATGCTCACATGGGTTCGAACTCACTCTCAACCAGAGGTATGAGAACGCCCAAGTGTTCAACGAGATCCTCGAGGTACTGCCGGGCATCTTGCTCGGTTTTCTGCACTGAAGTGAAACGTTAGCTGATGGGCAACGCAAGGGTCGTCGATAAAAATGACGCATACAGGTCAGCGAGTCTAAGCGGCCAAGATCGTGTGCTTTTGTCTTCAACTCCTCCCCGGAAAGGTTAGACACGGCTGAACGTGCGTCCGAAAGGTGGGCCTTGAGCTCATCGAGTTTGAATACAAAGTGAGTGAGAGGCGAGTCCGGATTTGAGTTGAAAAATTCGCCACCAATAGCCATGCTAAGAAGATAGGATTGAGTTTCGCAGAAGAAGATATTCAGAAATCACAGACCGCAGGAAGTCAATTAAGGTAGCGCTGAAATGACTGAAAACTACATCAGGTTCCGCTGTGAAGATATCAGCACAGAACCAGAGTTTAGATCAACTGTCATACACTCCCGGTAGTAACGGACGTTGAGGTAAAAGTAATTGTCGGTGTCCTCGCGAGGTGCTGCAGGCTGAATAGATGATGGGTCGTATGGTTGCCAATCATATTGCACGGGTGGAGCACCCCATTCTTGCTCTGGATCACTCCATCGGTTCGCGAGAGGTTGCCGTGTTGGATTGCCCGCCTTAGCTGGAGCCCATATCTGCCAACGTCTCTTGTAGTGGTGTCCAGCTTCCTCCGTTTTTTCAAGGAGCGGGTACTCAGGGACATTCTCCTGTGAGAGACGTCAGAACTGAGATTCACGAAATACCAAATTAACCTACAGCTAATGCCCCAGGGACTACTGGTTCATTTGGTTGCATCCTTGCTGCTGTTACAGATAAGCTTCCTATGACAAAGCACAAATGGGGGTGAAAGGATGAGGACAGGCAGGAGGTGTTCTGATCGCCGTTTTATAGTCGTTATCTCTTACACGAGGCTCAGATACGCCCGAGCCATGGTTATTGATCAACCCTTGACACTAGAAGTCCCAGATGTTATTCCAGGCTTGGAGGCTGTGCACTTTGCAAGCGCTCCGTGGAGGGCGGTATGATATCTGACCAATCATAGATGATTAACTCATTCAAATGCACAGGCTTAAGCGCTTGGGGTGTTACTAGGATAGGGACACCTGGCAGGTAATTTCGCATAGACACATAGAAGCCAACTTATCGAGTACTAATTAGATGCTGCTCACCGGTGCCTTTTCGGTTCTTGACTTCTGATCAGCGTCCTGTGGAAGCTGTGGACGAACGTTCGAGCCAGTCATAATCGCACAGCTTCGGAGTTAACATCCACATGACTTTTTGCGTCTCCTCAGTATATAGAGTGGTACAGTTCGAAGAAAGGTTGATGAATCCAGCTGAACATCTTGTAATAACTTTAGCAGCCCCCCGGAATCATATGGCCACAGAGCATATATCCGGGTGACTAGAGTCTAAATGGGCAACAAAAGAGCAGTGAGGGCTGAGCTAAGTGATTGACAAACGCCACGTCACCTCGTCGACACTACACGGGGGCGGTTTCAAGTCTCGACACCACGCATCCTTCCTGTGAATCCTGTCCCAAACACAGCGCCGGATTAAGGACATCAGAATCATAGCATGAACTTTAAATCAAAAATGTAGCAATCGAATCATCTCAGGCCCTGACCAGAGATGCTGACGAAGGGCTCTTTGGACAGACCTCGAATCCAAAGTGTCGACACGCCGGCGACGAACGTTCAACGCAGCAGTCTGTAAAAACCATCAAAGACCCCGAAGTGACGACAAACATCACGGGATTATATTACTAAGCCGCACTGTGGATATTTATTAGGGGTTTTCCGGGTTTCTCACTGCATGCATGCTGGAATCCGATTTGACAACATGATGGTCTTGTACTGCACATTCTCGCCCGGTTTGACAAATGCTGACCCTACAAGAGATAACGGGTCGAGGAGAAATACCACTCTTGAACACAACCCCCCGGCCAAATGTCTGCAATGCGTTCCCTGAAGCTGAGTAAATCAGCAATGTCATCGATCTGAACGCATCTCAGCCCAGTAAAACCTTTTGGGAGAGCTTTCGGACCTTCGTTTTGAAGGGCTTGCCTCAAAGAAAGTCTGCCAGTGGTCGTACCACGTTTCGCGGAGATGTCCTGATTCGATGAAGATGTTTGAAATGGGCTTCAATCTGTCGCGAAGCTGACTTCAGCACGGGTGTCCTCACGATCGGTGCCCTTCGCATGGGTATCAATTGCACCGTAAACGAATCATGACAAGATAAATCACACCGACCCGAACTCAGATGAATCTTGACTAATACATGGACGAAGCAACAGAAAATCAACCTTACCTTGCGCACAAGTTGGACTGTCATGAAGCTTCAAATTGCCTGTAAAAATAGCGCTACCCTACGAGAAGCTGGATGTGAGCTATTACGGGGGAAGCTTCAATTCGGGAAGAATTTAAAAGATGAAAGAGTTCGTCATTGTGTAACTAGTATCTCGCTATTACTATGTGGTAAATAATGAACGACTTGAATTGAACTGTCCCAAGAATAGTCCAGATAAAACAAAATTCAAAAGCACCTTATGAGACTGCCTGGTCTACCGAATACGTCCAGGTGATGCAGTCTTGCGTCAAATCACCTGTACCGGCTTACGGTCCTCACTGTAACTGGCTGCTGAAGACGTAATGCGACGTACGCCAGGATACCCCTCAAGGTCAATATTCGCCGGATGTGCAAATGTGTCCATCTGTGTAGTGACGATCAATCAATCAAGAAATATTGCGTGTATCTATTGCCCACCTCAACATGAATACCACTAGTACTTGGTACGTTAAGTGCATTGGAAAGCCCTGCATTGGTGTTCTTGAATGCAGTACCTGAAGTTTCCCGAGGCAAGCTGCTGAAAATTAAACATTGTAGCGGTGTCGACGTGTCCGTGTACAGTAGAATATACTTACATCATCTCAAGTCCTGTAGGCCGGAAGTTGGCCAGTCGCCTGACAACACGAGATGCCACGATCTACAATCAATAGTCTAGCAAAAAAAGCGGTGTAGAAGAAACTCGGCTCACTGTTGAAGCGATAGCAGCTGGAACGTTGAAAATGACACTCATGATGGCGTTCAAGTCGAGTACCATCATCGTGGTCGCGATCACATTGGACACAAACCTGATACAGGAAGGGTTGTGTTTTCAATAAATGGAAAATAAATGACAGACATACGCGATGAAAAAGTATATTAAGCCGTCGGAGAATAACATCCTGACGAGTCTGGTGGGTGCCTCATTCGTGCCGCTCCGCGTAGGTGTCCAGGCGAGCTTATATGCCGAAAGGCACATGACCACAAAGTCGAAACACATTGAATAAATGAAAGTGGATGCAAGGATAGTAGTATCGCTGTAAGTGATTGCACAACCGACGCCGGGACGCCAGACGGCAGTCAAGAGGACACCTGCAAAGTCGGTCAGCTAGTTTCACAGTCTTGTGAAAAGGGGAGATACCTTGCAGGATGAGGGACCAATGCCCGAGGATGATCAACACCAAGAGGATAACGATCCAGATGTTCTGAGACCAAATAGCTACCCTATAACCAGATGAGCCAGGCATGAGATTATGATCAATCCTCGACTCACGTGCGGAGAGAAAGGTTAATGCTCGCGAGTCCGACTGCCGCATTACCAGCTAGCTAAATGGGATGATCTTCCATGACATTCCTCCCACAATGCAAACTCACCTGATTAAAGGCATACAGTGCTTGACAATTGATTTCTCTGTCAGGAAATGAGACTGTTAATGGGGGGACAAGAAATAACATCCCATCCTACTTTGGTGTATCCAGCGCTACGGCACTAAGTGAGGAGTGAGAAACGGCGGATCGAAAACACGGTACACTTACATTCCGATCAGCGCAAAAAGAAGAAGATACCGGCCAGCAAAGTAGAAAATCTGGTGAACAAAAGGTCCAGAATTGTATTTCAGCAAAGCACCAGAGGAATCTCCTCACCAGTGGCCAGCGGAACTTCGTCTTGCCCCTCAGGACTGCCCAGTCGAAGTCCAGGGAGACGAACAATTCCCATCTGAGTAATCTATTAGATCATAATAATCACTGCGTTAACAAGTAAGGCTCACATATATAGACCGAGGAGGGCATGCATAAACTTCAGGAAGATCACTGAGGGCGGATTAGAAGAACGAAGGTAAACGAATGTCACCGATACGCACTGGAATCCATCTGGATCTCGTCCTCCGATTTCCAGTCCACCATCTTAATAGTGGTCACGAATAGCTTTAAGATTTTGGTAGGTTATGAACGGCACCAAGACCGTCAAGTTGGGGTAGAAAGGAGTGTGTTAGGCCAATATCAGCAGGATCATGTTATTTATCTGTTTCGATAACAGCCCCAGCGATCCACGGAGATACTACCCTGTCGTAAGTTTCAAAGCTGTCACGATTGTATTGATTATAAGCATGAGCTATGAAAAGTTGGCGATCCTATAGCCTTCCGATTGCCTCGGATAGGCTAGTACAATGCCGACTCGTTGCACGGTTGATCATTATTGCTCCGTTCTCCTGTGAAAATACGATTGCTCCCCTGACTCTTGGAAAAGTTGATTGAAATTGAGACGCGTATTCAAAAGTGTGAACCGACCCGTAAAATCCAAACCATCGGTTTGCTGAGCCTGAGTCTTGCGATTTTAGCCTCGATTCAAGGCGGGATGGTCTCCGAAACGCCTAGAGCACCTTATCTTGGTGTGTATCTCCGTCTTTTCATACCTGACATATTTTTACTATCAGTGCAGTTGCTGAAGAGTCCAGACCAGTTCTTGATTTGGTAGGGAATGTTCCAAGCAGCTGCAGCGTATCGAGCCACTGCCAGTCCACCACCACATCCCTGAATGGGATGACATGCATGACAGGTCGTGGACTGTGCGAGTGCATGTTACTTTGCTCGTAATCCAAGAATACGTTGACTGCGCCTCACCCTGGGAACGGGGCTTGAATACCTCTCGACAGCCATTGACAACTGGGCTGTTAATGCATTGGTATTATAAAAGGCTCATGAGAGCCTGAAAGTCTCCGAGTCGGTCGCGACTCGGATGGATGCGTCTCGGTGATCAAGAGTATGTCAAGTTGCAGATCTCGTTGCTCCGGCGGCGGGAACCAAGTGGGAACTGCCAACTGACTCCATTTTTTCCACGCGGAGATTTACCGCCCGATCGAGGAAGTAATAAAACAGCCGCAGGGTCGGCAGGGGTCGGCGCGCCAACATCGGGAAGGCTGAACATCGAACACTGACGGTGCCGAGTAAGAATGGATTGGAAGTAGGGCACTTGGGATGCAATGTGTACAGTATCGAATATCGAAGGGATGACGGTACGAGAGTATGCATAAGCCTACACATTCGACTAACTATCGAATGATATGCATATTGTATGTGAGGAACGTAGCACGTCCTCAACAGCGTTTTGAGTGTGACGTGTGGGGCTATTTGAGACGGATGATATCTCCACACGCCATCTCGTCGCATGCGGGCACTGAGCAAGGGCAATGTGGTCATTGCTGGCTGGTCTCTGGTACGCGGCTTAATATGCTATCTTGCCCCCCCCCCGGTATCTGTACGCACCGAAGCAGCTGAATGGCCTCCTGGCTGCATATTAGAAGACGTCTTTCGAGGGATAGCGCGATCACAGCACGCTGTTAGTACTGGGAGTTTACAATGTCATTGCTTGTAAATTGACTGAGGCTTAGATATCAATTATCCTGAGACATGTGAGGATGGGAGACGGACCGGGAAATGAGCAGTCCCTAAACGTGGAGACCAAGGTGTGGGTGAATCACTGGTTACAGACACGCGATGAGGGTTCAATGAAAGACTGTTATTAGGCAACGGAGAGCATAGTGGCGGGCTACCCACTAAATGCGGAGATGAGAAAGGTAGACAGCCTTCGCGCCGCAAATCCAATGAAACGTAAAGCCATCTGCAGTTGACGTTCAGAAGCTCGATATGCTCCTGGCACAACTTCATTTGCAGCTCCAGCGATCTGCAAGGTTCGGGCAAGAAGCCAAACTTGCCATCTGTAATGTCAGCATGATAGTTGTTCTCAAAATATTCGTTAAGAACGCCACAGGTCTGGCTGTTGATGCACGCCCCGTCCATACCATTTTTGCCGTACACGAACTGAGTGAGCTGCTGTGCCATAGTAGCGAACCGCGATGTCCGATGCCTTGACAAGATGTATTGGCTCTTCGACACGATGTCTGGGCTAACTTTGATCGTCCGTTAGGAGATTGAGAACGCAGGTCTCCTTTAGTGGAAGTTCAATTTGTATTTCAAACCACCTGAAAAAGAAGGGCGACATCAAGAATGTTAATTAAATCAATGAGAAAAATTGAGTAAAGAGTTAACACCGGACAAGAGAGGGAGTGGAGGTACGCAACAGAGCGCTGGGATTTGAAGTGGAAGAAAGACCGGCGGTTTCGCCATCCGTAATTGCCTCCTTCGACTCTTCATTGGCCTCTCTTGTCGGTGATCGGTTTTTGGACAGCAAATATTGGATCGGCCTGAATATGCTAGAGCAATGGATCACTGGCAGGAGCAGTCACCGCACTGTGGCTGCGATGTGAATAGAAGGTTGACGTTGACGCGTCAGAATTCGACTCAGAACGGTTGTGGACTGTTATGAACGTGACTGAAGTAAAATCGCTTAGTCAGCGAGTGGTTGGGGCGTGGCGCGTGACGATTAACCTGCTTGCAGACTCATCTCGAGTCCTTTGGCAGACTGAAGACACCATGATGGTTCGTCACTAGTTCACTGACCAGCTGCAGGGTAGCGGAAGTTTAAAGACGGAGAATTTCAAACGTTGGTATATTCTTGTCACCTGTGCCACGAGTGCAAGTATTTATGATATAATCGTTCTTCTAAAGGTCAACCTCGTCTCCTTGACCCACATCTAATTGCTTTTATTGCTCATAGAACCTGGCTGTAGCAAAGGATACTACATAGTAGTTTTCACGGCACGTATAAGACACCCGCATGGACGAGGACGGTTCTGTTAGCATTTCGTCATACTCTCCTGTCAAAGTACTACTAACTTGAAGGTAGCCAGCAGACACCCGACCAAGCAAAACTGTTTGCGCCGAAGTTGGCAGGTTCGCCGATATCGTAATTCGCGGGATCCTCTAGAGTGGCGAGTGCCACTGTCACATTCCAAAGATCAGCGAAGGCAGCATCGTCAGCACCTCGGAAAATCAACCAGAAATGCCGCCCATGCACTGGCACCTTGCCGACCTTACAATTAACACTGCTGCCTTCATGCTCACACCGGGGTGAAGTTCAAGATGCGCGACAGGAGAGTGCACCTCTATAGGTAAGTTTGCTGAGTAGTTGTATAAGGGATAGGGCCCACGCGTATGTCAGAATCACAACGAAGTGCCTCCCTCAAATATTTGAGTTCCGAGCAGGATTCGGTAGGGATGCTTCTGGAGCCTTACGTTATCTTCGCGTTGCAGCGGTTCCATGTAAGAAGGGGCTATCTTGAGGCTGTCGATATTGTTGAAGCTTTATTCGAAGCTGCACGCGTATAAGGCAAGAAGCAGCCCCATCGAGTACTCGTGCCCTATTTAAGGACAACCTTCAGTTTTGAAGCTCCATCAGGTCGTCCCCCTCTGCCATCGTTGTCGTGCATCTTCAAAGCTACTATGGTCGACTGGCACTCCCAAGAGACGCTGATCGCTAACGCTGGTAAGACATAGAAATATCTCGCTTGGGTTTATAGAGCTGACGCGGTGTGAGTAGAGGCATTTAGCAAGTTCATGCATGTTCTCTTTGGGCTCTATATGTAAGATATGTTCAGGTGAGCTAAGGACTGTCGCTGATACGACGTAGATGGGAGTTCGTCAGCTCGCTGGATTTTGACTGGCAGTTTATCTCGGGCAAGAGGCGATTCCGATGGCCATTGGTAAGTTTCCCTAGTAGTTGAGTGTAACCCCTCGAACAATGAATTTGTGATAGATATTCTACTTTTCTGGACGTTACAGTTTACTTTTCGCGTTGATCGGAATGTAAGTTTCATTCCTCCCTTCACTCTACGCGTCTTATTGAAGTGCATTACTTAGCTCCGTTGCGCTCAACGTGACAACCGAGGTTAATTGTCAGGCATTATACACCTTCAATCAGGTCTTTGGTAACACTGCAATTGGCTTGGCCAGTATTAATCTGTCCTTACGAACGTCTGTCGCACCTGTATATATCTCCGGTCTGTTGCAACTAACATGTATTATAGCATGGCGGTATGGTCGCAGAACAAATATGTAGTTACCGCCCTCGTTGTGATCATTCTGGGCCATTGGTCATTCCTTCTTCATGGTACGTGCAATTCTTCCTCTAAATTAGCGCATATATGCGGGTATAACAACCAACTTTACCAGGTATCTTGTTGAAAGCTGCTTGGGTAGATGGAGAATGTGTCATCATCTACACGGACAACCAAATTCTCGCCATTACCTTCATCTACTCCATGGCGTTTGACTTCACGGTCTTGTGCTTAACCGGCTGGAAACTCGCGTTCCCGGCGAATGGTCGCTCCAAACTTATCAAGCTTATATTTGGGGATGGCCTGATCTACTTCGCTATTGCGTACGTGTGCTCTGTGCTGCGCCTTCGCTTATTCAATTTTTACCCCAGGTTTTTGGCGAACTTGATGGCGACGGTCTTCATGCTGGTTAATTTGAATGCGGTCTTGTCGATCATTGCTAATGTCCCTGCTGCAATCGCATCAACGGTCTGCACAAATGCAATCTTTCGTTTGAGTGATTGCTCATATGCACTTCCAGATCGTAGCATGCCGCGTCGTACGAAGGTTGACAAACTTTACCTCTCAAGGCCCAGAGGTTTTCACGTACGTTTTCAGTCCTTAATGTATATTTCTTATTTTATCCCTGTTCTTCATATACAGCTCTACCCAGGGCTCGACGCTCGCATTCAGGAGCAACATCAGCTCGAATCGTCGCATTTCTGTCAAGAAAGGCGACAGTGTACACGTTCAGGTAAGGTCTGTCCTATATGTCCTCTTCTGTGTTATAAACATCACATGTTCAGATGGACACGTTCGCCAGTCCCGATCGTTCGGTGGCTGAGTACGACGCCAGTGGCAAAATCATGAAAAACGACGAATTCGACCCTGAGGCACAGATAATCAGCAATGAGTTCAAGCGCCCGCCCTACTAGAATGGTATCGCGTCATCTCGTACGACGACCGCGCATTTATTCGACCCGCACCCCGCATCCGCATCGTAATCAAAGCAATAAATGCCGCTCATCATTGCACATTGCACATCGTCTTTACATTCTCCGTGTTGTCTTCCTTTCCTACATTCTCAGTAATCTCTCTGTGTCGTTCTTTGGACTTTACAGTACCCTCCGCCTGGGCAACCGACGGGGATTCCTTCTTTGCATCATGTCTGGTGCGGTCTGCTTTGCAGTGTATTGAGCCTGTTGCTGGAGTGCTGTCGTACTTCGAAAACGAGCCAAGCCAGATGTGTTGCTTATTAGAAAATACAAGAGCAATAGAAATATGTGTAGAATTCACTTCATCCGAAAACTTAATGCAGACTGGCGTCGTAATCGAAGACACCACTTCATCGATTATCGATTATCTATTGCACGAGGGCCATTTGTTTGATCACAGAGCTCCGCTTGACGAGCAAGATCCATTAGATCCATACATGCAATGCGCGCCTCCTTCATGTTTGAAGATCATATGCGTCAGTGCTTCTAGCCGGGTGCAAAGCAGAGGTTTCAAACCTGAGCTGATCTGCGAATTAGAGTTTGAAGTTTGCGGTACTGGTACAATCGTCACGGTCTGCACAATGTGGTGCCCGTGTCCTACGGGGAATCTTGAGAACCCGCTTCAGGAATCAGCATCCAAAAAGCAGACAAATGGAAATATTCAGCGACAAGATGCATCATGATATTGGGGAGCAAAAGAATAACTGCAAACAGCGGTGCGGCTGGTGCGTCATGGATCCATTTTGCAAGTCTAGTGACCTGCACAGTCGTGGTGCGCATACACTGGCAGCACACGTGTATTTTTCCATCGGGCCCCAGGACGACTATCATTAAGCGTTAGTCCAAAGAAAGACCGCGACGCTAGGAAGAACGAACCAACTACATGAGGTCGTCTCAGTCTGACATCTCTGAAATTTCAAGACACGACTCGTATCAGGAGAACTCCAGGAACTACTTAGTCATCATAGTATCATATGCAATGGTTAGCTGGGTGGCGGTGCATCGTACGGGTATTATCGGTATCGAGCCCTCGTCTGTTGAATCTGAATGGCAACGTAGAACAGATGGACAATTTGGTACTTTGTCACCCGAGGGTATCTTCTGGTCAAGATCCCAACCAAACGATAATAGTCCAATGTGAAGTTTCACAAACTATTCCCAGCGATCATGTCTTGCTCAAGGTTGACCGCTTCGGTTTCTCTGCAAACAATGTGACGTACCAAGCTTTGGGCGAGGCTTCCCACTTCAGGTCTGTCACTTTCCAGAATACCTGACATCTCAGCTACTCACTTTGGCATGCTAGGTATTTCGATTTCCACCACGCTCCAGAGGCAGAAGGTGTCTCCTCAAAGACGCACGGTGTGACTCCTGTGTGGGGCTTTGGTACTATCATCAAGTCCACACATCCTAAAGTTCATACTGGAGAACGAGTGTACGGATACTTCGCTCCAGCACGATATCTTGTGCTTCCGGTATCCCAGGACGTGAACAAGTATGCCTTCTTTGTGCCCCGATCTCATCTTCCTCCAGGTAACTTGCTCCGTCAATTGACACACGAATGCACTGACGAAATGTCATAGATCGCCGGCCATACAACCAAGTTACGCGGTGCGCCACTGATCCGTTATATGACCCATCACCGACTGCGGAAGATCTCACAATGCTCTATCGCCCTCTTTTCTGGACCTCGTTTTGGTGTGAGGACTGGCTCAATTCTACCGATTATAAGGGAGGATCTACGCAGATCCTTATGTCTTCCGCCTCTTCAAAGACTGCCTTCTGCCTGGCCTATCTGATTCGCAGACGTAATTCTCTACAAGGGAGTTCGAGACGGGTTATTGGACTGACGTCAATGAAGAATCTTGCTTTTACGAAACGCCTTGGCCTGTATGACGACGTTTTTGACTATGAGTCATTTGATACGTCACTGGTCGGGAACCTCGCTCGGGGACGCTGGATATATGTAGACGTCGCAGGCAACGATGGACTCAACGCCAGAGTGCGCGACCATTTCCGTGTACCCGGCGAGTCTGAACTCGTCACACGCATTGCTCTCGGCTTTACGAACGTATCTCCTTCCACAATCAATCCAGGCTTATTTGCTAGTTGGGATACTGGTTCAGAAGCTCCGCAGGGAGCTGATCCCATACTCGAACATTTTTTCATGCCTGAATGGCTTTCTGTGCGCAAGCAACAACTTTCGGTTTCTGCGATCACTCAAATGCAGAAGGAAGCTTGGACTAGGCTTATGTCCGACTGTCAGACCTGGGGTGTGTCGCTTCGGAGGGTTTGTGGCCCGAGCCAGGTGAAGGCTGCGTATGAGGAAATAGTCAGGCGGGGACTAGCGCCGGAGGATGCGTTTGTATGGAGTCTGTGGGGGGAGACAGCAGAGATTGGCTCAAGGGCGAAGTTATGATGGAATATTATTGCGTATACCATTATACCTATAAGTACGATCGTACAAACTTGGTTAGTACTCTAAGTTTATCAGACTGTCTCATCATCATCTGGTATATATTCGAAGATGAACTGTATATATCGCCGATATGTGTGGTTCGTTGTGATGGCCAAGTCAAGGAGGTTTTACATATAGATGATGACTGCGAGAAGCTCTCAAGATGAACAAGAATTTCATTGCTCGGGTGTGGGGAGCAAGGTTCAAGGCTGCGATGCCCTCAAATTAAAAAAAACATACATCATAACGAAGTGTTGGGTGAGGCGCACCGGTGGGCGTTTGTCTGTGGTAGACTCGCAAAAACTAATTACAACTGCTGTTGCCTCCAGAGGGGCTCTGGACCTTCTGGTGGCCTTCCCTTGGGTATTGTAGTTATCGCTCTTGTAGTAGGTTCGGCATGAACATAGAGTGTATTACATTCCCCATCGTAGCTACAATATTGGGTGCAAGTAACGCAATCAGCTACACATAAACAGTACTAGTATACACATTAAATGAAAGTAAAGCAAATATACAGGACGTACTTTACGGCGACAGGGTATTGAAGAGCTTGGTTGATCATATAAAACAACAGAATGAAGAGACATTAAGTGCCTTTCTTGATATCTCCGGTACTGGGCGTTCCCGGCGCTTGGGGTACCTTTCCTGACGCTCTAGTCCCCAGCGTCGACTTCGGTGCCTTGGGGGAGGATTCTAAAGTCACCTGCAACATAGCCATGGACGACCTCGGGCCTTTCGGGATAGGCTTGGTTGCTACTGGCCGTGAGATGCCTTTTGATATGGAGTCGCGAGAGGAACTAGCTTTGTTCTGATCAACTACACTCCCAGACCCAGTTGAAAGGGACGAAGATGGAGTAGAATTGGATGGAGATGTTGAGAGGTTATCCTTGCCACCTAGGAGCCAGGTGAACTAGACTGAAATGTTCATGAAAAGATAAACCCACTAAATTGGCGCAGCAAAGACGGTCTGCTTTTTGCAGAGGATGACGACGAGGCTTCTCTGCTAGGGGTTGCTTTGACGGATGCTGCGGCCTGTGCGATTCGCGGCTGCTCTCCACTCACTGTCGTTGGGCGAGCCGATGACCCAGAGGGCTGTTCCTGTGCAGAAATACCACCAGGGTTGAAGTTTTTGAATTCCGCCAGCTTCTTAGAGCTGGTGGCCTCGCCAGCTGTCGATGTGGTGGGTTTGACTTGCCCATGTCTCAGAAATCGGGCCCGGGGTTTTGCCCCAAGCATACTTTCTGCTGCAAGCTCAGTCTCCGAGGTAACGCTACCTGATCCACGATGCATGTCACCCTCCTTATCGTCGCTGGCTCCAGCACGAGGGGCTTCGGCCGAAGTCGCACTCTGAGGTGTGCGTGCATTTGGCGACCTAATCAAAACTTTCGATGACGCCGCACCGCCCGAGACAGCTGGGCTAGTCATTTGCGCAGAATTTTTTCGAAATTTTGAGTTGAAGGCAGGCTTCGCAATGACTGGTGAAGACGTCACCGATCTCGATTCCAAGGGAGTTGAGACTGGGGATGCAGGGTATGCGACTTTCTTTTTTCCGGAGCTGGCGGGCGAGTTAAGAAAGAGTTTAGGTCGCTTTGTGGTTGGTGTAGAAGATTCGTTCGTATCTGCAGTACGCTTGAGACTAGTCTTCTCTGTAGGAGAGTCGACTGTCTCGGTATTACTAGTACCTAGAGTCTCTTTGTTCAAGCCAGTGCGTAGAGACTTTTGCTTCGCTAATTAATGCACAGGTAACTAAAATGAAATGGTCGGCTCGATGGGCACTCACCATTAGCCCCCCGCGAGATAATTGGTGTCGGTCCTGAGACGATTTCCACGTCAGTTGATGACGCCGAGTCGATCTCCATCGGGCGATCGGGGGAGAAACCTGGTGATGCAGTGCCTGAGGAGGACTTGGACTTCAGTTTCTCGATTTTCTTGGGGCCGGAAATCTGTTTAGACCGTCGATCGGCTTATCGTGAAAGTTAGTGCGGAATGGTGAGCCTGAGGTAGTCACACAGACCTGTCGACACGGCTACGGGGCGCTCCTCAGGCGCTCTGAACTGGAGCTGGTCACGAGTGGTGGATGGTTTCGATGGACGAGCTTTCTTCCCTTCGGAACTGCCACCTGAGTGATTATTCGGTGCACATTCCGAAGTTGATTTACGAGATGAAGATATCGCGAGCATGTCCTGCATCTCTTTTATTTGTGCATCACGAGACTTGACCAAAGCAACGGCTTCATCTTTCTCCTGGCTCGATTTCGCGTGGTGTTCCCGGAGTGAGGCAAGCTCCTTCTCGAGCTTCTCTATTCGTGACACCTTGTCCTTCAAAACATCCTCGGAGACCATGACTTCCAGTCGTTTCTGCAAATCGTCTATCTGTGCCTTTCGGGCCGAGACTGCTCTAGGTGTATGGTCAGCGACCGCAGCGTCACACGGTTCAACGGTTAAATACTCTTTGAATTTCTGCCTTTCAGTGACCTGGAGTTGCTTCTGGGAGTCACGTTCCTTTGTGACTGCATCATATTTACCCGCCCATTCATCTGCCGTGACCGTAATCAGCGCCAGTCGACTCTGTAGGCCACGAATTTGCGTGGTTTTGGCTTCAATAGAGTTCTCCAGTGCTTGCCGGCCCTTCTCCGCGTTCGTCTCGGCTTGGCGTTGTTGATCTTGTAAGCGCAGGTCGAACGCGCTTATGGTAAAAATTGCATTTAGTAGGATGAATCAATCATAGAACAAGAAGCATACGATTTGAGAGTATCTGCACGGGCTGCCGAGGTTCTCCTCATCTCTTCGAGGGCAGCGGCAGCCTCCACTTTGGCCTTGACTGCGTCATCTCGCTCTATTTTCAACCATTGAATCTCATTTTCCAGTTGCGCGAGTTTGGATTTCCATTGGGCGAATATCTTCGAATTGTCTTCCGTTGCTCTCTTTGAGCTTTCAAATTCGTTTCGATCTTGGTCCAGCGTACGGAGGGAGCTCTGGAGCTGATTGCATTTGGAATCAAGACTTTCGTAGTTGTTTTGAGTCGTAATTAAAGTGTCGCTGAGGTGATTGATGTGTTCTTTGAGAAATGAGATAAATTTCGATGGCGAGCTGAGGTGCTGGGTAAGAGGGGAAGAGCTCTGATTGCCGTCGGGGGTATTGGAGGATTCATGTAGTGGCGTATCTGAGCTATGGATTTGGGATGGGATGAGTTCCAGCCATGGCGTGCCCAGGATTATCTTCGGCGTGTTGGATGCTACAGAGTCGTCTCGACTAACAGTAATGTCAACTTGCTGAAGCGCATCCTGCACCGCCATGAGGTAACTACGAGCGTCGTCTGCTACCTTTTCTGCTTCAGAAGCAGTTTTCTGTGCTGCAATTGCGTCTGCTCTAGCCTGCAAAGCGATATTCTGTACTTCAGTGGCTTCCTTGGTATATCTGGCCCGTTCAGTTGAGAGGTACGAAACCATGTCCTCAGCATCACGTCTCTTCGTTGATTCTTCCAGAATCACTTTCGAATACGACGCCTGATGTTCGGTATGTTGCTGCTGAAGATGTGCTATCTGTCGCTGACCGTCCTCTAAAGCCTGTTGTCTTTCAGTCCTAATGAGATCTAGGATTAGATCGGCCCCAGTACGTATAGAACTAGACATCGACTGTGTGTCTATAGGCGAGGGCTGTCCAGTAGTCTGGCCACCATTCAAAGTGGCGGCCGATGGCAGGGATCGTTCATGAGATTCACGATGAATGGAAGCGCTGTTTGATGTTACATCTTGAATGAATAAAGTTTGTTGCAGTTTCCCATCTGTGATGGGTGAAATGGAGGTAACTTGCGGAGCGGCCATGCCTGCAGGCTTTGAATGAATGAATTGCTCAAGGCGTTGAAGCCCAATTTGGTTTGTTTGGATCTAAAGCCTTTGCCAAACAACAGCCCAACTGCGCTGAAGCGGCCCAAACGACTAAACATTATATGGCATTCCGGTATTCTACATGCATGCACACAGACATATACCACAACCGCCACATAGTGCCGGGGAACCCTACAAAGGTAAATCAGCAGCCTCTTCACCCTGCGATCTCTAGTTGACACGTACTTCCACAGGGTTGCGTCCTCGGATCGACCCAAGTCAGATGCCGTCTGCGATTAACGTGATAGAATCAGACAAGGAGCAATGGGAAGGGCGTTCATTTATGACGTTACCCGGTAACAATCCGCCGTTATCAACAACCGACTTCACAGCGTTTGACCAAGGTGAGCCTTATTTCCTCCCAGATGCAACACTCGGGCTAGGTGCTTTGTGTGATGGGATATTTTCACGCAATTGTATACCATCTTGGTCTCACTGCAGACATTCGTAGTTTATCACCCCGGCTTTGAGTTTCGCTCCGAGGTCATTGACCGAATCTTTTATTCTGTTTACAGGAAACTCGAGTCCAAAACACGTTAGAGTATCAACGTGGAATCTCCCAAGCTCCTCTCATCTGGCCAAAGAGTGCGGTATTCCCCTTGCGGCAGTGTTTCAGCCCTTCGCAGATCTTGATTCTCGCGAAGAGTCTATTCCAGTCGTGGACTGCGGTGATACAGGTCCCCCTCGGTGCGAGGAGTGTAGAGGGTACGTCAATCCTTGGTGCACATGGACTGCTGGTGGAAGCAGATGGAAATGTAATCTTTGCGGTCACGAAACTCAAGGTATGGCATGACGTGACCTCTAGTAAATCACGTCTCAGTTTTAGTTTCCAGTCTTGCCAAATTATTTTTGCAATCTGGACGCAAATCTCATGCGAATAGATCTTCCAAACCGCCCTGAATTGAACAAGGGAACTGTTGACTTTGTAGTCTCAGGAAAAGAGTACTGGGCGCCTCCACCTTTACCGAGGATGAATTCATCTTATTTCTCCATTGACCCACCTTCCTCTCAAGCACGCGAACCCAAATCCCTGAACTACCTTTTTGCACTTGATGTCTCGGTGGATGCCGTACGAACAGGTTTTCTCAAGTCTACCTGCGATGCCCTGCGAGATCTACTATACGATACCTCCTTTGACGGGACTCAGTCAGATCCGTCCTTTCCCCGAGGCTGCCAGCTTGCGATTTTGACATATGACACTTCCTTGCACTTTTACGATCTGACTGTAAGCGTGCAACTCGCATCATTGTATCAAGTTGATGTATACAATTTCTAGCCAGCCTCATCGCTACCGAGAATGATTGTGGTTTCCGATTTAGAGGAAGTATTTACTCCTTTGCGTGAGGGCTTGTTTGTAGATCCCTGGAAATCTAGGTCAGGAACCTTTACTACCTTAATTATCAACGCACTCTTATTCCCTGTTTAAGGACCGCTATTGAAGGTCTACTCGAAGCATTACCGGAACGTTATCTAGATACTGTCATTGATAATGCAGCACTTGGGGGAGCACTACTTGCTGGTCTTGCTTCGCTTGTACGTCCCGGCTACTAATCCGTTGGTCTAGGCTAAAGTTTACTCGTGCAGGCAGGCCGGGGCGGCCATATTATTGCTTTCCAGAGTGTCTTACCTGCAATTGGACCCGGCGCTCTTGAACCACCAGGTGATCAGGCATCATTATATGGCACGGAGAAAGAGCGAACTATGTTCCTCCCGCGTCATCAGACATGGAGAGACATTGCCGAGGAGTGCGCCGAGGAGGGCATTGGCGTGAGTATGTTTCTTGGGATGAGCAAACCTATCGATATTGGATCTATCGGCATGTCTTTCTTTCTTTTGCTGCCAGTGCCTTCATTGCTAAGCAGCTGCACAGGTATCATATCTTCTACCACTGGCGGCGAACTGTTTTTCCATCCTAGGTTTAATCATGCACGAGATCAACACGTTCTAGCTTCTCAACTACGGCGTTTGCTAACTAGGACGACGGTGTACAATTGTTTATTGCGCGTGCGATGTTCCAATGGTGGGTGTATCTTGATGCATATCTTCTCCGAAGAAGTGACTAAGGAGCATGTTGTGCAGGCCTTCGAATATCAAATTATTATGGCAATTTCCATGAGCGTTCTGTATCGGACTTGGACATTGGAATTCTTGACTCCGATAAAGCCATATCCGTGCATATTGAGCACTCGCGGAAGTTGGATGCTCGGGAGTATGCCTTCTTGCAGTGTGCTGTGCTGCATACGACACCAGACGGTCAACGCCGCGTCCGAACATGTAACCTTGCCTTGCAAGTGGCAGACTTGGCCGCCAACGTTTTTAGGTATGCTGATATGGATGCCGTAGTGTGTCATTTAGCAAGGGAATGTCCGACTTTACCTTTTCTGCCACCTTCATTTTCCCTCACATTCATTCCAGCTATGGCAAAATTGACGTCACGCCGAGTGGCTCACATCCGAGAAGAGCTGACCGATAGATGCTCGTCGATATTGCTCGGCTATAGGCGAAATTGTGCGGCTGCTACCGCTGTCTCTCAGGCAAGTGTGCTAGATATCATCTCCGTTCCTTTTATTAAAAAACTTCGCAGCTAATTTTACCTGAAGCATTTCGAGCTCTACCTGTATACACCCTAGCGATCACGAAGTGCAAACCCCTCAAAGGTGTGTTGTTGTTATTTGGCCATCTCTTGCTTCGTCGATCAACATGCTTTCGCAGGTCGTAATGTGTCCGCGGACGTGCGCAACTATCATGCTCAGAAGATCCTATCTATGAGCGTGCGCACAACAATGCAGCATCTCTATCCCCGCCTTCTTGCGCTACACGACTTGGCAGACGACATAGCACTTCCAGACCCCGCAACAGGCCACATGTCGTTTCCGTCACTAATGCGGGACAGCCACACATACATGGAAGCACACGGCGTCTATCTAATAGGTTTGTGCCGCACTCCTTTCGGTACAACCTCTTTACTTACGTCCTTCCATCAGATAACGAAGATCTCATGATATTTTGGGTCGGTTCCAGTGTGTCCCCGCAATTGCTTCTTGACCTATTTGGCGTGGACGACCTCCTGGCTCTAGATCCGAATACTGTGAGTGCCTGGGTTGGCCAGGATGTCCTGTCTCTGATCTCCGTCATCACAGATCCAGCTTCCTGTTCTTGACACTCGGTTGTCTACTCAGGTTAGGAATATACTAACGCACCGCTATGTTCAGCGAGGTCGCACTCCGAAGATGCTTCTCGTCCGACAAAATATGGACGGGACGGAAATTGAATTTAGCGACATGCTTATCGAAGATCAGAATAACGCTGCCATGTCATATTTGGACTGTGGGTTTCATGTATGAACTGCAGGTCTTCCTTGCTGATTGGCGACTTAGATTTGTGTTTGACTCACAAGCAAATTAACTCTGTGGTAACTTACACCATCCTTTCTTTCCCACTCTCGACTAACTTTCTTTCGATAGCTTACAAACGGCGAGTCAATATCAGGAGGGCCAAGCCTTCGAGGATCTCCGTGGTAACACCACGCCGTATAACTGGCACATTCCCGGCATCATATTCCACAGCCATGAATTTTCATATCGTTACATTAACTGCTTTTTATGTGTTTCGTTTCGATTCCTGGTATCAGCCTAAATAAATGGCGTGAGCTCCCGTGGTTCCCACTGGTGCTGCTATGTAGAGCCTGATTCGTCGGTCAGTCCGGCTGCTTATGCATGTGGGCAAGTAAAAAGCCACAACCTTCAATGCTGTACTCTGAAGGGGTGCCAGAACGTGCTGATAGAGGTATTCTTGGCGCGATTGCGCTGCATGGCTGCCCACTTGGAGTTGCCAGGCTAACTGAGATGCCGGTTATCGACCCAAAAGATCTCCACGAGCGGCTGACACGATCCTGAAGCGAACGACTCATTTGTTCCAGATTTTGAATGCGCTCATAGTTTGGCATCCCTAACGGCGCGCGGGGCGCCCGCGCCAGGCCCGACTCCCACCTCTGAAACCTTGTAAGTACCGACCACATCATTTCGGTTGCTTGGTACCAAGCCACCGAAACTCAGAGTTGTACAGTCGATGTAGATGTATTTTTGTACTATGAGTCTTATCTAGAATCCAATGGATCAAGATTTTGTTGGCGTTCATCGATTCATCCCTATATATCATCATTCATGGCATCTCGCAGTTCGGGAAAGTCCGGTTATGAAGATTAAATTTATCAGTTCACCGTCAATACAATTATACAATCGGTCCCACCGAGCCCTGGCAGCTCATTGCAGGGCCGTAATCCAAGCACTTATTCTCCCGTACGTAGGCAGACCATATAGAAGAAAGATAGTCGTTTTTTTTCTTCTTTATTTTGCGATCCGAGAGGCAGGATACTGGCTCTATAGAACTACTCTTTGGCTTTATGTGACACAGTCATGCATTACATACAATGAATCACACAAAGGTGCCTTTACTTCAGGCTGATCGGCGATGTTGTATTCACTTCAGTGATTCTGAGGATAACAGCGATCCGTAGTGCCGCAACTCGAAGGTCATTTTTACGTCCCACTAGGTTCCAAGACCTGCTAATACATACATAATCGGCGTTGTCCACAGATCACAAGCACGATTATCATATTTCGCTAATGAGCCACTGGATGTAATCTATTGATCAAGAGTTATCATGAATCATGTGGGCTCATCATTAACGCTTGGCAAGTTGATACGTATACGCTATGAGAAGCTATGGTACCGTATGTATTAGTAGAAAAGATATTATGGTTCACTGATCAGATAACTTCACATCCGTTGGCACATGTGACCCTGGCCGTTCTGCGACTCCATAAATTCTATCTCATCGAGATCGTTCGACAACTTGATAACGGCATGCCCGGCAGCCCCTTTCATTCCCTCGTACACGTGAGGTGAATGTGGTCAATATTAATAATTGGAAGACAACGGAATTGATCAAGCCGAAAACTTGGTCGCCGTCACGCACATGAACACATTGACAACAAAAACGATACGCATGGGTAAGGACTCCAGACAACCAGTGGCGGAGTGACAGAAAGAAAGAGTCCGCGGCAGTCGAAGGGCCAAAGGCATATGTAGCTCCAAGGACCGTTCATCTAAAACTAAGTATAGGTGTAGGAATCAGCGTAGAGGGAAATGTTTATTTAACAGGTCCAACAGACCAACTTTGGAGATTAGAGGGACCCGCTGCGACCGGCTTCGCGAACCAAGTTTACCCCATGGCAAGAAGCTCGAATTGCGGTCGCCGTAGTAAACACGACACTGCTGCTCTTTACTATCTTGAATGAATCGTATCGGCAATAAGAATGCCTTGGAACACCAGGGAACAACATGAAGCGATCGAAAGACACGCACGACATGATCTGCAGCTTAGCCAGGTCATCGACTAGCTCATCATCATTGGAGGCCCGGAACTAGTTCAACGCAACATGTTACCGTTTCTGGTAACAGCACGACTCTGCGGCCCTCTCGACGGCGGGACACGTGACAGCAGGTGACGGACTGGATCTTAAGCCTCAAGGAGTCAAGGCTGCGTGATGGCGAGCCTCGCAGCTAGTACTCCGTTATTTAGGAGTCTTGTTTCCTTGGTGTCAAGTTCCCATCAGCGGATTTAATGATCTCCATCTTCGTGCCAGGTAAAACATCCGCGGAGGATATACATACATCAACCTCGAACAACCTGTTACAGAGGTTAGTCACGTTTGCCCGCGGTATCATGCCCTACGCACAGCAGCCTACAGGGGGATCGTCAAGGGCTGTCAAATTTATATGAGGTTACAGGTGAAGGGCTGCCACAGGCTGCCACAGATCGATCGCAAACGTAGCCATGATGTATGATTTCAACATATATGTCAGCATTTGTCCGCACGGCGGAAAGTGCACAGTAAGAGAGAATTCCTCGTTTCTGCGTGAATGCGTGCGTTTCAGCAAGTGAAATCTGGCCTTGATGCGGCATAGACCTCGATTGAGAGTGGGAACACCGTGACAGGGAAACACCCGGCGGCGTAGCTCACATTCTTCGGCGTACATCAGAAGCCCACGTTCTCCGGCGGCCAGTACAGCCAGTCACCTCCATCGTGGAGTGGAGTCTATATGATCATTATTGACACATGACTTATTGATTCAGAAAACGAACCAACAAGACCCAGCGGACTGGAATCAGAAAGATCTGGTATGGCTGATTGTCTCTGATTAATGTGTGTGGTCTTTGCCAATTGAGTTGTGCAAGCGAAGAGAAGGACTGCCGAAATCCGTTTTGTGTCAAGTCGAGAGCCGCCAGAAGGTCGGAAGGGCAGATCTGGCCTGGTACTACTGAACACCGACCCGACAACGGTTTACAGCATGATAGAAAGGCACAATCGATTAACAACAGGTAGACCTTTATATCACTCCGCTCACCTCGTTTTTCATACACCTGCCTTCCTCGAGGCTCGCGGGCGACGGTCAGGTTCATAACCAAAACTTGGTTCTATGCTGCCGGGCCGTTCAAACTACGATGCTCGTTTTCGGTGGAGTAAACATTAAGTAAACAGGAGAATTTCGGGTAGCTTCTTCAACTTGTACTACATTGCCCTTCTCAGTGCTTCTCAGTGAATCCGAATTACAACAAGCGATATCGATGCTCAATGATGACTTGCTCGTCAACGGACTTGTTGCAACGAACAGAAACCCACCTGGCCTCTTGACCGGCGTATGCCAAAACTCCGGAAACCCGTTCAAAATTTGCATGTTCTCCGGTCGGTCTTACTGATTCAAAGCTTCCGTTTTCCGAGCATGTGCAGTGCGTTTCCATGTCTCATGCTATCTATAATATCAGATCTCACACCCCCATTCCGCAGATGAGGGCAAATGATTTCCGCGGACAGTCAACACTAAATGGGTCAAGAACTAGGCTAAAATCAATTTTGGTCACAATAGGTCTTCTGCGGACGCTCCGTTCCTCTGAGTTGCTACAGGTACTTCTGTCACTGTGGCCTCCTTTTTTACTCCTGAAATTGGCTTAGAGGCCTTAAACGTCTGCATCTTCGGAAATAAGTGCCTGAAACAACTCTCGCCGAGTTTCCGCACATAGTGTTTCGGGATCTGTCCCTCGTCCCCGCGGATCCGTGTGCAAGGGACAATGCTCGTGTGTGTATGTATCAAGTCGCCGATGTTCAAGTAGCGCCGTATTTCCTCAAAGTGCACCTTCATTCAGTCAGCTTCAGTCACGTATTCTTCTGACATTCCCAGACTTCCTGACTTTCGAGGGTGCGCTTCCAATTCTCGCATGCTGACGCCTTGAAACACCTGGATGTTTGCACTACTAATACATTAGGTTTTCACATTCCATCGCTAGTTCTCAGCCCTCATGAGCTCATCACCTGCTCTTACTCTATCGCGATGCGTGACCATGAACAACAGCATCATCATTGCCGAAGACAAGATGCCCATAGTTTCTTCACCTCCTTCTCTTCACAACCAGTCACTGGAAGCCTGCAAGAGGGAGACTCTTGAACGCGCACAACAACAGCAGCCCGGTGTGGTCGTCACGCGTACCCACTTCTTTCTGATCATGGCGAGTTTATGGATTGGCAACTTTACTGCTTACTTCAACGAGACCACCGCCACCACTGCCATGCATGTCATCGCAGCTGACTTCGACAGCCTCGCTAACCAAAACTGGCTCGCAACATCGTACTTGTTGGGCTTCACTGTCACACAAACCCTTCTCGGCAAGTTCGCTGACATCTTTGGGCGTGCCCAGGTGTTCAACGGTACAATGCTTATTTTTGGTGCTGGGACTCTGTGGTGCGGGCTGGCCACGGTATGTTCCTCTTTGGTCTCGCCCGTATACCGGGTTTTCTGACGTACCCACGCATATAAGAGCATGAATTCATTGATTGGTGCTCGCCTTCTTCAGGGCATAGGTGCCGCTGGAAGACAATCCGTCGGCGTGATCATTATTTTGGATTTGACAACGGCAGACACACGAGGTCTGTGGTTGGGATATTTCAACTGCGCCTCTGCAATCGGTCTAGCGATTGGGCCCGTGCTAGGCGCAGTCCTCTCCGTCGACGTAGACTGGAGATGGATATTCTGGATCACGCTCATGCTCATTGGAGTCACGATGGTCATTGGGGCGACATGCCTCGGGTATCCTGTTCCTCATCGGAAGCAACGCATCGGGTTACTTGCGCAGCTGGGAGAAGTGGATTACATTGGTTCTGTACTTGCGGTTGCGGTCTCGAGCATGATATGTATTGCCATCGAGATGGGAAACAAGATGTTCCCTTGGAACGTATGTACATGGCTTCACAAGCATTTCGTATTGACAAATGCTGCATTTCCCAGTCGGCGCCCATCATCTCTCTCTTCGTTGTCGGAGGTCTCCTCATACCTGTCTTTGTTTTCTACGAGCTCAAGGTAGCCGAACACCCCGTTGTTGACATCCGCCTTTTCAGCATACGAAATATCCCGATTACTTGTTTGATCAACTTTCTCACTGGAGCTGGCTACTTCGGCTCCGTCTTCTTCCTTCCCCGTTACTTCATTGATATCAAAGGTTCCAACTTCATTCAGTCCGGGCTACAGATGCTGGGCCTCATCCTTACGCTCGGCATATCCTCAGTTGCAGGGGCTAACATCCTTGCACACACGGGGAAGGTGCGCCTTATTGGCGTAGTGGGCGGCGTTTTATACGCACTGGGTAGTGCTTTAATGTTGATGGTGGGACAGTACACGCCTGCAGTGACAACTATTGGCTTTTCCATCATCACGGGCATTGCATCTGGTATGCTCTACCAGCCTTCCCTCGTTGTTGGACCCATGTCCGTCAAACCACATCAAATTGCGGGAATCAGCGGGTTCTTGTCTTTTCTACGAACATTGGGGGGCACATTTGCCACTGCACTCCTCACAGCAATATACGAGACCAGCTTTACGGAATCGCTCCGCGGGAAACTCCCAGACTCGTTGGTGAATCAGGGGCTTCAGCTCGCAGACAATCATGCTTCTTACCCCGAGTACGAGGACCAAATCCTTAACGCCCTCATCAAGGCCTATCATTTCGGCATGATACCGGCTATCTGTTTTGGTGTTGTCTACGCCATAGCAGTGGCCTTTCTCTACGACGTGGACTTCAGCCCACCTTGGAAGCGGGAACGGGAACGGATAGCAGAAAAACGGAAGAACGAGGAAGCATGACCATTGCGTGTGGATACTTACTCTCCGCATACCTTATTGACGCATACCTTTGACGAAAACACGGTTTGCCATAGCATCTTGCATTTTATGTCTTGTTTTTGCTCTTGCCTCATTTCACGAGAACAAATCCCATCGCTGATATAATTTCGTCAGCCTGGCAAGTAGCATTGACGCCTTGCTTATCTACGTCACGGACATATAATGATATGATGAGTAGAATAATTTTATATGCGCTGTATGATTTATTTAATGTTATAGCATTTGGAGTCGCTACGAGCGTCTTTTGTTTTACTATACTTGGGGAGTTGCGTAACCGTCCTCATTCAAAAGTGACTTACTTGTGAGTCAAGACCTAAAACTTGAAGATAAATTTCTAGAATGGCTTGGTTCCGGCACTAGAAACCGGGGGGGATCGGATCTGCATTTCACAGGAAGGGTGAGTGAGACTGCGCATCACACAAGGCAAATTTGGCGATCGCATCGAAAACGGAGTACTAATCATGAAACTGGCGCCTCTGATGCCCAGTGTATAGTAGTAACTGCATGGATAAATCCCATTGCAATTATGATTTGCTGAATGCAGGCAGATACGCGCGTGCACAACGTTCTCGGTCAAGAACAGAACGTTTACCTAGGTATTGGGACTTGAAACTAAAATTCCAGAACCTGACAATAGCTACCCAACTCCCATATATAAAGGTATCTCCAGATGAAAGTTCTTCTGTACACGCATTCGACGGACGGATACTAATAGTTCTGCCTAGTAACATCTTGATCGAGAACGGAAATGTGCAGGCGACTCCGCCCAGTCAAAGGGGAACAGAATGGCCCAGGGGTTTTACTACCCCAGATCCAGCTGCCTGATCCTACAAGAACTCAACTATTACGGGCGTACTCTTCGATCACAGACCGAGGCTGTGAGTACTTGCCAAGCGGCTTGTACGGAATATGTGTGAATCTATGCACATGGTTTCAATTATGACGGCGAACGGCTACATGAGAGCGGCCAAGTTACGCACCCAAACGCGCTAGGGCCTCCGAGAGCAATGCCACGTTCAGAACTGGTCCACTGGGGAGCCGCGGTGATCCCGAGTACGAGAACCCGCAACCCATATTTGTACTCGGGCGTGCCGAGAGCAGACCCATTTTGAGCATCGAGCACAGCGATTAGATCGGGAACAGTTGCGACCATCTTCACGTTGATACTATTAGCACCGTCTCGGGAGCAAAGGAACACGCTCTCACAGTGGTTATTGCGTCATCCGCGGTATGTTCTGCATAAAGATTCTCGTTCTTGAATGGAATGGTGAGTGTTCCGGTGAAGCGCTCCACGGGACGATTAGGATCGTCATCATCAACATCATCCACGGCCAGCGCGGTGATGACTACTTCTCCAAGCGTATGGCCCTTGAAGAGACTGAAACAAATCAATGGTGCTGCGTAACAAGAGATCCAAATAAAACTGACCGCCTTCTCACATCACTAATTTTGCCCATGAACAACACTTTTGCAGAGTTGGAGCCACCTACAGCGTCAACAAGAATTGGTCCAATCTGAGACAAACTTGATTGTTTTCGAGCAAGTGCAATAGCTCGTCCAATGCGCCAGCTTAATGATACTGTATTTTTAATCATGACACTATCCACGTAGTCGGCTTTCAAAGGGCAGCTGGCCAGTCCCACGTGCGTCCTAATGCACGCGAGGCACCCCATAATCATCACGCATGGTACTTATGATGCATGTTACCACTCACCCCATTACAACACATACCGCTCGTAAACAGGCATCAATATCGATGTCACGTTTGGCTTTTTTCATAATCTGGAGACAGTTCATCGACTTTGACTTAGAACGTGAGAGGGAAAAATACCACGCTGCTCCCATCTCCACTGGATATGACGTTGGGGAGCATCTTGGCTCCTGTGCCACTGTCATCGTAGACATTGACCGTGGTTTGTTCAAACTTTCATAATCGTAAATTGGAGTATACATTTAAGATCAGAATGATACTCACGGTGGGGTATGCACGGCCCTGCATGTGGGTGATGATTTAGACAGCGAACCACTTGCATGTTGTTACATAACTTACCATGAAGTCTCCATCTAAGCAGGGTATATCGGAGTATTTTGTCGATCCCAGAATCATCTACACCCATGTCAGTAATCAGTCTTCGCTTGACGTGTAACTAAAACATCATACATTGATCATACCGTTGGCACCCCCAATCTCCAGCCCGCAAAGCGCTTCTGGTTTCGCAATCTAGAAGCGTAATATTAGAGCGCCGCAATGGTCGGACCAGTCAAGATCACATTACCCCTATCAGGGACCACAACTCCATGCTAGCTTCTTGATATCTGATGGCCATAACAATTAGGTACTGCCCTCCATTCATGCAGCGGAAACACTTACTCATTGCCAAGTAGTCTTTCAGAGGACACTTCTGGGCTACCCATGGATCCACCCCATCCAACCAGTGCATTGGACGCAACTGACGAAAAGTCAATCACTCGTGCTGTGTCACCTGACCTAACGAGCTCTCTGAGTTCCAGGAAAGTATGCAGGGGGGACCCGCCGCCGCCGCATCCCAATACATAGCAGCCATCTGCAATCCACTCCAAATCAATCTCGGACAAGAGCCATTCTCTCCCTTCAATCCTTGGCTCATACTCTAGGATGTCACTCGCAGTACGCATAACCGGCGCCACAGCAGCGGAGGCAGCGGCGGATGCTACCATTTGTGGCCGGGAGGCGGTCTCCCCGGTAGAAGCTTCAAGACGCAGCGGACCATCGACCTCCGTCCAACTTGGACTAGTGAGACCGCTCCAGTCTCCGGCGGCCTTGACGTAGAAACGGCAACGACCAGTGGTATAGGCGATCGGAATGACCTCACTCTCTACTATGGCGACACGGTGCGGATCTGCTCCGGAAGCAATAGCTTGGGCGATAGCCCTGGCTTCGACATCAGCGCGAACTTGTACGATGGGTGTTGTGGATGTGTCTTCGAAGGAATCAATGATGCCTGATATCTTCAGATCGAGATTGAGTATCAGCGGGCAGAAGAAGGTCATTTCCTCATTACCTGGGCAATGGCAGCACCAACAGCATTCGCGACGTCGAAGTGGGGGAATCTGTGAACCCGGCTGATGCCCGTAAGAACATCTGGAGCAAGGATGGACCCTCCGCCGACCAGGTAGACTGGGATATCTTGGGAAGACGTTTTCATGGCATCAAGGTAATTTTGGAGCATTTTCTTGATAGCACTTTGAGCGCCTTCGATGATCGACTGACTAATTTCTGACACAAGACTTTCGTCTCCAATGTTTGAAGCGCGACCTGCTGCAACAACCACATCGGTAGCGGTCAGTGTAGAGCCACCAAACACTAGAGATTCAGAGGCGATCCGATGGCCAACCGAATCAGGACCAACAGTAACCTTATTTGTGATCGGGTCCTTTCGGATGATGGAACCCCCACCAAGGCCAATACTAGAGCACAGGTAGTCAATTCCATGAATGCTTGACATTCTGTCAACACCAGCACCTGGTAACATGCGGCATGGAGAAGTTCAGCAAAACCCCACAGAACTCGTGATGAGCGGCGGCTTGGCGGGGGAATCCACTAGGTCTAATGGGTTGTCAAGCAGCATCAGCATGACCAAAACTTCTAAGCTTTCTTTACGTACAACAACATTCCGATGTCCGTCTGCAATAAGGCGACAGTGAACTTGTTGCCACGAAGTTGAAGGTTGTCTCAGTGACATACCGTTGTGCCGCCGATATCAACTACTAGTGCGGATTGCTTTGAGATGCCTGACTCCAGTGCGGCCAAGAACGCAGCGCCGCGCATAGAATTCGTTGGGCCGGACGAACTTCAAGGGAAATCATTAATCGCTTATGATAACCCTTGTCAGCGAGACCTCCTTGAGAGAAACACGTACAAGGTTCGAATAGGAAGACGCGCTGCCTGTGGGCAGCTGAGCAAGGTGCCATCATTGCTCGTGATGAAAACGGGGCACTTCAGCTCGAGTGCCTGGGCTGCCTTCTCGAAACCTATCACTGTCTTCTTCGCATATCGCAATAACGCGGCATTCAAGATAGACGCGTTTTCGCGCTCCAGCAGCCCGATGGCAGCAACATCCTTGGAACATACGATGTCGATTCCCGGAAGGCGCTTCCGCACGATCGCTGCGACTGTTTTTTCCTGTTGGATCTCAAAGTCGATGGGGGCAAACACCGAGGACACGACAACTGCGTGTATGCCCTGCAGATCGTCTCAGTCACACCCAACGTGCACAACATCGTTTTCCGAACCTGGCGGTTGATTTCGTCGCAGGCGGATTCAACTTGCGCAACGACAATAGAAGCAATCTCACTTCCGTCAATTTGCAGGCCCCCTGAGAGCAGGAAGTGGGGACCTTCGAGTACTGTGAGAAGCGGACGTGAGCATAGGCGTCAACGCGCGTTCCACAGCAACTACTCACGTTCTCGCAGCTCGTGCGGAAAGCCTACAAATGGTGGCGTTCCATGCGTAAAAGGGCCGCATAGGCGAATGACTGCGACTCTGTCCAAACGCCGAGGATCTCTTTCTACTAATGCATTTACAAAGTGCTAGCATGCCCGCGAATCAGGACGCAAGATGGTGCTTGTACTAAGCGAATCTCACTGTCGTGCCAATGCAAAGCGCTTGTATGTTCGACTTGCTCTGGGCCTGTGTCAACACAGACTCAATGGCGTTTTGGATTCCGAGAGTGACATCCGCTGTAGTGAGGCGTTTTGCAGATGCGAGAACCTGCCCTCGACGCGAACCCTCTGATAGATCGAGGAGGACTGCATCGCTGGTAAACGTTCATTGAGTCCGCGGAGTCGGGCATTGTGTTCAAATTGGGTACGCACGTATTTGTTCCTCCTACGTCAACACCTAACCGCAGGATGGATTGCACTGAACTCATTTATGGTTGAAGGACTGCTGGTATTATCTGAGACAGTCAAAAGATAGGCGACTACGATAAGGATAGCCAAGATGGGTACCGAACCACCGTGGTGCTTTAGCACGACCAAATTGGTAGGATAAGCGAAATTGAGCTTCGAATCGTATTGAGCGTAGCGCTAGGAGCTAAGTATAAGTAGTGATGTTACTTGAGCAATTGCGCAGTATTCCGCGACTACATAGGTCATCGAACCCACTTGGCACCTACATAAAGACATTCAATGATTCTGTCAGAGTACCGGATTCGAGGCGATCATTACGACCAGGTAAACACCGTGGCGTGCGCTGCCAAATCGCTATTATGATACTGGTCATCTGAACGCAAGCTTAAGCTGCACTTAATGGACTCACTAACAATAATCTGACTTGAACCAACAGCCTCGGGCGCAGCTCATGCAATCGGTCTCAAAGGCCACTACCTACGTCCTTGATATTATCTTAAGCCGCAGCAACGCCTTGGTCAGTAATTTGACAAACCGCCAAGAGCGCGGAGGATCCGCGTTTGACTTGAAGGGGGGAAATCGAGAGACGTGCAAACGGCGACGAGGAACTTTCAGCTACATAACAGTGCTCTAAGAAGAACGACGGAATAAGGGGGGAAAAACGCAGCTAACCCACTAAGTTAATGCTGCAGCTTGTGATGGAACAAAAATTGGATTGACAGCACTTGAACGCACTTAAGCATCTTGACTGAGAGCTTGCTTGAATTCCTGAAAGTGGGTATTCAGGGCTAGTTGAACCGAAAGTACCGTGAGAAATATATTCCAATTGAATACAGGTGTGTTCGGTTAACCCATGTTGGTTTGGGGGCCAAGGCCGCGTCGCGTTTCTTGAGACTAACCATTCATCAAGACATTGTAGATTTTTGATCGTCGACTGCCTGCGCAGGCATGGCAGGTCCATCAGATGACGACCTTGCAGAAGTTCTACCGAACATGCCAGATTTCTCTGCCCAAGGCTTTTCTTCAGCAGGCCAACGCAAGTTTCGTCTCCAACTGCTCCTCGACAACAAGGAAAAGCAATTACAACAGGCAGGAACTCTCGGTCAGCGGGTTCTTGCACAGCAGATAGAGCTCGAAGAGAAGATAAGGCAACTCCAGGAATTTGATGCCGAACATGCGGAAGACGAGGAACTTGATACTGACGCGCGCGAACGTTACCGTGAACTAGCAGAGACCATTGCTGCTTGGGACGCAGAGAACGCGCAACTATCCAGTGCCTTTGGCCAAAAAGTGAGTCCTTCATTTTAAAATTTTATGCTAGCGCGCCTGTTGTTGGTGATGCCACATACACCACGCCTCGTTTGTGAATTCCATAATACACCATGTGCTAACATATAATTTACTTATCTATAGCGTCCTCCTACTCAGCCACCATCTCCGGCCCTACCCATCAATGATCTTCCTCGCGAGGAGCCCGAGCGCTCCAAAGCCTCAGCTTCATCTGCAGCCCAGTCTCGTCGTGCTAAAAATGCTGCCCATCGAGCAGACGACGTCGGCAAGTCTCCCTTGTTCTGTCCTGCTTCGCTTTCACAGCTCACTAACTTCTCGATCAGAATTTGCGTTCGAGATTGGAAGCGGACTCCTTACCGAAGTGCGACGGCTCCAGAGTCTTCTCGGCGAGCGTGACAAGGCCATTCAAGACATGAAGGAGGAGAAAGACGACCTCGAGAAGACCGTTGAGTCCCTACGTACCGCGCTTCGATCACAAGAACAAAGCTCTGGTTAGTCTGTTATGCCCTTCTTTTGCCTCGTGAAACTCACTTGCCACAGACAAGTTCAAAGAAGAAAACTGGAACCTCGAAGTCACCGTTCAAGAATTCCGTACCCAGGTGTCAGACTTGCAGTCAACGAATGTGCGCCTCGAGGGCGAGCAGAAGCGTATCGCGAAACTCCTTAACAACGCACGAGAAGTAGCAGATCAGCACAAGAACGAAGCACAGCGCATTCAAGCTGTACACGATGAACAGAAGGCTAAGCACGAGACAGACGTAGCACAGGCACGTAAGCATGCTGCGGGTCTACAGCGCGACAAGTCAGACTTGCAGTCGGCACTTGATGCAATGAAGGCGGAGGTAGAGAAAGCAAGCCGTCGCCTCGGTCCACGATTCGGGAGCCCACTTACGCCTGGCGCAAGCCAGGGTAAAGAGTACTTGACCCCTGCTGCAGAAGATGATGATGTTTTCACTAGCGTGGCCAGCACCAACAACAGGCGAAAAATGGACAATTCGGCCGTGTTCGACACATTCGAGGATCTTGTAGACATTTCCCCCGACCCGTCACCATCACGCCCGTTCCATGCGAGCAATCACCCGAATAACGAGATTGAGGCCCTTCAGCAGCGGCTTGCCCACGCCCAGAGGCAGATCAGCACCCTCAAAGGCAGTTTGCATCGCGAGAAAGAGATGCGGATGGAGTACAAGCGCAAACTGGAGTCCTCCCCTGAGTATGTGCATGATGAGAACGAGCCTCCAGAAGATGAGGCGAACGAGGATGACGAAATTGAGACCAAGCATCCTCGTCGGCTAACGCCATACCGTTCTGGAGGTGGCAGAGCTAGGGGCAGGCGAGGTAGGGGAAGGTCCTCCCTTATAACCAGGCTCGGCATGGCAGCCCAAAGCCCCAGTCCTGCATTCGACCACAATGCCTCACCTCCTCCACCCGTGCCGCCTCTCCCCGATTTCGCCGACGATCTTCTGTCCGACGAGGGCAATGCAGCGGGTGAGCTGGAAGAGCAGAACCTCGACTCCTCACCTTCCGCCTCCTCGAAGCGAACGAGCGTTGACGGTATGGATCCCGTTTTTGCCAATGTCCTGCGCAAGTCTGCGTCCTACAGCTCGCTCCCAAGCCAGTCCAGCCCGCTTCGCCATGCCGTGCTGACCCGCTCCTCGCCTCGCGGCATTGGGCGTGGTGGAGCCCCATCAAGACGCCCTCGTGGCGGTGCTGCCTTCCAGGAGGCCAGACCGGCGTCCCTTGTTGGGGAACCTGAGGCCTTGGCTGCAGAGCTCGGCATTGTCACTGAAGATGTTGAAGCCAAAGTGACCGCTGAAATGGCATGTCAGACGGACTTCGAGGACGTGATGTTGCTCGTACCCTCACCTTTTGCCCCAGCGAACGACATGGGTGTGCAAGCCGAGCAAGCCCTCGAGCCTGCACCAGCATCCCCTACTACTTCTGAAATTTCATGCCAGACTGATGAGTTCTCTGCCTCGCACATGGAAACCGCTGTACAGCACGAGCCCACTTCTCCCGTCCCAGTGCGCACAAGCTTCTACCAAATGCAGGCACCCGATCGCGTCTTCATTGCGCGGAACCCAATGAGGCGCACAACGGTCACGCAGTCAGACTTCTCTCGCCCATCAGAGGGCGACAGTACCGTACGTATCCCCGGTGAAGTTACTGGCCGGCGGCCCATCCCGGGCGGTTTCACCTCTGAGGAGGAGAGCGACATTGACATTGATATTGACGACGGAGCAACGGAGACCGGTATGGAGACGGACACGGATGTGGACGACTACCACGACGCGCGGGGGAGCATTGCTACAGAGTCACGGGAGGACTTCCACTCTGTGTTGACGATGTCGGACAATGACTTTTCGGAGAGCGATGATGAGAGTATCAAGGCGTTGGTGATCTCGAGGCGGTCGTCAATGGCGTCTGCGACGCAGCGTCGTGAGTTACACCATCGTGACACGGCTACGTACGAGGAGAGGGCAATCGGTATGGAGGGTGTTGAAGAGCCGAAGGTCATCGAGGTCATCAGGGAAGTAGAGGTCGTCAAGGAAGTAGAGGTCATTAAAGAGGTCGAGGTCATCAAGGAGGTCGAACTCATCAAGGAGGTCGAGCTCATCAAGGAGGTCGAGGTCATCAAGGAGGTGGAGGTCATCAAGGAAGTGGAGGTCATCAAAGAGGTGCCCGTTGAAGTCATCAAGGAGGTTCGCGTGGAGGTGATCAGGGAAGTCGAGGTGCCTGTTGAAGTCATCAGGGAGGTTGAGGTTATCAAAGAGGTCCCGATAGAGGTCATCAAGGAAATCGAGGTCATCAGGGAGGTCCCAATCGAGGTCATCAAGGAGGTCCCAATCGAGGTCATCAAAGAAGTACCCGTGGAAGTCATCAAGGAGGTCCAGGTACCAGTTGAAGTCATGAGGGCAGTCGAGGTGGCCAAGAAGGTTGTCGAGGCCCCCAAGCCAGAGCTGAGAGATATGTCCATTCAAACGGATACCATCACTGCTTCGCCCCTCATTACAAGCTGGCAAGACACCTCTGCATCGTCCATGACCCCAACTCCCACTCCCGCACCTTCCCTCCCTGCGTCCCCCGCTCTCTTCCGAGTTGGCACAACAGTACAACAATTCCAGTTTGTCCCTGCACCCACTGCTGCAGTGCCCGCCTCTCCTTCCCCCTCTATTGTCCGCGACCCTAGTCTCAATACTGCAAGCTTCGGCATTATTCGCACTGCTACATCCAATGCAGACCATCGGCAGTCAGTTGAATCTGCAGTTTCTTCCGGCGCCGACGATGGATCTCGTCGTTCAAGGACCGCTTCTGTTGTACCCTCCATCGTAGACAAGACTCGTCCCCCCATGATGGCCTTGCCACCTCCACCTCGCCTGCCGCCTCCGTCCGGCACCATGGCACCACCCCCATTCATTCCAGACCGGAGAATGGCTACCACGTCGTCAACATCGGATGCGCCGCCACCTCGTCCATCCTCCCCGCCACCTCCAGAACTTATCCAACGTGCCACCACACCAACATTTGGCACGATGCTCTCCGTACATGGCAGAGGGGGAGCGTACGGCCCAAGGCAACATGGTTCAAGCATGCCCCCGCCCCAATCGAATTTGCGGCAGCCACCATCTACAAGCAGCTTCCGGTCTGCTGCCAATGCCGCAGCGTATGCACAGAACTCAGCTCCACCGTCTGGCTTACCATCATGGGGTGTGCGCGAGCAGCAGAGGAAGGAGATGTCGAGCACGTCTCTGGCTTCCGATAGAAGCGCGCTTTCGCCACGGTCGTCCATGTCTTCTGACCACAATGTCTTCTTGAATCGCACACCTGTGCCTACTACCCCTGGCAAGAATGTCGAACAGATTAGCGACAACAGAAATAGTATGTCGACAGACCCCGCTGTCATCCATGCGATTACCCAAACCATGATCGGCGAGTTCCTGTACAAATATACCCGGCGCACCATTGGCAAGGGCTATGGGGAGAAGAGACACAAGCGGTTCTTCTGGGTGCATCCGTATACCAAGACCTTATACTGGAGCTCTGCCGACCCTGGATCGTCAAACGTCTCAGAGTCAAGTGCCAAGAGTGGTGAGTAATTGATGCGATACTTCTTGATTAAATATTGGATTGATGGTTTGTGTGACTGCAGCTTACATTGAGGGCGTTCGCTCCGTTTTGGATCCCAATCCCATGCCTCCTGGCTTATACCAGTATAGCGTCGTGATATCTACAGCCCAGAGAGAAATGAAGATTACTGCTCCTACCAAGGAGCGCCACGACATTTGGCTCAATGTCCGTCGCTCTCTTCTAACTTTTGGGTGGACACTTATACCTTTTTAGGCTTTGAAATACTTGCTTGCTCGTCCCAGCCCTCCGATGACACCCTCAACCAGTCAGAATGAAAATGGGGCCCCCATGAGCCCCATGTCTCAAAGCGCGGAGCTTACAGATGACGATCACCGTCACTTGACTGACACAAGCCCCAAAAGTCAACGAAGTGGCCGAAGCAGCCGGAACGGCGGTGCTTTTAGCACCACGCCGCGGGGCAGCCGGAGTCGATCACAAATATCTATGCGAGGGTCTGTAGGCAAACGGTCTGGAACACCAGCCGCAGAATACCTCCGATGGGCAGCTCCCGAGAGCCCGTACAGTCCCACGAAATCCTTCGAACGAGTATTAGGTCATAGCCAAGAAGACGATGACCTTGAATTTGAACTCCATGGCGAATCTCGGTCGGACGACGGATTTGAGGGCTTGGAAAATGTGCGCGCCTGTTGTGATGGACGTCATACTGTCGGTCATTCTGGACATCACCACCATCATCACTCCCACAATGGTGACCACCTTCTTGAAGTCAACGCTCCCGCACGGCCGGCGTCTCCTGCGTGGTCGCTCCGATCACGAACGGGGAGTGCACACTCTCACGACACCGGCGGCTTGTTCTCATGGGGTAGAGGGGACGATGGGAAGCTTCGCTTTGGCTCTCGACGATCTACAAAGACTGTACCCAACGCTGCTAGTGATCGGTAGTTGGGCGATCAACGCCCTTTTCCTCGCTCTTGCCTTGCCTTTTTTTGCTTTTGCGCACGATATCTCGCTTTCTCGCAACCTACCCTCCCTGATAATGGTCTTCGTTATATCATGATATAAATCTCTTATGTTCTGTGACTCTTTTTTTCGTTTCGTGTATGCATTATTCCTTTTTTTTTTGCAAAGTTACAATACTTCAAAGAACTGAACCCGCTCCTTGTATCTCACCGGAACGCTATCTAGTATACCCACACTCCTTTCCTCAATTTCATTCGATTCACCATCTACTAAGTTCGAATAATCAAGTCCCGTACATAGTAAGTTATATCTGATCCGTGGTTGCTCAACCCACTACTACTTCGTCAACTTTAGATCGGTGTATGCAAAAGCCCTAGCGTGTAGTGAGTTTAGTTTGGTGTTGGGATTTGGGAGTGGATGCAACGTACTGGCGTCACCCATTCTCTATTGCAACTGCAGCATACGCCAGCCCAGTCGTAGTTGCCGAGCTTGGCACTACATTTCGGGCAAATAATCTTTCCTGCTAATTGACCACTCTCCAAAAATGGTTCCATCCATTTCATCTAAAAGGGCATGATTGGTTGCGGATCGACGACATACGAAGAACACCTACTGGTTCGACAAAATATCCAGAACACTTAGGGTTCATGAGGATCGGTGGGCTGACCACCGGTCTTATCCCTGTCATACTCAACGACGGAGGCGTGCGCAACGCAGCGAGTTTCGGATGAGAATGCAGCTCAGCCGCCAGGTCCAACGGGTTCGCATACTGTGTGCTTGGTTGAGGTGGCGGCGGTCCGCTGGTCTTCAGTGCGTCCTTGCTCTCATGGACAGGCGACAGCACACGCACCGTCTCGGATTGTGTGGCTGTCCCTGTTGATGGACCTTCATCGGTGGCGACAGCTGCATCGAGTGCATCTGATAAGTCCTTCCCGAGGCCTTCCATTGACAATGAGGATGATCGCACGGACTTCACGTCAACTCCAGAGGGAGGCAGGTCACCCGCATGCTCAACCTCATCTGACTCGTGATCATCCTCAGTATCGAGCGCCGACATCGAGAGTGATGACATTGAAAACGATGACATCGAGAGCGATTCCATCAACGCCCGACCGCTGAGGCTCATGGATGGTCGCCGTGAGGATGTGCTGCGGTCGTTCGCAGACGGGCGCCTCGACGTGGCAGGCGATAAGGAGGGCAAGGCGGGCGTCGGTGGACCTAGTTGCCCGTGATCGAGCATGTGCTCGCGCGTCGCTAGCTCTTGCCTGCAAAAGGCAGCGTGTATGAGCATTAGGAGCGTAAGATAATACGAGGATGACTTACCTGCACATCTTGCATCGTATTCGGCGACTTGGCACGATCATCGGTGTGTTCGGTACAGAATCAGATGGTGTACGGGGATGCTTGGCGAACATTGCGTTCTCTGGGATCGTTCCATCTCCATCTAAGATTCAATCGATCAGCACCGATCTTGAGCCTGGAGTATTGATTATCGCATGCTAGGCAGAAGGTAGACTTACTCATGATATCTTCCATCGTCCGTTCCAGGTAGAACATGCGGGTGGCCTTGTCTCGCCGCGTGAACTTGTATGATGCGTGGTGAAACACCCTGAGCTGTTCCATAAACCCTTCATTTGGCCTGCAGAATCATCCTTATCTGGGTAGTTCAGGAACGAGGTAAAGTGACCTACTCAACGATGGGCCTCACTGTCCTTATCATGTCTATAGCGCTCGCTGGGTCGAGCTTGAGCGAGTACATCAGGTACGCTGCGACGATCGTTGCACTCCTGCCTGTATGACGATCGGACGTTAGAATTTGATCCGCTAGCGGAAGAAAAGATGATGCGAGTCAACAAAGCTTGAACGTACTGATTCCAGCCCCGCAGTGCACAAGTACACCACGCCTCTTGTCAAGCTCGTTCTGGATAAATGATATCGACGGCAGGAAATGCACGAGGACATCTTCATTGGCACTATCGTCAACATTGATTTGGTATTTGTTAAATGCCTGGAGGTATCTGCATCAGCTTCTGCCTCAGATCCTTTTCCGTACATATGCTAGAGGATATTTGGGCACAGAAGCATAGTGACCTGAATCGGCACGCACCGCATGAATGGTAACTTTACCCCGCATCGCTGTGACAATGCTGAAAATGTTTCTTTCCTTCAATCCCTCGACATCCATAGCGCTCTGCAGATCTCCTATCCAGACTCCTGGCACAACTTCATCCATCGTAAATGGTAGAAGAATGAGAGTACTGAATCCGCTCAATTTTTCCTGTTAAGACTATTAGGGATATTGGTAGTACTTCGGAGCCGGGGTTGTCATATGCCAATGATGAGCCCAGTGTTAAATAATTCAGCGTTAACTGTGGAGTGAAAAGTCAAATGAACGAGCCACCATCAATTATTCGTCGTGAAACGTCAGAATGGTTGTCAACGCTTTACACGGAGCTATGGAGCAATGAATTATTGAATGACGAGTCGGAGCATCCATTGATGCCTTCGGACCGTGACTCAGCCGTGGCGCTTGGAGCTTCCGCGCCTTGACATTCCAGAGTAAGCTTGTCAGCGTTTCTCTCTTTTTTGGCTCCCTTTTCTTTCGCGCTTAGCCCCGATTGATGGTCATGACGCGTTGCTTGCGGGGGGTTGTCCTCCCAAAATCCCCTCCTCCGAGTCTCCCTCTGCAGATCTGCCTGCCGGCCTCAGATTCTGTCTAATACTCGATTTCCTATGAATGCATGCTAACCAGATGCCAAATTGATGCACCTTCTCTCCACATCATATACACTATGGCGATGGCAACAGCAATGCTTCAAATGATATCTACCTCGCGTTCAGTCTCGGATACACCACACCCCACACTTTGGACCGTCTCGCACGAAGCAAAGAACTTGAAAACTTTGATCGACATGGCAACCTCAGTTAGAAAGCCTAGCAATGTCTGTAAAAAGTATGTCGTTTCTCCCTCCAAGTCACCTTTCAGCTGAGAGAGCGCTGGATGACCTCACTGTGTCGAGCATGCACATCGATGTGCATCTTCCGAGAGATTCTGGTTATTCAGTCGAAGGTTTCCGCGAAGCCTGGCTCAGACCCTGTTTGTGCGACCATTCCACACGTTGCGTTGTTGGCAGAGCTCTGCTATATCGCCGGGCAGATATCGGGATGCTACGGGCAGAACCTGGCGGATTGGCACACTGCAAGTGGTCACTTCTGCCAGTGATACACTTGTTCAAATACTTATATGACTACAAATGGGCCTTTAATCTTGGAGTTGACTTCAGGACATTAATATCATGTGCACGCATTTGACTACTCCAGGCTACTCGACCAACTTTGGTTCGTCCCTGAGGAACAGGTCAATTGAGTTGGTGTGTCGCAAGGCGGCCGGGTCTAATTTTGTGGTTGGGTTGCCGAGAATGTATTGACCAGGGCCTGACAGCCTGGGGCTTGTCTGTGCTGGTGCGGACTCTGCGGAGATCTGTTGGCGATGAAATCGCAGTCGCTTCGCGTGACGACAGATAGTGGGTCCCTGTGGAGTAATCATGATGGGACTCTGGTTTGACGGGAGCAACGAACAGATTGTGACCAGTGTCACATGAAAAGCAAATACCTTGAAACATACGATGATGACAACTATCTTCCTTCGAGTACTCCGACTAGGGGAGACTAGGAGGACTACTACCTGATTGGCAGACAATTTAATACTTGATCCAAGATATGCCAGATCTACTGGAGCTTCACGGGTCTGTATAGTACTCATCAGGTTTTCCGGATGCGTGAACATCCTGATGGCATCATGTAGTTGAGGTCCTGATGTTATGAGCGCCCATGATTCAGAATAACGCGAGTAACCACAAGGCTGGAAACTGTGCTCGCCTCGACACCCTACATTTCGAGCTACCAGCATACTAAATACAAACTAGTTCTGCGTTACATTAACAAATTCTCATCCAGCATCTATGCAAACTATGAATTCGCCAAACCCAATTTGCCTCGTTCTAAAACAGCCTTGAATCCCAAGTGTTCCTCCGCCCCAAAGTCCGTCGTTTGGATGGACTGTTGCGCGCGGAGCTGACTGAATACCAACTGGGTGTCCTTATGAGTATCTCCAACCAAGCGGCTGAGGCCCCATTCTGTAGGCTTGGAGCCGTTTGGGGACGTAAAGACAGGATCCGATCTGTTGCGTTTGGTTCCATAATTCCGTTGAACTGACAAGCAAAGCTCACCTAGTTGTGCTTGCATGATGCACCTCGGGTTCGCTTGGAATCAAGACATCATGACAAAAGTCCATGGTTTTCTATCAGTTGAATTGAGATGATGTCATCGAAGATAACCACTAAACAAACGTACCTCGATTTCGTCTTCTGTCAACGTCTTACCAACGTCTGCTGTTCCTTGTATCACTGCACATAGGTGATCAGCCTGAGGGTTTGCAGTGGATAGAGAGAAATATAAACTCCCACCTGGCCTAATGAGCTCAAAGGCTCTGTCGAAATTGTCTTCATCCGCACCACTCATAACCGGCATATCCTGGTTGCGGATCTGTTTGTAGGTCCCAAGGACTACAAGAAGAAACCTGCAATAAGGCTCTGTTAGCTGCTATCCCAATGACCAAATGCACCTGCCTCTTGTAAGAAATATCAATCTTTGAGGTGTGCCAACGTTGGGCATCCACTTCGCTGCAAAGTCCTCGAATCGACGCCGCAATCGTCAGAGCGGCCGAGAGTCCCCCAGTGAAAGCTAAATGAACACCAGAGGAAAAGAATGGGTCTATAAAAGCTTGAAAATGGTCAATTTTCGGGCAACGACAAATGTCAAGGGGAATACCTGCAGCATCCCCCGCCATGCGGAAATGATTCCCAGCATAAGTGGAAGCAGAGTAGCTATAATCGCTCGCAGATTTCAGAGCTTCTGGTTTGCCGTCGTTTCGAAGAGTGCCCTTTCCAATCATTTTAATGGCTCCAGGAGCCCTGCGTAATTCTTGCATATAAAAGGTTTGAAGATTTGAATCCCCAGAGGCAGCACGAAGAGCCTTCTTCTTGCGGTTGCTTATTTCTTGATCCATAACGACACCTACCGATGTGGTTCCGTCGTGAAGAGGGATGACCCAAGACCATCCAGACTCGTCTGCTGGAATTAAGCTCATCATATTGACTTAAAATTGCTTTTCATACCTTCAAGCGCTTCGCTCCAGATAGCATTCTCGCGTTTGGTCCCCGGCATGTAAGTGTGCTCTGCATCCCAATATCCCCAGCATGCAACGTTGTTGAGGACTGGGTTAAAGCGTCTGTTCTTGAGATACTTCGTGGACATGATCCCGTTCCTTCCTGATGCATCAACCAGGTAGTCAAAGGAGATACGACCCTCCATTCCAGTGCCCGTATTCCTCCAGGTGGCTGAAACGGGTTTGGAATTGCTTTCATCCTCGAACTGAATTTCAGTCACTCTCATTTCTTCGATCACATTTGCGCCACACTTGGAAGCATGGCGCAATAGCAAATCGTCAAATTCTGATCTGATCTGTAAAAAGAGTTCAGACAGTGCCAAAAACAAAGACCCTAAAATATCACAGACCACATTCCAAGACCAGTTCTTTGGATCCCGAGCCACAAAATCAGTATCTGGAGCAGAAAATAAATTTACCACTCAGTGAATAGGAGTGATGGGGCTCACATCCTTCCCGCTTGGATTGGTTCAACTTGATTGCGGCACCAGGCTGTACAACGAGGGCAGTGACCGTTTAATGTACTCCGACACATTGAAGACTATCCGCACCTTGATCTTGAACCCGTAGTCAATGACAGCCTCCTCTGCACCGATAAATGCCAGGAAAGGGCGGACCGATGGGAGCAGGCTTTCGCCAATATGATAACTGTCGGAAAGATTAGTGACTGCGTATACTAAAGATAGATATATGTTGACCGAGGGAACTTGGCAGCTTCAAGAAGAGTAACTCCAAAGCCTTCCCGAGCCAACGCAGCAGCAGCATAACTTCCTGAAGGTCCACCGCCAACAACAAGTATTTGAGTGGAGGTCGGCTAGCCAGTATTTCAGTCTTTGTAGAAGAAGAACCGATGTCAGTCACTTACGGGCGTTTGACTGGCCATTTTTGAGGAAGAAATTACATTCTAGCGCTAGGATCTTGTCTCATTTATACAGGCAACAGTTGCATAGGAGGTACAAATCCCAGTTATCGCCGTTGTAACATACTGTGGGCAAATTAAAAGCTCGCATAAGTGGCATAGTACGATAAGTCAAATGATCAGGATGACGAACATTGGACAGTGCCGAGAGCGTGACGTCCGATATGCGCAGTACAGTCCAGCGATTAGGAAACGTTGATCGGATTTTGTCATGCTAGTTAGCCCAATGCTGTACCAAGCGTTTTAGATCTTGGTTTCAGAGTCAGATATTTGTCAGTGATGTCGTAGTACGCGAGCGATAGGCATCAATGATCATCAGCGAATATGCTGGGAACAATGTGCACTCAAGAATAGATCTGTGCTGGGGGTAGAAGTGAGCTTAATCACAGGCCCCTTACCCACACTGCAGCAGGAGTCCTTCCCCACTTTGGTAACTCAGTAGTTTCCCACTAGGGTTGCGCCTTATCAACGGTGTTTTGCCTGCGCGCATTTCCTGTACATGTCGGGCGTTAAGCATATCATGTCTCATATGGGAGAGGTACTAGCTGAAACATGTGTATTTTCCCATCCGTGATAATCAAATGAACAGAAGCCCTGCGTAAAAAAAAGTGGGCGTCGAGTTGTTGACATAATTGCTCGCAGTTCGTGCGGAGATAAAGTCCAGCTCGTTTCCTCCTATCGTCCATAGTCATTCGAACCAAGACTTGCATGGTACTAGTTCTCTACGGTCCATACACCATCAAGGTGATTCAGGGCTATCATCGGTGCCTTTATGGACGAAACTCCATCTGACGAAGGTCGATCAGTGCCGGTGAAATGTTGCGGACGACCGGTGAGTACGCACCATACATTTGGAAACTGGACAATGCTGTAATTACCAGGACACCATCATGGCCAAGCAGGAGGCAATGCTGAAATCTTGATATCAATCTGACAATAGTGGGATAAAGCAACGCCGAGGACTCTAGACACGAAACATACATTAATTGGGCTTAGAACGCTCTATAAATACAGATATCACATCTTTGGAGCTTGAAAAGTGCGTAGGACGGACACAAAAGACTGGCAGTACTGCAGGCTCACCTATATCCGCAGAATTCTACGTTCGGGCTTCATTCGAAAGTCCAAAGGGAGGGGGCCAGGCTAGTACTGTTGAGATCAGGTGCTGCGCCATTCAAAGCTGAGAAATGTCAAAATGATTGTCAAAGGTGTGTACGGGTATGAGGCATCGTACGATCGATTGCTGTTCTGACATGGCTGTAGAAGAATAACGTACGACAGGGTCATGACTCAATGTACAGTACGAGCTACAAGCAGGACGATATGCGACAAGCGCACGGACGTCATGTGAGTACGTAACGAGCGCTGCAGCTGTGGGAAGCGACACGATAGCAATGGCTTTCGCCGCGATCATCATAACCCTGCAAGAATTCAGTTCGACGTCAGACACTTTGTACCAGTTGATAGCGCAAAGGTTACTAGTGATAGGAGCAAATAAAATCACTCAGAGTAAGGCTTACGCGTACGACAATGTCACGTGTGCATAAAGGAGTTCTTTTAAAATTCAGATATTGGTTCCCAAATACATGCAAATAAGGACTTTGTATTGTCAAATTCTTTTGTCTCCGTGACAATGCATCTTTCTGGTTATATAAAGATCAATGCCTCTCCCCGGGCACTCATCTGATCATACTGAAGGCAGGCCTTTGGAAACCCTGGTGGACAAACTTCAGCTATCTTCACTTTCCAATTTATTCCTTCTATAATGAACTCAGCTGCATCTGTTCGTCCTACACTTCCCCCACTCCATACCCTTGATCTTCCTCGAGGGAAGACTCAGGTTCCCCACATTGATGCACTTCATGATTCGTACGAATTCAAACCCCAGGTTAGTTTGCACTTGTGATATACAAGACTGTTTGCTAAGAGTAGATCAACTTCCAGATCCCAAGGCTGCACACCCCCAGTCAATACTATCCACATTCACGCCAGAGCCGTCACGCCTCTATTTCATCGTCAACGTCTTCTCGCACTCCTTCGCCTCTCTCACCCTCGCGTTCTCCTACTTCCCGACGTCAATCCACTAAATTTCGTCTTGTACCTACCACTTTTGAGCATGCCAACGCAGTCGTCGTCGTTCCTGCACCCGATGCTCCACACGTGCACCCCCTCTCTGGCGTCACAAATCTCAAACAACCTCCGCAGCCCCTTCTTCTGGTCGGGCCTGCCTTGCAACAGCTGTGTCGCCCGCAGCGACAAATAACCAAAGGTGCACGTTTGCACCCCTATCGCATCGTGCGCAGTCCAGCGGATCGCAGGTTTTCTATTGCATCCACCACAACAAAATCATCATCTTTACAATAACAGCCCTGATTAGTATGATGTATTGCTAGTGCCATCATCAGTGTATTATCAGCATTCTTTCTATAGGAATTATCGATAATGAAGTGTACGAAGAAGTATTGTGTTTTAGGCTACAAAGAAGCTAATGAATCCAATTCGTTTGTAGGAGATGTGCTACTCATGTAGTGTCTGATTCACCCTGATCATCGTGAAGGAGATGGGTACCATGCATACGAGAACAAGGGTTTGAATGTACACTCACCCAGATTTCTGATCCTGATGATATTCTTTCCCCCTTTGAGCTTGGAGCCAGGTTTAGTGGAACAAAGGAGTCACATTTGTTGTGTTATCTGGGCATCCAACCGACTCAGCGACAACACCTTCCAATTCTAAATATCATATTACACAAGTCTGACTTGCTCTTGTTTCTTCCTCCATTGACAGAAGCTTCAAGCACGCCAAAACCAGAGAAACCGACTGCTACCGCCGGTTGTGATGGATAACGCTCTTTGTAGTATTATATTGTCTTCAGCTGTCTCATTATGTAGTTCTTTTATGGAACCCTAGTGTTGGGTTTAGTCATGACTCCAAATGATCATTCAACCAAGCATGATACTCATCGCTCAGACGCACCATCCATGCCCCCCAAAACGCCGGAAGACCCAGAACAAAACCCATATGATCTGCTCGAGGTCTCACAGGAGGCTACTGAAGCCGAGATTAGGACGGCCTACCGAACCCGTTCTCTAAAAGTCCACCCAGACAGAGTACGTCTATTCATTCCAGGGCCGAGACTTATTGACATTGTCGTTGCAGAACAGGAATGACCCTAATGCAGGTGCGTACCTAGCTGCGTTGAAAATGAATGTCGCTAATGCACACATATAGCCCAGAAATTTCATGCATTGACAACTGCCTCCACCCTCCTACTCGATCCGCTCCGCCGTCTCGCGCTCGATGCGCAACTCCGTTTGCAAGCTGCCAAGAAGCAGCGCTTCGCATCTTACGACAATAAGCGCAAGACTATGGTTTCTGAGCTGGAGGAACGCGAGAAAGAGTTCAAGAAAGCGCGGATGGCCAAGGACCAAGAGAAAACTGCGAGGGAGAGCGAAAACGTGAGGATTCGCGAGGAGGGGCGGAGAATGCGGGAGCAGAGGGAGAAGGAGCTCGAGCTGCAGGAATTGGAACGTCGATGCGCGAGGTCGAAGGACGAGCCAAATGGAACTGTTGAAGAAGACACCCTCGCTCCACCGCCGCCTGGTGACTTGGACACAACAATCCGTGTTAAATACGTTCTGTCGTCACATCCTGCCCTTTCTACAGCATTTGCACTCGCAACGCACCTTAGACGGTATGGCGAGATTGATGAAGGGGCAGTGGTGATGTCACAGAAAGTCAAGAAGCCGAAAAAGTCCAAGGGACTGGTAGGCGGCGATATAATAGTGACCGCGCTGGTGCCATTCAATCAGCTGGGCGCTGCATTTGCTGTGGTATCGAGTGCCGAATCGCTGAAAGATCGGGGCATGGACGTGGCATGGGCAGGCGGATCTGAGCCTCCGATACTAGGCTGGCTTCGCGATCGCGGAGAACTCGGGGGACCCGCACCCAACCGGGCTGAGCCGCTCCCAACGAAGGCTGCTCCGGAAGGGACGACGTTCAGTTCGTTTCCCTCCAGTTTCGTAAGTCTGGTTCACGCATTCTATCTCTTCATTAACTCATTTTTCTGTTCTGCAAGCCTGTTTTTGATAATGTGGCACCACCGTCACCTCCTGCTGCAAAGGCGGGAATGGACTACGAGTCGTTGACGCTACTCCGCATGCGTGAAGCTGAACGTACGCGCTTAGAGAAGGAGATACTGGAAGCAGAAGCTGCTGAGGGCAGTTAACCTTGCTTTGCAATCGCTTGGCATACTATGTCTTCTGGCATCGAACTCTGGTCGCGATCTCAATGTCTGGTGTGAGCATTAGAGCACCGCGTGCCCTTGGTGCACCTTGACGGTTCTGGTGGGCAGTGGTGCAGGACTTTGGATGGGAAGGTTAGAGGCATGTACATATTCCATTTTAACATCCATCAGATTAATTTATTGCATTTCTCAAGAAGTTGTTCCGGGAGACCTTTTGAAGCGTGTATGTATTATGATGGCGTTCATGTATCCTTAGTCTGACTGCTACATCCAGACGAAGTGTTTGCACCAAGTTTGAAGCAGGTCTGCAACATGGTTCTTTCGGACGCTTGTCCTTGCCAGACGTGAATACAACCCGATCCTACAGGTCGATGAGGAAAAGCCTCTGCAATACGGTTTTTACGCGACGGCCTGAGTCTGACATGCGTTTGCGTTGAGGATTAACAGACACCGCTATTCAAAAATCGATCGATCGGCTCATCGACTTGCATTTTCGTCCACGTCGTGATCATTCGTACTCTTTCTAGTTCAACAAACCTCGGGTCGACCTTGTGGGTCGATATTATGCACTCAGGTTAGTAGAGTCTCGACTATCGGAACCTTTCCGGGGCTGATGCGGCATAGTCTAAGAGTGGCGCACTAAGAATTTCTCAGCGCTACGCACTCCGGCAGTATATCGGTTTCATGCAGTTCATTGGATAATACGTCTCGAACAAACAAGATGTGAGTGCGTGTACCTGTACTAGTGATAACGGGCCGGGATACCCAACTCTGCCCAAGCTCTGCAGCATGAATTCGCTTCCTCCGGCTCCATCGGGCAAGCGCCTTCATGCGTAGCTAGAACTCAGGGAGCCGGATTCGAGCAGGCCTGCACGTGCAAGGAAGCGACATAGTTCGAAGAACTAATGTTGCCCAGTCTGGGATTGCAAGATTTGATGTCCATAGCTGATGGCCTGCTAGCTAGACCACTCAGTACAAACCAAAGTTAGACCACAACATTGCGTTTGACTGTGGTCCACGGTGGCACTTCTACCCTGCTAATAATGATATGCTAATCTGACAATAGCTTCATTGTACATGCCACGGGGCGTTCAAGAAGCATCTATTATATATTTTAATCCCCAAATCCGGGTCAATCTTGCCATTGAAGATCTTCGTCTTCCTGGCCTCCTGGCCAGGGTGGCAGCATGAGGCTCCAGGGACCAGCAAGCCTCACTAATACCGTGGATTTCATCATCGGATGCAGGAGCCGTGCAGTAATTTCTGGGCGCGGCACCACCGCTCAACTGATGTCGCAGCAACCCTCTGATCAGAAGGCAATTAAAGCCTTCAATGTACTGTCTGATCAGTCCTTGGCCGCATCATGCAATCAAGGTAATGGTACACCGAGTGTCTTTTTGACGCCAAGTACGTACACGGCGCTTCGAGCTTCCAGTCACTCAATATAAACCGCCTTTTTTTGAATGGGCGCTGTGATCCGGTACAAAGAACCGAAAAGCACAAGCGCGTGCTTACCGCATGGGATTACCATGGAGGTCGCATGCAGCACCGTGCCCTTCAATTTGATCTCGCAGCTCTCGCATCGATCCACTCGCTCCCCACGATCTGTATTATAAGTGGGCAGAACGATTGGCAGACCGAAAGATTAATTGGTTTGTTACATTGCTAAGAGCCTCTGTCGCGGGTAGGCATCACACAAAACCAAGTCTCTACCCCGTTTCTCCACACGAGATGAGGCTAACATCTTCAAGTCAACAACAAATCAGGTGAGATTTCCTCAACGCGGACAAGTTGCGATATCTGAGGATTTCATTGGTGTAGCTCCCATCTCCATCATGCAGAGACAGATTCAAGTTCCAACTTCTGTATTCAGACTGCGTTCAACATAACCGCCCTTCAACAAGTCAATATCACTATGTGCGATTTCCCTTTCATCCGGAAACGACAGACTTACATGCAATAATAGGACCAATCAGTTGGCACCAGAGATATATAGGGTGCAGGTTTTCGGCATGTTTTGATAACCTCATGTGATTACCTGGTTCTGAGTAATTCCAGATATTGATCTTCATCACCTGCCCAAGATTGGGTGGTTGAATGTGGATCATCAATTCTATGTCGAAATATCCACTGATGAGGTCAATGCCGGGATGACCAGTTGTACGGGTCCGGAGAAACCCAGCTCTATGCCATGGAGCAGTAAACATGTCTTGTACGTCAGCAACTACTGTTTTATTCAAAAGCTGATTTAAAAACCAGCAATGTTCGCGACTCTACCACTATCACATTGAAAGTTTTTGTTCATCGCCAACTTCATAATGACCAATACATTGGTATGGTCCAAGGGTGTGTCGAGGAATTTTTGACGTACCCTGGCAGTGAGTAAATGCATCTTTGCGCGTAGTATTTACTAACAGTTCAAAACAGCTATTCTTGAACAACTGCAGTGTATGAACCCCCAAGGCAAGAAAGAACTTCTCAAGGCAAGCTTGGAGTTCAAGATTGCCCCCATTGTGCGCACTGGGAGACCTGCTCGTGAATCCCAGCGTACCGAAACTGGTCACAGAGAAGGTATCTGGAAGAGGCCCACAACGAGTCATGGCCATGGGGATGCTATCAGAAATCCATTCCCCCCGGCAGTGCAAATCTTCGGTACGTAAGATCGTTTTAAATGACGGTTGCTCTTGATCATTTGCGACATCAATCAGACGTAGACCTGCACCATCTTCCACGAATTCATTTGTTTTCGATTTACGACAGCTTCTATGTCCATGCTTCCGTAGATGGCCATGACCACATGTCCACCACTGCTGAGAAACCGCATTCCTTGCCATGGACGACTGAGCTTAAACTGTGAGTTACTTTGTACCCGTTAATTCATGGCATTGACTCCTAGTAAGTAATGTACAGGCGTCATCTATAGTTTCCCTCAAAGTCTTCGCAAAACGTCGCCTCCATGGAGACCAGTACATCGGTATGGTAGAAGAAGGTGTCGAGACCCTTCTCGCTCATTCCAGAAGTGAGTTTCTGGTTACCATCGGATTGGCTTGCTCGTCGTTGAATACAACTTCAGCTAAAATCTACCAGCTCGTGTCTTTTGACCCTCATGGTAACAAACGTCTTCTTTGTGCTAGCTTGGAATTCAAGATCGCGCCTCTTCATAATGCAATCGAGCATAGCACCACTCAGGGTGCTGAGGGTCAGCTCGCCCGGACAATCAGTCCCTTTGAAGACACATCACCCATGCTGAATACTGGGGCATACAGTTCAAATGAACTATTGAAGCAGTCTACAGAGCAGGTCGTCGGCGTCGTCGTCTCAGAAATCCTTACGCCACTCTTGGATAAGATCAACATTTTCGTTCAGATTGCTAGCAAGTTCGCTGAGGTATTGTCCTTTGACTTAGCCACTGTATATCTTTGACACTGCTCCCCTAGGCCCATCCTTACACGAAAATGGCGTTCATGGTTCTCACTGCAGTATACCAGGTAAGTGGGATGGGCCACATGTGAAGACTTAAGGAACTCATCTGTTTTGATCAGGTAGTGGATGCGCAATTTGCCCGAGACCGAAGTATTCATCGGCTCATTACCGTTATGCACGAGACCTACAGCCTTGTCTCTGGCGTAGAGGAACTGAAAAGGGTAGAATCACAGGAAAAGACTATCAACTCTCTCGCTCGCCAGACGATTGAGTGCTCGTACTTTATCCGAGACTACCTGCAGAACAGCAGCGGATGTAAGTCTCGCAGCTTCTTGTGAATTCTTTCCTTAAAAATTCTTGGATGTAGGGAAACAAAGCTTTTCGAACGCATTGTCCAACATCGATGATAAGATTCGAACATACGAAGCGACATTCAAAGAACTCAAAAATGCTATACAACAACAGGCCGCGATTCACACGGAACTCTACGTCTTTCGTGTCCATGATCTGTTGGTTGACCATGGTAAATTTCCCATTTTCCATCTCTCATTCTTTGGCACATGTTCAAATTACTACTAGCCACGAAAACAGACCTTGATGGCATGCACTATGCTTTTGGCGCTTCGATCGATTCACAGAAGATTGGGAACGCGCCCCCACGAACCGATATCGTGGAGTCGATAACTTCATGGGTTAATCAAGACAATGGACAGCAGATTTACCTGTTGCTAGGCCCTAAGGGGTCCGGGAAATCCACTATCGCACATACCATTGCACACCAATTCGACGCCATTTTGCGTCTCGGTTCGTCATACTGCTTTTCGCGTGCCGACCGGGACAAGCGAAATGCCACGAATTTGTTCAGCACGATTGCACGGGACCTTGCTGATCACGACCCTCAATATATGAAGGCTCTTTGGGGTGCCGTGAAAGACAAGCGTGCATCACGTCAAACAATCAACCCACTAATTCAATTCGATCGCTTCATCCTTACTCCTGCGAGGCAAATGACATGCATCGGCCCTGTGCTGGTGGTCATCGATGGGTTGGAATACAGTGGTAGCGAGTTAGCTCGTAAAGACCTCCTGACTGCGCTCGCAGAGAAAGCAGCGGACCTCCCCCGTAATTTCAAGTTCCTACTCACTTGCCGACCAGAAGACGACATTTGCACCGCTTTCGAAGGAAAATCGCACGTTATAATGGAGCATTTGAAACATCACACCGACTCACTCTTTCAAGAGTCAGGTCCGCCACCGACTTCAGGAGAAAACAAGACAAGCAGACCTAAGTTTCGCCCTCCTACACCTCCTCTGTCTATCCCTGAGTATACGGGATACAATCTGTCACCTGGGACTGGCTCGTCCATTGTCATGAGTAACTCCACTCCAATATCGGATAACTCGGGTTCAGGTTCAGCAGTCTCCACTGTGTTTGATACCTGGGGAGACCGCTGTGATTCTACAGAATCCCCTCCTTCGAGTGCCAGCTCCATTGACGAGGAGCCACAACCTTCGAAGAAGAAGCTCGTTGTACAATTCACACGCAGGAGTCAAGAGTTTATTACTGAAGAGCACATCTCCGAAACTGGTGGCCGTACCATCAGAAAAACCAGTTTGGAGACGCTCGAGAGCTGGATCGTCGAGCAGCATGATCGTCCCCAAAGCGGTCTGTTACTCAAAGAACTAGGAATTGTCGCAGCAGAACCGGCGAATGATTTACCGCCAATGAGTGGATTATCGGGTCGTTTGGGGAAACGACCACTGCATCCTCGCCAGAAACAGGTCCGGGCAAAGACTCTTATCCGTCACTCCACGAATGTGGATGGTGCGGAAATATTGGGTCGGGACGACGACCTCGAATGTCGATGATACCGGCGTGTTATCATCCACAGTACTAGTCGTATACGTACAGCTGGTATTGGGTTTTCGTACTTTTCGGGGGCGAACTTAGCCTAGCTGAAAGTACAATTTCTACGGCCCAAGCTGCTTTTTGACAAGAAATGGAAAGTTGTGTATCCACTTTGTACACTAATTATGTTGTAATTCTGCCTCACCTTGACTGTACCAGTGGTCGTTCAATCATTGCATGGAGGGCTCGCACAGCATCATCTGCGGTGAGAGTTCGCCGAGGTTAGTAGAGTGTGATGATATTTCTGTTCCTACTGCGCACGTTCCAGTCTCCCGCAGTCAGACTTGACAGAAGAAAGACTGTCGTTCATTTTCAAACACGTTTGGGACCGTAACAAGGACCAAACAGCAGAGTATTTATTTTATTTTATTACATAAATAAAATGAATTCAATATTCGATCTACATTTGGTATTGTACGACCACGACCCTGAACTGTTAACACCAACTTCGGCGTCCTCTGATCAAATCACTACGCTACTCAGAAAATCTGTAAGACGCCAGCATCACGAACCATGTCAGCTAGTGTGAAGTAAAAGACACTTCTCGATTCGAAAAATAGGAGAAAGCCCCTACTGCACTAGGCGTCACGAGTACGATCGACCAAGTTATTTACTGATGCCATTCAGCGATCCAGACATGCAACCAAGTTTCCCCAACATCAGATCGAGGGCAAAGCATGTTAAGTATACTTGGCATCAATGTGCGTCGTGCGGCGTAACTGATGAGGTTTTTTTATAGCAATCATTGCAGCTCTCAATTTACCAATGTTCTGTGACACATGCTATCAAGAAGGAATGATCGTCTTTCCTCCATATCGGTCTTCCTAGGGTACTACAAGGCATCTAGCTTGAAGACTACACGCTTAGAGTGCTACGATCCCTAGGTGGATGCCCGTGGAAGAACTGCACTCGGCATATTTTGACAAAACTGAACTTTCTCTCAATGTTGCGGTTCTATTCTTTTCCCAAGAGTCTCAACCGTATCAGTCCCTCACATGTACTACAGCTCACTACTGATTCACCCTGATTTGCAAATTCAGGGTACAAAGCGCTATAAAGCTCAGTTTAACGCCTTCGGGCCAGTCCGATGACTACTACCTCATGTTTTCACTAACTGAAAATAGCTGCCATCCCTGAGATTCGGGCCTCCTAATCTACACCAAGCGTTTACCAGCCCCTGATCCAGGTGTCTTTTGTGATGCGGCTTCCAGTAGATTCTATGGGCCACACGGCATGTGTGACGAAGCGATTAAAGCTGCGTTCAGTAGCATACTGTTTCCTCGAGGCTCCTCGTTCTGTTTTTCTAATTCCCTGTTCCTCTGAACACATATCACGAACACCCTCCTGAAACGAGTCCTTGTGGTACGGGAATTGTTTATCCTTCTCCCATGGACAATTACAGGTGCGTTCACTGTAGTCTTTCCCCCCCTCAATCGTACCCATTTTCACGAAGAAAACCTTCTGATGTGGATTCAACTGCTTCAACATTCCGTTCTTCTCAACTCGGGTCTGATTGCCAGAGTGACTATAACAGGTGATATCTGCTATCTACCCGTCATCGGCGTCTGACACCATGATAGTCAACTTGCATCCGAATATTACAGTGTTGAAATTTCCAGTACGAGCTCTTGTCTAACTATTGCTCGACACTCAGATATTTTCACAGACATCGAAATGACCCAATTGCCGAAAGTTGGATGGATCTCGCATGATGACCACTTTTGGCTTCAGATCGTCGCAGACGACAAGATGGAAGAAACAAGCGTCGAGGGTCGCGGCTCTCTACGTTGGCAGCACAAGTTCACATTGTATGTATGTTCATATGTTCCAAACGTCTCACAAACCTTGTTTTTAGCAATGTGCGGAAGTCATCCACACTCTCCTTTCGGCTGTATGCTCGGCGCTATGTTCATGAAAATAAGTTCATAGGCAAGGTGGAGAAACGCATCGAAATGCTGGTGACACACCCTGACGATAGTATGGCTCTTTCTCCTTCCTTAATGAGTTTATAGCTGAGCATATCAAGCAGTAGTATTCAAGGGCTGGTATAACCCTGAGCACACTGACGGTCTTGAACACACATCCCTGATATGTAGGATCGCGAAAAGGAAACTCTCTCATGAAGAGGCAGCCGTGGAAGCGGCAAAGACTGAGCTATGTATCTCTAGTCCGTAAAATGACAGACTTCCTCTCTTGAGCACTCAACTCATATTTGCCTCTTAGATATCATTGTTCGCCACCTTCCAAGGATCGGGCTCACATCTCTGGATAATCGTTTCTTTGTGCAGATCGAGGTAGATGACAAGATAACTAGTGTCACAAAGGTACAAAGAGGACATTCACTACAATGGAATCATGAGTATCGTTGGTGAGCGCAGCCCTTTGGTTAAACTGGTCTATACTGAATAGCTTTTGTGGCCAAGTGACTACCGAAAGGATTCTCGAGTCCAACTGAAGGTCTTCGCGCATCGCCATGTTCACAGTGATCAGTTTGTAGGCGTAATCAGCGATAAGGTAGAGTCTTTACTGCAGCGGGGTTGTTAGTTGTGTTACTTTGTTGGTCGACGGTCATTCATCTGCATATCCCAGTCGTCAGGCAACAACTTTCGAACTTCGTTCCGATCGGAAACGAGCACCAACTTCCTGCGAGCATGGAATTTCAAATTGCATCACATTGCTCTCAGCCTGAGGACGGTAAACCTAACGCCCTGGATGGCGAGGGGCTCACACACGCAGTGGCGCCGACTCTTATTGTTGTGGAGGTTTCAGGTAAGTCCCTTATGTTTTGTCCCTTATGTTTTAATAAACTTTCTTGTGATCTTCATTAATTTTTCAGATATTTGCTTGACTAGTCTGCCGAAAATCGGAATGGTTGCATTCGATGATCAATTTTTTGTCCAGCTGGTGGTTGAGGATATAATGGAGACTCAGGCGACCAGCTCAAAAACTCAGCAGGATGGCTCGATATTCTGGGATCAGAAACACGTGTTGTAAGTCAGCCTTAACATCCACCCACCATCATCATTGACCATGATTAGCAATGTTCCGGAGACAGCCTTGCTGTCACTCCAAGTCTGTGCTCGACGCCACATCCACAGTGACGAGTACATTGGAATGGTAGGCGGTACAATTGGTGCATTTCTGCAGGACTCTGGATGTAGGGCATCAAATTTTCGTGTTGTTCGTTGTCATTCACCTCCATGTACAGGCCATGATGGGCAACTAGTTGTTTTCGACAAGCAGAGCAAAAGAAATCCTGAGACAAGGCTATCATTTCGGATGACACGAAGTTCGTCCTGCTATGGAAATGAATCCTGCAGAGGTTCTGTGCATTCCCCGTCGACCCAGTCTAGGGATTGTAGCCCACAGCAGCATGTTGACGACGCTGTTCGTGCTGTAGTGGTTTCTCCCACACCGAAGGGTGGTATGCAAGGGAACATCGAGTCACTCTCCGTGCAAGCTGCACAAGTTTTTGTTCGTGACACATCAGATACATTCCAGCTACTCTTGTCACGAATCTCTATTTTTGTTAAGATAGCTCGCGCTTTTGCAGAGGTATGGCCAGAACTTCACTTGAAGCATCTCGGAGCTGATCCATTTCTTTTCCATATGATAGGCTCACCCATACACCAAGATGGCACTCATGGTTTTGACCGCAGGTCACGAGGTTTGTATTCCCACCTTGAATTTTCGTTGCGGGCTCATCGAATGTGTAGGTTATACAACGGCAGCTCGCTCGTGATGATAGGATTCAACAATTGACGCTCGTCATGTGCGAGAGCTATGGCCTAGTATCGGACGCCCCGGATTTGCACAATTTTCATAGTCAAGCAGAGACCATAAACTTGCTCGCTCGTCAAACTATAGAGTGCGCGTACTTCATTCGTGACTATGCTATTCATAAAAGTGGATGTAAGTTATCGAGATTAAGTATGATGCAGTTGCCGAATTAACAGTTTTACAGTAAAGCACGCGTTCGCCAATGTGTTCTCGAACATCGATACGACCATCCAGGATTATGAAACTGCCTTTAGAAAGATCCGGATTGCTTTGGAGCAACAAGCTGTTATCAACACTCAATTGGTAGTTTTTCGCATCCATGACGTCTTGAAAGATCTCGGTAAGTGGTTCCCCGTTGTTGGGGGGCAGCATTACTGATCAAGATCAGCTGCCAAGGAAGATCTAAAGGCACTGCCTTACACGACTGGCGTTGCGTACCATGCACAGGGGAGTCGTGTTATGCCACCGGAGGAAAATCACGTCAATGAGGTTTCAGACTGGGTAAATGATAAGAACAGTCCAGCAATCTATCTGTTGATCGGGCCTCACCGATCCGAGAATAGCGCAGTTGCCTATGCTGTAGCCGACCAATTCGACAAGATATCTCGTCTAGGATCATCATACTGTTTTGGCAGAACGTGTAAAAAAAGGGCCGCCAATCTTTTTAGCACGATCGCTCGTGACCTTGCAGATCACAACCCAGAGTTTATGACTTGTCTCGGGGACAAGGTGAAACGGCGATCAATCGGCTCTTCCCCACATATTCCTACACAGTTCGAGTTCATCCTCGCACCGGCGCAACAGTTGGAAAGCTTTGGTCCTGTGCTTGTCGTAATTGACGCCCTCGATGCGTGTGTAGATTCGCTTGCGGAGGTGGTCTCTGTCCTAAAGGAGAAGGCGCAATATCTCCCACCTAACTTCAAATTCCTCATTACTTGCCTGCCGGAGACTGACGTAGCCATCGCCCTTCGTGACCAACACCATGTCCTATCCAAAGAGCTTGACGTGGTCGTCACCGGGCAATCTCGCGACAATGAATTTATCGCAGGCAGAACCAAACCTCGTCCACTCACCCCTCCAATTAAAACTACGTTGTCACAGCCCGATTACTTCTCCTCCAATGGATCTGCCGTGAGCGTTGCGTCGTCAAGCAGCGTAAGCTCATTTGCGCCTTCGATTTTCGATGAAGGACTTCCCTTTAACCCTGATGCATCGTCGCCGGCGTCCAGTATCACCTCATGCACGGATGCAGGGCCACCAAAGCGGTTCGTCAGCACAATCAAACACACCAAGACCAAAGAAAATAGTATTTTCTTTGATCAATCCGGTGTGCCTCAGACCGTCACGCACACCATCATGAAGCAAACGGTTAAGCAGCATGTCACTTCGACTCCGCGTCGTGTCCCGTCATATGCCCCTATGCTTGATGAGCCGAATGCTCCCTTGTTCACTCCAGATCTTACTACTCTAGCCGGAGACACCTTCATGGCCGTCCCTGCTCAACGTGATAGCCCTCGCCCACTAAGGCACAAACGTACGCCAAATCGACAAGAGACTATCATCCGAAACGAGATGCAAACCACTGGGCCTCAGCCCATCACTCTTCTTTCATTATGAAAGTGTTCTACTCATACTTGTTCGCGTCTTACAAGGGGGCTTCGAGATTGGTTTTGGGGGTGTTCCCAATATATCAAGTATGACGGGTAACGTTGACTAACCACTCTCTGCGAGAGAGAAAGAGAGCCCATGCCTTGTTCGGTTGTGTATTTCTGTGCCGTGTGTACTTCAAGTAACGATATCTTTAGTGTATCTTACGCCGCTCCATCCATGCTGTACACCTTTATTCGTACTATATCTGCAATGTGCATACTTGTCGAGCATGCCCCGTCGTTATACAATTCATCTTGGGAGGCCAAAACTTTAATTCATTACTTTGATTCCTGCGACCCCCAAAGAAGGGGTCACATTGCTTCGGAAACGAGTTTTGTTCTTTGCCAGACGAGTTTGAACGACGCGAGGAGGGTGTGGTAAACAGAGAAGACATGGCAGGAAAAGCCAAAGCACGGTATGTGTCTTCTCGTTCTAGTAACTCTTCCGGACTTGACGATTTTGTGCCAATATCATTTTCCTTTCGCCAACGTCCTGCCAGAACAATCATCGTCCGCTTGATTTCTACTGCCCAAACAGGTTTCTTCTACACCACAATGCGCCCAAGACAGGGTCCGAAGCTCGCTGCCGTCAAATATGATCCCAAAGGTTGGTGTTAGTGTCCAGGTGGTTGTGCAAGATTCTGAGCTGGTTCATTTCAGTTAAAGCTCGCGTGCTCTTCGTAGAGAGCAAGAAGACGAAGAAGTAGTGAGATAGTTGCCCTATATTTTCTGTTGCTTTGGCGGTACTCAAAGATTCATGGCAACCCATGTTGAATCTGACTGGTACTCGACACCGCACTCCACACTCGTAACAATATGCTATCTGCCGCACTCTAATAGATGTTCAATATAGGTGGTGCCATAAGAACCAGAATTCTATCCCAAAAATTACTGTTCATACGGAACTTCACATAGGTAAGGGAGGCACATCTGAACTACATATGGCACAAACAATATTCTACACGTCCCTGCTCACCAAAACGTTTGCCCTGTCTGCGGAATGCTCGGTATATTCTGTGGCAGTACCCCACTTTGGGGAATTGATGTCGCTGACTGTGACTGGGCTGGCTTGGGCGCCTCAACTTCTTTCCGATACTCAATTTTCTCGACACGGACTTCGCCTTCCACAAGCTGATACACATACGTGACAACAACAGCGCCCTGGATGTCCATGAGTGCAAAAGATGGTGTTATTTCACTAAGGGTATTGATTCAGTCAGGCAATGCAGGCAAAATGATGCGAGGGGCGTACCCGTTGTATGAACCTGTCCATGCACCAGTAGCGGACCCAGGGTTCACGAAGAAAACGACCATCGTATTCAATTGCCTGGAAACTTGTTTGAATCACGTCAGAATATCAACTATCATGTAGAGCTGCGGAGTCAACACACGTATGCGTATGCCCTGAAACGAGCACATCTACATCCATTTGCCGTGCCAATGCACTGAGTGCATCGAGATCGCCATTGGGCACGCACTGGTGCCCATGAATCACTCCGATTCGTATTGGGGTATGCACTATGGTCGCAGATGGCGGAAAGCTGGCGCTCTAGGTCGTCCGCAGGTCAATAATCGCTCTACTGCATAGTATAAATGGAAGATAATCAGTATGTACCTCATCATAGTCCCCTCGGACAACATATACATCCCCTGCTATGGTGCGCAGGTACTCATAGGTCTCGCGGTCACAAACATTCCCTGTGCAAAGGATCTGTTGAATTTTTCCTGGAACAAGCAGTTTCCGGAATTTGGCTGGGAGATCGTGTGCGCGGTGTGGGATGTGCAGGTCACCGATTATTAGAACAAGCACCATGTTGCATACAGCGCAGTTTCATATGCAACGAAGTTCAGCTTCAGGACAGCCGTAGGAAAACGTTATATAAGCTGGACGTCATAGGCTCGTGACGATGAGCTGCATGCGAAGATGCGATACGAAATCTAATAGGGTGCGACTAATCTGCGTAGAATGATTTCTAGCGTCGCACAGGAGCGAATCTAGCAAGTTCCAACAGCATACTGGAGCAGATATTGAATTATTAGACAACAGCATATAAGGCTAACAACAAGTACATTACACAAAAGTAACAAGGCGCGAATACCAATAAGCCATTCACAGCAGAAGCACAGAAACCCGCAGAAAGGATGCTGGGAGAGCAGCGGAAACAGCAAGGAGGGGCAAAGGGCCCACATGCTACACGAATAAAGCAAAGAAATCAAGTACATATAAATGCGAATGTGCATCGTTGCGCTGCAGGAATAGAAGTGGACTCCGCACCGGTGTATGAATTAGATGTTGGTGTAGCTCCCTGCCAAGTGACGGTAGTCAGCACCGATAAAAGGGAAGAGAAGGAAGGGGCCCACAAATCCGCGCCTGCCAATCACCACTGCCCGTAGCCAAGATGCTGCCTGCGGGGCTCAAATCGATAGAGATAACTACAGCACATTTCATCAAAAGGGTTCTCGGTCCGGAATCATAAGAACATTCGTACCAGAGTTCTTGTGGCCTTGGAGCATGCACTGCGTTGTCGCAGTGTGCGAGTCCCAAAACTGGACACCGCGGTCCTTGGACCCTGACACAACCCACTGCCCATCATGCGACACAGCAACAGAGAGCACGTAATCCTGCGCGGACATGGAATGAGTTAAATAATCGGATGCCATATACTGGGCCCGCGGCCGGGACTTACCGTGTGGCCCAAGAAGTTCATTGTGCACTGGCTGCCCTTATCGTCTTTCTTCCCATTGGCGGCTACTTCCTTGCGCTTGGCGAGAAGACCACTGACGTCCCAGTACTTGAGAGTCTTATCTAAGCTACCGCTCACAAGTCCCTTGCCGTCGGGCGTGAACGCAACGCTGTAGACACTGTCCCTATGACCCCGCAGGCGCTCGATGAGCGAGCCCGTTCCTACATCCCAGATGCGCACAACAGTGTCAAGACTACCAGCCGCGACAAGTTGGCCGTTTGGTGAGATAGCGACGGAGGTCACGCCCGCGTCGTTGTTGACAGGGTCTGCGTCATTGATCGTGAGCACTTTAGAGGACCCATCGACCATGTCCCAGATACGGGCAGTCTTGTCGCCCGATCCCGAGACGATAAGTCTGCCATCTAAGGAGAAGTCAAGGGAGTAAATCTCTTGCTGGTGTCCATCGAAAACGTTGCGGATGCGTTTCTTGGCAATATCCCATATCTGCAAGGCCTGATCAGTACATGATCCTGGTGAAACATCAGGCTTGGCGTACTCTGATTTGCTTATCTTCAGCGCCCGTTGCAAGAAACTTCCCATCGGGGCTGAAACAAACACTCCTGATGTACAGATCACCTGCCTTTCCAGCCGATTCGTCTGTAAGGACGCTGTAGGTCCAAGGGTAATCAAATGAACTACTGAAATCAAGATCGTCACTTACCACGTCTTTACGCCCGTCTTTGTGTCGTAGATCTGGGCCGTGCGGTTACAGCCGGTGGCGAGGTACTTGCCGTCTGCAGAAAACCGCACACAACACACAACACTGATGGATGGCACGTGCAGATGTAAATAAACAGAAAGATATTATCAGGAGGCCATGTTCGATCAAAGCCGATCATACCACGCACCTCTCGTGCATGAGCGTGTGCACCAGTGACACGTCTAACACGCGCTTGACTTTGCCATTGAATACCGCGAACCAGTCACTGCCTTCCTTTTTCAGTTCGGGAGGAACATTGTGTGGGTCGAGGTCGTCCGGAAACTGCCCCACACCACTTTGGCTGTTGTTGATAGGCACGAGGGCGCTTGAGCTGGCTGTTGGTGGTTCTGCTGGGCCGGCAGGTGGCGGATTTCCGGGCCCGGGTGGATATGGTGCATGGGCGGCAGGTGGTGGTGGAAGACCTGGGCCTTGGAAAGTAGTCAACGCTGGAGGTGCTCCAGGTGCAGGGGGAAGCTTTGCGTTCGGGGGTTGAAGAGAAGGACTATAATGATCTGTCGCAGATAAAGGGGGGGAAAAAGAGGTGGCATAGTGTCCATGAGGAGGCGGCGAACGTGCGGAGCTTGAAGTGAATGGTTTACCTGGACGAGTATCACCCTTCATACGCTCCGTCTTGATACGCTTTGAATCTCGAGCCTCCGCTGGTGGACGTTCGCGTTCGCGGTCGCGCTCCTCTCGTTGTCGCTCACGTATTTCGCGTTCGCGTTCACGATCGGCACGTTCGCGGTCTTTTTCCCGCTCGCGTTCCCGATCGCGATCTCGATTGTAGTAAGGATCGTTGTACCCAGGGCCTGGAGGCACACCAGGGACTGCAGGCGGAGGGGCGGGTGGACCAGAGGGTCCAACTGAAGCAGGACCGACGGGCGGATGGGGAGCTCCTGCTGGTACACCCTGGCGAAGTGCATGGAGCTCTGTTCTGAGGCGACTCAACTCCTCTTCGTATGTTTGTCGAATCTTGCCATGTTGAGATTCCAGCTCATACAATGACTGGCGAACGATGTTCAGCTCGTTTATTTGTGAAGTGACTAAATGGACAAAATGGTGCGCTCCTATGTAAAATCGACGTGTGATTGAGGATTCAAAGGTGCGCACCTTTGGATTCATACTCGTCTCGTTGATTGCGAAGGATACCGAGGTCAGAGGAGATAACATCGAATTCTTGACGGATGGTATCGACAGCCTCATTAAGCCTGACATGACTGTGCTGGTTTGGCCCTTGCGCAGGCGGAACCGTAGGTTGCAAGCTCCTATGCTATTGAGACAAGGAGGGGTTAACATGGGTGCACACCTAGAAAGAGCTCATAGCAACAGAGATAGAGAATTTTGTTCTCAAGTTAGCGCGCAGACATAGACCGTCATAGCCCAGTTAGAGAGCTCAGATTTTAAATTGGGCACGAAATGTGGCAGGACCTGTATTAAGGAAGAAGAAAAATAAGATGGAAGTACTCACGTTGTATATTGTGGAGGACATGGAGGGAGGTTGGGAACCACGGAGTGGGTGTTGATCATCGCCTTTATAACTGGCGTTGGACCCTGATACTCTGATTCTTTTCTCACACTTGACAGTACCGGCGGCATGTCCTATTTGAGTTAAAAGGCACAGTCACGTGCTCGGTAAACATACATTGATAAGTTCAAACTCAGCGGCACTAATCCTCCTCCGAGTCATTTCAGGCGGTTGCGATGCCGGACTTTGCCAGAATACCGTTAACCGCTCACAGTCTCCGTGCTCGCAGGATGGACTGCTCCCATCAGGCAGCACAATCTCCGGCTGCTCAGCAAGTGAGGCGATGAGCAGCATACTGGGGCATCATCATTCTAATTACATTGTCACTGGTTTCCATTTCTAATCTGGAGGACGATGGGCCATCGAGCTTTAACAAGCAATCTCGACTTCGCACGTACAAGCTTGTTTTAGCACCACGGTCGCAATTTACTCGGCCACCGCAGGGTCACCGTTTGTTCTACAGGTGTGAGACTTATCTGGTATCCTTTGTGTTCGGTACTCGGTCTATCATGGCCAAGTACTGATTTCGAGAAGACTAATTTTATTCGTGGGAATGAGCCATATACATGGATGATGCGGCTCACTTTTCTGCATGGACATAGCTGGCAGATCCGAGGCTATTTGAGGCTTTGTGACTCTTCGATATGCTCCGGATGAGTTTCGCACAGCCCGTGCCGCGGTCTGGATTGAGTGGTGTTCCGTATTGATCCTCGAGGACCGCTACTTACTGATATGATTGTGATAACATGCTGTCGTAGCAAGTCTAGTCTTGTTACCAGTTCTCTGGGCTCGGTCCCTATATATCATTAATGTTGTTGTCTTCCAGCTATGTACATACATAGCACTGCCAGTGGTAGCGGCCTGCAACTCTTCCTAATTATTTCAGCTCTATATGTTATGAACTGAATGGATCAGAATTCAAGATGGCCTGCCTATTATCATATAATTCGTTGACCATCTCACAGAGTGTGTCACAAGCCAGGTCTAGGTTCGTAAAGCTTCTTCTAGTCAATGGTCTAGCTGAGAACAAATTTCAGGGTTCTGACCTTAATTCACAACTCTCAGGACTACTAGAAGTACTCCAGAGTCCAGTGACCTGTAACTTTCACTCCCAAACGTATCCCATTTCCTATAAACAATCCCTTGAGCAGACCCCTTGTATTTGTCTCAAGCTATCTCCCACACTCACGACACCCGAAGCGCCTAAACATTTACACGTCGCATGGCTGAAGAATTAGACTTGATGGCAGTACCTGCGGACTTTGTCAAGGAAGGAGGTGATTGGCTTGCCATATTTAATCCCCGCGTACCACGCCAGATGGACGTGCAGCTTGCAGCGCGGTACGTTCATGACGGGTGCGTTTGTTTGGAAGACTTATGCTTTCACTCCAGTCTGATACTCATTTGATGAGTTAGCGTGGTGTGTAGTGTCAAGTTTTCCTTGGACGGGACATTGCTTGCAGTAGGCACGGAGGGTGCTGTTGTACTGTACAACTTGAGTCTTGGGGAAAAGTTGACGTGAGTACTGATTCTGTCCTCTCACTGTGAACAACACCGAGCGAACTGGTAGCGCAGCTTCGCACTAGAGAAGAATGCGGGAAAACCAAACCATGCACGAACTGTTTGCATCAGTCCCGATGGAAATTTCCTTGTCGCCGGTTCCGAAGACAAACTGATAAGAGTGCGGTCCCGAGACTGAACAAGTCGTCTATTTGAGCACTCATGGTTCCATGCAGGTCTGGAGTATTACAAACCGCATGTTAGTGCATGCGTTGGAAGGGCACCTCGGCGAGGTATATGCGCTCGCGTTTACACCCGACAACAACACATTGCTCTCAGCATCCGGAGATTGCACGATCCGCGTTTGGGACGCAACTCAATTTGCTGAGACCCTCGATGCTAGCTCAATTATCCTTGATGAAACGATGGAGGCCGCCTGTCGTGTACTTCGCCCAGCCAGCCCTGGCGTCAAGCTTTCATCCAAGCTCGCACTGACATCTATCGCTGTCGACTCGACTGGCAAGTTTGTTGCTGGGGGGTCACTGGATGGGAAGATTCGAATCTGGAAGGTTGACGGCACCGGTGATGACAGCGCGGAGCCGGTGGAAACATTGTGTGGGCATGAGGACGCAGTGTATGGTGTGCAGTTTGTAGAGGGCGGATTGGTAAGCGCAAGCGTGGATCGAACGATGAAACGCTGGGACATAAGTGAGGTGGGTGTTGGTCGCGGAGAGTGTCGAAAAACTCTGCAAGGGCATAAAGTACGTGCCATTCACAAGACTTCGATCTGTGTACTGCAACTGACAAACATTCACCAGGACTGCGTCCTCGCCACCTCCGTACTTCAAGTTGGAAGAGACCAACGCGTCGTGTCCTCGTCTCGGGATGGGACGGTGCGAATGTGGGACTTGAAGACGGGGATGGTGCAGTTCGTGATTCAGGGTCATAAAAACGCTGGTACGCAGCCGATCCACCAAGCCTCTGCATACTAATCTTTAACTTTCCTTTCTCAGTGACGACTGTCGATCTTAGTAAGGACGGACAGCTGTTAGCATCTGGTAGCGGCGACCGTGAAGTGCGGCTATGTAAGCGTAATCGCCATAGCGTTCGATGGACCTCTGACATCGCGCCGATTGACAGGGAGCTACTCGATCCTTTGAGAATGTTTCGGCAAGAACCCAAATGGTTTTGGCCTCTAACAAACGGATCGATTGTATGGGAGCTGCACCCACAGCGCGGTGTAGTGGACTCTGATAATTTATGCGCATGACCTATCACTTGCAGAGCTGGTACGTTTATGAGTACAAATATAGGAGGCTCTTTGATATCATCGTTTTGGCGAAGATTGCCAGATGGGTCTCATACCTCTGCACTTAAGGTGCTGGGGATCTAGAAGTACAACTTAAACTAACTTTGGTAACATCAAACTATTTTTCGTCATTCGGCCTCGGTCATGAAGCTCTTAACCTGATTTGACAGCTTTTAGTCCTTCGAGGGCCGAATGAACTGATTGGCAAGCATCTTGCCGTCACCCACCACGTCATACGCGCTCTGCTTCGCTTCTGCTCACGCATCCGTGTATAAAAATGACACGAATTGTCGCGTCCCAGCACGCGCTTACAGAGATACTCATTTTACCCTTCTGGCACCACGCTGTTCATGATGAAGCTTGCACCTACTTTTACGTCTCTCCTTGCGCTAGTGTCGCTAGTCGCTGGTTCACTTACCCAGCAGCTGAACACGCGTACTATACGCTTACCACTCGAGCGCAGGGCCAATCAAGTCAACGCCGAGAGTCTACTAGCACACCTTGCACAAGTCTCTGCGTATGTGTACAGCTTGACTTATTGTTCGCAATATTGATTGATGGATTTAGGAAGTACCGTCGGGGATTTGCAGCGTATGAGGCCAATGAAGGACATGCCCACCCGTTGAGCAAGCCATCCAGTTCAAAAACACTGAAGCGAGATACTGGTGATGTTGGTTTGATGGCTCAGGGTGTCGAGCTGTGGTATGCCTCGATCGATGTTGGCACGCCGGCGAAGATTTTCACAGGTGCACACGTATTACCTTTCCTTTGAAGCGACGCTAAATAATATTCAAAGCCTCTATTGACACGGGCAGCGCGGATCTCTGTAAGTTATCTTCTTCAGTCCTGAACTTTTGCTTAACCTTCCTCACTTGATCAGTCCTTCCTTCCGTCAAATGTGGTGAAAGCTGCAATGGCCACAATAAATATGATCCATCCAGTTCCTCGACAGCTGTTGATCTTCACAAGTCATTCGTGCTCACTTATGGCGAAGGCGAAGTTGCGGGAGCACAATTTGTTGACAACGTGGTAATTGGAGGGTATGAGGTAATTCTTCTGGGTTCAGCCGTGCGTGTGTATTCTAACTATGACCAGGCCAAGGGACAGACCCTGGGGGCTGCAACAGTCTACTCTTCCGACTTCTCAAGTGAAAATTTTGCACCTGACGGGCTAGCTGGCTTTGCATTCGAGTCTATATCCGGATATGCAGCACCTCCGCTCTTTCAGACTCTCGTGGAAAGCGGACAATTGCAGGAAGCTGTGTTCGGTGTCAAACTTTCTGCTACCCCCGGTGCCAGCGAATTGTATCTTGGGGGGACCAACACGGCGCTGTATCAGCAAGACAATCTCTCGTATACACCTGTGATTGATGCGGGCTACTGGGAGGTAAAACTCGATCAAATTGTTCGAGCTGGAGTCCCGGTGGGGCAGCTGGAGGCAAAATCCATCATTGACACGGGAACAACTCTGATCGTGACTGATACGGAAACTGCTGCATCCTATTTTGCTGGCATTCCTGGTGTTGCGTCATATTATGAAGAATCTGAGGTGCTTTATTCAAGTCAGTACCAATCCAAAGTTCTCTGTATTACCCTGCAGACTAATGCTAATAAATACAGTTCCGTGCGATACAATTGCCAACTATGCACCGACCCTCACCTTCGGAGGACATCCGTTTACTGTATCCGGAAACACATTCAATCTCGGGCCTACCGAAGAAGGATCCAGTGACTGTCTAGCTGGTGTCGCGGGCGCGGAGGACATCGGTAAGACTTTGTGTACATGGATGACGTGCGGTACCCTGATCCTGGCTTGCTACCTTAGATTTTTGGATCGTGGGCGACGTATTCTTACAAAACGTGTACTCGATCTATGATGTGGGTAGATTGCAAGTTGGATTTGCAGAGCTTATATAGGGCTCGTGAGGGCATCTGATGAGAGTTTGATGGATCTGTGGATATTTGGGTGATTTCATGGGTATTATGTACGGACATTCGAGTAGGTACGGTTTGCCCAAGGCGTCGATCACGGTGCTTATCAAGTATTGACATTGGGTGAGCACTTCATCCATCCTTATATATATATGATGCATGATGATTTGTACCGGGGAGACTACCTACGCATCATGTATTCAGTTATTCGTCTCAGGCATCTCACAGTGGAGTATTTTGTGAATCATTCCCGAGCGGCGATACACTAGATAGTTAATCTCTAATAATCCTGTCTTAACTTCTAAATGTCACTTTCCGTTTGCTTTCCCCAGTGTCCACCGCCTTTTACATGATTATGTAAGTTTTGAAGTTCAGCAACTTCAGATATTCAAATTAGTACTTAAAATTCTCCATGGACTCCAGGACATAGGCTGTCGGTCGGCGTTCCCGGTTCTGCATTCTCCGGATTGATCTTTTCTGGAGGATACTGTCTTGTGGAGACTAGTATCGTATATTAGTGATCATCACTGACGACTACTTTTCGAGCTCATCGAACAGATCAGCAGCCAGCGCAGTTCGAACGTTCAACGCACTGGATCATCAGCGACCATGGGTCTTCAGTCACTGATTCTGTCGTACGTGACTTCAAGGAAATATGATCCCCTTTCTGTATACTGCTACATTCAGTGTAGTACAGTCACCGTCATCCTACGCAGGAAACCCGTGTAGCTGCTCGTCAATAGCCAAACCCACGTAATGGTGAAAAGAACTCCTTGGTTTATACGTCATGGATGGCGCTGATAGATTCCAAGCACTCACAATCATAACAATTGGAACCCGACACTCGTTACATACCTCCGCATTTGCTGCACGAGTGACCCGAGTAGAAGTGTTCCAAGGATAAACCGAATATGTAATGAACAACGTATACCCAACTGGAAGAATCCTAGTGCTTTTTTGTTACTGACTACGCGGATCGTCCTTACCATCATAGCGCAAGATGCAGCTCTCATCCACATTTGCCTCTCTGCTGGCTCTTGTCTCTATTTCTTGGGCATCATCCACGCCTCATGGCCATGGTGAACGTGTTGTTCGGTTCCCTCTTACCCGCAAGAGCGCTGACGTTGCTGGGCATGTTGATCTGAGTACTCTTGAGGCACAGTTCATTCGTTTTTCAAAGTAAGCTCAGAATGATTCCTTCACAACGCTAAATCACTGTATTGATTGCTTGCGATCCCTATCTTCCAGCAAGTATCGTCAGACGTTTTCTGCATTCGAAGCTAATACTGGTTCTGCCCATCCTTTGAGCGGGAAGATGATGTCTTCTATAAGCAAGCGTGGCGACGGTGTTGTTCCGCTCATCAATGAGGGATCCGACCTGTGGTATGGCGAAATTGAGGTGGGCACACCGAAACAGAAATTTAACGGTCAGAAGATCCTACTGTCAGCATACCTTGGAACTAACATCCTTTGCTAATTATGTCTGTAGTATCCATCGACACTGGAAGCACGGACCTTTGTAAGCACATACACTTTACAAGAAGCTTGTTTTGATCTGAGGCTTGTCTTTTTTGTTAGTCCTTCCGTCCGTTTCCTGCATTGATTGCGGAGGGCACGTGATGTATAATGCTGCCCAGTCTTCTACGGCCAAGGACAAAGGGCAGTTCACTGTGCTCTCGTATGGTCAAGGTGATGTGATGGGAGAAGAATACAGCGACGACGTATTTCTTGGCGGCTACGAGGTGGCACAATCACCTTTTTCTTACGCCGCACGGACTGATTTTCGTTGTTTAGGCCTCCAACCAAACATTCCTTGCTGCCACCGTTTACTCTCCCGATTTCTCATACCCGAACTTCTTGCCTGACGGTCTTGCCGGTTTTGCTTTCGAGAACATATCTGCTCTTGGGGCAAAGTCGATTTTTGAGACAACAAGTGACAGTGGCGTGCTCCCATCAAGCGTGTTCGGTGTCAAACTTTCCTCTACATCTGGGGAGAGCGAGCTCTGTATTGGAGCGGCAGATACCAATCTCTATATCAAAGACACTTTGACCTATACGGACGTCACCGTGAAAGGGTACTGGCAAGTGAATCTAGAGGCAGTTTCGCGAGATGGCACTACGGTTGCCAGTAACAACGCATCTATTATCGACACCGGGACCACGTTTATCGTCACCAATGACAATTCAGCAGAGGCATACTATAAAGATATTCCAGGCTCAAGCAACAGCACACAGGGGGACATAACATATTATACCAGTTCGCCTGACCCTTTGCAATTCACGATTTGCGACTGACTCATTCCGTAGTTCCGTGTGACACGATCGGGTCATACACTCCCACATTCACATTTGGTGGGCGCAGCTTCAGTGTTTCGGAGGAAACATTCAATGCTGGCCCGGCGAGCGAAGGTTCAAGCGACTGCTTGGGAGGTATTGCTGGGACGTCTATTGTTGGTGAGTACTTCATATCATGCTCAATGTGTGTAAGTCAAGTCCCTTTTTTTAATATCTCCGTTTTAGACTTTTGGGTTGTCGGAGACGTTTTCCTGCAGAATGTTTACACAGTATTTGATAAGGAAAATCTTCAGGTGGGCTTTGCTGAACTGGCATAATCTTCAGTGTCTTCTTCGTCCTCTTGGTTTAGTTGTGGATTTACCACAAGGACTCTCCATGAACATCATCTTTGTGCGGTATAATCGTACCAATATTGAATGTATACCACAACTTGGATTTGCTCTGGAATGACTGTCGAACACACGTTTATATCAGTGCCCCTTGGGGGCAGTCAACTTTGATGTATCGGAGATTGGTGCGTGAAAAATCGTGTGGACATTGTCAATATGTATTGAATTCTTTATGAATGCCGATGGACCCTATGCAGTGGCCAAAGATTTTAAACTCGTTCAAAAGACAATTATTTAAGAGGCAGCATATACTCATTGTTGATTCTTCCCACGCTTCTTCAACAGACGAACACATTTTCAAATAATCTCAGATTTTGCAACTCTGGCCCAACGATAGTATGTACATATATACTTCCAAGCATGTAAAAGCACGTTATTTGCTGGCTAAACGAGCACGGTGCTCCGGCTTTCTATACTTTGAGAACTGGATGATTGAATATCGACCAAGGTCCCAAACCACCATCATTTCACCTCGCAGCTACATCATGATCAAAGAAACCTTTACTCCGCTTGCATTTGTAGGTAGTCTAAAGTCTACACATGCCTGAATGTTTTTTTTTGACGCGAATTGAGCGCAACGTTGAAGTGGATTACTGATAGTACTTACATAGTAGAAACATACTTTCAGGCTGTCAGCAACGAATTCACGTACAGGAGTTTTCCCATGTAAAGCTTCTCATGAGTCCTCAGGATAGTTCTGCAGCATGCGCCTGATCTCCGGTTCCGGGATCCTCTTCTTAAACTCAAGACTGCATGGCTCTACCAGCGGCATTACCGCGTTCACATATCCCAGGTCATTCAGCGGCTTCGTATCATCCAGCGCGACGTTGAAGGCCCAAAATATAAGGGCTGAGTTGATGAACATGGATCTTTACCAATCAAATATAAGCACGGAAGATTATGGGCATAGAACCGTCCCCTTACCTGTTCGCAACGTGTAGGCCGGGACATGCACTGGAAGGAAGGCCAGTCAAAGAGAGTATAGCCTAAAAGGCGCTGCGTACCGCCGACCAAACCCGTAGAGAAAGAATGTGAGAGTGTCTTTCATGTGACCTTCGTCGTCAATCCAGCGCTGAGGCTTGAATGCGTAAGGGTCAGGGTAGACTTTTGGGTCTCGAAAGATGGACCTGACAATGGTCGTTAGATCCTTCATAACTTGAAGGATAATGCCTACCAATGACTGCCGAATACTGTAGTCCCAGCGGGAATGCAATAATTTTCCTGAAGGTGTATGTCAAACTATCCTTCGCGTAACAGATTTTCCAGAGTGCACTTGCCCAAATCACATCTTTAGTTGTTCGGTGAGGAAATCCTACAGAGTGAACCATGTAAACTTCGGGTACATGGCCGACAACGACGGTACCCACCCATAGGAGCTAACGGTCTCCATCTCATAGACTCGACGATGAAAGCACGCAAACGAGGGAGGGATTCTTCGTCGGCGAAGGTCGGCGCTAAAGCGGAGACGTCATTGAATCGATAGAACTGCAATAGGAAATCGGTGTACCTCGATGCCCGCCGATTACTGCATCAATCTCGGCCTGGACCTTAGCTAGCTCCTCAGGGAAACATGCGGCTGCCATTAGCACTGTGCATATTGCTGTAGAGGTCTGAGCACTGATATCAGCCACATACCGTCGGAAACAACGATAAGACATCTTACCGTATCGTATCCAGCTGCAAAAAAGGAGCCCGAAAGAAAAGCCATTTCCGTCTCTGCCATGCCGTAGAGCTGCTCATTTTCTAGCAAATGTCTCCCGAAAGAGGGACCGGGGTCCACATTGCTTTCCTATGGAACGATTAAAATACCATGCGAACACTGGCAGATCAGAGACGCGTACCATTTGTTGTTTCACGCTATGTAGCTGAGCAGTGAAGAGTTTCCGGTTGCTTTCATACTGCTGTCGTAATTCTTTCCCATACCAAGGAAGGTATCTGAGCCACGGGAATGAGTCCACCAGGTAAATGCCAGGGCGTGCGATTGCAAAAAGTGTTTCGAGAAACTTGTGACCTCCTGCGATTTCGTCATCAGCCGCATTCCTCCCAAATGCAATTTTCGTAATCGTCGTTGCAGCAAATCTTCAAAATCACTGTAAGTAATGTACTCTTATAACCCGAATCTAGAAAAGCGCCTACTCTTTTACATGCTCCTGGAAGCCGTGTGGATCTTTAAGAAGGCCCAGAACCGTGTTCTTCGCGTATGACATCTGCAGGGGTTGATACGCCTCAGCTGCCTTGGGCTGGAGATGGCTATGAAGTGCTCTGCACCACATAGTAAGATAGTGCAATTTGCGCTTTCATAGTATCGCTTGGCAACGAACCTACGCATTCGACGTAACCTGTCCCCAGCGCGGACAAAGCCGATAACCAGCCCGTTGCTCCACATTTCTCCAGCGGCAACTGTGTGAGGACGATCAGCTAGCGAGGCGCCCTGCTTCTCCATAATATCTATCGCTGCCTGCAACAGCATGTTGAGCCTGAATATGACGAATCAGCGTAGATGGGCTTACTTGGTGACGGCCGATAATAACAATTTTCTCAGTTCCTCTGCGAATGGTGATTAGAGGACCGTACTCTTCGATCCATTTCTCTACATCCAGAAATGGGCTTATAAACGATAAGATTAACGCTCAGAATGATTCAAATGAAACCAAAAAGAATTACTTGGGAGGAGGAAGAGCGTGCCCCCGAAGTTTCCAAGTGGGAGGGGAAGGTGGAAGGGGGAGGGTACTCTTTGATCCATAAAGGTAAGCCCGAGCAATTATTCCTACCACTGCAAGACAACCCGCAGCACTGAGGACGAGCTCCGTGTTGTCAGAAATGTGCAGATCAGGGAGTTGTAACATTATTGATGAGATGATGATGGGAGGCTCCTTACAGAAAGCGCATCAAAGTTGTGCATGATTTTTATAGTGCTGCGTACCATCATTGCTACCGTAAATATGGCCCAGTCACCCTGTATCTGTGATTTGTGTCAGTGCGACAGTTCGCCAACACATACTAGAAGTGGCAGGCGGGTCTGAACCTGTCCTTCATGAAAAAGGAAAAAAGGTTCGTAACAAGATTTCCGCAAGATCGAAAACGTGACTCTTGTTCGATAGAGACATCTATGCCGATTACATAAAGATGCGAATGGATGGAACTTTTTCGTCTTCGCAGAGTTCGCATCAGGGGGAAGAACCGATGGCGAAGGGTTACAACCTGGCCATCGCAGTGGATATCCGCATCTGACAAACATGCGCTCATGAGAGCTCGAAGGAGTACCCGCCCAGGAGGGAATGCACATGCGGACGATGGCACAATAGGGACGTGTACTCACGCATCGATCTGATCACCGAACGACAGCACTAGTACTGTCTCAGGCTGCCTAACTTGTGCACGGCCAGCACCAATAACTGCTGGCAGGCTTGCACTTTTCTGCCGGGAAAAGGTGCAAGTGTTCGAATCCATATAATTGCGCTGGCATTTGTTATTTTCTCGGCCTTCGATATGAACTTGTTCACTTGAATTCTTGCCCCGCCGATTGCAAAGTGGTGAGCTGAGCCAAGCGAGTGCACTGCGAGCCAGTTCGCTGGTCAGCCATCGAATTGGGTACAAGGAAGTACAAAAAATCCGAACAGTGAGTGTCTAGTTAGACTGTGGTCAGCTTCGAGACAATGTAATTAACGAGGGTCCAGGTCTGAGATACTTTACGAGTCACCCTGATTATCCGCCTATCACTGATTTCAGCCTCGAGTTGTCCACCTAGCTATTCGCAAGTGAATAAGTAGCACTTGAAGCTTGGTGTCTTAAGCAAATTACGCGTATATGACAGCCGATAAGTATGTGCATTACTTATAGGGTTGGAGCTTGCTGGAGCCGAACTATTCGAGCCGCATACGAGGGTATCCAGGAACTGGTTCTCACTGCGCGGGCAACTCGAAAAGATATAAGATAAGGACTGTGAGAACAAAGTCAAATGTTGGAGGTGAGGAGACTTTGCAGCAACTTTGCAAGCTTGTACTAGTCACGCCCTTCCTTCTGAATTAGGATACACGGCGAGATGCACGTGACACATGTGCCGTGTCACGGTGTCACCTCAGTCCGTGGGACGTGCTTGGAGTAAACAACAGCATACGCTGTTGATAAGCCAACCCCGAGCCACATATAATTGACAGCATACTGGACTCCAAATAGAACTGATCGGTCTTTGCGCAACCGTGCAGTTGCAGCGTATTTAAAGTTGGTCATCAGTGACACATGTAAAGATAAACCAATTGGCGGAGAACCAATGTTACACTCAGGGAACTTGTTGAAGGACGAAAGAGTAACATATAGAGATGCGTGGTATTATACACGATTCATGAGGATATCGAGCCTAGCGCAGACGAGAGTAGGGATGGAATCTGCTACTGTGTCGTGGAGCCAATTTGTCATGAGTAGGATGATGGGATGGTGGTAACTTTGCAGAAGCCGTGAAATTTATCTGCGTTCGCTTTGACTGAGAGGACGCAGTTTGCTCTGAGCGAGCTTTTTGCAGCGCGGCTTTGAGGCAGAGACACAGGCGCCCAAATACATCGCCGAGGACCACAAGAAAAAAAATTGACCAGGTAACAAGTTGTAGAACAAACAGGCCAAGTGCGAAGAGGTGCCAAAGGCGAGGGCATGAACGACTGTTATGAGAGTAAATGAGAGTACGTACCGATGCTGTCCGCAAACCATTCAGGTCGCATGTCATCTGGATCCCACATATCCTTTGGAAAATTCGTCGTGCGCTCATCAACATCCACAAATTCTACCAGCTTGGCATATAGATGGGGATTGCGGAAGGATCGATTGGACATAAGGGAATCGTTAAAATGCTTTGGATGATCAGGATCTCGCTTTAAAGCGTGAAACTGTGCGAGTTTGGTCTGAAGAACGATCAGAAAGGTCCCCGCAAGTGAGAGCACATTCGCACCTGAATTGCCGGGTCATAGGGAGATGAAGACGCTGGCGGAATACCCCAGTCTATGAGACCTGGAATTGACGGTGGTCTCAATAGTTTTCTAAGGTGAGAGATTTCATCAACCTCCTCCGGGGATCCAATTTCAGCTTGTTCCGTGTTCGGGAACGCATCAGGCATGGATGCTGGACTGGGGGTCTGAAGGCTTTCTGTACTGCCTATTATTTCATCTGATACATGGGCGCGAGGGTGACCTCTCTGCTGCGCAGGCCGACGAATGATTACTTGAGACTTGGGTAGCAGGCGGGCTGAGCTGGCTGGGTTCCTATCCTCAACATGTGACATATATGCAGCGTGTTATGCAGTACATACCATCTGATGATGAGTTTAATACACTCTTCAGCGCCTTATCCTATCTCATGAAGAATGACAGCCAACAAAGAGGGAAACGATTGCACGAGGCTGCGATGAAGAATCTCTTACATTATTCAGATATATTCCCATACTGGTTTTCGAGGATGACGCGATCTTCTCCTCCGAGTCGCTTTGCGAGTCATCTCCATAAGCGTGAAGACCTATGAAAAAATGAGCATAACAACGTCGTTCAGGAGATTTGCGCTCACCGTTCATGAGAGTCAAGGAACAAAAGGCGGATAGCAGTGTTTTTAAACTCCGCACCACATATTCCTCCGCCGAATTGCCGTTAATATGTCTTCACTCAGCACTGTCAGTTGCGTTCTCCATGCGTTTACAGCTGCTTCCCAAAGCCTGCCTGCTGTTGTTAGCATGTTTCATGACATGCGCGGTTGGAACATTTGGCTCTAGTGTATCTGCTGACGAGCGCGCAGCTGATTTCTTCGGCAGACATGATTCGGGGTCAGAACACACCAACAATTGGGCAGTCCTGGTTTGCGCATCTCGGTACTGGTTCAACTACAGGGTGAGCACGATCCTACTAATATAAACGGCCTTTTCTGAGACTTTATGCTATAGCATATGGCAAATGCCCTTGGAATGTAACGCACCTCATCCCCGGAGTTAGTTGCTCACCACCTGATACGCCTGTCAGGTATCGTACCGTCAAGCGTCTTGGCATTCCAGACTCCAACATCATCCTCATGTTGGCAGATGACGTAGCGTGCAACGCAAGGAACAAATTTGCTGGCAGTGTCTATGCAGAAGCTGGCCGGCACTTGGATTTGTATGGCGAGAACATTGAGGTTGATTATCGTGGATATGAAGTTACTGTGGAGAACTTTATACGTCTATTGACAGGTATGAATAGCCCAGTGTTAATTGGAGGCCATCTGAGGTGTTGTAGGTCGGGTGGATCCCTCTATGCCACGGTCGAAAAGACTTCTGACAGACGACCGCTCAAACATCTTTGTCTACATGACTGGCCATGGAGGAAACGAGTTCCTCAAGTTCCAAGACCAAGAGGAAATAAGCGCATTTGATATTGCTGACGCATTCGAGCAAATGTGGCAGAAGAAAAGGTAAGATTTCGCGTCCCGTTGTTGCTTTCGAAGCTCATGATGGACCAGATACAACGAAATTTTATTCATGATTGATACCTGCCAAGCAAATACCATGTACTCTCAGTTTTATTCTCCCAACATCCTTGCCACTGGGTCATCCCAGATTGAAGAAAACTCTTACTCCGTGAGAATTTTACGCTTCATTGTGTTACGAAATGCTCATCGTAGTCCAGTATGAAAATGACAATGACATTGGTGTCTCCGTCATTGATAGCTATACACATTACGTCCTCAAATTCATGGAAGGAATAAATAAGACAAGCCAGACATCTATGCAGGATTTGGTATTCCGCTTTATTATTAGTCTGATGCACACATTTATTCTTCCTTGTGGCAGTTCAATTCCTATGACCCGGTGAAAATTTACTCTCATCCCGGCATCCGCTCTGATCTTTTCCGCCGTCCCTTGGACAAGACGCTTATTACCGATTTCTTCGGAGGCGTCGCACAAGCTGAAGTCTTTCCATTGCAGGAAGTTGTGGGCTCAAGTAACCATCATGAGAAGGATCCTGCGCTTCCACCTACCTCCCGAGAGCCAGACGCCCTGTCTGTACCGGTGGTATTGTCGACGACTGTTACTTCCCTCCCGACACTGGCGGGTGAGACGAATGTATGGGATAGCGGGTGGAAAGGAGTCAGAAAATGGACTTCTGTCTTTATCGTAGGATGTCTTGTATCGTGGGTTTCTTTTGTGCGGTAATGCTATATCTATTGTCCCAGTCTGCCCTGAGCCAGGGCTGCACCGTCCCGCTTCACATAGCCCCCTTCATGCCCGATGCCAGTCTTTTGTTTATTGATCATCTATTTCTGGAAGACAAACAACGCCTGGAGTTGTTTAATCTGCATCACTTCCACAGCTTGGTAGGTCCGTACTATACGTTGTGGGGTGTCAGATGGGGACTCGATATAATTTGCTGAGGTGTCCATTAATTAAAAGGTAAGGGATGGAGCATCGATGGAGACTCCGCGTTAATGTTGGTTGGCTCACGTTACATGAATGTTATGTATATGTCCCTGCACTTCTGGGTCATCACCCATGTCAAAGTTTTCGACAGATTTAAAGCCCTGCTGTTAGACTCGGATAACTTCGACTGACGTGGAGCACAAGTGTAGCTTACGTGGTGAGACACACACGAGACGTATATGCTATTACCATGGAACTATTTGTCCTGTGTAGTCTATGAATCGCCCTGCATCCTTGGCTGTGACATTTCTCACAACCTGGATGATGCCTGTCACGCTTTCATGCACCTCTAATAACGCATTACTCCCTCCCATATCTGCAGACCACGAGATGACACTCGGGAACGGAAAGTAATTTTCGGGGCTCACCTGTCTTGACCCAGCCAGGATCGAGAAGGAATGGGGTCAGGTCCGGGCGCTCTTTTGCAAGCTTGTAAGTCTACACAGATGTGAGTGACCCAGTGTAAATCATTGAGGATCATACACACCAACATATTCAGCCCATATTTACTAATGGAATATGATGTGTGTTCCCTTCCCCAGTCCGTGCTTATACTTGCCAATGCAGACGACACATTCGCAATTACTTTTCTGTCGCCCTGCTCGATCAGGGGAATGAATGTCCTTGTGACAAGGGCAGGACCTGCTACATTGACGATAACTGTCGATATCAGATCATTTGTATTGAGCGTCGTCGTCCTATCATCCTGTGGGGCCTATTGACAATTGATAGGATATCAAAAAGACGTCGTTTATTATGCACGACTCACCACACCAGCATTGTTGATCAAATAGTCAAGCCCTCTTCCCTGCAAGATCCCTGCAACTTCGTCTTTTGCACTGATGATGGAAGCTTCGTCTGTGACATCCATCCGAACGACATATAGCTTCCCATTTATTGAATTACAATCGCCCAATGCAAGCAGTGAGGTCGCAGATTGCGGGTCTCGGCAAGTAGCGAAAAGAACGACGTGAGGTGAGATCAAGAGCTGTTTGACTAACTCGAGGCCAATGCCTCGTGAGGCACTACACACCACGACGTAAGCTTAGATTTTATGCACACAGATGTACGACACCTTACCCAGTTATAAGCCACGTAGATGACATTGACATTATGGGTGGGTATGTACTCGGTCAACCCTTCCAACTTAGCGTAGAAGCCTAGAAGGATTTTATAGTCCGCAAGTGGATACCTCCTCCCAGAAGCAGCCAATGTTTGGCAAATGGTCCCAGCTGCCGTGGCAGGATCTTCTACGGTGCCTGTAGAGTGACAGAACTCCGAGTCGATATTCAATGGTAACCTAATCGAACTCGAGAATAAGTGGTCAATCTGAGATGTAGTAGGCTCCTGGAGCGCCTGCGCGTAAAATGATTTTTGGGTATAATCAAGGCCGGTAATTGATAGGCAATTAACACGTCGAGTGGCAATTGAGTGGTACGTACTTTGTAGCTCGCTAGGACACGTCCAATGTTACACTTGGCACTCACTGGCAGCTTGATCTGATCAACAACATTGTTGAATTTCTAAGTTATATCAGTTCTGGTAAGCCACGGACAATATAGATTGCCACGTCTGTAGCCAGGAGAAGAAGAGTCGTTGACAACTCCAAGCCGGTTATTGGGTTACCACTTGCATTGATTTATCCTTCTCGTTGCTCCGATTGGCACGAACTGTGCAGTGTCGCACAACACGGGATAAATAGTTTCGTACAGCACGGAAAAACTACTGTCCAGGTGCTGAAGAAAACTGGGCCATTCCCTCAGCAAGCTGGTTCGCAAACTTCGAAGCCGACATCGGACGAGAGTTGCTTAGGTTGCCCCTGGTTGCTAGACCTGAGGATGGATTATTCACAACAGACGATGACGTCGATGGGTGGGCTTGGGCTGCCATGGCTGTCTGGGAGTCAAAATACGCATAAAACACTTCTCCTGTGAATTTCCCACGAAGTTTGAGGTTGGCCAATTTTTTGAGCGATGTTGTGTACCCTTTTGGGGGTCTAAAAGGGGTCCAAAGGTACTCTTTGCATGTCAGAATATCGATTGAGGTTTATTTCACCCTTTTATAGGTTATAGTAAGTCATAAAATATAATCGTCATGACATTTTGGGCCATACCGGAGGCAATACTAGTACCGAGAAACTCCTTGCAAACTACTGCTTGCGTGCGTGCAGTAGAACAAGCAAATCTGATAACATTAATGAAATCTTTGTATGCAACTTTAAAACAGTTGAAACATCAATTGAATCTCTACGGCACCAAGCATTTGGTTGATCGCCTGACGAGAGTGAGCATTGAATATTGAATGGGCAACGATCGTAACTTGTCTCCTGACGAACCTTGTATCTAGCCAACTCCACCATGTTGGCATATTCAGCTCCGGTCAATTTTGTTTTATTTCCATATTCCACAATGAATTGCGTACGGAGGTCAAGAGATGACGCTGATGATGTGGCATTGTATCGCCGGCGCCCGATGCGCGAGAGGCCACATCGTACGGAAGAGAGAACCAGGTCCGCAGAGCCAGTATCGATTTGCACTGCAGTGGTATCAGCACCAAGAATCGGACATAGACGGCGTGGAGACTTAAAGTGCTCACCTGCGAACGATTCCGGAGGTTTCTCAAGCGCGATGGAGCCATATAATAACCTGACTCTTTGATTCTTTGAGGAGACAGAGTTTCCGCCGCCGGGGTTCAGCCCATAATTGCGGAAGGTGACGTCACACTTACTGAGGAAGGTCAAAAACTGCGCTTCAGCTAAAAGTAGATGGTCAAATAGACTGAGACACAGTCGTGAGATGTGCCTTCACGTCTTCTATGGTTGTATCCGTAGATATTCTATTCAGCGGGATACTGATTTAGTTTCTGTGGTAGACCACTAGAGGTGATGCCACAACGAGAGAGATGAGGTAGCAACTTGTCGAGATACCTCACACCATACACCGAGGTGCTCGCTGCTCGGAAGAGATGCGGACAACAATAACCTGAGCGTGAAACGAAAGACAATCCTGTCGTCATCTATTCATACAAGCTCCGATGAAATGCTGTCAATAGATAATGGTGATACAAGATTTATGTACATCACTTGGAAAAAGTCCCCAGCCTTCATTAGTCGATGCGAGTCCCGTTAGAATGCATGCACCATTCCAACACAGCACAGGGCGGCCATAGGTCATCCGGCTCGTCGCCCGCATCTTGAAGGAGCAAGGCCACGACACCGTGCGGTGGAACAGCGTGCGCTGTAAAGTTGCGAACTGCAGTGCCGTTGTCTGTATGAGTCCAAAGGTCCTAGATAGACATAGCAAATCAGAAGGCCGCGGACAGCCTGAATGGGAGATGAAACTTACCCGGACAGAGTATTGTCTGCCAGCTCGGATCCACGGAGATTCAGCCAGTTTGAAGAACATGTCGGCGGGCTCATCCAGCGTGTTCAACTGCACAAAAATTTCAATTGTTTGATCATAGTGTCTCAAAGAGAGCACGCACGAGCATAAATACTGTCCCGTTCTGGCTCTCCCCGCTCCAGTATTGTGCAGGATGTGTGTTGTTGCTGACCCAATCAGGCTATCGATGCAATGCGGCATCATTGGCGTGGTTTCCAATCAACTACAAATAAGTTGAAATGACTTACATTGATGCCCCATCGGAAAGGTGAGATGCTAGTGCCTACAACCGAGTCTTGATGAATCGCAATGATTTCTGGATTGGTCAGAATCTCAAGAGTTTCTTTGGTAGCAGAAGCGAGCTGAGGAGGGCGTGCGTGAACGGAAGGTTCGTCAGCAAGGATCAGACTTACATCAGTGCCGATAAGTAGAGGTGACTTCAAGAGCGCCCACGCAGTGAAATGGGACTTCGCTTCTTCGTATGTTAGGGGGCCATTACCACTATTGATTGTGAGGCGACGGTCAGACTCGGCTTCTCAATGACGTACACTTCAAGCTATAAGGAATCGTGTCAGCGCAGCCAGCAGTACCACAAAACATGACTGACGATATCCATGTCATTATGGCCATAGAAATCAGTTGCCCAAGTATAGAACGAGTTCCTGGAGTACGATGTGAACTGCTCAAATATAAGCAAGCCGGTTTTCTTACTGGTTTAATATTTTGACAATTGATTGCCAGTTCGGGTCTAACCCACCAATCAGCTGCATCCTTAATGGAAGGTTTCTAGAGTTTGGACGCTTACCAATATCGTCGGTCGTCTATAGTGTTCGTTAGCTTCGAGAATTATGTGAAACAAGCTCTATACTCACCCTCCAACTTTGCCCGTATCTGCGGGCCCAGGTCCAGCCTTGCTCCTGCAAAAACAGTCCATAATCTAAAAATTGCAACGAAGTGGAGTCTCACCCTTCCCCATTGGCACATGGACAAAATTAAGGGCGGTGTTCCAGACGACAGTGAAAAATCAGCAATGGCGTTTGCCATACGTTCGTATCCTGTACCCGTTAGTGAGGATTCTGACAGAGGTAAAGAATATACACACTTCCCATGATATTTTCCCGAGTGATATTGTCGAACGGAACTGATGCGTATCAAGCAATCACGAACTGGGCGTGGTATGTAAGTTCACGTACCAGCGCAATTATCATATCTATTGATAATCGCTGTCAAGAACGACCATTTGGATCAGTAAATCAAGACTCACTTGAGATAGTCGAAACCCCAGTCATGGAAGCGTTTTGCATCTCTGCTAGATATGATCATGACGTAATGACCAGGAGCGAAACTACGTACCTTGCCTCGTTCTGGTATGAGCCAGGGTACAGCTGGCATGTGAACCAGCCCGAATCACTGTACTGCATGGCAGAGACACGGTCAGGGTCCAGGAATAATTGAATGACAGGTCCTTACAATGCCAGCTTGCCTGCGTGTACAAAAGCCAAATGTCAGTGAAATGCAATTTTAGATGTCTATATATACAACATCTCACGCACAGTCCAAGGTTGTGAATTTTGTCTGTGAGGGCCTTCATTCCAGATGGAAACTTCGTTGCGTCTGGCCATGAATATTAACATATGAAACAGCCAGGGGAAATAGATGAACCTTCAATGATATCTCCATCATCGTTTCTGCTTCTTTCTGAATAACAATCATCAATGTTGACATGAGTGTACCCAGCGTCCTAGTGGTAAAGCCCAAGTCCAGTCATTCTGAATAAGGCCGAGGGTAAACGATACTTGCCGCTAAGTTGAGTGATTTCATAAGCTGTGCGGTTTGCAAGATGAGGCCTTCATCTATGTCACACTGATAGATCTGTGTTAAAACCTTCCATGATTAACTCTGTGAGCACTCACATGGTATGCGTTCCAAGCTGTGCGCGAAGCGCCAGGTCAGTGTCATCGACAGCTACTCAGAACATGGTAACCTACTGTTATAACCCATCACTGGCCGCCAGATGAGGTCAAGGAATTGGCGACAACTGAATCTTGGAAGACGCACCAGGGAGTTTAGCAACTCGGTTGTCCAGTGTAACAAGAGGAGCACGGTAGTGGGTATCGTGACGGTAGGCGACGTATGTAACGTATCCCAAGACAGCAAAGGCTAATGGAAGAACGGCAACGAACGATCTGTTGAACCTCGAGCGAACTCATGAACGTAGAAATGGTTAGCATTCAACGCCTCTCGAGTTCGACAACTCTCATACCAGTATACGTTGGGCCTCCAGCTCCATGAGTCACGAAAGGTCTGTTTTGGAGATTCGGGACTTCTGGCTTCATAGCTGGATGATAAGACAGTTGCGGTTGTCGCTTGTAGTGTGGGCGATGTCATTGTGGGGAAACTAAGTACTACTAGACCGCGGAAGCAATAAGGATGCTCACACGGCGAATTAAAATTGGAAGCTCTGTCACTGAACGGTGAGGGAGTGGGATAAATCGACAACATTGTACTTGAATTCGAAGAGCAAAGACGTCACCAACTCCGGAGAAACTTTCATGCCTCCAGCAGTCCTAGTGGCAGTCAATTGCAAGTATAGTATGTCTACAGTGCTTAAGCACTTCAGACAAGACTTCCGTGGCTTTCGAGATCATAAACATAGTAATCCACAAGACTTCGGAGCAGAGCCCAAATCGATTCGGAAGTTTTACACTAATCGAGAGCAGCTGACGAGGGTACTACATCACAACAACATCCGTTTTGCCCACCTCGGCATCGCGATACACTCCCGCACATTCTCAATCCCGCTCATCCAGCTAATGAGCCGTTCGAACCCCAGCCCATAGCCCCCATGAGGCGCGCTCCCATACTTCCTCAAATCCACGTACCATCTATATTCTTCCTCATTAAGCCCATGCCTCTGTATAGCCTCGACCAAATGTGAGGACCTCTCTTCCCTGAGCGACCCACCCACGAGCTCGCCGATGAAGGGAACCAGAAGATCAAAGCACGCTACGGTCTGTCCATCATCATTAGCTCGCATATAGAATGGTTTCAGGGATGTTGGGTAGTCTGTGACAAACACAGGACCGCCGACAAGTCGTTCCGAAAGCCAGCGCTCATGTTCGCTTTGCAGTGCTCTGCCCCACGCGGGCTCGAATTCGAATCCAACTCGAGAAGAAGCATGGTATTTCTCCAACTCCTTTACAGCATCAGTGTATGTCATGCGTGTCCAGGAGAGCCCTGGGCGCGATGCATCTTCCAGAGATTTGAGTTTTGCCTCGTCGCCATCTTTCCAAAAGAGTGGGTTTTCTGATTGACACTGAACGAGGATATTTTTGAGAGACTCTTCAACCACATGACATACATCCCCGACGTGGTGAATAAACGCCCATTCTGCTTCGAGCATCCAGAATTCCGCGAGGTGCCTATTCGTCTGAGAACGCTCTGCCCGAAAGCAAGGAGACAGTGTGTAGACCCGAGACAAAGAAGCTGCAAGGGCCTCCAGGTGAAGCTGCGAAGACACAGTAAGATATGCCGGCTGTGAAAAAAACTCGGCTTGGGCACTCGGATCGGGCAATTGTCCTGGGGAAATGGCGGAAGAAGCAGGTGAGACACGAAACGTTTCGCCACCACCCTCGCAATCGTTTGAAGTCAAAATGGGCGTGTGCACGTAGTGGAAGTCTTGGGCCTGTGTTTCGATGTGTTAATGAGAGGGCTTACGATGGGGAGTCTATGAGTACCTCAAAGTAAGTATGAAGCGTCCGGAGGGCGGAGGCCCGTAGACGGAGCATAGCAGCATTGATATCCGTTCGGGCTCTGAGATGAGCATTGTCTCTTAGAAATTCCACGGGTAAGGCTTGCTTCTGGATAGGGTAGGCCTTCACGGAGTGTCAACTGTCAATTTTTTTATCTGTTGAAAACACGTACCTCCGGATTACATTCGCCCAAGACATCAACCGCGTCGACCTGTAGTTCATATGATTGTCCGCGGCCTAAACTCTGGACTAGATTGCCACAAATGCGGACACTAGCACCATTAGTTAAGCTGAAGGATGGTGTTATGAGCTTCTATGTTCTGAAACGCCTCGAGAACATACTTGTGGGGGGTAACATCTGGCTTTAAGACTGCCTGCAGGCCGGAAGCACAACTTCCATCGTTAATCACCACGAAAGTGACATTTTTCTGTCTTCGTACGGATTTGATCCAACCACTCAATTGTACTTTAGCTTCCTGACCAGTCCCTTGCAGGGAAGACAGTAGCTGTCGGATCGTTGGCGGCAACGTCGAAGTTGACGCAAAACGGCGCAGGAGCATGGAAGACTTGCACAGCCACACGCGATTTCGATTAAATTTTTTTGGCTCGCGAGTCGCGATGTTATGCAAAATGGCTCAAAGCCACACTGCTCAGCCAGCCCACATACGAACAGGAAGCCAGGGTTACCGATAACTAGTAGCTGATACAAACTGAGCGAATTTGTAGCTCGGTGCAATATTTTAGTATTAACAGAAAAAGAAACACGATATACAGATGACAAGGCGATACGAGCATGATATTTTTTTGGCAAAACCATCAGAAGCCCCTCCCCCTTCCCCTGCCCCTGCCCCGACCACCACGCCCACGGTCAACCAATCCTCCCCGTGCACGGCCCCTTCCACGTGCATCATCCTTCTTCCTGCCTTTGGGTTTTGGTGCGTCATCTACTAATAGCGTATCAAGAGGAAGGGCATCGGGAAGCACGAAGTAGCGGATATTGTTGCCACGGATAGATAAGGAGTCGAGGGATGTTGGGTCCCGGTTACGGGCTGTCATCTTGACAGTTTTGAGGTGGGTGTTCATCTGCATATCTACACCTGTGAAGTGGCTTAAGAGATCGCAAACACTGCCAGTTCCGTTCATCTGACGCACCAGTAATTGTGCCATGGACTACAGAGCCGTTCTTGAGCTCAATAGTCACGGTCTCATTGTTGAGTTTCATCAAGAATCTGATGGAAACAAGGATCAGCGCCCGATCTTTGTAATGCACAAATTGAAAGGCATCTTGAAAATGTCAGACCAAGACGAAAGAAACGTCTGCTGTATTCACCTTACGAGCTTCATGGTGGATTATGTCGTCCTGCAGCAGAACTGTTCTGAGGCTGATCGACTGTCGAGAATCGAGACGGCGCCCCTGTTGATCCTTGTTTGCAAGGCATCCAAATCGAGTCTGCCAGGTGCTAATAGTAAACTCGCAAAGACCCTCCGGGCATCCCAGGACCTTCCTTTTTTCGGGTATAGCAGAGAAATACAATTGAGAGTATCCTGTCGTGATGTATTTTATTTGGCTGTCATGCCAATGTTCGCGTGGTTTCTTTCGTACTTGCAATTATCTCCTCCGAGACACCGCAATATCATGGCCATGCCGTCGCATGCCACTATGGTTTTCTCAGATGTATTCACTGTGCTAAACTCCCAACACAGTGTATCCTCGTATATGGTGTTCCTGGTGCATGCTGGCTGAATTTCCCTCTATCCACACTTCTGGGGAAAAGCGGGACATTCCGCGATGCATTCAGTGGTGCTGGATACGATTAGGAGAGAGATGACTGAAACCGAAAAGGAGACCGAACGGTCAAGTGGAGCCGACTGTGTGATGGCATCAGGGTCCTCAGGCTGTGTAGTCCCGGGTATGTCTTTATTTGATGTTGCCCACCTGAATCTAATACAATTAAACCCTGAGTATTGCGGAATCTGCGGGCTATATTCGGAGACAAAATCAGTAGCATCACCAGTGCCCCACGCTGACTCGCCGGATGACTCCAAGGGCGTGTTAACTCATCGGTCACGAGCTCTTTAATGGCAACCCTAGGTCCGGCCTACCGGCCGAGCACTATAAGACCAACGCCGAGGGTTCATTGCGCACGGAACGACTTCAAGTCTCTGTAATGACATTGTCCAGGACGCCGCTCGTTACCGCCGTGGTCGGTATACTTTCTGCAGCTACTTCTGCCAATGCTATCATGAACGGCGTTGGTAAATTACCTGGTCTGTATCTCAGCTCTTCCTGATGGTCTTTCATTGACATGTTTGATGCAGTGATGGGATACAATGGTACGTATTGTTAAGAGTGCAGAAGCTCCCTATTGACAATCAGCCCCTGTGGCCTTCAGCTTGGAACGCCTTTGCAGTGAGTGAACGTGACATTCGCGACCAAGATTGGCGTCCTCATGTAGTATGTAACAGTGCAACGTCAATGAGACACTCATCATCCAGACTGCACAAAACATGAAGGAGTATGGCCTCCTGGTTAGTGTCGTTTGACACATCGAAACCAGATGATTTTCACTGATCCACTCCATCGTAGGATGTTGGGTATAACCATGTCAACCTCGACGATTGCTGGGCTATGAAGAACCGTAGCTCTACTGGCGAGGTCATGTCAGGTTGGTTCCTGCTGAGAACCGTCGCGTTCATGTGCTGAGCAACCGTTATCAAAGATACTATCAGGTTCCCCAGCATGAACAACCTCACAGACCAGCTACACGCTCTTGGCTTGTATGTGAATATGTATTCTACATGATGCAGCACCATTCTCATGTCCCTCCCAGTTACGCAGGCATAGTATGAAATTTACACCTGACGAGAAGATTTTTCCTCACTGTCAGTTCTAGTACTCTGACTCTGGTTGGTTTACCTGCGCTAGATACCCCGGATCCTTCATGCACGAGGAACAGGACGCTATGACCTTCCAATCCTGGGGTTTCGACTTCCTCAAGTAAGCCCTTCTGGTGAAGATACTAAAAAGTCGCTAACCACTCAATTTAGGTATGACAACTGCGCCAGTGAGCATATGAGCACTCAGGAACTTCCAGAAAATAGAAAAACTAATCACTTTCGTTTTAGTTCCATATGATGACATCATCCGGGAGGGCATGATTGGAAGTGGGTAGAAATCCTCTTACCTTGGTCTATTATCTAAATATTTTGGACCATAAGAGTATCAGCGCATGGCAGATGCTCTCGCCGCGGTCGCAGAGAAAACTGGCACTACCCTCATATTCAGTTTGTGTGAGTGGGGCTGGGTGAGTTTCATCTCCTACACTGATTTGTTTCGCATCTGACTCATCCAATGATCCTCTTAGAATCAAGTCTGGCTGTGAGCGTCAATTTCACCATAACGACCACTATCTTACAGGATACCACAGGTGGGGTGCACAGATTTCTCACAGTTGGAGAGTTTGTCCCCTCTCAGTTGAACTGAATGGCAACAAACTGACCGGAGATTTGCTTAGATTGATGGTGACATTGTGCCCCATTGGAACTCGCTTGCTAGTATCATCAACTCGTCAGTAACTGCTTCAAGAGGCCTTTCCCGTCCTAATATGTTGAATACAGCGCATCATTCATCACGCAAGCTACTAATCACTATGGGCACAATGATCTCGACATGGTAGGCGCAACACCAAGCGTCTTGCCTTTGGTGCTGACATCATTCAAATCACAGCTCGAAATCGGGAACGGAAATCTTACGTACGACGAAGCAAAGACACACTTTACTGCATGGGCACTTGTCAAGGCCCCCCTGCTCATAGGCACTAATGCAAGTACTTTGGTCATTCTCAACGGCGCAGCTCACCAGCGCTCCTCACACTTAGCTCGCCGCCATAAGCCAGGAGATGCTCAGCATCCTGAAGAACCAAGAAATCATTGCGGTCAACCAGGATCCTGTCTATGGCACTAGCATCTCGCCATTCCGCTGGGGCATCAATGTATGTCACTGCTTTTTTGGCGTATTTTTGATCATACATACCATGGGCTGAACAGCCTGACTGGACCTACAACGTGACACACCCTGCTCAATACTGGAGTGGTCCCAGTGAGAATGGAACGGTTTTCATGCTCGTATGTCATTCCAGCACCTCAGTACCATGATGATTTGAATATTGATACATTTTCAGATCAATACCCTGAGCGAGCCGGCTGATATGTTTTTCAACCTCACGGAATCTCCTTGGATTCGCGCTGGCATCCAGTATTCTGTCCGGGTAGGCCTTCCCATACCACGTGGCACTTCACAGCGTCGTTGATCAGAATTTTTTGGGGATAGGACTTGTGGACGCACACAGACAACGGCACCGCTGTGCGTGACTTCACGGCCATGAGCGTCCCAGCACATGGTGTAGTGGCGCTGTTGCTCAAGGAAGATGGGAATGAGCCCGCTGGGTTGATGCCACCCTGTGCTGGCCTAGCTCTTTCACAATGCACTGCTGAGAATGGGACGATATACTCATGAGCCGCGTATGGTCTTACCCATGACTCTGTAAGCAGCCACAATGAATACTAATCACCCATTGTCACTGTATTCTGTTAGATGCAGTACCACAGTCAGTTGTATTTGTAAACTTTGGCTCACTGTGCACATCAGAATCTGACGGGGATTTGCCTACATCTGCTAGAGGCTGTTGCTGATAAGTTAGCTGCGATGCCACAATCATTCAAACGACAAGAGATTCACAAACGAGATTCAAGATTAACCCGTGGATCGGGGGCGGTTTTGAAAGCCAGCCCTGCCGCTCTGGAGAGAAGGAAGTGCATGTTGTTGTGCTCATTGCAATGTGTCTAATGCATGCTAAGTAACCATCCGCGAGTGCAATACTGACAGTGTACGTTCATACGTGGCTTCTATCGTCTGGAAATATTCCTCTGTGTTCTGATCTTGCATGTTACCAGCGGGTACATCCAACGTAAACGATGGCTTGAAGTGGAGGTAACCAGAATACTCGGGGATATCAGCGTCCAGGGAGAGTGGAATTCCGCCCTGTAAGATACAATGCGTCAATACGCGACCAGCTAGAACATTAGATTCGAACATACTGCCACAGAGGTGAGATATGTCCAAGCTCGCGCAGCGTTGGGCGTATTATAACCACCTAAAGCCCGAGATGGTATGCGAGATAATGATCTGATAAGTAGCACCATACCTCCACCGAGTAACAATTTCTTTCCTTGCCATTCGTGAACGATGCGATGTATGCACCAACCGAGCGAGCCTTCGCCACCCAAGGACCAGTTGAAGGTTCCCATGGGATCACCTGCTAGGCCATCTAAGCCGCACTGAACTAGGATGAAGTCGGGCCGAAAAATATCTTTGATACGTTCGATGATGGGCCAAATGCGGATGAATGTTTTGGTAGATGCACCAGCTTTCAGTGGCACTGATAAAGTGAAGGGATTGAAGGCCGGATCATCGACGTCCGGAAGGGAAGCGAGGGGGGAAACAGGGAAGAAGCCTGGAGCTGCATGATGGATAGATAGCGTCTGAAAACAATTCCATGGGTCAGAAATTGTCAATGGCTCAAGATGCACGCACAAGAACTTGAGAGGTAATCGTAGAACCAGATTTGTGAAAAGCTTGTGACACTGCATCTGAAAAATGAAGGTCGAGGTCGAGATACATCACGCGTGGTTTCTTCATTAGAGGAGCAGAAGGTATTGTTCGTTTGAGGAACAGGATGGCGAGAACGCAATCAGCTACATAACAAAAGCCCGAAGCCTGTGATTTTTTGGCGTGATGTCTGGATATGATAGCACTGAGACTGCAAGGAAAGTTCGCAATGTACTGAGGCCAGTACTTACCTGCCGCCATCCCAGCAGATGGCTACATCCGAAACATTGTTTTTAAGGACAGCTGCTCCGGTCAAGGTGGCTCCTGCGACTTGTGTGATGTAGTCTTTGATTCCATAAAACATGGGGCAGTCCTAGATGCACTGACAAGTCGCGAAACAGCCTGAATTTCGGTTTGGTATACGCACGTCTTCAAGTCCAAACTCTGAAGCTTCCGGTAGGTTCTGCGCGTCACTTGATTGAGCCATGGCGTATTCGAGATAATCATGAGTATGGTAAGCCAGTAGCTCCTTCTCGCCAGCAGGCCGCGGTCGCACAACCAAAAATCGTTGGGGCGCTTGACCAGTGCGGCATGCTGTCAGAAGTCCATATGCGTGAACGAGCGAATAGACGAGGAGAGAACGGTTTCTATTGGAAGGTAAACGTGAAGATATCTGCCAGTAGTGGAGAACATCCGAGTGAATTGATTAGACAACACTCAACATATGACACGTCGGAGGCCCATCTAAAGTGTAGTACTCACTTTCACAAGGTCTTCTGAGAAGATGTAGGCCACGGGCTTAGCATGCAATCCAGTGCTAAATTCGACATGGGAGTCCATCTTTCTGTCGCAGTGATAATATCCATCCACGCTGCACAGTACTTACAGTCAAAACGAGTGTGCTCCAAGCATCTTCCGAGAACAGATTATTCAGCCCCCTTTGCCCGAGTCTAGACTCTCAAATTGGAATCTGTGTGATTGACACAAAGTTCAACGTTACAAGATGCAAATATGCAAATGGTACTTTGACACAGAAAAAAAAACATCAAGCAGTTTGGGACTGGGTGATGAGTCTACGACTCCACCTATGCCTCAAGGAATCATCTTTGGACGTACAGAACCTCTGGCTCGTCAGTATTTCAGGCCGCATTCCACGTATCATCACCTGATGAGCTCGTTGAATATCAGCATCACCCATTATCAGAGTGTCGACGAGCGAGTTAATCAGCAGCGTCTCTCCTTGCAAAGACCATCTTTTACGTGTCAACGCTCGCGATCCACTCCAAAACGTACACCTCTACAGCCAGTAACCTGAGCTTCTTAGAAACATCAGTCCTAACAGGATGAATATTTAGTCGTGACTCGTGAGGTCAGGCTTCTTTGGTGGACAGCGCCTCCCGCAAGAACTGGATCGATTTCTCCTCCTGTTGACCAAAAATCTCAACAGCTTCTTTGATCTTCCGGGAGGTTTCTGCATCCTTTGAAAGCGCGGTTTGCAGGGCAGCTGCGCTGTTGGACAAATAGTCAGCGTCCAACACTGTGAACATGTCAAGTTATAAGCGCGGTATGGAATCGAAAACGCAGCAAACACACCAGACTTTTCTCCGGCCACTTCCAATGTAACAGCAGCTAACTCATCGTCTGATCTTCCGGGTGCAGCAGCGAGCAGAGCGAGTACCCTGTCCGATATGGTTAAGTGATGTGGACGAAGTCTTGCCAGAGCAACAGCCTGCAAAAGTGATGCACATGAACAAGCATAAGTTCGTCGATTTCATTGCTCACCTCGTCTAGTGTGATGATACTGGTGGCACAAAGCGGGTTGAGTGGACCGTGTATTCAGGGTAAAAACAGCTTTTACCTCGCTGGCACCACAGTCGTGCTTGTTTGTTTCTCCTTGAAGGCTTGTATAATTGAGCATATCACCGGTGACATAGGATGCTGCCGAACGGGGTCGTTGTATTCAACATACGAGGAGGCACCTTCTGGAAAGTGTACTCGTAATTCTGGGGGCTTTAATTAGATCTCGCTGATAGGAATCCTAGTATCAAGTCTGAGAAACGTGCCATTGAAGTAAGGTGAAATAGAGAGACATCCCGCCTGCGATGCTGCCATAGCCTGCGGGACAGAGAACAAACAAGTTCCGAGTGTACGTATGCCGCTTTCCTCCAGCTCCTTGCACGCAAGGATGCCTTCCGGTGTGGCTGGTATTTTTATACAGACCCGATCCCTTAGGAAAGCACGATCAGTCTGCCTCCAGAACAATGACCTAGAATGTTCTACCCACTTATATATGCCGCGTTTGCCAAAAGCGCTGATAAGAGCCCTTGCGTGTGCAACAGTGGCATCCTTATCGTATGCTGTGCGAGGTGATGTCTGCGCGAGAACTCTACCCGTCTTGTCCAGATATGGAATGACTTTGCTAGCGAGAAGGACAGTCTACATGACGGGATTTCAAGTTGATCAATGCGCATTGTACTCCCAAATCATACATACCACGAGATTCAGCACATTCAAAATACCATCCTCGGTTGATATGTCGATCGCAATGTCCTGGACATACTGAGATACAAGGGGTTCCAAATTCGCGTCCCATTGCACTTGCAACTGGCCATTCACAATCGCCTGATTAGACGTCATGGAATGGAACGTCGTCGAGACAGACAAGGATTCGGCTGCCTTGGGATCCATGGAATCAATGTCCACGATAACCCCAAGAGCTTGGATCTGTGACAGTAGGGTCACCATGATGGCAATCTGGCAGAATGAGTGAGTAAATCAAGGTTGATCCACCAAGTGCCTCTAGCCCAAATCCCGTGTACATATTACGTACCGGTCACGAGCAAAGGCATGTACTTTTACTCTTTCGTCTTGACTATTGCCCACAACCGGGAGAGTGTCTCTCACAATTCTTGGCACTGGCCAAAGCTAGTGTGGATGTCTACCTAGTGTCTCCAATGCTCTCTTGCAGGTCGCCCATCCCTCTTTGTCCTTGGGAGGCATTCCGTGTCTGATTGCCACAATCTTTGCAAGACCAACTTGAATGTGTTCAAGGTCCCTGCGAATGTCACAGTGTTGGGCCATGTGAATGTCGCTCATAAATACGTACTGCAGGCACAAAACATCATGTCAGCTCCATACTAGTTACTACCATGATGGATGGGAGTCTACCAGAAACCGCTGTACGAAAAATGCAACGGACCGAATCCGATTCCTCGACTGAAAGGGAGGCACGAACACCACCAGGAAGTTCCAAAGGCACCCACCGTGACGTTCTGGCGTGATGTCAAGCACCGTAGCTTCGTCGACACGCGGGAAGTTCGGAATATCGTTTTCATGCAAGCCAATCACGAGCAATATCATTGTGTGCTCGGAGCAGGTTGGAGCCGCCGAAATCATTGGCCGGGCCGCCCACCAGTGACCGGAAGTGGCTGCCGGCGGCTAATTGATGCTCATGGAAAAAATAAACTCCAACGAGTAATTGCGGCTTCAGCCTAAGCTTCCTGATCAATGTAAGTTGCTACAGGTAACAGGTTGCTACCCGTCACTAGTACTCACTGGCAGTTATAAGCCTTGACAGAATGAATTTCACAGAGTAACACCGACATTCGTGTCATTTACTCAAGTGAAGTTCGGGGAGAACGTTTTGCACGAACCGCCGCTTGCGAGTCTTGTGGTCCTTCCCACTTCTTTGCAACTTCTTTGTGTTGATCACGCGTTTTACCGCGCCCGACGGCGGTCCGCCCCGACGTCATGGTCATTCATTATAAAGGGCATCTGGTGGGCTATGTGTATCCCAGCAATTGGGAGTGACTTGCAAGATGCTGTCCAGCCTCCTGAGTCGTAGTGTCTTTGCAAGCGCTATTTTCGCGAGCTGTGCTGCCGCGGTAACGACTGTCACTATTAATGGCACAGCTAGCCACACCATTCCGCCCCTTCTTTGTGAGTCAATATATTTACCTGTGGCCCTATTTTGTGTCAACATACCACTCCTCAGTTGGCCAGATGTTCGAGGCAAGTAGATAGTGGTGAAAATCATACTATTTTTTGACATGCAACCGATTGGTGGCTTGTAGGATATCAATGTACGTTTCCTTCTGTGTTTGACTTTGGCCCGTTCAAATTAACTACTTCCTACCTTATTATAGCATGTAAGAGCATCCTGATCAAGATAAGTTTGAGTGCCTTGGAAAATAACGTTCACTCTTCCGCAGAGTGGTGATGGCGGTATTTACGCTGAGTGTCAGTGTTTCATCCAATTTACACTTCTGTCATGCTTCTGAGGTCCTTTTACAAGTGCTCCAAAATCGCGCCTTCCAGCAGGTGAAACCAAGTAAGATCCACATATCTGTATCTTTCGAACTGTAATCCCTGAAACGTATATCTAGACACAGACGCTGCTCTCTTCGCCTGGGCTCCAATCAACGGCGCAAACATCAAAGTCATTGCTGATCCTACCCCGCTCTCTGATGCCCTCCCCAACTCCCTCGAGTTAACCATCCCAACTGGTGCCTCTGGTCAAGTCGGATTCGGCAATGAGGGCTATTGGGGTATGTCCAACTGACCATGGGGTTTTATACACCGAGTTCACTACCTTCCCTCCAGGCATAAACGTCAACTCCTCTTGGACTTACAACTCCTCTTTCTACTACAAATTCCCCAGTGCATCAGACTTTTCTGGAAAGCTCACTGTCATGCTTCAGTCTGCTACTGGTGCAGTCTATGCAAGCGCTTCTGTCCCTGTCTCCGGCTCCACCACAACCTGGACGCAGGTCATGATGTCTCTTACGCCTGCCTCAAGTCCTGCATCAACTGCTAACAACTTCACGGTCACGGTCGATGGTGCCAGCGCTATCGGAGAGACGATCAACTTTGCAATGTTCTCCCTCTTCCCTCCGACGTTCAAGGGTAGAGCCAATGGTCTGCGCATGGATGTTGCACAGGTATGTTAGTTTTCATCTGGAGTGCAGGCAGTATGTTCTGAGAGCAGCACATAGACATTATATGACATGAAGTCTTCGTTTTTCCGTTTGCCTGGTGGTAACAACTTGGTGAGCTCCGTGTAGCGCCATATTCATCCACGCTGACTATCAATGTAGGAGGTAAACATAAAAATCGACCGGCCTATTTGTGGACTCTATCATTGATACAACGCCAGGGCCAAAGCTTTTCTACACGCTGGCAATGGAATGCAACAGTAGGCAAACTAATTGACCGTCCAGGACGTGTGGGTGACTGGGGATACATCAACACCGAGTTCGCACCATTCTAGTGACTTGACTCTGCCATCAATAACAAAATGCCCTCCCTTTTTCTCAGCGGTCTCGGTCTTCTCGAGTATATGTATCTTTGCGAAGATATGGAAATGAAGCCCATTATGGCTGTATGGGCAGGTATATAACAGTCGCGCATTCCATATCATTTGTATGCTTACTTCACGCACAGGGTACTCGCTCAACGGGGCCAGCCTCCCTGAGAACGAGCTCGCACCATACATCCAACAGGCAATCGACCAGATCAACTTTGTCATCGGGAACCCCGCCACGAGTGAACCAGCTGCCCTGCGTGCATCTCTTGGCCACCCAGAACCATTCCCTTTGCAATATGTCGAGATTGGCAATGAAGACTTCTTTGCATCGGAATCGTAAGTTTTTGACCTAAACTAATAATGAATGAGCATGTCGATGATACGCTACAAGGTATATCTACCGCTGGAGAGACTTCGCGGACAACTTGACGGCTACGTTCCCTCAGCTGAGTGAGCGCTGCAATATTTGCGCAGGAGCTTGCTCTGACTGAGGCATTTCTTGGTAGAGTTTATCGCGACCTCGTACCCCTTCGATCCCATCCTCGATCCCATCCCAAAGCAGTACGACAATCACGTGTACCAGACACCTGGCTGGTTCGCAGAAAATGCATTCTACTACGATTCTTTCGAGGTTCGTACGCTCTACATTTGCATCGCGTCATACTGGGAAGCTGACTGTGATACAACCGAAAGCGCAATGGCACTTACTACTTTGAGGGTGAATATGCCGTCGTATCGACCAACGCCAGCGATATCTTCGGCACGCCTGCCAACGGTCGCCTCGTATACCCTGATATGCAGGGTGCGTGCTCTCTCGTGGCCATGAATCGTACCTGACACCAGGATAGGATCTTCGGCAGAAGCTGCATTCATGACTGGTCTAGAGCGTAACAGTGACATCGTCTTCGCTGCGTCGTATGCTCCCTTGTTAATGGTCAGCTTAATTTGTACAGTGAAATCAGAGTGAACACTAAAATTATAAGCACTGTAGAACGTTGCCAACTATCAGTGGACACCCAACCTTGTTTCTTTTGAGTGAGTTACTTGCAAAAACAATCGAGGATGTGCATCAGGTTCATGTCCCCTTAGTGCATCACAGGTGTACCCATCAACCAGCTTCTATACACAACAGGTAGCAATATTTGATATCTGAGTGGAATTGCGTCCCTCACATCTGCTACAGCTCTTCAGTGTCAACCGTGGAACAGAATATCTCCCAAGCACCCTGCCTACTGTAAATGGGGCACTCCACTGGAGTGTCACGCGTGATGCACCCACGAACACGGTTATCATCAAGGTACTTCAGGCTCTCCTTCTCCTGTCACGATGTTCATATTTCGTTACCAAGATCGCCAACACGGGCACGACAGCTGAAGAAATGGCATTCGAGCTTCCCTTCGACGGTGTTCACGGCACTGGTACTGCGACAGTCCTCTCAGGCTCTGGCACTGCAAGCAACTCGCCTGAGGCTCCCAACGCTGTTGCGCCCGTCATTTCACAGGTTAAAACTGGTAAGAGTTTTTCATACACTGTCCCAGCGTACAGTGTCAACGTGTTGCGAGTGGAGGTGCAGTAGGGGATAGAGCGTCGCTTGGCTACATTTACATGTCATACCCCGACAAAAAAGTAATCATAGCCTTATACCAGACAGATGTCTGTACCTTCTTTTGTGACTCAATGTCAGCACACATGAGCTGCTGAACATGATGGCATGCAACTCTGTTGGCTGCCAAAAAGCTTCCGACCCCCTTAGGCAGGACCACTGATTGATAATATAAATCATAATGCATACAGAACTTGCGTCTCTGTGTGGACAAAAATGGAGACGCGAACCATGTCGTGCAGGTCCAGATCCAGACACTGAGCACCGGATTTGAGAAGTTCGACTTAGATCTACTGTCTTGACTCGTGGATGAACTAGATCTGGAGATTACGCCGAAGGCCTCTGAGAGATGCAATAAATCGGCAATATGTGGTATGGTATGAAGACTGCTGCCTGCACCCTGGCACCCACTCCTGCTGAGCTCCGTGTGGCGGTGGGCACTACAATTGGAGGTATGCATGATATTATGACCTATGATATAATACAGAGTTGGACAGGATAATAAAAGGTTGTTCGTTCAGCTTGATGGAGCGGACTGGGAGGACGCTGGTGGTTTTGGCATGATATTCCACAGCTCCCTCTTCTGTACCATTGTGAGCTTGACGTCCTTCCCGACGTATGGCTTCAGCTAATGTTAGTAAAACAATAGACGAAGGGGGCAGACATCGAACGAGGGTTGATATACGTGTTCGTGAGTAACGATTAAGAGGAGACGGGGTGCGGATGCAAAGAAAAAGGACAGCAAAGAAAAAGTAGTCAGAGAAGAGGTAAATCGATAACAACTATAGCACGCACCTCGCTTTTCTTGATCTCCTCTATACTCGGCGCGACAAATACCCTCACTTTCTCGTCCAGTAAACGGTACTTCGACGCGCCTCGAATAACATGTTTTCCTGGGGCACCTGTGCGATGCCCACCAGGGAGAAATGCTTGTCTAGTTCCTGCGTACGGTGTGAGTGTCGAAATAAGAAGACCAGTCGTTTAGACGAAAAACATAATTAAAGACGGCCCAACGCAAGTGAGAAACAATTCCAAAAAAGTAATTGCTCGACCCACCTTTATAAAAATCCTTATTCCCCCGCTTCGGTGTCAAAGCACGCCGCGAGGCTTTCGAAAGACAGACAGCCGTGAAGAACATTGATGAATGACTTCAAGTCTCTAGACAACTTCCGAAATTTCAATCAGTTGCTTACATAAGCAATTCGACATCGAAGTTCCTCCTCGGCTTGAAGTTTAAGAGTTCGATATTAATCATGGGCAAAAAGAACACTCCAAACACTTCATCCTCCCGTGCGCACAGACAAAAGCGTGGTGGACGCGCACAACGGCACGGTAGCGCACGAGCCTCCAAGCAATCCCAAACACTGTCTAGCTTCCCCGAGGACGCCGCCAAGCCATCAAGCATTATCGAAGATGAAAGCTCAGATCGTTCCTCAGGCGAAGATGATGAATGCGAGTGATTTATCGAGGTAGTCGAACCGCCACTCACGAGCGCACAGTTGTGCGACCGCACATTGATGTACCCGTGGCGATGTGGGTGCGTAAACTCATCATTCGCTCTGTGCCGTTTTCATGATACGTAATTTAAATAATCAAGGACTTTGACCATTGCGATCCACGCCGATGCTCTGGGAAGAAACTCGCCCGCCTCGGCCTCATAACGGAACTGAGGGTGGGATCCAGATTTCGGGGCATAGTCGTATCGTGCGTCTGTCCCGCCCCAAACGTCCATTCACGCTCACTGTAACAACGATCATTTGTTGACCACAGCCCAAAAGCGACCCTCATCGTGAGTCCAGCCGATAGAGAGATCGTTGGACGAGACGGTGTCGCCGTCGTCGAATGTTCTTGGGCCCGTATAGACGACGTCCCATTCTCGAAAATTGCCAGCCCGCACGAACGGATTCGTAAGTCCATTTGTATCTCACATACATCTCTGATGATGGGTCATTGGCAGTCCCCTACCTGCTTGCCACCAACCCCACCAATTACGGCAAGCCTTGGCGGTTGAACTGTGTCGAGGCGCTTGCAGCGACCTTCTACATTACAGGGTTCGATCAGCATGCAGAGACTCTCCTCAGTTCGTTTGGGTGGGGTGATGCTTTCTGGGAAGTCAACAGGTGCAGTCCCTTTTACGATCATACTTTTCTGTACTAATTTAAATGTTGATGGTAGTCCATACCTCAAACGATACCAAACATGCGCATCGGCAGAGCAGGTTGCCTTGATGCAGGAGACCATTATTGCAGAGCTCCAGGAGAGCTACGAGGAATCACGCAGAGAGAAAGGTTTGCTCGTTTCTGTCTGTGTATTTCGATATCTCATGTCTCGAAGATGCAGCTGGGAGCACTGAGGATCTTCTCGTGCGGAATCCTAATCATGCCATGCCCAGTGATGATGATGGGTCAAGGTCTGCGTCAGAGGACGACGTAGAATGATGTCAGTGAAGGTCAAACATTTAATTTAAATTACCCTACTATGATGTCCTTTGGTCTGTTGTCCTCTAGTATCCATCGAGCAATCCCAGGGATGCAACCTACTCTTAAACATTCTCTTCAAGCTTCGAAGCACCTGATACTTCCGTATTGGACGTTGTAGATGGGAAATACAGACCTACTCACGCGGTACAAACAAAACCCCATCTACGTGCATATTTGGACTATAAATCATGACTCCCATTGCACAGGTTCTTTTGATGTATGTAGACTACTTGGAGACTGGAGAAAAAATCATATGGGAGTGGCAATCCTCCCAATCTGTGATAACCTCCGGCTCGCATATGTATATTCTTGAGGATGTTGCAAGAAACTCTTCTATGTGTATGTCCGATCTCTTCGATCAAGGCAAGGATGGAGGTACTCTGATCGCATCTGAGGCGCGTCAGCCCAACCTGGTGGTGTGAGAGTTGATATCGAGATACGGGAGCTGGGTGGTTGAGCAATTGCCATGAATCGGGTGGGGGTGGCAAAAAGTGGTGTTTACGTTGCCTACTGAATCCAACCTGCTCTTTCGCTTCTCGTAGACAAGCTTCGGTTTGGATACATCGGAGTTCAGGTAGGTCACGAAATCTCTCTGGGCTCATGAGGCGACGGCGGCGTTACGGATACATTAGCGTCGCTTGAGGGCATGTGCATAAGGCGAAGGCACTTGCGCACGCAGGGAATGCAGCAATGACGACATTCAAGAATCCATATAAGAATGCCCTCCATTAAGGTTCGTCATATGCCAACAACACAAAGGAATTAACCGCAGTGCCATGGTTGAACGTTGAACGGCATCAGGAGATACTTGCGGAGAACCCCTGGGAGAACCTCATGGAGCGGGGTAATATTTGCTCTCGGTTTTGCCAACTACACGTACTCACTGCACTCCAGATGTCCTGAGTAGCACCTCCTGGCATATCAAGCCCTTGAATTTCTTGCTACATTCATGTGATATCGTGCCACATACATCAGGTCCGTTGAATACGATGCTACACTAGAGGGTATCAATATCGAATACATTTAGGCGTCTGCAGCCAACAAGAGTGATGGCTGGGATGCTTGCGCATTTGTAATTTCCTTGTAAATAAGTACTGTAGCTTTACTCAATGAATGGACACATTGCAGTGGCATTTCGGCGTACCTTTGAGGTCCTCTTTTTGTAGAGCCTCGCCGTTGTCGAAGTCGAAGAAGGAGGGGTCGATGGGGTCGGCTATGGGCTCATCATCAGGGTCATGATAGGGCTGTTACGCGGGGTCAGCGGGGAAAATATTGAAGAGGAAACACAGACTTCGAAGTAAGGGTGTTGCAGAGCTTCGACGACAGTTATTCGCCGTCTTGGGCTGAATGTTAGGCATTTCTCTAGGAAATCTATTGCCTGTGGGAAGGGATATCTCAGTCGTTGCAGACACAGTGTCAGGTGTGCAGAAAATGGGACGATGACTCACAAGAGGGTTGGCGGCTGGGAAGAGCTGGGAAAATGGTTTGCTCTTGCGGAACGGCAGTGCACGGATGTATTCTCTTGATCTTTGTGAGGAGATGGCATAGAAGTCATCGATAGAGGGTGTGCCGAGGACGTCTAATATAATTGATAGCTGGTCGTGATCTAATTCAAGAAGGTTGAGGGGGCGACACGGAAAAAATGTGTTCATGATTTGGATTATACTTACCTTGATGTGGGGATGGGAATCAAGAAACGTGAGTAATTGGGCAAGGGATGAATGGAAGACATCATACAGTCACGTCCAGGAAATAGAGGTTTCCCGCTGAGCATTTCGGCGAGGACACAACCAACGCTCCACATGTCAATGGCACGAGTGTATTCTTTGAAGGTAAGCATGACCTCAGGTGCACGGTACCATCTTAGGATGCCGGGTTGGTCATAACAAATTTTGTAGGAAAACAGATGTTAATCATACCTGGTCGCGACATATTCGGTCATGAATGTGCTACTATCATTAGCAACATTTGGCGGCGGTCGAGCGGAACGAGCAAGACCGAAGTCGCATACCTAGGGGGTGTTTAAAGCTGTGCACATATGTTCAGCAATGTTAACGGCACGTACCTTGAGGTCGCAATTTGCATTCAATAGCAAATTTGAAGGTTTCAAGTCTCGGTGGAGGACGTCTGCGGAGTGGAGTGCTTTCAGGGCACGTAACGCCTGGTAAATACGATGAGGGAAAATTGTTCTGTACCAAGACTTGTACTTGGTGTATATGTATTTCCGCAGCGTACCTGATAAATAAAATACTGACAGTGGTCGTCACTCAGTTGCTGTGTGCGTATAACGCGATGTAGGTCTGTTTCCATGAGCTCCTGAACGAGGTAAACCTCTCTGAATTGATCGAAGCTTGGAGGTTGGAGGATATCGAGGATAGAAATGATATTTTCGTGACGGAAATGACGAAGGAGTTTTATCTCGCGCAAGGTTCGGAGACAGAACATGGAGTGATCGAAAGGTGCTATGCGCTTTATGGCTACTTTGCGTTGAGATGTATTATGTATTGCTGAACTGAGAGGAAAGTGAGCACAGTCGACTTGCAGACAGGATATGACGATACCAGACGATACCGTATGCGCCCTCTCCGATGAGCTCAAGGACCTGGTAAGATTTGTCGGCGCAGAAATCCTCGAGAGAGAGATCCATGTTCTGGAATTTAGTTCACGGAAGATAGAGAGCAGATAGATGGAACAAGTACTTACATGCCGAACAATAACAAGATTGGGGGGGTTGAGATCTTGGTGAAGTGGGAGATATTTGGGGGGTTATTCGGCTAATTTTGCTGATGGCTTATCAATCAATATGATAATAATTTAATTCCTTTAACGAGCAATCTCCGAGCACCTGCCAAGGCACTTTCCAACCCAGGTTTTCTCCTGCTCGACCCGTTCTCCTCCTCCTCTTCCTCCTTCTCCCTTCTTTATTCAAATCTTCTTTAATCATGCCTTCAAACGAAAAATTGGACCCTGAAAAACTTTCAGTGGATGATAATGAGAGATATACAGATTCTGACCGTGACAAGGATAAATCTCACAAGTCAAAGTCTTCTTCAAAGTGTATTACAAGTCTCCTTTTCTCTTTCTCTCCTAGACTTAATATCTTCTCCTCTAGCCAAAGATCTCTCCCATGTACCTTGTAAATTCTTCAAGGTTGGCGCTTGCACAGCAGGCTCTTCTTGTCCCTTCTCCCATAACGTCCAAGAGCCTGGTCAGCAGAAGGACGTCTGCGCATGGTTCGTCAAGGGGAACTGCAAGTTTGGCCACAAGTGTGCCTTAGCCCACGTTCTTCCAGGCCAGAGTATGTCTATGGACAGGAAAAATAAGAAGTCGGCCCAGCTCGCTGCCAACGCTGCGGGAGGTGCTGGTCCAAAGGATAGCTCAAAGGCAGGGAGGAGTGCCAGGAAAGATCCTAATGCGCACAATGGCTCAGGAGTCGCTTCTCCTCCAGGCAATGTTCGTGGAGGGCTTCTTTCCGGCTCCACAGCTCCCACAAGGACTCTCAGCGCTTCCTCTCGTCCCCCAATTTCCATGCCGTTAAAGGCCACAATTTCCCCATCCGCCCCTGCCCCACCCCTCAAAGATACCGATTTCGCCTCATTTTCCCTTCCAGATGACACAGAAAAGTTGCCAGCAACGCCTCTCCAGAGGCGACATACCCCTCCCTTCGAACCCGAGTCACCAGCACCCGCTCAAGATAGCGAGTTTAAGGAAGACAGCAAAAATCACTCCCCACCAACACTCCCTCTCAGCATGCCTAGCACGCGACGTTCGGGTCTATCACATCGCCCTACAGATTCTGCAGATCTTGGCCCCATTGGTTCCCCGCCACGTGGCTCTCTTCCCCGTACTGGACCCGCTAATGGATTTTCACCTGCTACATCGCCTACTGCTGCTCAAGCAATCTCCTCCACGCTACCCGCTCAGTCTCAAACTGTATTCCAGTCCTATGATGCCAAACCCTCCATACTGGATACGAAACATCGCTCCGGTCTCGCCGCATCTCTCGGCACGTGGAAGACGGAACTTGGTCCTGTCCCTTCGCAAGTTGTCAACCGTGGGGACGGTAGTCTCAATATGCGTGGTCTCGACCACGAGGTTGCTGTAGAGGACGAAGATCTCGAGGAGTTCCTGCCAAGCTCCCTTAATGATCTTTTGACCCCCGAGGAACGTTCTCGCAGAATGTCGCGTACAAACTCTGTTCGCCCTGCTCAGGTCCACAACAATGGTCTCGGCCTTGACCCTCCCTTCCTCACTGCGCATTCGCAAGCGGAAGGCTCTCGCCACCATTATTCACGTTCCGTGCCTGCTACCTCGCTCCTCGGCGATGTAAAGTCTATTTGGGCAGAGCGGACCGGCGGGCTTCCTGGCTCTCCTGACACATCACATGCATTCAATCTCGCAGTTGGAACACCTAGTTCATTCAAATCCTCGAGCGGCTTCGGAGGACGCTCCTTTACTAATGAAGACGTGAATCCATCTTCTTCCCTTCTTTCTCCATCCAATGCTTCTGCCGCTTTTCTGCCTTCTTTGCACCAGTATTACCTTAACTCAAAGCCAAGTGGCATCCAGCGTTCTACTTCTGGTCTCGGCCGACCTGCTGGATCCCCCCTACAACCACCCACCCCCCAGAACCCACCCCCGACCTCATTCTCTCCCCCGCGGATCAGCTCTCTCGGTGGCCATCGCACACCGTTTGACGAACACGCATCTGGACGCCCCATTCCATTTGGTGAGGGTGAGGAGCGCCCAGCTGCTATTTCCCCCTCCATCCGGGCTCTGCAGGCACATGCACCGGGGCAGAGTTTGCCGCAGGGGCTTGCGGCAGGTTACTCTCGCATTCATGCACTCCCGATGACAATGTCACCTTCCTCGGCCGCAGCCTTCAGCCCTAGCTCCAACAACAACCCATACAGCCTTAACCAGGACTGGGTCGGGGGCTCCGCGAGCCAGGCGGACCATCTGTTCGCTGCAGATGCGGGAGGCGTGCCTCTCTCGAGCTCGATGGCGGGCCTGGAGTCGATGTTCTCGCGCCTGTCATACTCTGCTGCGGCGACGTCGCGGTCGCCGCTGAACAACACCGGCCTGGCGCATTCACCAACTCAAGGCTCGCCGCTGGGTGTGCAGCGTGGCCCTCCTGGCAACCGGAACTGGCACGCGCAGAGCCCGTTGAGCAAGCCCGTTGTTACGGCGGATGATGATGAGCTGTTCAGTATGGATGGATGAGTACTAAGCTGCGCGTAGAAGTAAAAAGTAAGTGTTGTAAAAGCAAGTGTACGCGATGACGAATTGTTGTTGTTATAATTGCTAGCCGCGCCTCTGCTTTGGTTTCAGGGACGCCATACCTCACTCTCTTGTTGTATTGCATGGTGTATGTATGTGTGGGGGCCGTCAGATGCATCTACGTAAAATATATTTATACCACCTCTCTAATCATCGGTTCAGGTCGTGATGTCAAAGTTATTGATGTTTTTGCTGCCATGTGTGCCAGGTTTAGATTTTATTCCACGGACTGCAGCTGGTGTGTTGCTCGACACAAATAGTTCATGAGCACGTGACCGCGTCTGTGTCAACTTGATGCGTTAGCAGTTCTTCTGCCACAATCATGATTGAACCTACTGCCATAATTGACCTCACCACCTCCAGAGCTGCAAGGAATCCGACGTCGTCAGCAACACATCTGACCACTGCGAGAAATCTTCAGGCTACGCTGGATGATGCAAAAGCGGGACTCCGAATAGTCAATGCCCGTGCTGAACTATCCGCACATACGTGGGATGGTATTGAAGAATGGGTCGGTGAAGATGGTGCTCTGGGACTCAAAGATCCTAAGATCGTTGAGAGTGATGTACAAGCGCAGATCGTGCGTGTGTTACATGTCCAATTTGCGATTCAACCGTCGACCCTTCACACTAGTCTTTCCTAAGAAAGCTCAAGTTTCTTTACCTGGAACAAAATGCAAAGGATAAATATGTGAAGACCATTGTCAGTGACGACGCCCCACTGGTGACACCTGTGCTAAACGAAGAACTCCGACTACGGAATGAGGAGAAGAAGGCTGCGCTGCGTGAGCACAAAGCGAAGCTAGCAGAGAGAAGGGATGATCTCCGAGCACTTTCTGGATTCGTAGAAGAAGGCTCGTTTCCTGGACTACTGCGTTTTTCATTTGCTTCATGCTAAAAGTCGGTGTAGATTACAAGAAAGCACAGGCCCTCACTCTCCAAGCATCCACACTCTCACAAAAGATACTCGATGCGCGTTTATCACTTACCCGCTTGCGACAGGCCCATCCCCATCCTCGACTAACAATAACCACGGCGAACCAGCAACTCGATGGTCAAGTAGAAGAGATGCAAGCACTAGACGCGGAACTCGCATATGCGCACGAGAAGATTGCCACTGTACGAGAGCGGATAAAAGTTGGGACGGGTGAGGTCGAGAAGCTGAGGAGTGTCAGGGCAGAGGTCGAGAAGGCTGTGGAAATCGGCGCGGGTGAAAGAGTGGAAGACGGAAGAGTGGTTGGACTGTATGATTGGTACGTAACTTCTAACATCAGACTACTTCTCGTTTCTAACTTTCTTGGATTTCACGCAGGTTCTCAACCACGACCTCAACCCACCATGCGCTCGTTTCGCTTCTCTCTGCGTATAGTGAGTCCGGCAACGAGCTACGCCTCGCCTACCGCGTGCATGAGCGTGAGGTATGTATGACGCTGTTGTTCATACCTAATACGCGTCGCTTGGCCGAGGCACGGGTGGAGGGTGTCGAGGAAAGCGCAATTGGAGATGTCGTGGATGCGCACGTCATGGCAAACGATGTATCCGGGCTTGTGTGGGCTGTGCTCGCGAGAGCAAGGGCTACATAATGGACATTCTTTGTCGATTCATGGAGGACAATGTGGCGCCCACAGGACCGTCACTTCTTTACTCTTGCACGCTGTTCGTTACTTGGGAGTCAATATCCACGGCCGCTGCACTTATGGCTTCGAGGACACTTCGTTGAGTCGATTCAAAAAAAGATCGGCGTATTTCGCGTCTTGTAAAAGAGACGTTGCTGAGCGCTGAACGACCTGCAAAACGTCCGTCATGATCCAACGCCGTGCGACGGCTGAGCGCTGAAGATGAAGTAAGTGGGGGTGTGAGAGGCGGAAAACGAGATGGGACTTCATAGCACACAGAGAGACATAGAGGAGACCACATGAGTCGATGGATTACCCGAGGTGAGGGTACTTCAATATGCAGTTAACCATCAACCATTTTCGTTCCCCCGTTTACCTCTCTTTCACGAAGCTGGGATGCTGTGGTGGCAGTGTACCCCAGGTACATGTGACTTGTCTTCAGGGTTACATTTAAGTATGACTCGGAACTGCTCGTGAGTGGAGACGACGAGGGAACGGTTCACCTTTGGTCCATCCAAAAACACTTTCGCCAGCAATCAAACTGAGTTCCTCGTCTTACTCCTACTTTTCGTATGGGACGAAACCTCTATCCAGCAGCCCTTTTCGACGCGGCCAAGGTTTGTATCACATACCTCATTGTTCTAACAAGTATGATGATATTGCTAATTCGGAAGTCATTGAGCTCAACCCATCTTCTTCTCTTGACTACGAACTGAAGCATGCAGCACTTCACGGCTATGCAGACGCAATTGACGTCTTCAAAATCTGACGCTCCCGACGGACAGATGCAAGGTAAGCCCAAAATAAATTGTCAACATGAAGATGATTGATTCGTTCTCCAGAGCTACGTCAGAAATATAGCAGCCAATCTGAAGTAGAACCCACTGCTCAATGAGTCACTTATGCGAAACTGGAAAATGCTCCACTCTGTCTATTCAACACCTCCACTGGGCGTTTATGCAATCGGAAACCACAGGTTAACGCCTTCATGTAAGGCAGTATATACTCCTCCAAACGTAGCTCATCAGTTCGGTTGGGTCATGCTATCACATAGGTGAGAAATCAAGGAGCCGCTGCTGCACGACGTTAAGGGTGAGGATGTGTACATATCGCGTCCAGTTGGAACCATGGCGAAGATACAGAAATTCTGGAAAGTCGCTCGTGATGCGGGGCGTCGCTGGGCGTGGAGCGATACGTGCTGCATTGACCAGTGCAACGATGTTGAGCTCCAAGAATCAGTAAATTCCATGTTCGCCTGGCATCGCCACAGCACTCACTGTCATCTACCCATAGGATGTTCCGCCTTCTTCAGAATCTGGCGCACTCGCAAACAGCGTTTGGATCACTCGAGAATGGACTGTTCAAGAGTCACTGGTTCCTACTATCGTTCTCTTCTACCAAGCAGGTTGGGACGCTATATTTCGACGATCGCTCACCCAACCACAAGCAATTTGTCAGTATCATGCAGGAGCTGGAGTATTCAAACGGCATAAATGCACCGGCGCTCGTCGCGTTCTGCCCGGGGATGACAGGCTCACGGAAAAAACTTCAATAGGCGTCGACCCGTGTCACTATGTTAGAGAAAGTCATCGCGTACTCATTGTTTGGTATCTTTGGCATCTACCTTCTTGCAAAATATGGACAGAAGAAACGAAACGCGCTCCGACGACTCTTGCGGGAGATCGTAGCTCATTCGGGCGATATTTCTGCCCTGGACTGGGTCCGTAAATCATCCAACTTCTATAGTTGTCTACCAGCCGACATTGCCTCATAAAATGCTTCGACATGCATACTGCCATCTCTATCTGAAGACGAGATGCAGCAATTGGTCTCGACGCTGCGAAATCCTGTGGCTATGGGGTCAGCATGTAAACCCTTTTTAACGATCTCAACGTTCCTCGTTTCGCGAACGTCAGACTGCAGTTGCCTTGCCTTATATTTCGTCTCACAGCAGTCAGACGGAAGCCTGGTCAAAATGTAAACAAATGCTTTACCTATGATATCAAGGCAGACGGGCTCCAAGACCTGGCAATGAGAATGGAAGACAAGCTGATTTTATTCTTGTCTGCATGGCCTACTCAGCAGATATTCTTGCTCATCTGTCCATGGAATTGTTATGATCTTGAGCTCCCCGATTTTGCGGACGAGACGCGGTGCGTGGGGGATTGGCCCAATGAGCTTGGGTTTTCTGGAGACAAACGAGCCGGCTGATGCACAGTCTCATACACGAGAGTTAAGCTCGCCCATTTGAAAAGACGGCGTTTGTCCATCCACCCGCCGTATTGTATATTCCTTCTTACTGTTGTGGTGGGGAATAAAAGTCCTTCATGAGTCGTTGAGATGTGTCCTTGCTAGCTACTTACTGCCCAATAATGGCGGCGCCATCCCTCAGCTTCCGCTTTAGAGCACGACTTCACTCGCCCGTGTGTGGTTACCAAGCTAACTCGCCCTTTACGATTTCCACACAAACATGTAAGTGCATTCCACAATCTACTTGTAAGGATCGTTTGCTTCGCACGACACACGATTCTATGCCACCGTCACTGGAAGCCGGACGGAGTCGGGAGCCGGGGTTTGCAGCGCCCTGATACCGGCGGGCGAGAATCGGCAAATTCCGGGTTGTGGGAGGTGCAGCTTGAAAGCGTAAAAACCCATACTAGTAGCAGTACCACTTACGTCTTTCCCCGCCTCCATTGCTGCTGCTCTCGCCATCGTCGTCGTAGTGTAGCCTTTTAAAATGATTACGCGCACTGCAATACGGCGTTTTCCAAGTGTCTTCAGTGCTACTAGTGCTGCTCGCTTTACTCCGACAGTTCTGCACCGGACCTTAGCTACTCCCGCAACACCACCTTCTCCGAATGACCCCTTCGCAAACGGCACCAATGCATACTACGCAGAGGAGATGTACAGGAATTGGAAGCAGGATCCAAAGTCTGTTCATGCCTCTTGGAATGCCTACTTCTCAGGCATGGAGCATGGCCTTCCTAGCGCCAAAGCTTTCCAGCCACCTCCAGGCCTAATTACACCACCTGCAGACGGTGCCCCTGCACTTTATGCCGGTGGAGGTTCTGAGCTTGATGACCATCTCAAGGTGTGACTCATGCTCTCTGTTATGTTGCCGTATAGCTGATCCCATATAGGTACAATTACTTGTACGGGCTTATCAAGTCCGTGGTCATCATGTCGCCGAGCTGGATCCCCTCGGCATTCTAGATGCTGACCTGGCAGATGTTCACCCTCCCGAACTCGAACTAAGCCGCTACGGGTTCACCGAGCGCGACTTGGACAAGCAAATTGCTCTTGGGCCAGGTATCCTCCCCCATTTCGCGACAGAGGACCGGAAATCAATGAGTTTGAGGGAGATCATCGCACTTCTCAAACGGATATACTGTGAGTTATGTTTTTATTTATTTAACCTAACTGAAATCCTGATTTTGTCTGTAGGTGGTGCTGTGGGCATTCAGTATGTTCACATTCCGGACAAGGAGCAGTGCGACTGGATCAGGGAGCGTGTCGAGATTCCAAAGCCCTGGAACTATACAGTGGAGGAGAAGCGCATGATTCTTGACCGTCTCATATGGTCAGAGTCCTTCGAGAAATTTATCGCTAGCAAGTACCCGAATGAGAAGCGTTTCGGTCTCGAAGGCTGTGAGGCGTTGATTCCTGGCATGAAGGCGCTCATCGACCGATCCGTGGATCATGGTGTCAAGCATGTCACGATGGGCATGCCTCACCGTGGTCGCCTTAACGTTCTTGCCAACGTCATTCGCAAACCCATCGAAGCCATTTTGAACGAATTTTTGGGTACGGATGTTGACAACCCAGCGGGCGACGTCAAATATCATCTTGGTGCCAATTATGTTCGCCCAACGCCGTCTGGCAAGAAGGTCTCCTTGTCGCTTGTTGCCAACCCATCACATCTAGAAGCCGAAGATCCTGTTGTCCTGGGCAAGACCTATGCCATACAGAACGTTGAGGGCGATGAGTCCACTCACAACACTGCCATGGGTGTGCTGCTTCACGGTGATGCCGCATTCGCTGGTCAGGGAATAGTCTACGAAACCATGGGCTTCCACAACTTACCCAACTATGGTACTGGTGGCACCATTCATCTCATCGTGAACAACCAGATCGGTTTCACTACTGACCCTCGCTTCGCTCGTTCCACTCCTTACTGTTCCGATATCGCCAAGTCCATAGACGCCCCAATTTTCCACGTTAATGGTGACAACGTTGAAGCTGTCAACTTCGTATGCCAACTCGCGGCTGATTATCGCGCAAAGTACAAACGTGATGTTGTAATCGACATCGTTTGCTACCGTCGTTACGGCCATAATGAAACGGATCAGCCCCATTTCACTCAACCGCGGATGTATCAGGCGATTGAAAAGCAGCCAACACCACTTACCCAGTACACGAAGTTCCTGGTCGGCCGCGGGACCTTTACTGAGAAGGATATCGAGGAGCATAAGAAGTGGGTTTGGGGGATGCTGGAGAAGGCTGCTGGTGCGGCGAAGGATTATGTTCCGACCAGCAAGGAATGGCTATCCGCATCTTGGCAGGGTTTCCCTTCCCCTCGGCAATTGGCAGAAGAGACACTGCCAACCCGTGCTACAGGTTCTGATGAAGATATTCTCAAGCGCATTGGAAAGGCCATTTCATCATATCCTCCTGGTTTTACCCCGCATCGCAACCTTGCTCGTATCCTCAGCGGCCGTGGCAAGACAGTTGAAGAAGGTCACAACATTGACTGGTCAACCGCCGAGGCTCTTGCATTTGGCTCTCTTGCTCTCGAAAAGATACACGTGCGCGTCTCCGGTCAGGATGTGGAAAGAGGTACATTCTCTCAGCGGCACGCTGTCATTCATGATCAGAAGAATGAACAGCAGTATATCCCTCTGAACGACCTCGGTTCAAATCAAGCTCGGTTTGTCGTATGCAACTCGTCATTATCCGAATACGGAACTCTCGGATTTGAATTGGGCTACTCACTAGTTTCACCGAGCTCCCTCACTATGTGGGAGGCACAGTTTGGCGACTTCGCCAATAATGCCCAGTGCATCATCGATCAATTCATCGCCTCTGGTGAACGGAAATGGTTGCAGCGCTCTGGCCTTGTCATGAGCTTGCCGCACGGGTATGATGGTCAAGGTCCTGAGCATTCAAGCGGAAGGATTGAGCGCTTCCTCCAACTCTGCGACGATCATCCCAACGTCTTTCCTACACCAGAGAAAGTTGAGAGGCAGCACCAAGATTGCAATATGCAAGTTGTGTATCCAACGTACGTGTATCTTTCCAACCCCCATGACGCCACTGATCAGGTTGTCTCAGTACGCCCGCTAATTATGTGAGTTCTTCCCTTTGGTTTCGTGAGTATCCCGCTGAGTTTCTTGCAGTTCCATGTGCTCCGTCGTCAAATTCACCGCGACTTCCGCAAGCCACTCATTATTTTCTTTTCGAAATCACTTCTGCGCCATCCCAATGCTCGTTCGGATCTTTCGGAGATGGTTGGCGACACTCACTTCGAACGCTACATTCCCGATTCCCATCCTGAACACCTAGTGCCTGCTGAGGAAGTGAGGCGTCACATCCTCTGCACCGGTATGTCGCACCGTTATTTTGTTTTTGAGTGACCTCACCATGGGATTAGGTCAAGTATACCAGACACTCATTCAGGAGCGTGACGCCAAGGGCATCAAAGATGTGGTCATTAGCCGCATCGAGCAGATCTCACCTTTCCCCTACGACCTCGTGAGTAAGCTTAGCTAGGTCATCTACAGTGTTTTACTAACATTTACATTTACAGATCACTCCTCATCTTGACAAGTATCCCAACGCAGATATACTTTGGTGCCAGGTAAACTTTTTTTGTCGATTCTTGATATTCCAGCTAACCCGTACGTAGGAGGAGCCATTGAATAATGGGGCGTGGACTTATGTTGGACCCCGTATTCTAACTGCCGCCAACGAGACACAGTACCACAAAGGCAAATATCCGTACTACGCTGGAAGGCAGCCAACGAGCTCCGTCGCTACAGGTAGCAAAGTGAGTGGTTGGGCCTTTTATCTTCTACCTACTCTAATCCATGCGAACAGGCCCAGCACAAGAAAGAAATCGAGGAGTTCTTAGCCGCTGCCTTTGCTTAGTACGTACGATGCTCAGTGGCCATAATACATATCGTAGCGGCGCGCAAGCGCCGGTCCCCTCTTTTGATATGCTGGCGTACAAGTGCTTTGGGCATAGCAATCATTAATCTCGAGAATATTTTCAAGACTAAGATCTAGAGAGCTTTACTGTTTAACATTTAGCATTGAGCATTCTGTGAGGTTAGACAATATTTCACATATACTCACATTCCCTATAATCACACGCCGTGATCGATTGATCCTGTACATCCCCTTTGCAAAGTCAAAATTTATTCGTACGTTCGTGCGGCAGTACTTACATAATTTCATAAACCACTCGATGCTGAACTTTTGATATGCTCGAAATCATTTTGCCAAGTGCCGTTCTCGTTGATTTTCTTGGCCGACAGACCTGAATTCTGCCCCCTACACTAGTGAAATTCGGAACATCGATTAAGCAAACTTGATTTCCAAAACTTTACGCGCAATGAGACCACGTCCTGTCCCCCTGTTGCCCCGTTACGACATTGGGCGTACCAGACTTCCAGTTGAAGTGTATCTTCCTCGCCGCAATCTGCAATCATTACTTCTCATACAGGACGTGAACGACTTGGGTACAATAACCGCGACAACGAAAAACAAGGGAAAGGTGAAGTCAAACGCGAAAGCGATACGAAGGCTAAGTGGCAATTGTATATATCACTGGGACGACATCCAGCACGTCCACAAATAAGAATTCAAAATCAAACTGCAGGGGTATCATCCATCTCGTGCGTGTGATGAACCACCAGTGAGCGGCACAGCCATTCACCAGTCGGACGAGTGCCTGTTCTTTTTCTGCATCCGCGAATGCTCCCTTGCCGGAAGTCCCCTGAGCCAATAACGTCCTCCTCCCTGACCCGAATAGTGATGACTGGTCGGTTGAGAGGTCGGTTGAGAGGTCTAGAAAGAACGATATTGAGCTAACAGATCAGGTTCAACACAGTTGGTTTGATTCTTACCGAGGATGAGCAGACAGTCGCTGTGACGGTGACGGTGACGGTGGACGTACAGACGCCGCTCGAGGTAATCCCAGTAGCCACCGTGGTGGGACTTGTGACCGCTACGCTTGTAGTCGTGGGGTGCGAAGTAGTGGTTGCAAAAGTCGTAGTAGCAGTTCTAGCAGACGTGCTAACTAAAAGGGAGCTAGAATGGGTTGCGCTGGTGGCAAGGGTGGTCGCAATCGCAGTTACAGAAGGCACACTAGCTGACTGAACGCTCGAGTGGGTTGCGCTGGTGGCTTTGCTAGTAGTCAGGGCCGTAGAAGAGCTGACTGACTGGGTGCTCAAGTGGGTTGCGCTGGTGGACTTGCTAGTAGTCACGGCCGTAGAAGCGCTCACTGACTGGGTGCTCAAGTGGGTTGCACTGGTGGCCTTGCTAGTAGTCACGGCCGTAGAAGCGCTCACTGACTGGGTGCTCGAATGGGTTGTGCTGGTGGCCTTGCTAGTAGTCACGGCCGTGGAGGCGCTGACCGACTGGGTGCTCGAGTGGGTTGCGCTGGTGGTGTTGCTAGCAGTCATGGTCGAGAGGGTCGCAGTCGTAGCTCCAGACGTGCTCACTAAACGAACACCCGATTGGGTAGCGCTGGTGGTGGCGGTGCTGGTAGTCGTCTGACGAGCGGCATTATTTACCCACCAGTTTAATTCCAGAGGATCCACTTACCACTCCTCCCAAAATCTGCTGCAGCGCTTGTGTATTGATTGTTGCAGCCGTCACAACGCCATTTCCATCAGTCGTAAGGGTTACCGGGTTAACAACATTTAAAAGCTGCGTGCACGCAAGACCTACAGCCCCGCAAAAGGAGATTAATAACGTATGACAGTGAATGCCGCTTATAATATTCACCAGGTACTGGACCAAAGGACATGGAGAACCTCATGGCTAGGAAAGTGAATAGATTTGTCGCCTGGTCAGCAGCGGGCGACGTCTTGCCAGTGAACAATTGTTGATTCAAGGAGATGAAAAGACCTGACTGCGCAAATTGTTGGCTGTCGAAGACGCAGACCACAGATCAATTAGAAAACAGATGCGGAGCGAGCCCCATATAACATACCAATATGTTGTGCCTGATGCATTCGCGTTATCGGCTTGGGCTTGATTGACACCTGCTCGATATAGATTTACTTTCTGGAGAGACTGCTGTCCATCGATAAGGACCATAGGGTCATTCAGAGGCACCATTGCTGGACCACCAACAGGTGGGAAATAGGAAGCTTGAAGTTCCTGGAAACACCCGTGTCACTGGATTGGCATTAAGCATGGCAAGTAAAACACTAACATTAGTGGCAAGGGCGGGACTCTGTCCACTCGGGCAAGTTGTGCAAGGGTTCGAATAAGCAGTACACCCGAGAGAAGGCTGTATGAATTCACTGATGAGAGCATTGTCGGATGCTAGACAATGGCAATCGCTGAGTTGGGTCGTGGCACAGTGGGGCTGAACTCACCATTCGACAGTACCTCCGCATTGGGGTTCGCCTTGGAGTTAGCTGGAGTATTTTGAGCAAGAGTGTCGGTGCCGATCATGAGGTACGTGGTGACGACATTGTCTGATTGATCCTATGTCACAACTCTATGATCAGATGCATACAAGTTAACGGCTGGAGTCAATGCTGACCTGATCGACAATGCGGAAGTCGCGAATGGTAGGACAGGCTTGTCCAGACCCTGTACCTGGGGCGAGGACTTTCGTCATACCGTTCTGAACTGCTGTATTGGCGGCACTGAACCATGCTGGCGCATTGCAGTACGCAAACTGTAGAAATGGTGAGTTGACAGGTAATTGTCGGACGCAGTAATCCAAAGGCGTACCTGCCCAAACACTGAAGTGCCCAAGCCATTGACACAGGTTGCAGTGTCCCCCGTGAGCGTGACAGTTTGGGCGTTAGACCCAAACCACAAAGCAACAACTGCGTTGGCGGGGAAAGTTGGAACAATCGGGGGAATGAAAAAGCCAGCCCCTGTAGTCGCGGCCGCTCTAGCAACTTGGGTCAATGTAGCCCCTGCAGATGTTGTATGAGTCGAGGCGATGGTGCTAGCACCGTTATTCGTTTTCACTGAACTCGAACTGGAAGGTGTTGTACTTGATGACGTAGTCGATGATGAGGTGCCCGTAATGCTGATCTTCACCGAACTTGAGCTGGAAGTCGTGCTCGCGCTGCTGCTGCTGCTACTGCTGCTCTTACTTGTGCTGGCGCTGGTGCTGGCGCTGGTGCTGGTCTTACTTGTGCTGGCGCTGGCGCTGGTACTGGTGTTACTGGTGGTCCCGACGGCTGTCATCCCAGCATTGATGACCAGGGGATTATATATCTGAATTTGGCCGGTCGCAGGATCGATGATCGCGGCTTCAACAAACACACCCTGGTTGGCAAAATCCAGTTGCTAAGGCCAGAGAGAAATAAATGGGCGTGACTTGGGCGCTTGAAGACAGAAAATAAAGACGACTTACGTTGCACCCGGTTAATTCATATGGAGTGGCGAGACCCTGTGCAGTAAGGGGATTTTGAGGTATATTGAGGGTGCATTGCGCAATCGTGATCGAGGCGCAGGAGAGGAAGGTCAAAGAAAGGCTGATATACGTAGGAGGCCGCATCCTGGGGGTCAAAAGAATGTACAGAAAAAAGGAGTGTTCCTGCCACTGAAAAACGAGGTCCCAGACCTAACTAGAACGAATAATTAGATTGTGTGTGCAGAGTTGACGCAAGTGATTACCTTTGGTGAACCTGCACAAGCAGATGGCAATGAGGAGTACAAAAACAGAAGGAAGAAGTGAGGAACAAGGTGAGGACAACACCGCCAGAACAACCAAGCTTTTATCTGATATCGTTACACAACGGACGCATTCTGATCGTTTTTGTGGTTACTTCCCCTTGAACTTGGTTCCTGGTTGTGGCTCGCACGAAGATGAAGTGTTGCCATGGGTGTGCTGCAATGTCGAATACTGAATCAGAACGTTTGAAGCCTTCACTATAATGAACCCCTGGTTACCGCGTGCGGGGTGGCTCATTTTCTATCAAAGGCAACTACTATCAATGAGGGGGTTTTGAGGTTATCAGTGAATATTGAAAAAACTCCTCAGTGGTAGGAGCTTAATTACCGTTATCGTATTGATTGTACTGGGTCGTACAGACAACTTCAATTGAGGCATTTCAGCCAATAATTGAACTCAGGATTGAGATATTTTGAGACTTGTCGATGGTATCATAGGACCCACGTCTGATCGGAGCAAAGAAAGTATAATAAGAGTGTTCGTATGGCGTTGCATGTCCACGTGATGATAAATATACACAACGTCACGTGCTCGCATAAAACCTGCAGAAAAGATTGAAACAAAAGTGTGACAGTGAGGCTGAGTGATAGTTGCAATACACAGGAAGGACGCGATGAAAAATTACTTGGAAGTACAACGAACAAACGGCATATGTGATGACCACCACTGCCTGTAGCAAAGAAATCGCCGTCTTGGAGATAATTCTACAGAGTTAATTACAGCGCGCGCTTGGTGAATACACCGTAGCGTGGTTAGCATGGCCTTGAATTGAAGCATGCGGTGCGATGTCGCGTTTCATAATCCATAAACTGAACGCCGCGATCAGCGAGAAGGTCATTACTCACTGAGTTGCTGCAAAATTTCTGCCATTTGGGTCTGACCCTGCGAGCAGGCCACCCCGTGCGCATATCGAACACCTTTAATTTGTCTATGCTGCCGCTCACGGCCCGTTACGGATACCCCTCCGTCGGGATTAAGCGGCATGGAGACGAGCCATGCATCGCGGCTGTCGGGGATACACTTTGGACAGACGGTCACTGAGATCACACCCGCGTTGTTATTGACAATGAGGAGCCGCCCATTTAAACAGAAAACGAGGAGTAGGTTGCATGGCAATATCTGTGGCAGAAATCAACGAACAATCCCGATAACTAAGAACCTCGACATACTATACCCTAATTCGTGTATACTTGGAGGCCAACATCACTCGCTGAATCATCTTGAGGGACAATACAGGTTCAAGGGCAATCAAATGAACTACACATATCAAGCTCCACACCATGCCAACCAGCAGTTTTGTGCACCCGTCGTTTGTCGCGTCGCAAATTTGAATCATATGATTACAACCCTTCCGAGGCACCAGTGTCCGCGCGCAGAGAATCGCATGCAAGCAACAGATGACAGCGATGAGATTCCAACAGAGACGGTTCACATGTCAAGCATGCACATTTGATGAAAACACGCACCGCTCTCCTCTCATTGGCGAGCACATGTACCTCGGAACCAACTAAAATGCGCTTACTTCGCTTTGCCTGTCAACCTAGCATCACGTTTCCGCTACAGGTTCAACTGTAATATTGTTGCAAGGTCAAGCTCAGACTGGCTATGTGCCAACCTTGAACCCACGGTAATTGTCATGCAAATCCGTATGAGTGAGGGCCGATGATTGAGCGTAGTAGAGACAAAGGAAACGACTAATCCGAGGCTTCTTCGTCAGCTGTAGGCGCAACACTCTGTTCGAGTGAAGGGTGTCAATGTGGCATGATTTGACTCATCGAGTGCTGCTGTCGATTTCACGATGTAGTGATGGTCGTGAATCAGTTGTTTGTTATCGTGTTTGCATATCGTTGCGAAGCACTGTGCAGTGTTCGCAAGGTAAAGTCGAATGCTTGCTCAGCTGATGGCTTGGAATAAAGTATCAATCTTAGTGTGAATAGCCAGAGTTTACTTATCGACTGACAACGGTGGGCAGGGCGGAGTGCAACCCTGTGCTACCAGTAACCACATAAAAATTTCCTTTACTCCCAGGTCGCGGGCCAACCCTGGTGTACCATGGCGGCAAGTTCGCCACGAAAGCCACAACTGAATGCGCATGATAGAAACAGGGAATGGGCATGCACTCATCTGGAGTAGATAATGACACTGGATGGCGCAATTTAGTCTTTGCAAAATAGTTCTGGGGACATCACTTGCAGTGACGGTTGACCACATCATACATGCGCGCAACTTGGTAAGTTTGTGGCACTCCATTGTGGTACATCACGTGACAGTCACGTGCACACGCGTTATGGTTGACATCCTTTCGTTGAACTTGACAACCTCTTCGCTTCTTTGCAATCAAAGTCCTTGAGTTCTCTTCAAATCCAGGCCGCGTCTTCGTGGATACATGTCTGGCACACACAAGATCAAGATCGCCGCGCGCCTGCGACCACGCATCGAGCACGAAATTGACGACCAAGGGATACAGATAACACACGACGAAGACGGAGAGGGACCCTCGTGGATTCGCGTGCCCAACCCACGGGACGCGACGCAAGTCTTTCGCTTTCCGTGCGTGCAGTTTCTCTCTCGTCGATGCTTCAGGTGCCATGTGCAGTGACTGACTATTCATTTAGATTTACCAGTTGCTACGACCAAGATTCTACACAAGAGGAGATCTTTGAGCAGGATGTGAGACCGCTCATTGACGTTGTATACAGTGGCGTCGTGCGTCATTTAACATTTCTTTTGAATGCTTGTTGTATAAATGGACGTAGACCGTGACAATCTTTGCCTACGGCGTGACGTCCTCTGGAAAAACACACACAATGCAAGGAACAAGGGCATGCCCTGGCGTCATTCCACGAGTTGTCGAGGTGCGTATACTTGCTATTGCATGTTCTACATTACACGATTGCGAATGCCACTGTGATAGGCCATGTTCGAACAGAAAGCAGCGTTGCTGAAGTCCAACGTCGAACTCGCAGTGTCGTACATGGAGATATATAAAGACGAGTGTTATGACTTGCTGGTTGATCGGGAGACGGTATGTTCAACTTCTATCTACCATTTTTCAATGGCAAGGGTGTCTGACTGTTTTCGCGGGATGTGCAGGCTCCGAAACTCCCCGTACGAGAGAATGATGTGGGCCAAGTCTTTGTTGCAAACTTGAGTTCGATACCGATAGCCTCAGTTGAGGAATTCGTTGCAATTTATTCGTACGTGCCCTTTTCCGGTCATCTTTCTGTATGGCACCCAAGAAGGCATCTGCTTACCTCTGAATGCAGCCAAGCATCAAAGCACCGCTCAGTGGGCGCAACAAATCTTAATCGTTCTTCGTCTCGTTCGCATGCGATGTTAACGCTGGAGGTAACGATGACTGATTCTTCGGCACAGAAATGTAAGGACCAATTTTGATCTGCCATCTTCCCTAGGCAATTGACTCATCATATTCCTTTAGCATTAACAGGAAAGATCAACCTTGTTGATCTTGCTGGTTCAGAGAACAACAAGCTAACTGGAAACGACCCCACACGGATGGCTGAGAGTTCAGCCATCAATAAGAGCCTGAGCGTCCTCGGGCAGGTTGTGCATGCATTGAACCAGGGGGCTGTGCGTCTTTATAGTCAATTTGAAGCCTTTTGACTAACGGCATGCAGTCTCGAATACCATATCGCAATTCCAAACTCACGCGCATTCTCCAAGACGCCCTCGGCGGGAACTCCGTGGGATTACTCATCTGCAACCTTGCTCCCGGAACGAAATTTAGGCAGGATACCCTGAACACGTTGAAGTGGGTCCACGTGCATATTTCCTCAATTTCCCCAACTCACAACTACCTTCAGCTTCGCAGTGCGGACAAAGAACGTCGAGAACAGACCGGTGGTCAACGAGCGCGGTGCGTTGTTATCACCAAAACCGTCACATGATTCATGAAAACTTAATGCTCTGTAGACATACGACCCCAACCCAAACCCCACTTCGCAGCAATCCTACCACCACCTCCGAAACTTGCACCTGCCGTACTCCAGCCTTTGGAAGCTGTCGCAGGTCCGTCACGTGGCCCGCGGCCCAGCATCGCCCGCGCCGCACCCAGAGCAAGCCTTGCTGGCGCAGGTCAAAGTAGATCTCGTGTACCACGTGCCAGCGGCATTGGGGTATTTGGAGGCCATAAGGGACGTCGTCCTTCGGGAGTGCCCGCACTTATTAGCGAGAAAGCAGAGACAAGTGGTAACTTTAGCATGATGCAGTTGACAGATAAGGAAATTGATGAGCGGGTGCGTAAATGCTCCTATTCTCGATCACCCTTTAGGTTACTTAATACAGCTCGATAGATCGCAAGGGCTGTTGAAGTTGAAGTTGCACGCCGTCTCAAGGAGCGCGAAGAGCTTGACCGACAGGAGAAGGAGAATAACACGTTGCAGTTGAAACTTCAGAAAGAGAAGGAAAAAGAAAAGTTGAAAGAAGAAGTCCAAAGACTTCCGGCTGGGGTGCTTTCCCCGCTTATGGCGCAGCACCGGGATCTGGATCATGAACTTCGTGTGAGGCTTGAGGAATTGGAAGAGAAGTAGTACGTCTGCTCTACCGGCGAGGTCTTGCATAGCGCTGACTGACTCACAGCGAACGCGGGACCAAAGAACTTCAGCTGGCAGATGTGCTTTCACCTGTTTCGCGGAAGAAAACTGGACGCGCGTACGTGATGCTGGCCCGCGCTCACTCCGAAAAGTACGTGTCCGCATCGCGTACAACATATCCCGCGCGGCGACGACAGCATTCTTTATATACTACGCACATACCTAACGATGTTAATAGGGGCGACCTACAAGTAGCGCTTGACCTATACCGCAAAGCTGAGACGTATGTCCCAGATAACGTCAAGCTGAAAGAGAGGTGGATACTTTTCGTTGTTCATGTTTTCCTTTGTATGGTATCCGAGTCGAAGCGATAATTCTGACGTCTTTTTTTTGCTTGCCTTTGCTTGTCTGCGCGTGGCGTAACGCATGGAACAGAGTTATCGAGATCGAGTGGGCGGTGAAGAATGGCACCACATTCATCCCTTCTCCGAAGAAGCCCAGAAAGGCGAAGAAGACGAAGGCTGGGAAGCGCAAGGCGGTGGGTAAGGTCATGAGTGGAGACGAGGACGAAGAGGATTTGACGATGGACGGGATCCATCAGATGCTGGGAGGCGAGTCGAGTGGATCTGCAAACCCGCTGAAGAGGTTCAAAGTCGAGGAGGATGTTACGCAGGCTATGTCAGCGACCCCGCAGAAGAGGGTGAAATGTGAGGTCGAGGGAGACATATGAGCCTTTGTCAGTTGCAGTGCCGCGACGTCACATGTATGGCTGTTCTGTGTGTAATTTATTTTCTACCTGGTGCACTGTGAATATTCTTATAACACTCAAAGGTTGTATGTACAGGTTCGCCAGTGTATCATGTAATGCCCGAGTCCTTAAAAACGACGGTTGATGTTTTTGCTTTGCCAGATTCTTGTTAGTCCAACTAAGTAAACCTTCTCCTAGAACTCCTAGGCTACATTGCATGCTGATTCTCATATTCTATTCGGTTGATGACCTGTAGTCGACCTGCAGTAGCGATCTCAAACTTCAGCGAAGTGATAGCATAGTCACATTCTGGAACCCCAGCTCATGTGCATCGGCAACTTCGACAAGACAATTATTTCTAACGTAACAACTAAGTAGATCTGGCTCATGTACATGTGCATGAGTACTGAGTCCATATGACTCTGAGAACTCCGGAAATGGCAGCAGCGCATTTCGGTGCGGAACGGTGAACCCGAACTTGGATCCGATCCAGTTAACGGCTCGTTTAGATATATGTAGTCCACATTGTCCTCAAGCCAAGCAAAAGCACCAACAAGGCGCTCAAGGAAACCTAGTCTCCCCTTAGTCAGACTGAAGACAGTAGAAGTTTGGTAGAAGCCCGCAAAAGGAAAGGCGCAAAGCAAGTCATCTCTAGTCACGTGTAGCACGTGCTCGAGCGCGCCCCTCAATATTAGTCAAGTGGCGTGTCCCACTTTTCCCAGGCGAAAATTGGAAGAACGCACCCCTGTTTTTCTCAGAAGTTACAATCCACCACCATCCCAACCACTGAACAAGGCCTTTCAAGTGTCATTCCAACATTATGGTTGCCTCGAAAACCAAAAAGTCATCCAAGTATACGTATGCAGAACGTGAGTCTTTTTTTACCTCCTTTAACGCGTGTTGGGCATGGCAAAGGGCATCACTGATACCGACGACTCTCGAACTAGGGGTTCTAAGCGCATTTTCACAGGCACAGAAAGAGCACAGGAGGCATAGTGTACACCTCGCTACCCTACGTGCGCATGGTGAGGTGTTCATGTTTGCAAGGGGATAGTTGCTCATCATTGTCTTTGCTACTAGTGAGAAAGATTGCGAAAGATAGGAAAGATAGGCTAGGTCCTCAGTGGGCATCATGGGTAGGAAAGGCTGTGAAGAAGCTTGTACGCCTCATTATCTCGATTTTTCTGAAATCAACTGATTATAAGGGAGCAGGAAGACCAGGGAGTTTTGCACCCTGTCGACTCAAGTGGGTACGTGGGCATGACTCCGGAGGGCAAAAAAGTGTGAGTCCAGTTGCTAAGACCATTTTGACGTCGGACCCAAAGTTTTTTTAGCCTCTCCTATGCTCGTCGCAAGCTCCTTCCGACTGCCACCGGGGACGCATCACCTGCACAAGAAGATGCTGTATGGAAAAACGTCACCGAACATTTCTCCCCATCAGTGTATAAACGGCATCACGCGATATCTGCATCTCGTTTAAAGTCAGTTCTCGGCGAGGAAGAAGTCGAGGAAGATAGCGCTTCCGTACGCGGAAGTCCTAGAGCAAAGAGACAGCGACGGGCACCGTCCCCTGTCAAGCCCTCCGAGCGATCCTTGACAAAGATGACCAAAGCAGAGGTTTGTTTGACATTGTCATTACTGTAACATGCACCTTACTGTTACACATAGCTTCAAACTAAGGTCCGAGAGCTCCAAAAGGCAAAGCTTATGGATCAACAACTAAAGGCGCAACTTGCGGACCGCGAGGAGCAACTAGGAGCAGTCCAAGATGAGCTTAGGATGTTGAAACTCTCTGCTGAAAAGGCGCTCGCAACAATGCACGAAGAGGAACTGACAGAATTGGATGACCAGGAATTTCAGCACAGCATGGACGAAGAATTGCCAGCTCCAGACTTCTCAATATTGTAAGCCCTAATCTCTGCCCGCTCCATTTGTAATTAAGGATGTGCCACTTTGAAGTGATGTTCAGACCCCACGAGCCGGAACGCCTGCAGGGCAAGGTGCAGGTGTGACACGGACCCAATCAGGGTCTATCATTCACGATATATCTATGCGGCCCACTCCTGCACCAAGCTCTCCTGATCTGGAACGCGACCGGAGGTACCGAGACGATGAAAACTTGTTTACGGACCAACATCACGAACATCTTCGCACCCCCGAATCTCTGCCAGACCGCAGGGCCTCACAGACTGATGAACAACAGCTTGCTTTGGCGAACACGGTAAACTCACCATAATCTTTTCTTTCCACTTACTTTTGTTGACATTTCACACAGATTGATGTCATGGAGAAGGAGATCGCAAAGCGCACGACGGAGATTCAGACTCTCAAAGACACAGTGACACGCCTTCAGAACGAGTATGACACCCTGACAGGCGCGGTTGATAACCATAAGTCACGCATAATTGATCTTGAGGGCGAAACCGAGCACCTTCGGGCCATCATCAACGAACTCGAATCTGGGAAGCGCGATCTGCAACAATGCCTTGCTGATCGCGATCACAATGTCATTCAACTCCAAAATGCAGTTCTCGAGCACGAGCAAGTCGCCGTCAAGCTCAACGAGACGCTCGCTCAGAAGGAAGCCTCGCTGAATGCAATTTCAATAGAGGCCGAGACACTTACGCGCAGCAATAATGAAATCATTTCTGGGGTGCAGGGAATAAAAGAGGAAATGGCTGCTGCGCGAGGCGAGAATAGGCGTTTGACTGATGAGCTCGCTAGTTCTCTCAGAGCAAAAGAAATCCTTCGAGAGCGGATGGTGGAACTGGTCCGAACCACAGAGGAAAGACAAGGGGAGCTCGCCCAAGCCTTAAGTGTCGCGCAGAACGAAGCCGGCCATGGCGCTGTGCTCGCCCAGGAGCTTCTCGTCATGACCGAAGCTACCAGCGAGCTCGAGAAACAGCTCTCTAAGGCCAATAGCACCGCGACGGCCCTCGACGCTGAACTTGCGGAAGTCCTTGGACGCAATGGTCAACTTGAGTTGGCTTTAGATGACTCCAGGAAGGAGATTGAAGAGTTGAAGAGTAGGATCACGTTTGCCGAGATGAGGGAGGCAGAATTGTCGTCAAAATTGTTCACCGCTGATGCAACAAGGCAGTCCTTGGAGGATGCCGTTGCGATCATGAAGAATGCTTCACGGGTTGAACGAGTGAAGGCACAATCTACCGTCCTTGGGCTCCTCGAGAAAATTGATGGACTGCAAATTCAGCGCGATAACGAAGTTCGGGGTTTCGCCAGCAGAATTACAGCCTATGAAGATGAAGTCGAGGATCTTCAATTGAACCTTCGCAGCGCGAACGAGGCTCAGCAGAGCGCCCTTGCTGCAATCAACAAGTCCAAACATGACTTTGTGCACTTGGAGAATTCGCTCACCGCAGAGCAGGCCACTTGTAATGGCCTTCGGGTCAGTCTGACTGAAGCACGGGAGCAAATCTCTAGCTTGAGAGTCGCAAAGACAGCCTGCGAGTCGGCCATCGCCAATCTCAAGGCTGTTTATGATCAGGGGAAGAGAATGCAAACAGACTGGATGTCTGGGATGGAGAGCACGGTATGTCGTCTCGTGATTTGTTTGTCATGCGTGAGATGCTCAGACTGGGACGAACAGTTTGCTTCTGCACAACCGGCTTCGTTGGGACACGCGTGATGATGCATTTGCCTGAGCTAATGTCAAGACTAATGCAGAGTCAGAAAGACGGTCCTCATATGTACAATGCAGGTTTCACGGTAGACCATTCATCTGGACTTGAACATTTATCAGGCTGTAGATATACGTTAACGACATTTGTGTTGATTTAAGATAGAATTTACTTTACAAGTAGCTAAGCAGTCACAAAATCGAGCCTATGATACTTTGATGAATCCTTCGAAGTTGCTTCATTGCAAATATCTCATAAGAGCTTGAAGCTTATATAACTTGAAGTGCCACTAGCATCACAAGTACGGTACCTGTGCCATCCTGCATGGTCCAGACTCCAGAATGTCGAGCAAATTTAGGGCATACTCAAAACGAACTGACGGCGATATGCCTGTTGCGGGTAAGAACAGGCTTCATTGACGATGATTCTTCTCCTGATTTTCGATGAATCTACTGATACCAAATCCCATAGTTTCGCTTTGCCCGGAGTCCGTAGTACCAACAGTTCCACGGGTACGAAGGCAACTTGAAGACAAGGCAGCAATTGTGCACATGCAATGCCATTATGGCTTGGTTCACCGATAAGCACGTCAACTGAGACCCATCATTGACGACATGTTGTTGTTCTTTTGTGTCGCTAGACGCCCGGCGGTTGCGAACGAAGCAGGGCTAATCACGATCGGTACTAGGTAATATCCTGTATTTGCAGCACGGACGACCATCAGACATGAGTCACTCCCTGCTTGGCCCAAAAGCCGCGGCTTTGGCCTGGCATGAGGCTCGCAAAAAAAGCCAGGCCAGACCAAAGCAGCCAGTGACGGTTGGCTTTGGCTTTCCAGAATCGGCCACGGTGGCTTGGCCCACGGCTTGAAGCTGGGCCGTGCACATCACTACGAACGGTAAAATATCTCGATCGCAAGGTGGCCACGCCTGACTTGCCTGGTTCTGATTGCAGTACGGACAACCACATCGGAGCTAACACAGCTTTGTACATGCTGTGAAACATTTATTTGACTGCCTGCGTTTGATCCACCTACAATGTCCATCAGCTTGTCTCTCCTGTCTGAATCGCGTTCAGCCAGTTCAGTGACCGTAATCATGGGTATTTTTCTCGACAAAGCCTCGCTCATAGCTCTGTTTCTCGAGACCTTGTTTTACGGTGCGTCACCAACCGCTGGGAATGGCCATGTGTCGGATCCTATCATTTCAAACAGGCGTGTTCCTCACGCTGTACTTGTTGACGCTGCTCATCCTACTGAAGAAAACTGGCGTTCAACGGATACTTCTCATTCCGGTGGCAACCTTGCTGCTCTGCACTACCACGGCCGTGAGTGTACTGATCAAGACTGTTGGGAGGCTGACTCAACGCAATCACTCTCAGCATCTGATCGTCGATTTTGTTCGAGCGTTAGAGGCATTCGTGTTCAAAACGGATTCGATCGATGCAAATGCCTATTATTCCAACTTTTCTTCGCCGTTGGAACTCGCAAAAATTGCCATTTACGTCACACAAACAACACTTGCTGATGGTCTCATTGTAAGTTTCTCTATTTGACGTGCTGCTCTCCCCTGAATAACGGGCAGTATATAGGTTTGGCGGTGTTATATGATTCACGATAAAAGTCCCTTAGTTGCATTTCCTGGTTGTATCGTGCTGTTAACCAATGGGGGTGAGCTTCTTGAAAGGTTCGTCCGGCCACTGTCGTGTCTCATGACATTTCGCAGCGATTGGATACTATATCGTATGGTCTCTTTCTATGACCACCGCTGTTTCCACTACCTCTGATAAGTGTATCACCACATTCATCACATTGACTATGGTTATTGGTGTAACCTGCACTAGTGCGTCTATTCCGTAGCTGACCTGCAGGCTGCTGCTGACAACCAAAACACGCCAGCTTTGATTGCCTGGCGTATTTATCGCACTCGCCGTTTCATGCCGGGCGGCCTTGGTGTATTTTTACCCGTTTTAATCGTCATCGTTGAGAGCGGTGCTTTATACGCAACGAGCGCCCTTGCGTTCCTCCTGGCATTCTTGCTCGGATCCAATGGCCAATATACTATCTTGGACGTCATCCCTCCTATCGTGGTGCGTTTACATAACTTGGACACGAGTTGCTAGCAGGACTTTTTTTTAGGGGATTGCGTTCTGCCTCATCGTCCTGCAAACTCACTTTCACGTAGGTGGTAAACCTCCGATTGAACAGCCCTCTGAAGGGCCAGACATCCTCATCGGCCTGTTTTGAGGACGAGGTGTACAACAGCAACGGGTACCAATGTGGAACCGATCATTATGGAAGAGACGGTGTTCAGCTTGACATGATGTGCAGAATCAATGGTTCGCAGGGCGTGTCTTTTTGGAGATTGGACCATCTCCTGCTTTCCCGTAACTGGTCTTGTTTTTTGAAGGGCGTGGCCGCCTAGACGTGGTCGTCCTATCGGTTTATTTTATTGGTTGAGAATCCTGTTCATTAGCAGGGACCTATAACCGATATATAAGAAGTGCACTAACTACTTGTGTAGAATATGCTACGATATCGAATGTTGGTGTAAACAATAATATAAATGTCCGACCCCTCGATTCTAGTAGTGCTAGGTTCGGAAGAAGTACATGTTCAAAACTTGGTTTTCGTTGCCCTTCGTCCGACGTCAGCTTTCGTCAGTCATGAGCATTGGGCAAAGTCGATTGAACTCAAAAAGCGTACCGCCGTGCACTTGACAACGTGATATAAGAACAGTAAGAGGCAATTTTATTTATATGCCCAAACATGTGTGCCTAGTTTGATTGTGGTTTATTGGATGATGTGCCGGGCCCGAATTTCCATGTCAGCACTAGGCTTCAGGCACGACAGTCTTTGTTCTCTTTATCAGGTCATGTGGCTATTGCGATGATGAGATCATCGTCGATCCCACATGAGCTGAGGAATGGTCGGTGCAATTCGGCGCATGAGATGACAGCTGACGCGGCAGACACTGACACCGACACGGTGCCACCTCATAACAGCTCATAGCCTGGCCCTGACATTCCCTGGCAGCAGTTTCCAACGTACTTGCCCCGCAAAATCAGTGAATCTCGGGAGCAACGACCAAACATTGAGGCAACGGATGAGAGTCTCTGACGGTGAGGCCCTGTGTGTGCGGGGTACCACAGACATGCACAACATGACAACAGATCTTCATTTATAAAGGTCAGGGAGAAGGTAATAAGTGCTTTTCCCAGCATCCAAACGAGAACACCTTCTAGCACCTTGCGTTATCGGGCTGGTCCGAGGGGGTGCGGAAGTGAACACCTTGAAACATGAAACGACTGGGAACGTGTGAACATGTTGTACTGATAGCGCAGCATGTGAGCAGGCTGGAATTAGTTTGTCGAGATATTGCGGTTTGTTGGGAAGCGACTGAAAAGCCTCGTGACTGGGGAAGGACCCCAGCTGCTCTTTGACAGCAAAATTTTTCGACGTGTTGATCATCGTCACGAATACGAACCTAGATCAAGAGCTACATAGCAACTTCCCATTTGTAGTTTGCTCAGGGATGGCAATAAGAGAGAAACTCAACTGATGGGCTTACCTGAATGATTGGGACTAACAAGCTTGAGTATATCGTGAGCCAGCACTAGCAAGCAAAAGGCCACAATTGAAATGTTGCTACTGGTGGGTGATATGAAGGAGCTGCAGGGGTCCACATCACACGATAGGCGCGCAAACCAAGATAATTCAAGTTGGTCACACGAGGTTGTTCTGGTGGAAGTTGGGACGCATTATGTCCACTAGTGGTTATCGAGCGAGCCTATCGACGTAGGGCAATACCTACTAGTGGTTGGCTGGTGGCTAGCACTATGGTGTGGCTGTGGCTAGCGGCTGTGGACTAGTATGACTAGATCTTTCAGGAAATGAAATTCACGTGCAAACAGTGCGGGCAATGATTTAAAGCCGAGGAATGGATCATATCCATTTACCTTAAGTACTACCCTCTGCTACGTCAAAGCTTCCCAACTTGAACACTCGTAGATGCCATGTCTGCTGCATTTCGAATCTCTCCAGCCCTATGGGACAAGATTCACCACTTTGCAAGCTTTCCTCAGACGGGCGGTATGTCATCTGATATCCTCATAACCCATTGCCCCGGATCTCTAATTTTTATCTATAGTCTCGTTGCAGCAGATGGTGCTCTTCGGTCAACACCCAAGCCAGGGAACTCTCCTCAAGGCGAGCCAGTTCCTCTCAGGTAACCTCAATCTTTGTCTACATTCGGCTCCCTCTGATACCATTGTCCACCCTCAGAGGAGCTACCCGTCCGCCTCGCACATCGTGTCAAGGAGCTCGACCAGCTTCCACATAATCTCAGTGACATGCCTTCCATACGAAAGGTCAAGAACTGGTATGCCCAGTCCTTCGAGGTTCGCTATTTCCCATCTTCTTTAACTCCACTTCTCCTCACCGGATCTTACACAGGAGCTCATCAACTTTCCCCCCGTCCAACTCCCACAACACCTTCGTCAGCACCTTTCCTCGTCAGGCCACGAAATCTTCTTACCTGACAGCACCCCAAACCCAAGTCTCGCCGCCCTCCAGGACCACGATCACCCTCTCTTCAACTTATCCCATCTCAAGGGCAATGCGAACGGCATCGGCAACGTCAAGCTCAGGGTCCCTTTGGAGCGCAGGTACATACCTCATTAATACTCCAGAATCCACACATACCATGCTCACTTAGTACAAGATATTACGCCAAGTCATCATCCATCGACTGGCCACCTTCCGTTCTCGACTACAACGCCCGTTTCACCCGCATGCTCGAGGCTATAAAACGCAGGCATGACCCTACAGTCACAACAGTCGCACAAGGCGTTCTAGAATGGAAGCGCAGTCAGAACGCCAAGAACATCGGCCTTGATATGCAGGCTTGGCTTGATAGATTCTACATGAGCCGTATTGGTATCCGCTTCTTGATCGGCCAACGTCTGTTATTCTTAGCTTTTAGCCTTACCCTCATCTCATCTCCGTTACCTTTCCTTAGACGTCGCACTAAACACACAACAGCCACACAAAGACTATGTAGGCATCATCTGCACTAAGGCTGTACGTTGTCGTTTTATCTCCTTCTCTTTTCACTAAAACCCCTCCTTCACCGCAGAACGTACACGACATCGTACAGGAAGCCATTGAAAATGCTCGCTTCGTCTGCGAGGAACACTACGCCATGTTCAAAGGCCCTCCTGTTCAACTCATTTGCCCTCCCAACCTCATCTTTCCCTACGTCCCAGGCCATCTCTCTCACATCTGTTTCGAACTTCTCAAAAACTCACTCCGTGCCGTCGTCGATCGTTTCGGCCATGACGCACAAGACGATAAACCATACCCGCCCATCAAGGTCATCGTCGTAGAGGGAAAGGAGGACATCACCATCAAAATCACCGATGAGGGCGGAGGAATCCCGCGTAGCGCCATTCCCCTCATTTGGACCTACATGTATACGACTATGACGGGACAGAGCATTGACCAGGACTTTCAAGCTAGTGACTTTCAGGCTCCGATGGCAGGATTTGGGTATGGACTGCCGTTGTCGAGATTGGTGAGCGACGTGCGCGTTTGTCGGGGGCTTGCGCTGATGTATGTCGTTGACAGTACGCAAGGTATTTTGGGGGTGATTTGAGGTTGATATCTATGGAGGGGTATGGGACGGATGTGTATATCCATCTCAATAGGCTTTCGAGTAGCCGGGAGCCTCTCCCGTAATCCGCGTGCGCCTGGTTGATCTTGATTCTTATTGTTGGAAGAGCTGTGTACACCATATGGGGAACGACCCAGATCCATTCGATATTGACTGTAACTTAGCGGTTCATTCTCGGGACCAGACAGACGACAGATCCACGACAGACCTTATAACACTGTATCATTAGTGCAATGTATGCATTCCTATCATAGCATAATGGAAAACTGAAATACAAAAACAAGACAGAAGAGAATTTTTGGTGGTGGAGGAAGCTCATGGTCATGGATCGATCAGACTAGTACTGTCTTCATCATTTGTATCATGACCCATGTTTCAGGCTAAGCACCTGACAGTCACATCTGGTGAGATCTTGTGAATGCGTCGTACGCTAGCACAATATGCACGTACATTGCATTGTAGCAGAATCAAAATGAATCCAAAGCTGGGTGGGTGTCCGAGCCCGTGAGGGAATCAAGAGCCTCGGAATACTAACAAAACCTGTGTAGAGGACCTGACTGTCCCCAGAGTGCCGCAGAGCTCGTGTGGCTACCCATGTGCGTCCGGTCTATGCAGGCGATCACGAGACCCTGTTCGTCGAGACTAAAAGCAACACTACCTGTGACCCATGGACATTGGAGACGATTGGCGCTCGGGGGCGCTCGACACCCACTATTGTGGTGCCCTTGTCCCAACTCTGAGCCTTGTTCGGTTCCGACATGAGGTAAGATTCAAGTATCCCTGGGCAACTTGGTCAGAACAGCTTAATCACCAGGTACAAACTGAACTTTTGAAATCGTTCTTTGGCGGAACTTATCTCAGTATCTGGAATAAAGCCTAATGTAGTTCGACACCAGCCCGACGCGAAAAAGAGGCTGAGCCTCAGCTTATCGCTCTGTTGTGTAGAAGCGAAAAGATCATGCAGGGAACATCCCAAGGGAGAGTATAAATACTGGAGCTGCACCTTGCAATTCTCAATTGTTAACCCAGTTCGAGACCTTCACAAACTTTGATACTCACTATGCGTCTTTTGGCCTTGATCGCCGTTTCGTTGCGCTTGCTGAGTCTGCTAGCGCCAAAAAATGCGACGATCGACATCTCGACTGTGGGGCTACTGATGTTTGTGTTGTGAGTTGCATTTTCTCATTGCCGAGCGGCGAAGCTGGATGGATCTGACTGCCTTGTTCCAGAATGGATAGTGCCAGCAGTGGCCGGAACACGTCGAATGAATGTAGTCCTTGTCGGTAATGTGCAGGTCGGACATCACAGAGTCAAGTGAAATAAAGTCGACGTCTCACTGGTAGATCGTCCTGAAAGATTAAGCGTTATTGAGGTACAAGGCAGACAAATAAATCCAGACGATGGTGATAAGTTGTTTCACGCACTGTGGTGTGGATTGAAGCCTGAGGCCTGAGGACCGAACAAACGTGCACTAGTGTCATCGTCGTATTGCTGCTTGCCATAATATATATATGACTGACTATGTAGGAGAATATCGCAGTGCTAAGTAAGTGAACGCAACTTGATCTCACAAATTGCACTTGGGAATTCATTCAGTATCTATGAGGTCTGTTCAACACACAAGCATCCCATATGGCAAATCGATTAAACATACTAATAGAACAGTCGGATACGTCCCAGGCCGCATTTCTTGTACGTCTGTTTCAAATTCCTTCAAAAACTCCCTCCGTGCCGTTGTTCCAGTGCAAGGAAGATATCCCCATCAACTTCACCGACGAGGGCGGGAGAATCCTGCGTAGCGCCATTTCCCCCATTTGGACTTGCATGACTATGACGGGGCAGAGCCTAGCAGAGCATCGAGTGATTTTCAGGCTCCGATGTTTTGGGTGCGTGGACTGCCGTTGTCGAGATTGTTGAGTGACATGCGCGTTTGTCGGGGGCATGCGATGATCGTGTTGTGACAGTACGCGCATATGCGAGGTGTTTTGGGGTAATTTGAAGCTGATATCTGATATCTATGAGAAATGGGCCCGGTAAGTACGCGACGGATGTGTACATCCATCTCAACAGACTTTCGAGCAGGAGGGAGCTCCGCAGTTTGTGCACCTGGGGTTGATCTTGTTAGAGGAGCTGATGAACACCAAATAGGGGTGATTCACTCGATACTGACTGTAATTGACTGGCTCGTTCTCAGAACCAGACGAACGACAGACCTTATGACACTGTATTATTAGTGCAATGTACACAGTACCATAGCAGAATCGAAATGCAAAAAAGAAAAGGGGCCATGAAGAAGAAAGGACTCATATACAAGGACAGCACAAAACAGAGCTTGTCGGACAACATACATATGTTTACATGTTGCATGCGTGTGTAGCGATAGCGATGTTGGGTGTGGCGATAGCGTGTGCGATGCGAGAAACAGGATTAGAAGAGAAAACCAAGCAGGGGGGTATTGACAGTGTCCGTGTGGGAATCAAGAAGATACTAACAAGATCCAGGTCACCCGGGCCCATCCTCAGAGTGCCATGTACGCTTGAGCGATGTTGACGCGGGTATGTGAATTGCAGGATTCATGTGTAACAATGACGACGATAACGCAGAGCTCGTATGGCTACCTATGAGCGTGGTCCAGTCGGCATTATCGCGTGGGTGGACCAACGTCGGATGTTGCTGTTGATGGTGTTGCTGTTGATGTTGTTGCTGCTGGTGTTGATGCTGTTGTTGGTGCTGCTGTTCCTGGTGGTATTCCGGACCACGCACCTCCAGCGCATCAACCTCCTCACACAACCTCTGATTAGCAAACCGCAACTGCTGCAGCTCATACTGCCAACTACTCCCCCGCGCGGTATCTAGCTCCTCGAATACATCACTGGCCTCGGCGTGAATCAGCGTATTGGAGCTGCTTGATGTGCTGAGCACCGTGATTTGTATGACGAGCTGGTGAGCAGGTGATGGAGAGGGCGTTTGGGAGGGCGTCGAGGTTGGGGTTGGGGCGGGTGGCCGGTATATTACGAGACGCACGTGTACGGTGCTACGATCTTTGCGCAGCATTGTACATACCATTGCAGACGGCTCGCCCTCCGCATGTCCACGTACCTGCGCGTCATCTCCATTTGCGCGCTGAATCGCCGCCTCCACATGTCCTCGATCCCCACCAATAACCATCGCACCCAAAGACTTGCCAATAACCTCACCCACGCTCCATCCGAGCATATCACGTACACTGGCGCTGGTGACGAGCACGGTTCCGTTTGTGCTCACCATGCCCCATATCTCCTGTTCGCCGAGCCCGCCGGCACGGGAGATTGAGCGCCAGCTGAGAGAGGGCATCCATTTGCCACGACCGGAGAGGATGATGGCTTTGCGACCTTTGCCAGGTTCGACGTGAAGGCGCCCCCGGCATTCGATCCAAGCGTATGCAAAAGATTTGGCGCGGGCGCGGAAGAGGAGATCGACTGTTTTGGGTTGGCTGGCCAGGTTTGGTGAACCAGGTGGGATGGGGGAGGTAGAGTCGGCTGTTGGGGTGTTGGGCGTGATAGAGGACTCCTTAAGCTCACGCATCAGTGGGACGAGGTCTGCGGGGTGGCAGTAGTCGGATATACTCTTCCCGACGAGCTCCTCGGGTTCGTAGCCCAGGACGAGGCGCACGCTCGGAGCGACGTAGAGGAAGGCACCTTTGAGGCTGAGAACGACGATGAAGTCGGGAGATTTTTCGAGGAGGAGCATGTGGATAAGCTGGTTGCCGTCGTGTGTGTCAGGCTTGTCAGGGGTGGCTGTAGATGGGGGAATATTGACGCTCGTGGAGAGGGGGACTGAGGAGGTGAATTTGGAGTCTGTGATCAGACTACGCAAATCTTTGCTTAATACGCTATTGGATGGCAATGTGAGTCGACCTCTCGTTGGGGGCCCGAGCGGGGATGGCACCGGTGCGCCTGCGCCCACGGTATAATTGACGATGTAACTCCCATCGCGCAGTTTCTGCAAGATCGCATTGGGTTGCTCTGTGAGATCGACCTGGAAGCCGACGTGATAAACGATCTCATCCGCTTCTTCTGGACGGTTCGATATGCCGCCCCTGAGGGGGATCACGGTGACTAGATTGATGAAAGCCTGTCCGCCTTTGCGATAGTTGATGATACTGGTTTGGCACTCCTTGTCCGCGGAGAGGGACTTTTTCAAATGGGCCACAGCATCTGGCGCGACGAAGCGACGCTCCTCGCCCTTCTGTACGTTTCCATCGGGGGACTGCAGGAAGCGACAATTGCGACCGAGTACCTCGTGTTCAGTGTAGCCTGTGAGGCGATAAAAGGTGGGGGAGGCGTAGATGATGGGACAGTCATGGCGACGAACATCGACGACAGTAAAGGAGCAAGAACTGTCAACGGGACCGAGGACGATATTTGGGTGGGGACGGGAGACTACGCGAGAGAGGAGGGAGAGGAGGTCGAAACCAGAGGAGGAGTAGACAGGAAGACCTAGGGGAGACGGGGCCGAGAAGCTAGCTGTAGCGTTGAATTTGAGGATGTCAGCGGCTGTGAAGGCGGTAGTTTGGATTGGAGGTAGTGGGGGTTGGTGAGAATAGTCGACCTGGGGATACGGTATCGAATGAGGAACATTCGAATAGGCGTCATAGCAAGTGCTCGATTGCGCATTGCTGGCACCAGATGTTGCCTCCACGCTAGCGTGGGGTCTCGACTGAGAGGAAGAATGAAAACTATACAAAAAATAAGCAAGACAGGATATCGCAGGTTTAAATTTGCATGTACTCACGGGGCAAAGCCATTGTTCGCAAACCAGGATGAAGCATACGAGCTTGAACTGTCAAGAAGACCAGCTGGTAGGACCTCCGCACCACCCCCTGGGGCTAATATTGGAGGTCCATTGTACATGAACTGAGGTATCTGAAACTGTAGACCATTAGAGTATCCATGACCATCGACGGTGTAACGGTCATCGTTGTAATCGCCATAGTGATTAGAGTACTGCCGACTCCGCTGCGGCTCGTCATGTGCTAAATATCGCTCAAAGGGCATGGTGGGCGGTCTTGAACAAGATCATCCAAGAGGAGAAGAACTTTAAAGTAGATTTTGGGGGTTGGCAGAAGAAGCGTTGAAGCATCCGCCTTTGGAGCTAGGTGCTTGTAATTCACGTTAAGCTAACGTTATACAACTGGCTGGCCGCCATCAACGGTCTACTTTTTACCTACTGTAGCCATTAAATTTACCTCACGAACACTGCGTGTAATCCACGTTTAACTCCACCCATTTCATATTAACAAATCGCACGATGTCCCTACAAATGCAGTTACACAAGAAAAACCTCCTACTTGGGTTTGTCTCCTATCCGACTAGCATGCAGGTTGGCTGTTAATCTTTGCCCTTGTTCCCCTAACCATCACCCACGTTGGATGATGTAGTGAATAAAAGGGCAAGTATCGGTCAAACACTTTGTCGGAAACGCCATATCCTCGGTGTGAGAGAAATGAAACCAGTACATATCTAAGCTTTGAGCTGTGAGTCCAACTCCAACGGGCCCCTGGCTCGAATAAATCGTACATAAGCCCATCCCTGCACGTCATAGGCGTCAATTTAAAATATCACAGATAACCGCGTAAAATAACACCCACGGCAAAACTCTACTTCAAGTAGTCATCACGGCCCACATTAGTAAAGCCCCGCTTCTTCGATACAATAATCTTCTGACGGACTGGGTATTTGTACCGTGCACGACGGAGAGCCTCCTTGCAACGAATGGAGGGGATGATCTGGCCGATGTTTACGCGCACGACCGAGCGATAGGGCTTCCCCCAAGCACCACGCATACCAGTCTGAAGCCTGAACAAAAAAAAAAAAAAAAAGTAAAAAGTAAAGAGTACATCATGGATTCACACCCTTTCAGCGCCCGCCGCAAGTCAACATCTTGTTGATACGGATGACGTGAAATGGGTAGACTCGCACACGCATGTGGAACGAATCCTTGCCAGACGTCTTGGTGACGTACTTGTTGGCACAGATGCGGGCTGCTTCGAGTGCCTCGGAGCTCAGCTACTCGTACTCATCAGAGACGAGATGACAGCAGAAAGGAAACTCGTCGACTGAAGCACGCTTCCGGCCGAGGTTGAATATCCTCATCTATAGGAAGGAGATGAGCATGTCAGTGAAGAGGGTGGACGAACGGACCTTGGGGTCAGGTACACCGCAGTGTACCGCGCAAGGTTTGCTCTTACAATAACGGTAGCAGCGGGTGGGACGACGACCGATTGTCATAATCTGTGGCAGAATTGCAAGTATCTGGGTGGTCTTCCAGAGTCACATCCGAGGTGATAGGATAACATCCACCCTGATCAATCGCAATCCAACGCTCTTTCAAGGTCAAATCAATCCCAGCGTCTGAATGTTATCGACGAGCGAAAAAGTGACACTCGCATGTTACTTGTAACTTGGTAAGTTGGGATGGGTGGAAGCTGAGCGCTGCTTTTTATCTGAAGTTGAACGACGGTAATACCCAAAAGCTGACAAACCGGACTCGGCGAGCGCCGCATCATGGCATAAAAGCTGTGCTGACGTGTTGCGCTCAAGCTGATGCCCAATGAAAATCGGACAGTCCGGAAGAGACTTCCTGAGAGCCCACAGCGCCCCACCGACACACGATCTGGACAAGAAATCCAAAACCACGACTTCGAGATCATCTTCTGTCATAACTGCTACACTGACTAATGTTACAAACAAACAATGAAGAGGTAAACCGATATCAGTACTTCAATGATCAAGTGGGATTGATGGAACGACGCTTTTCCTAGAACTGTACTTGAGTCTCGAATTTCGTGATTGAATCTTGAATCGCTTTCTTTTTCTCTCTCACACACATCTCATGGTATTGTGTTGATCCCTGCCACCCTGCCCATGCCGTCTCGTTCAACGCACCCCACCATTCGTCTTTGAATGGGTGTCCTGGTGCACCCGCATAACCCCAAGGTTTGGATGTGTACGGCTGCACGAACGGATTGAGCACCGCCACAAGGCCAGGATGAACTGGCCCTGTGAAGTGCACGACTCCAGGATCCTTCATGTCTCCCAATGCCAAAGCCTCTCTGTCAGCCGAGCCAGTCTCTGCATAGGTTCCGAGTCCCTGCGCATTCCAGCTCAGGCTCACTTCGGCCCAATCGCCAGCGAAGTGCGCATTCAGTACATCCTGATCGCCATAGCGAGCCTCTTTCATCTTGCGCACCCGAGCCTCAAGCTCAGACAGGCGCGTTCTTGCCTTTGCTAGGTCAATCAGGAGCATGCCTGCGTTGAAATACCGTCTTTGTGTGACGTCATCGTGACCCATCGGGAATCCAACATCCATCGCTGCACCAATCGAGGAGCCCTCCAAATCGGTGTTCCACAACTCTTCCAGACTCTTGCGTACCAGCATGTCTGCGTCCAGGTACAAAGCCCGCTCCACTGGCAGGATCTTCATCATGTCAATCTTCGCCCAGGTTGGGCCTAATTCCGCAGCTAGACTTCCAGTCGGAAGATCCAGGAATGCTAGGGTAACGTTGTGCCGCTCGGGAAGCGACAACTTGATATCTTCTTTGTCTTTGACGCAAAGTCCACAGTCCACAATATAAATTGTCATACGTCCCGCGGTCTTCTCGATGGCGCTGCGAATCGTGACAGCTGCTGCCATCGCATACGAGGTGTCGATGGCGAGGACCAAATAAATCCCGCAGCCCAGAGCGCTTGCGAAGCGTTGCTCAACACTCTCTTCTATGAGGAATCCGATCCGCATCTCACAGGTCTTCTTCAAGATTAACTGGTACTGCTCTGGATCTTCAGACAGAAGCTCATACTCCCCTGCATGAAGCGCAAGGAATGCATCAATGCCGCGGCGGGGATGATGCACACTTTCAACGGGCTGCTCAGGCCAGTTATAGTCGTCGAAAATGAATATGCATCCCTCACGCGCAAGGCGCCATGCAAGCTCTGCATCCAGGAGCGTGTCATCTGCGCGGTGCGACCCATCCACATACACCCAGTCGAATCCGGCGCCTGCATCCCGCATTATCTCCTCTTCCAGGAGCGCATATAGTGCGGGGACGCTGAACTGGGGGAGTATGCGAAATGGGCGACCCGTTTGTGGGAGATTTTGCGAGAGCTTGCGGTGGCGCTCACGTCCCGCGGGAGTACGCATAAGATCGAAATGGTCGATACAGACGATCTCACCGCCTTGGGCGCAGAGTGTGGTGAGCAGAAAAACTGCCGAGCGTCCTTCCCAGGACCCGATTTCTAGGATACGTGGCTCAGGCGAAGTCACTAATGGGAAGAGGCTTTTCCAGGATGGAATGTTGTTGCTAAACCAGTCTTGTGTTGGCGTAAACTCGTATTTATTTGCAGACGCAGACAAATCAGTGACTGTGGATGCAGACATTTTTCGCTGCAGCTAATAATCACTGTGAGCATCCCGATATGCGTGCGAGGAGTGGAGCTGACCTATGGGTACAGAAGGTAATAGGTATTATGGATTAGTCCTGGTGCTGTTGCTTGACGCCCTCCAAGATCTGTGATTGATACCTGTCTACACATAGCAGGCGTCCGTCAGGTCATCGTATCAACTGTTTCGTCAATTGATCCCTCACTTTTGGTAAAATCCCGTTAACTTTAGGTGGAGGATCAATTCTGATAAATTTTAGGGAGATTCTGAGATGGTGGGCTTATCGGGACAACTGGAATTCCAACGACAGTAACTGGTATCATTGCATTAAATGTACCCTTATTTACGTGCATTTGTGCCCGTTGATCTTACTGATATATAAACCAAGCGATCATTACGATGCCCTCCTTGAATCTTATCTCCCTTTCCCCACCATATCAATAGACGCGCTTATACGAATTTCGTGCTGTCCATCCTCTCTGTTACATCATCGATATAAGGTGTTTCGTTTTCTACTGAGTCGCAGCTACGACTTGGTAAGTTATACACCTTTCCTCGGGGTATGTTTCTGAACCATGGCATACAGCGACCAAACAAAGCTATGTCGACAGACGACAGCTCGCGTAGATTCCTCGTCACCGGCGGGAATGGATTTATTGTACGGGCCTTTCGTTATTCATATGGCACAACGTTGAATGCGATATTCGCTAGGGTTCATATGTCGCAAAGGCATTATTTGAGAAGGGCAACTATGTTCGCATCGCGGATATCAAGCGGACCTCGTATTTCAACGAGTGCATCTCGAATGAGGTTCTCGTCGGAAACCTCTGCGATCTGTCATTTTGTGAAAGCGCTGTTCGGAGCATGGACACAGTCCTTCATTTCGCCGCGACAATGGGTGGCATGGGAGCAATCCACGAAGCCAATGATTTCGTCATATACAAGGACAATTCCGCAATGACATTCAATCTCGTACATGCTGCTGTACACCAGGGTGTTCAGCGTTTCTTCTATGCATCCTCTGCCTGTGTGTATCCCACATCCTTACAGCACCATGCCATAAACCCCGTGTCCCTCCGCGAGCAGGACTTATGGTCTTCTGGGGCCCCAAACCCACAAGGCCTCTACGGTCTTGAAAAGCTAAACTCTGAGCTGCTTTTGATGCAGTTTGCTGAGAAGATGCAGATACGCATCGCCCGATTTCATAACATTTTTGGCCCATATGGTGCATGGGTTGGCGGGCATGAAAAAGTGCCCGCTGCGCAGCTCAGAAAGGCGCTCGCTGCACAAATGGATCCCACCGCCCAGCATGATATCGAGATCTGGGGAGATGGGAAGCAACGGCGAAGCTTCCTCTACATCGACAACTGCGTCGAAGCTATTCTCCTTCTCATTGAATCCGACTGCAGCGAACCAATTAACATCGGATCTGACTGCTCAGTCACGATCGACGATCTCACAAGGATTGCTGCGCAATCTGCAGGCCTGAACGTAGGAGACTTCCATTTCAGATACGTGGATGATTCTCGTCCCATCGGCGTCCATTCCCGCAATTCGAACAATGAGTTTGTCATGAGGTCATTGAACTGGACCCCGAAGATAACCCTCGAGGCCGGTATGATGAAGACTGCAGAATGGATCAGAGGGGAAATGGAGAATATGCTCAATAGCAACGACGAGATCAGCGCCCGGACAAAGCTGCTGCACAGCTTCAAAACGAGCGAGGTCGTATTCTTGCATAAGCCCACCATTACATTCGCTATCTTACTTCCCATCACATCCCGTGGTCTCGAGGGACCTGAGAAGAGCCTCGATAACCTTCGAACCTTTGCACAGTCCCTTGCGCGCACTACGTGGCGCGACACCCGTGAGCTTGGGCTTGTCCACTATCAGGTGAAGATATACTTGGGAATTGACGCAGACGACGATTTTCTGCTGCGCCACGCAGAAAACTGCGAAAAGTTAAACATTGAATCACTCTTATCAGAAGAGGGGATCACAGATGTTTCTACTGAGATCTGCGACGTACCCCGTGGTCATGTCTGTGCAATATGGCGCCAGTGTGCATACCGGGCTTGGCAGGAAAATGCAGACTATTTTGTGCTGATGGGCGATGATGTCAATCTCTTCGACGAAGGTTGGATGAGAGATATCCACGAACAGTTCACGTTGATTGCACAGCACGAACAAGTCCCTCAGGGTATGGGATGTGTCGCGTTCACGGATGTGACTTTCCCCGGAATGCCCACGTTCCCCGTTATTCATCGCACTCATATGGATGTCTTTGAAGGCCAAGTCATACCCGACGTTTTTGTTAATCAAGACGGGGACCCGTTCCTCTTCCAGCTATACCGCAAATGGGGTTGCTCTCGAATGATACCATCAAGACTTTCTAATGGAATTGGCGGAAGCCTACCTGCGCGCTACACTCAACAGCATGCAGACGGATGGACTTTCGGTCCGTTGGACAAGGCAGCATTAGTGTTGGCGAGGTCTTTACCGGACGCTGCTCGCAAAATGACGCTGGACATCATCATTCCGAGCTACCGTGTTCAACTCCCTTTCCTCGATCCCATTCTCGCCCTCAAAGAGTCTCCAACTTGTGAAACCATGTTCATAATCATAATCGACAACCCGCACTCCCCAAAAATCACCGAGCTAGAAGCAAAGTATGCTCATCGCCCAGACGTCCGCATCCGTGTCAATAAAAGTAACCTTGGTGCCTCGGCGTCACGAAACAGAGGCATGAAGGAATCTGCCGCGGACTGGATTTTGTTTCTTGACGATGACGTAACGCCTCAAGCTGACATTCTGATTGAGGCTGAGAAAATCATTCGTTTGAACCCACAGGCTGCTGGTTTCATTGGAAACACCTATTTCCCTGTTGCCAGCACTATCTTCACCAATGCCGTTCATCTTGCTGGCGTGACCTTCTTCTGGGACATTGCTGCAAAGATGCCACAGAACGAGAGTGACATGCCCTGGGGTGTCACAGCCAATCTCATCGCCCGCCGTGTTCAGGACGATGTAGAGTTTGATTTGCAGTTCCCGAAAACAGGCGGAGGAGAGGACATTGATTTCTGTCGGAAGAAGCGCGACTTCTCTGTTGCTCACGGGGGCGAAGGATTCTATCCTGCCCCTCACGTCGTCGCAACTCACCCTTGGTGGAACGGGGGTCAAAGATCGTACTGGCGTTTTTATATGTGGTCCAAAGGCGACGGGGGGCTCATAAAGCTCTACCCAAATCTGACGTATTTAGATCACTCTCCCAACAGTGCAGAGCTCTTCCTGATCAGCACGGCATTGACAATTTTAGGCGCGTTCACGTACCTCTTCACAAGGAGCTCCGTCGTGTTCAATGTTTCGGTGAGCCTCGCAATCGCGACGGTCATTGCAAACATAGCGCATGATGTGTACCGTCATTTGTGGAGAGATACGAATCGCACGAAATCCCTCAGGTCTTCATTGAGAGGACTAGGATGGGTTGTCGCGGTTGCTGAAAGTGCGCTGATCAGGATGGCGAGCGAGGGTGGGAGGCTGATCGGACTACTTGAGCGGGGAGAAATCTTGCTCATTGGGCAAAGGTTTGACTGGTTCACTGGGAGGAAAGGAGACGGCCCGATGAACGAGGAAATAATGAATGGACGACAGAGAATGGCACTGGTGGTTCTCATCACTGGTGTGTTGTGTTTCCAGTTTTGCTAGTGTGCCGCTCTTGGTTTCTGCTTATCCTTTCTCCGAGTCTGCTCGTCTGCAAGTCATATGATTGTTGGTGTACGATTGTATCATCCTAGGGGTATCCTTTCTTTGAGTTCGCGCGTCTGCTATGATTAATATTGTTGGTGTACGATATGTATCATTTTAGGGGTATTTTTTCTCGGAGCTCGTACGTCTGCTACCATTGTTGGTGTATGATATGTATCATCCTAGGAGTGTCCTGTTCCCGAGTCTGCGCATCTTCAAACCAGATGATTGTTGGTGTACGATATGTATATATCATTCTATGTAGGAATAGCCACTGTAAGGAAAGTCGCCGTGGAACGGATAAATTGTAATCGATCACTTTTGCTCGCAAGTTATTCAGGCAATGTAATGATCATTTACTCTTCATGGAGGCTCACACCACAACCGCGCGCGGTGAGCTGCGGGCTCTGCATCAGGCGACGAAAACGACAGGAATTGTACGGGTAGATAGACTTGGTCAAAGACTCGGACTAGTTCGTCGGACTGTGGCGTATCGTTTGTTCATAGTACCGCATTGCCAGGAGCATGGGCGGCCAGGACTTCACCCTCGGAACATAATTGTCCCTGGTAGAAGAAGGAAGACAACTATTCCCTGTAGTAAAGCGAAACAGTAGTAGACAACAGGAAAACAGACAGATCTGGTTTCCCGCAAGTTTGTGAGACAACTCGAAGACTAGCCCGTGACTAGGTGTGGCCGAGTCACTCTGCACAAATGGAAAAGAGGGGGGAACCCGAGGGGCGGTCGATGGGTACACGAAAATTCCAAGTAACTGCAGCGACGGGTAGGCATCAATGGGGACGCGATAGGAAGGAGTACCCTCCCAAAAGACAGGTCCACGAGAAACTGGTGTTTGAACCAGTTTAACAATTGGATGCAGGCGGAAAGTAGGAACCGAGGCCTGAGGCCTGAGGTATCATAGACTCAGTTCGGGTGTAGGAGACCGAAAATTCAGGCTTCATGATCCAGAATGAATTAAGCACTGGCAGTGCGCACTGCGCTCCGAGAAAATGGAAAACCCGTAGACTTAGCCTTTTCATAGCAAACAAGGGCAGGGCCGCAAGGAACTGTTGTGCAACCCGTCAGGATTGCAGATTCGGGGCTATGCATGGCATAGCGCCTCTATTAATATTGCGAGAAAATGGGAGAACACTTTAGTGGGATGGTTTATCCGCACGTGCACTTGTTTTGACTATTGCTTGCAATTGCAAGTACTGTTGATTGACTCATCTAAGATGATTAGAAGGAAGGAACCGATCCTTGTTGGATATCAGGAAATCTTAGATATTAGCAAGCCGTTATGCTCTGCCTATGAAAATTTTATCGAAGAACGATTCATGAATTCTGATGAAGAACAACGAAGGTGGCTTATAGTTAATTAGCCACCATCTTGAAATTACCCAGTCAGACATCTGTACAAAACCTACGGCTAGGGCTATACGTAAATGACGCAGCGTAACTGTTATCTATACAAAACTTGAACGAGAGCACAGCCAAGGTAAATCTTAATACATATGCAAATGCGATAGAGCGATGAGTGTCGAAGACAAGAAAACAAAACAAAAACAAAAATCTGGGTGCAATCTGCCAAATGAACCCATCATAGATTCCGGTGCTTACATCGAGCTCCGGACGACATCAGTAGCTGGTGAGATGACGGCCACCAATACCGAAATATCTGCGAGCGACTCTTGAGTATGATGCAACGCATGATATTGATAAACTCACCATCTATTTTACCACCTCTGAATGGTTTCCCTGACTCCCTTGCACGACATGCAAACGGCACTTCATCCTCCATGTCAAACACCCCGTCATCAACACCCCGCCCCCTCCTCTCGCTCACGCGGCGCGCACGTGAACAGAGCGCTTCGCTCAGCATGCCTGCTAGCGTTCGACGGCCCAAAAGACCCTCACCACTTCCCTCCCCGTCACTCTTCAAGAAAGAGCGCTTAAAACGCACCACTTCATCGAGCACCTCGTAATCCCATAAGTTATCAGATAGTCCATCGGAAGCGAGAATGAGGATGTCGTCTGCTTGGACTGGGAGGCTGAGGATCTGGGCGTCTCGAGGGCGCGCAGAGGATGCGGGACCGAGCTGTACGGGGGTGTTGAACGCCCTCCACATCTCTTCGCTGCGCCAGGCGATGTTCTCGTCGCGCACCAGCATACCCATGCAGTCGCCGAGATGGGCGATCTTGAGTACCGCGTCGTGAGTTTCTTTACGAGAGGTGGTGTCTAAAGGGTTCTGGAAAATGAATGGGCGGGGTGGGGAGGTGGCGGGGGGAGGAGTGCTGGAAGAATGCTGAAGAACTGCGACGAGGGCGGTTGAAGAGCCGGTCATGAGGGGGATCATCTTTGGAGGGGAAAGTTCTGGTGGGTGCGGGGTGGACCGTGGGGATTCTGGGGAGGTGGTGAGGGGTGCTTCCTCTGGTATGGGTGCGAGTCCTGGAGATAAGGCTGCCTTGGTAGGCAGAGGCTCTGGAACGACATGAGCCTTGAGAGTAGTTTCATATGCACGTTCGAGAATCATTAGGACATCGAGTCCGTCTTCAAGGTCCTCCAAAGAGTCTTCGAGCTCTTCGTGAAGCTCGTCTATTTCGGCCTTCCACGGCCATGCGGCACTGAGGGCCGTAGATCCCGGATGGCGGTGTGGGGATTTGGACCGAGAAGGGGATACATCCCGGCGACGGAATGATGAGGCCTCGGCTTGGAGAGCCTCTGCCGAACAGTGGTGCATCAATCGGCGGGCGAACAATGCGCTTGGTGATGGATCTGTGGAGACGTGCGTTGATGAACTAGCATCTGGGACATATGGTTAGAATATGAAGAGTCCGGTATGAATCAAACACACCAGGTGTTTTGGCTCTTGACCAACCGCCGACACCATCTGCAACGCCCATGGCATTCTCTTGTATAAAGTATGCATCCTCGCCAACTTGGACAGCGAAGCTGAGATCCTCTTTCTGATGGTGAGCGTCGATCTGTCGCCAACCGCTATTACTACCGCGGATACCTATGCCTCTGCCTGAGACTTGGGCTTTGGTCTTCTTCGGTATGCCATATGCACCGACATCGAGATGGTAGCGAACCTTTTGTTTCTTTTCTCGAGGATGAGAGTCAGTGTGGGCATCTGCAACGGCGATATTGTAGAAGGGTATTGGTGCGAACGGGGAATAGGGGAAGAAAGAGGAAGACTGATGGGAGGGAGGAGTGTGGGGAGGTGAATTTGGGTTTGCTTGTGGTGATGTTAGTGCCAAGGAGAAAGGGGGCTGTCCATGTGACTGATGGGCAGAACCCTCGCCCTCGGCCTTGACGGGAAGACGGGATGTGGAGAGGACGTGGGGTTTGCTAGGTTGTGGCTGAGGTGGAGGTGGTGAGTCGAAAAAGGCAAGTGGACTGGAGGAAGAAGGAGGTGCAGTGTAAAGAGAACGGGCAGAGGGTGCTGAACTAGATCGTACACGGGTAATTGGAGATGTGGAAGGTGACGATGAAGGTATGGAACGGGGAAGGACGGTATAGAAGCGCTTTTGAAAGGTCTTCATCGTAGGACCTGGTGCACTCATGTTGAGCAGGCCGTCGTGCTCGATGAGCAGAGGCTGTTGTCAGTCGTTGTACTTGGTGTGGGGTCTGCGGCAGCTAGAGGATGGAGAATACAAAGTGCGGGGCTAGGTGGCAGCTCCACCGGAAGAACTCGGGTGATGCTCTGGGTCGCCGGGTCACATGTAGTCAAATTCACACGCGCATTATATCCGAATCTACAACAAGCTTAGGCTTGGCTTAGGCATTGAATATTGAATACACAAATTAATGTCGTTTGTTCCGTCGCGGGAATCCCTCCTCGTGCCTATTCGATACATCCTCTACCCCAACTCGTTGACAGTCTCAACCTACATTTCCGCACTTGCTCGCCAGTTACCTAATGCCTTTTGGGCGGCACACAGCGCAAGTATCCTTCCCTAGCTAATGTTCTCCGAGTGCTTGAAAAGGTTTTGCAGCTCACTTGAAGGAGGCGCATTCCGGTCTATGTTCTTCTCTAGGAGGTACGTTGCTCTTCCATTGCCGAGTTTATCATAACCTATGATGGGGATGTGAGGCGTCCGAGAGGATGTCAAGGTGAACATCACTTAAATACGTCTTGTATCGCGGTGTATCCTTGACCTTGATATCCCTGGGTTGCGCCAGGATCACCACGCACATGTAGGGCGGGTACTGTGTACTGTACACCATACACCTTGGATCAAGTGTTGAAGGGCTTGGCCCAAGAATGTCAAACTCTGCCTTACCTTCTCGTGCTTTGACCAAGGAGATGGATTGGAAACAAAAAAGCTATTGGGCGAGTGTCGATGGTAGCATGCATCCCGGGATCGGTCTGGCCTGGAAGAAGATTCTCTTGGCCATGGTTTGTGGAACGGCGGTGCGTTAATTATGCCCATATGGTCCAGCTTTCTTTTGACGAAGAGCTTTTGGTGTGCCAGATTATGGCTGAATACCAAATAGCCTCAATGTAATCCTGTTATGCGGAATATCTATTGTCCTGACCTGGAGTTAAATTGATTTCTGAACACGTGATTGACGTGTCGCAACTTCTGCATGTTGGCGCACAAATACAGTTCAAACTGGGAGTATAAGTGTCTCGTGTTTGTTGTTGCAATATCCGCCATTATCGCCATTCCAGCATATCTTTGCGACCCTCCATTTATTTCTACTACCCGTGCCGCCCGTGTTGCTATCCAAGGCTATCTTACAGCCTCTCGCTTCAAAGAAATCGTCGTCGACCGCACTATTCAGGCTGTGTCCAAATCAGAGGGGGTCTCCATTAGCTTTGTTGCATCCACTGTCTGCTCCTCGACAGACGTCCCCCACGACCTGAAAGTCGAAGGCCACCGCCCATCTGTTTTATTTATTCTGATATTTATTTCATTGATGTATCGTGTATACGATTTGAAGACGAGATGGACGTACAATCATAGACGTGACACTGCCCTGATCTGCTGCTGCGGCAGAGTGTTCCTGTCGTGAGACAGTAATGTAATAAAATTGCAGTGTCCCTGGCTGCGAGTTTGCTGCGGTGTTATTTATTATGAGCGGCTAAGTTTGTACTAAGTTTGCATAGCCCTAGGCTAGCTATGACAGCCTTTGGACATCGTGTGTATCAATGATTGGATAATATTTCAGGGTGAGGGTTAGGGGGAAACGAATAAGTATATTGATTTAATTCGTTACTACGTAAATATTTCCATCGTCGGTAATGTCAGCACCTCCAGTACCCCCTCTCCCTCAAGACTACACACGCCACTCCTCACTTCCACCACCACCCTTGCCACCCCTTCCACCAGAATACTTAGCTTTACAACGTGATCAATCAAGATCTCCCTTACCTGCTCCTCGTCCTCATCGCCTTGACCCAGATTTACCATCTAACGTGCGCCATTTTACATGTATTCCATTCCATCTCACGTACTTCTATTACATACAGATGGCTCGCTCCTTGGACCAGGCCGCTTCTTACGCACCCCCAATGAATCAAAATTTTCATCACGCTCCCTCTCTTCACGCCGTATCAAGTTACAATCCAAATCCAGGCTTTGTTCCACCTCCTCAAGCTTCCTTTCAACAACCTCCAAACACAACAAACACTCCTTGGAACGCCTGGAACCCCGTAAACCCAATCGGTGTTCCTCTCCCAGCTTCCCCGCGACCACCTCACCCTGCTCAGTACCCACTTCAAGTGCAGCACTCTCCTCCAATGCAACACCACCCACCTCCACGTGCTCAAAGTCAATCCGCTGTTCCCAGTCTCACTGCCCCTATCCCCACAGTACAAAGCCTCTCCACTGCACTTCCCACAATACAACAACCTGCCCATGACCCTCCACTTAAACTCGCTTGGGCTCGTGATGTTCTTCTCCTCGTAGATCGTACTCAACATCCTACTGCAACTGACATCCCAGCGGGTCCAGTCACAATTACTGATCCACAATTACAACGTCTCGTTTCAACAGCAGTCCCTCTTGTACAACAACTTGCAGCCATCAATCACCAACCACTTCCCCTATTCGTCGCTGAAGCAATCTACCTCCGTGCTACTCTCGAATCTAGCGGCGCTTACCCAGATCGCATCCCACACAATCCTCGTCAGGCTTTCCGCGATTTCGAAACTGCTGCACGTGCAGGTTACGCAGCTGCTTGGTTCCGTCTCGGACGCGATTATGAAAACTTCAACGATGTAGTCCATGCCAAGGACTGTTTCGAGAGAGGTGCCAAGATGGGCGTCGAAAGTTGTGTCTATGTACGTATCCTTGCTGCACTTTCTATCATTTGTTGTCTAATTGGTATGTAGCGCATGGGAATGGCAAATCTACTGGGTCAGCTTGGCCTCCCTCCAAACCCTGCTGCAGCTCTGCCATTTTTGCACCGCGCAGCTACCCTCGCGAGTACTACTACTCCTCAACCCGCCTATGTTTACGCCCTCCTTCTCCTCGGTGAATTCTCTGCTGCTTCCATACCCACTTCCCTCCTACCTCAACTACCCGTCGCTCAATCCGAGGCCCGTCGCCACCTCGAGCGCGCAGCCTACCTTGGTTTCGCACCCGCACAATACAAACTTGGACACGCCTACGAGTTCGCCAGTCCGCCCTTCCCATTTGACGCCTTGCTCAGTGTCCAGTATTACTCCCTCGCCAGTCAGCAGGGCGAGGTCGAAGCAGACATGGCCCTCAGCAAGTGGTTCTTGTGCGGTGCAGAAGGCGCATTCGACAAGGACGAAGGTCTCGCCTTCACCTTTGCCGAAAAGGCTGCCAGGCGCGGGCTACCAAGTGCTGAGTTTGCGATGGGTTATTATAAAGAGGTCGGTGTGGGTGGTGAGAAGGATCTTCGGGAATCCATGAGGTGGTATACTCTCGTATGTTCCCTCTTTCATATTCATCTGTCCTTGCTCACTAGTTCTAAGGCCGCTGAACATGGGAACACAGATGCTGTAGAACGCATCGCAGCGCTTAACCAAGTAGTTCCACAAGCACTCTCACGACAAGAGCACGACACCATTACCGAAACACAACTCGTGCGCACACGCACTCAAGCTCGGGAACGATCCAGTGCACAGCCACGTATGAGTGTGGAAGATGGGAGACAAGTTATGGAAATGGCACGAAAGAGCTCGATCGCGCGACAGCAGTCTCCACCACAGGTCATGATGTCGCTTGCTGAACGTTCATCACCTTCTGCTGTTCCCCAGCAACTACCTCCGCAACAACAACAGCCACAAAGGCAGTTCGTTGGTCAACATCGATACACCCTTGTAGACCCTGGATCTGGGAGCGCTACACCCTCACGCCAGCAGTCGCCATCACAGCAGCCACAGCCACAACCACAGCCTGCGTATGCGCGTGCGGCTGGTAGACCGCCTGGTCAGAGGCAAGGGTCGGCGCCGCCCCAAGGGCAGCCACCACAGGCCCAAGGATCGCCAGGGGATAGAGCTCCCACTCCTCAGGCTGCGCGTCCCACAGGCCCAAAACCGCCCACGACGTTTGCGGAGATGGGAATTCAAGGTGCAAAATTGGAGGAAAAGGAGTGTGTGATTATGTAGGGAAGTGGATCGGGATGCTCCGAGTACATATATACATACCCATTTTTTCAGCTTTCTCTTCGAACTCTTTTTCTTCTTGTTCTCGGGCAATGTTTGTTCGGTTCTTACGTAGTCTTACATGGACTTGCATGATAATGAAGCGTAGATGTCACGTTTTCGTTTACGTCGGATGGTGTAATTCTGTCTTATTGCTGTGTTGAGCACTGGAATCAACAACAATCTGGCGATTCATTGACGATCAGCTAGTTTCAAGTTGCCGCCCAAATGTCCGTGGATCAAAATTTGCCATCTAGAGACACTGGTCAGGGGACCAAGTATAGACCAACTTCAAGAAACCCAGGGTTACAACGACATCTTTTATATCAAGGAAACAGGACACTAACTATATATACTGTAGGATATGTAGTGGCACGGCAGTAGTAACGATCGAGAATCGGCGCTCAGCGTTCAAGAGATGATGCAAAATCCCACCAACCAGGCGGTCTGGGAACAGAGTCTAGGTAGAATCCTTGACAATTTCAGCACGAGTGTACACGCGTATACCTAGCCAATCTTCCACACTCTAGAATCAATAATCTGGTAAAAAGTTAGTGTATTGTTATCAGTAATGTATGCAAAGGAGGAAGGGAAGCGCGAGAGCGTGATTGTCTGGTATACCAATGCAAAGACCGTGTGTATGTTGAAGTGCAAAATCAAAACATGACGACTTGAAAGCAAATCACAGTGGTATCACGAGAAGAGAATAAGAAAACCAACTGTCCCCCAATCCATCTTTTATCAAAGATCAGCCCCGACAGCATCCACGACATACAGGACTTGTTGTGGCCGGACAAACAGTCCCCTGGACTCTGATGTCGACAAGTCCGATGCTGCAGGTGACGAACTTCGCATCCGCTTCGCGCGATCCGTTCCTACGGTCAGCTGGTCTCCTTCTCGTTTAAGTCCGCGATTATCTCTTCCTGACCCGTTCATCCAGTCCATCTTCCGCCGTCTCTGTGTCTGATAGTCGTCTGCGCCAAACTCCCACTCCGAGCCACTACTCCCGATATCGAAATAACGAATGCCGCCCCATGACCCATCGTTCCACTGACGACCGTCTGAGGGGTCACCAACCCAGGCCTCCAGTGGTACCTCAATGCCAACCCAAGGCCCAAGTTCGCCCTCGACTTCGCCAATGTACCGTGCAAATGCCTTGAAGCGCTTGCGCTTCGATGACACTATGCACGGAATGCCAACATCGAGCGTCGCGCCGCGAAGCTGAGCCAAAACGTTCGCCTCCACCGGGGAGGCAGTCGATTGTTCGGGAGTCCGTATACTTGTGGTGATAGTGTCTGATGACCCACGGCGGGTGAGCGCGGGAGGAGAGTCCGCTCCAGGAGAGGCCCCATCCTGCGTCGGAGAGCTGGTATCATCATCATTGAGACTGATCGTCTCACGATCCTTGCCCTTGTCGAGGTCGCTAAGCGTAATGCGGGGCGATTTTTGAGAATGATTCTCGATGACTCTGCTGAGCGGCTTCCTTTGTGAGGAGGTGGTGGTTTTGGCGGGTGTACGTTTGGAGGGGGTTAACTTGGTGAATTCAGCTGCTCCGCGGCGGACAGATGTTCGTGTGGCAACCGCAGTCGTTGTCGTTGAAGTGGATGCAGTAGATACTCCAGATGACAATCTTTCTCTCACAGGAGTGCCCTTGCTCGTCCCCACAGTCCTCACGCTCACATTTGAAACAGTGGATCCTCCAGACACCTTCCTCGAGCGAGGCGTGATTGCTTCAGAGGGAGCTGTCCTAAACGTAGCGTCACTTGTCGCACTCGACAAACTCGAATTCGGACGGGAAGCAGACGGAATACGTAGCGTGGACTCTCTTGCGGAGGAACGGACACTGGAAACACGTGAACGCACTGAGGGTGCAATGGATTTTGGCTTTGGAGCGGGCGAAGAAGTGATGAGTTTGCTCAGCGCGGGCTTCGTGCCTTTTGGCGTAGGACTAATATTGCCCGTGCGAGGCGAGGGTGCCCTGCGTTGCATAGCCTTCTCTGTCGCACTTGATCGTACAGATGTGATGCTCTGCGACTCGGGCGTGAGCTTAGAGTCAGGGCGTACATCGTTGGACTTGGGAGTCGTAGGAATGCGTGGAGACGAACGCCCAATGGTGCGCACGCTTGCCGCGGACGATGCGGTTGTAGCCTCACGGGCATGTTTGTGAGGGCTGTTGATATTACGGCTAAGCACAGACGCGCGTAGCGAGTGCACGCTGAGTGTGTCAGAGTCCGCATCTCCAGCTGTAGAAGATTTGCGGAAGGCAGTGCGTCGGAGGTTCGAAGGCTGAGCAGGCGATATGAGGTCTTCAACAGAGACTTCCAGTTCTGATAAAGATAAAGACGAGTTTTAGGCATCAGGGAATAGGATGAGAACATAAATCCCACCTTGAGAGATCTCTTTAATAGCCCAGCCCTCGAGGCCATCAAAACCGCCCTGCTGACGCGTGCCCATCCAACGCTTTCGAATGTACCGGATGAGATCTGCACGTGCGTCCTCAACTTGCACGCGGATGTGCGACGTGGCAGAGAGCATCGCGGCGTCTTCATCTGTTGGGTGTGGTCGCAGGAGGATATTCACAAGGCTCTGATCAAATATCAGCATCATGCATAGTTTACCTCACCTCAATCCTCACCTGATACATAGTTCCAGCGTGTTTCTCAATCATTCCGCGTTTAATCGCTTCCATCACCCAGACAACCCTCTCGCCATCCTCAAACCTCACCCCATCTCCTTCCAAGACCTGTAGCCAATCATCCTGTTCGAAGCACTCAGCGCTCTGGCTTACAAGGCATTCATCGATTGCCTTCCGCGCCTGTAACACCATATCCCGTGATGTGTCTGCCCAGGCGTCAATGACAGAGTCAAGCTTCTTTATCGCGTGTTGCGCGGCGAACAATAGGGGAAATATGTTCAGCGGCGTTGTCCGCTTTGCCAGACCCTTTAGCAGATTTTCTCGAATCTTCTGCGGAAGCGATGCGAACTCAGAGATGCACCAGCCTTCCCCGAAAAGGCCTACAAGTGCCCGTCGTGCGCCTCGTTCCAAATAAGTATTCTTGACATCGTCTGCAAGTGCGAATTCGAGTACGCGTGGCGCTCGCCGGGCGCACTGTCGGCACCGACACCCGCCAGTACCCCACTTGGACCCCGTGATGCGCTCATACTCGTTGAACTCGAGAGATGCATGGAACAACCCATGAATCATCTCGTACACGATTCGGGCCTGGACTTCAGCGACCAAGCCGTCCAAAGATAGGTACGTCGCCGACTTGAGGATCGCGAACGCGGTATCCAGGTCGTACGTCCGGTGGGAGAACACGAGGGTTCCCGTGTAGATATACCCCAGAGTAAAATGGAGTGAGGCGGGGGTAAAAGGAGGCGAAGGAAGCGTGACCGTGATTGGTTCCCCAGGCTTTGTCGGCTGGGCCCAGTTCAGGAGCTGCGCATGGAAGTAGGGGGAGCGGGACACGAGAATGAAGCGGTGGGAAGAAAAAATAGCGGTTGCTGGCTCGTGATTTGTCGAGGAAAATGTGCCAGATAGGGCGATGCGCACGTCAGAATAGAGACGAGATCGCCACATGAACACGAGGTCTTTGCGCAGCTTGTCGGTGCGGTTCTCCTCTGCGTCGACAAGCTCGCGCGACTCGGAGGTATCAAAGAGAAATTCAAATGCTTCGCCAAGTCCCTCGCCTGTGTACAGATATTCCAGCTCATTCGAAAAGAGTGTTGTGCTGCTAATGGCTGGTATGCGCATGACGGCATTTAGGTTGGTAGAGGGTGAAGGGGATGATGAACGGTACGGAGATGGAGAACGGGATGTCTGAGCGTAGTCCAGGGTGAGACTCAAGGACATGGCAGACTGTGCTGGCGCTGGAGAGGGACTCGTAGAGTAGGGGGTCGGGGAAGCAATGGGAGGGGGGCGGGATTGAAAGTAGCGCTGCTGGAAGGAAGGCGGGGCGCGTGCATACACGATAGCTGAACTTTATTAGAAAAGACGCGATGAGCAAACTCCAAGTGTATAATTACCTTTGTGGCCCCAAACTTCATCGTGATCGTCGTCATTATCGTCGGACTGGAGTTCCCAGACGACATCTGCGAATCGATCCTTTGCCTGCTGAAAGAGGTTAGTTAGATCATTCCGCCAGGCTTGCGTAGACTGTCTTGTAGCTTCCTGGACAGTGTATGATGGCGTGGAGCTGACACCAGCCATCGCCATCGCCAGCAACAATGAATACGATGAGGGGTCGAATGGAGACGATGTGGAGGGAGTCTCAAAAGTTGCAAGCACCAGAAACACGTGCTGTAACAGGGTTAAGGTTAAGGTAGACGCCGTTTTAAAAGAAATATTAATTCCAACCTGTTCCCGCTACCTTTAGGTGGTGCTCAACAATCATATCATGCACCGAAAACACAGTTGCTAGTAAGTACGAGGGACATAATTAATCACCACGAGCTAAGGCAAGCACTCCCAACCCACTCTGCATTAAAACAACTCCTCCTCCTCGGGCTTCCAATTCTTCGCCTGATCCCAATACCCCGCCAACCTCTGCCCCAATACCTCCTTAGCCATCGCATCTGTAGGACACCCCCTAGGCTTAAAGGTATTAAATGCCCGATCTCTAAGCTGACCCTCCCACACGAGATAACATGCATTGTTTTCGAGGGAGACTATTTCTTCGGGTTCTGCAGATTTCCCAGGACCTCCAGGACCATTAAAAGCGACGCCATTGGTGTCAGTACCTTCTTCGCTTGCGTTATCGATGACCACATCCTCCCCACCGCGCGGACGCGCAGCCTCAGTCCAAGCGATACGATGAAGCATCAACCGCTTATAGTTCTGAATGAACTTGGAAGCGCCTTCGACATATACCATGCTAAAAGCTGGATTGAAAATGCAAACGCCCGTTAAATTGAGTTGTTCTGCGTTTTTGCGGATTTTGAAGCGGTGGGATGGGTCTGTGAGCGTTTTTACCCTATTGCACAAATAAACGTAAAAGTGAAGGTGCAAGCAAAAGTAAAGTCAGCTTGGATAATACCGATGGGGGAGGGGAACGCACTTGAAAACAGCCCCAACGACACCCTTCTTCTCTTGCTCAGACTTCTTATTCTCGATTTTCTCTCTGCGCTGTTCATCTGTGAGTTTACGTTCCGCATTCGTCTTTTCGTGCGTGTGTTTTCTCATCGCGACTTCTCTGCGCACGCGGGCTTCAACGCGAGTGGGGTCTTGGACTGCGTCTGATGTCAAGACTTTCATGAGGTTCGACAGGCGGACTGTAGGACATAAACGTGAGCAAGGTCGAAAAGATTTACACCTATAGTAATGGACGAGACGTACCTTTGGGTGGGTCAGGTGGGATGAGACCCATACGGATACGATCGCGTTTATCTTGACGCTCGGCTTGGCGGCGCTGCTTTCGCATCTTCTTGGTCTCCTGTAATACCATGTCAGATTCATCCATGTACACACCCAAACAATATCTGCGCGCCTTTTTGGTCAACATAAGCGGTTTCAAGCCGATTTTGTTTTCTTCCATTGGAGCTGGGATGGGAATAGGGTGCTGGACGTACAGCGTCACTGGCGAATCCTGGGTTCGGATGTTGAGGTGTGAAAATCCGAGGTAAAGGTCATCGTAGGTCTTGTTGGGCAGTAGAGCTGCGTCCCACCATTCCACTGTCGGGGGAGGTTCACGCTGGGAGCCATGATTAGGGACGAAATAGTCAATAGAGTATAGACGCACCTTAATATTCTTCTCCAAAGTCTCGAACTCCGAATCAAGACCAGCCTTCCGTGCGCTCTCGGCAATACGTTGCTTGAGCGCCTCGAGCTGCGCTTCCTGACGCATTTGTTCGGCAAGCTGTTGATACTTGCCTTGGGGGTTGAAGCGGAAAGTGCGACCATGACGCTCCTTTGGTGCACCTTCAAAACCACTGTCTTTGGCTGCGGTCGAGCTGGAAGCATAAGGGTTTGCTTTGACTTCGACGATGGGGACCGGGGTTGGCGCCGGGGGAGGGGTTGGGGCGTTTCGAATGTTTGCCTTGAAACAGCGTCAGTTTCAACGACATGCGTGAGGGAGTCGTGCGCACCTTGATTGAAGCGAACTTGGGCTGCATTGGTTTGTATCGATCCTTCTTCGACTGCGGTGCAGCAGGAGCGGTGTCAAGGAGAAGGGGATGAGCGGTCATCTTCAAGCCAGCGCCTTGTTGGGCTGGTTCGACGGGCTTGTTCTTCTTGCCCATTTGAGGCACCGACTAGACTTATTATTTAAAAGCGAGCAGCGTTGGAGACTGAGAATACTGACCATGTATGGGTTGTCCTTGACGGCAAGTTTCGTCTGTGCCTCTGCCACACGGCGCTTGGCCTCTGCGACCTTGCGAGCGAGGTCCTCGGTGTTCTGAAGCGGCGTGCCTGGAGCTGGTGAGGAGCTGTCTGTCTTGGCTGGTGGAGCCTTTGTGAGACCTGGTATACCGCCTTTCATGGCTGCGACCTTTGCCGCAATCTCTGCTCGTTTCTGCGCGATGAGAGCATCTCCGGATAGCTGTTGAGAGATATATGAGTGATTGAATGAGAATTGAAGGAGAAATTGTCACTGACGGCTGCTGGGGTGTTGCTACCATCAGAGGAAGTCTGTAAGGAGCAGAGGGTTATAGAGACAGGTGAGAACGATGTAGCGGGGTGAATTCACCTTGAAGAAAGGAAGGTAGACTCACAGGATCACTACAAACAAAAATGAGCCAGGTAAACAAGGGCATTAGTACGACTGACTGACCTTTTTTGTTTTTTTGTTAATGGAGACTCCCCATTGCCGTCGAATGCTCGCTTGCTCATTGTTCGTGGCAAGCACTGCAGAAGCAGCCAAACGCTTCAATCTCATAACCCAGCTTAACCCCTCCAACTTGGCTTGGGGGGTCTCATTGAATTAATTCTAGCGTCAACCGTTTTTGGAAGCACGATAATCTCAGACTTGCCGGAGCATCCTCTCTGAGCTTCTCTGAGCTACTACTTGGTTGCGTTTCTTGAAAGTTTCCTCCGATTGCCTACACTTGCCATGCGGTATTATGAACAGAGGTATCCAGAAGTCGATGAGCTCGTTATGGTCCAAGTCCGCCAGATTGCGGAAATGGGTGCATATGTCAAATTGGTACGCACCATTCACCTGTACTTTCTTCATTGTGATGCAGATCTGCATATATACAACACAAGCTCGAATACGACAACATCGAGGGAATGATTCTCCTCTCAGAGCTATCCCGTAGACGTATCCGATCAATACAAAAGCTCATCCGTGTTGGCCGTAACGAAGTCGTAGTGGTGCTGCGTGTGGATAGGGAAAAAGGTGTGCCGATCTTCTAGCCTACCTATCCTCAATAAGCTTACTATAGTCCTTGCGCACAGGCTACATTGATCTATCAAAACGTCGTGTCTCCCCCGAAGATATCATCAAGTGTGAGGAACGGTACATGAAGTCAAAAGCTGTCGCATCCATCATGCGGCACGTCGCGTCGAAACTGCCATCGATGGATGCAGACGCTGCTATTTCCCCCGAGGATGAGGCGGTGGAAAAGGAGACGAAGAAGTCTAGGCGCGCGGCGAAGAAGGAAAATCCTGAGGAGGCTGCGGCTGCCATGGCTGCTGAGGAGGCCGCTGTGCCACACGATGGGTCGAACGAAGAAGAACGGTTGGAAAAACTGTATGAGCAAGTGGCATGGCCACTTGGTCATAAATATGGTCATACATATGATGCGTTCAAGCTTGCTTTGACGTGCGTCACGGTACCCTTTTTTTACCACCTGCGGAGGCTGACTAGACCAGCGAGCAAGAAACCGTATTTTCGTCCCTTCCAAACCCTGTATCATCAGCAGCCATCTCCATTCTTATGGGCACAATCGCACGGCGGTTGACACCCCAGCCTATCAAGCTGCGCGCTGATATCGAGCTCACATGTTACACCCCTGCCGGTATCGATGCCATCAAAAAGGCTCTGAGGGCAGGTGAAGCACAAAGCAACGAGACTGTGCCGATTAAAGCCAAGCTTGTAGCTCCTCCGCTGTACGTTCTCAGTACAAACGCAACAGACAAGGTCTGCCTTTATCATTCTGGATCACGAAGCTGTCTAAGCCAATTTGTAGTACGCTGCTGTTGATCGTTTGGAACGCGCGATCGAGTCGATTCTAAGCACCATCGAGGGCCAAGGTGGGAACCTTGTTGTAAAGATGAAGGTGCAGTGCAATCCTTCATATCCATTCTGACTCCCTTTACTATTTTCCTTTCAGCCAAAAGCTGTCTCCGAGACGGAAGAGCAGGATCTTGCACAGCTCATGGCCAAGGCAGGCCAAGAGAATGCAGAAGTTTCTGGAGACGAGGATGACGAGGAGGGGGTCTAGTTCATGATTTGTGGCCTCAGGTACATTTCTCGATGGTGGCAGCCTATTACGAACCAGATTGTTTACTGAGATGTAGACCATTCAGTAACCTAACGGCGGTGTATAATTTTGCTTTGAGGGTGTGGCGCGAATCTCGGCGATGCACCTATAGATGTTGGGATTACTGGGGAAATGTAAATTCTGTAAATGATCGGAGAGCCAGAGAAACCCTAGTCTCAACTGCGGGTAGGCTGGGACCGCGTGAAACTGTAGTTTGTTCAACTTTGTTGTAGCAGGGGATTAGGGGGGCCCATGTAAGCACGCTGGCTTACTTGAGTTCTCATAATCAATACATATACTGTGGCGGGTACTGAAGACTAAGTCTTCAGTATTTCTACCTTTTGGTGTAACGGTCATGAGGCGCGGCAGCCGACTACTTTACAGCCCATCAGGAAAACCCTCCTGAGCTCAATCAACATAAATTCCTAAAAAAAATTGTAAAATTTGCATGAAGTTGCTACGTACATTTGTGTAATTCTATATAATTGCCAGGCTCGTACCCACCGCAGCTGGAGAGGTTCGAGGGCGGTCTACGAATAATTTTAGTGTTATGCCTTGATAGATCACATGACTAGTGATGTGCAAGGCCCGGCTTCAAGCCGTGGGCCGAGCCGAGCCAGGCCAAATTAGGCCGGGCCAAGCCAGGCCAAACTGACGGCCTGACCAGGGCTTTGGCCCGGCTTGGAATTCTAAAAAGCCAAAGCCGACGGCCTGAGCCGCGGCTCCCACCCTCTGCCATCAACAGACAACGAACATTTTGACACCAAATTTTGGTGTATAATTTGGTTGGTAATAAGTTACAACGCATGCTGAGCGCTGAGTCACCTGAGGCGGCAAACTTCGAAACAAACAAACGAGGACCAACAACACAAGTCGGTCTGTGCTTCAACCAATATTAATATTCAGCTCTTGCAATCGCACTTTTGAACAACTTTTGCAGGGATGGTGAGCATATTTTGTTGTTTTTGCACGATACACTAACATGAAAGATCGAACAAGTCAGCAAAGTGCTGTGTCAGCGTTTTCAACTATCATTATTGTGCGTAGCTGCTCCTGTTCACTCCCACCTGGGTAGCCCAATTAGGAAGCCTTACTAGGCTGAACGATAACGTGCCTCGTCAACTATAATTAGGCTAGGATGTAGTAATATCCAGACACCAGTATTAAACCGTGCCCCAAATCACCTTGTATCTCTACCACCACCAAAGCCTAGTACTAATGTTTAAGTAAGCTGGCGCCCCGCCCCAGGAACGTATACCGCCGCCGCGCTCAATCCGGCACTTCCCGCAATGCGCCTATTTTCGTCATAGAGGTTGATTTGTCGGGTTCCCACGACCTTTCCCTTATCCCGACCACATAGCAGGCTGCTCACTGCAGGCAATCGCTGCCGCCTCTATAGCCTGGCCACTGCCCTCTACAACATCTGCCCAAGGCCACCACTGCCCTCTACAACATCTGCCCAAGGCCACCACTGCCCTCTACAACATCTGCTTCATCTGCCTCACCCAAAATCCCAGCACCGCAGTCGTCTCTGCGCCCCCAGCACGTTGCTTGCAGCATTCTGCCTCCCATCCCACTCTACAACACCTGTCCCAGCACGCTGCTTGCACCAACCTGCCTCCCACCTTGTTATCCTTGCCCACCACCGCCCTCTACAACCCCTGCCCAAGTGGTCTGTGCACCCACCAACGCTCTAGTCTCGGCTACTCACCTACGCCCACAGAGTCATCACTTAGGGATCGCACTATTCAGATATTCACCCACCAATGCTCTAGTCTCGGCTACTCACCTACGCCCACAGAGTCATCACTTAGGGATCGCACTATTCAGATATTCACCCACCAACGCTCCGCTCTCAGCTACTCACCTATGCCCACAGAGTCATCACTTGGGGATCGCACTATTCAGATATCTGGTCTCGCACCCACCAATGCTCCGCTCTCAGCTACTCGCCTACGCCCACAGAGTCATCGCCTTATCGTCCTCACAGTTCCCAACCATCCCACCGGCTCCCAATCTCGTCTTGCACCCACCAACGCTCTGCTCTCATGGTGGATAGACCAGGGTATCTCTGTAGGGACTTGAGAACTGCGCACTAAAATATATTTTAATGTCGAAAACACACTATATTCATGCTACTACGTCAGCAAACAATGGTTGAATGAAAACGAACATAGGTAAATGAGGCCGAGGCCTCCATCCCTACAACAATGAGCTCAACTGCACAGGGCCATACAATCTATCTAACTCAGACAGCGCGGCATCATAATCAAATGGGGGAGGGTCAAAACTGTCAGTGAATGAACCAGAAGCACCGTCTGAGGGCTGTGGAATAGTAAGAGACTCGTCTGGAGAAGCCAAAGCAGAAGCAGCAGCAGCAACATCACAAGATGATGTGGCTGGCTCGTCTTCCTCCATACTGCTGTTGTCACTGATCCCCGCGCTCGTGTGCTGCTCACGGGAGGCAGTGGACTTCCTCGTGTCTGTATTATTCCGTTTCTTTCCTCTGTCAGATCTCGGACGGCGACGACGATCAACTATTTCGCCGCTCTCGAGCTTGTCGTCGCGTTCCTTGCGGTATTCCGCAAACTCCTCGTCGGTCAAGGCCTTCCAGTATGTTTTGTTAGTGTCCCACTTGCGCCAAAGCATTTCGAGGTCTGCAAGTGCGCTCGACGCTTGGCTCAGGTTTGCGAAAGGAATGTTCTCGGGCCAGCCTTCCACAATGACCTGGTACCGCTGAACGACGTTGCGGAAATAATGAGTCCATTGCATCTTCGCGCTGGGGTCACCAGTAGCCTCTTCTATATATTGAATTTAGTCAGACCATTGTCGCAAAGTCAGAAGAATCAAATACTCACGAAGTTTTCTGTTGATAATTTCCCGGATTTCTGAACGTTTGTCGGAGACGCGCTTCTTGTGGTTTTTGGCAGAACCTGAATGTAATTAGACAGAGAACACGATACTAGTAGGCAGACACTCACCTTGCATGCCTTGTACTGCAAAACCCTCCATTTTACTGACTAAGTCTTGGTTATCAATGCCCATGACGGTACCCATAAAATTTTCGACACCGTCGGTGGAAAATGCGATACCTCGAAGGGGAAGATCGGTAGAGCCGCGTGTAGTGTAGAGAATAGACTCTGCACCCGTACGACAATGCAGACTGATGAGCTAAAATTTAGGGGGGTCGTGTGAGAGAAATTCAATCAAAATCGACTAAGAACGTACCTCGTTTTCGACCGCCTTTAAGGTCTGTGTGATGTCGTTTATCTTCGACTTCGTTGAGGTACGAATACCGGTAGTCTTCGTATCCTTCCATTCAGTGAACTCGGCAAGCAGTTCGTCTTGCTCCTCCCTCGAGAGGGCAAGGTACTCAGCCTTGTGATCATGCACGAGTGATTGGAGTGCAGCTTTACCGTGGGCTTCTACAAAAAAAAATTGAGCGGTGCGCACGATGAAGTGTGTGATAAATAAATGAACTCACCGTTCTCTCTATCCTGGTTCTTCTTCCAGCAAAACACATTCCATAGATTCGGCTTTGAGCGTTTCGAGCGGAGAAGCCCCCGACCCACATACAAATCATTTTGAACACGCCGGATACTTTTATGGTGGGTAGTAGCGATGGTTTTGGTAGCGTCGTCCAGCTGCTTCCAAGCATCGTCTAAAGAATCCTTGAATCGAAGGGACTTTGCACGTCGGTCAAGTCTGAGAGCAGCGCGAGCCTCTTTGCTGAGCACGACCTTGGCACGTTGACGTGTGGGTGGCTGAATATGCTTTGCGCCGCTTACACGCTTCTTAGCATAAAAGGATTGGGTGACCATCAGGAGAACCAGCAGAGACGAGTCAACAAACAATGGTCAAATATTTTCTCAACTATTTAACGCACCAGGTCCATGTTTGTTTGAAGTCCATGATCGGGACGAAATGACACATTATTGCATACTAACAAACCAACATTTAAGATCTACAGTAATAAAAGACCAAAAAGGTAAAGCGCACACAAAAAAACCAAAATGCCGAGAAGTTTCAGGATCGTGGTAAGCACCGATGATCGGTGCTATGCACAAACATTAATCAGATCAACTTGAAAAAATTCGCAGAATGGAAGATCACTAACCTCCAAATTAGCGACCTCAGGGTTGACGGCCTTCATACCCACTTGTAAGTCTACAAGGAGAGCGTTAGCTAAAATGGAAGCATTTTCGTAGTTGAGGTCCCATGCTGGAGACCTCAGTATAGCCTCCCATCTACTACTGCGAACACTGCTGATCAAAGAACGGAGCCTTGGCAAGTTTTCGTCACCCAATCTCAAATGATCAAGAGCGGCATCCGTGCGTGGCCCAATACTGATCAACGGTGCCTCGAAGACTGAAGGATCACAAGCGAGTCCTTCATATTTTGGTACCGCTGCAAGTGGGCTAGGCTTGGCAAATATATCGGCCGGACGACGTTGACGTATCTCGGAGCGTGGTGTCGATGGCGTGGCTTTGTTCCCTGATCCACGAGCCAATTCTGCTCCATGCCGAAGAGCTGCGGAGTCCGAAGAAGGTAGCGGGGAGAAGGCTTTGGAGGCTTGCGCCGAGCACTGGATGCGAGCGCCTGTGGCCACTGTGGGTGGAGGGAGATGTGGTGGACCACTGGCACTGATATGAGTTGCTGCGACTTGAGAGCTTCATTAGCAATTAAATAATGAAATAAATAGTGAAGTACTTACAGTGCCTTGGGGGTTTCACGTTTTCAACAGCACAACGAGCCGTAAAGCGCTGGAGATGAGGTACCACGAATTCCTGCGCAAATGCTTGCACCAAGACAGCAAAATCTCCGCCAATTCTCTGCTGTGATTCTTGCAGCTCGCGGGGCGTGATATAGACATCGATGGGAAATTGTTCGGGCGAGATATTCGGAGTCGCTTCACTGCCAGTGCATCGAATCAGAATTGATATTCCACCATCAAGACGGTCTTGCATAGTGATCTGAGAAATATCGTGAGGTTTAAGAAAAAGAAAGGTAGAAACAACTGACCGCATCAAAGACATCCTGGAGGGCTGCCTCGCCCAGCTCGCTGTGAGTCAGGGTCCGCTCTGCCTCGTTCACGTCAGTTGGCTGATTGAAGCCGAGGTAGGATGGGTGAAGACCCCCCGCTCTCCTCGTCTGGTAGTGGGTACCGTCAATATGAGCATCGTGCCTAAGCAGAGCTCGTGCAGCAGCTTGCCGCTCATTATTGCTGAAACCTGGTGCGAAAGTAGAAGTATACAAAGCCGCAAGACCTGACATAGTGAAGCGGTGGTATCCCACTGTTTTGGCACCTGAACTTGAAGATGGCTTCTTCAAGTTGGTGGAAGACGCCAGAATGAAGGGTGGTGGAGAGGGCGGTGGTTTCATGGATGCGAGTTGTTGGATGTGAGGTGTGGTTGAAGAAGTGAGGTGTTATACATGTAATGCTGTGAGGTGTAATGGCTATAGTATTATGTACACAGATTGATGTTCTCGCATACAGATTGATGTTCTTGCATGCACTATAATTCAAGTTCGGAGGCTCAGCGCTCAGCAATTATATGTATGCTACATTATCGCATTTTCTATCCTACAGTTGTATGTTACATTATATCCTATGTACAGTTGTATGCTACATTATCGCGCGTTATCTATCCTACATGTACAGCTGTATGTTACATTATCGCATATCCCACCTTAGTATGCTACATTAACGCATTTCTGCATTTCCGTCTGACGGGGTGTTGGGAAACAGTGTTTATATCACAACTAGACATACAGAACTAATGAACTAAGAGGTAAGTAACTGGTGCTCAAGTCAATGTCGAGTAGGTGGTGCCCAAGTCAGTCAACAATCGATTGTAAATAATCAGCCATCTCTTCCGTCAATGCATCTTGTTCTTCTTGATCAATGGCGTCAAGGTCAGTGTTCTCGAGGGATTCAGAATTGACCTGGAAACTCGCAATATTCCCCAGCGGTTGTCCTGTGAGATAGATTAGTATGAGATCTATGTACTCAAACAACACATACCACGATGGCCAACTTGATCAGCATCACGAGTAGATTCACCAGCGCGCTGAAGGCGGACGCCAACACCTTTGGCTCCCGAAAAACCTGCGAGTTTCTCAATGCGACTCAACCAGTAACAATGCACTGCATTGATAGCCAGGCGCGAACGATATTGGCGCTGTAGCTCGCAGGCCAGGTGAGGGTCTGAAACGAGAAGTTCCTGCATGACGTCAGACACCCCAAGCTCTTCATCATGGATGGCGGTGCGCAGGCGCCGAACTTCAACGTTTAAACGAGTGATTTCTTCGCGAGCTCGATGAAGCTTGAAGTATTTCGTGGTGGCCTCTCGATGACCCGGCTTCGACCAATCACTGCTTCGAATGTCATCGCGAGAATGACGCAGAAGATCAAATTCGCCTAGAAAGCCATAATCAGCAATATCTTTCCAAGAAATATTCGGACGCGGTGGGTTGAGTCCGGCGGCTTGAGTGTTGTAGCGAATAATGGCATTGCGAATAGCTTCTGAACGACGTTGTAGAGCTTTGCCAATCTGCTGCCGTAGCTTGTACCCTACAAAATAAATAAATTCATCAGTGTGCGTATTTTGACATAAACGAGCTTACCGGTTCCTGATAATGACAGTTTCGAGAGCTCGAACAGCCTCATCACAACGAGGCGCTCTAGCTCATCTAAGGCGGTGCGATACTTGCCCATGCTCGCTTCTTCCTTGAAACGTTGGTACTCCAGTCCACCAATCTCCCACCGCTGGTCCACGGCCAACTGAGCCTCTATATGCGCGACAAGTCCCTCGGCGTTCTGTAGCTTAATGTATGAAGAGTCAACTCGAATACGAGCTTGTGCGAGGGCACTGTTGATCTGCGTTAAGCCTCCAGTGGGGATATTAGTAAGGGCGTTGTTGCCAACTTCGCGAGCTACATCCCAATCAGCACTAGAATGATCAGACATATCAGAGATAGGCTCGATTACGGTATGTAAACTTTACTCACCGCCGTTCGGCAAGTTCGTCCAAAACCTCAACGTAGCGTATGCAGAGTTGATCCCGAATTGGTGGCAGCTTCAATCTGTCAAGGTAATTACGTTCTTCATCAAGAAATCGCGGGAAATCTTCATCAGTAAGAAATAACTCGGCCTTGATGGCTGTGAGCTCGGCGGTGAGCGTCTGAATCGATTTTAATCCCTCTCGATAATGATTCCAAAGAACGTGCCTGATCGTTCATTAGTTGCATAATTGATGGACTTGAAAAAAAAAAATTACGCACTGAGCGCGGCATATTTGTCAGCGTCCCAGAACGAGAAGTGCTCCTCGATTGTCTGGCGCCGGTGGAATGGGGTCGCATGTCTTGTACTGCGAGCAAGCTCATTTGATGACGAGAATACATGTTCACAACCTTCGCCCTCAGTGTGTCCGATTCCCCGAATGGTCATGGGATGCCAGTCTAGCTGGCATTTGCGGTTATGGGCGTGTCCGTGAAAGGCGCCTACCATGAGCCGAAAATCTAACTCGCGTGCTTGCGTTCCCAGGGAACTGTTAGTTAAAGTCTTCGAAAAGGCGCATCCGATGTCGTAGGCACAGCCGCCATTCTTCCCATACACTGCGAGGAGCTTCTCAATAATAGCAAGCGGATATTTAGCCCTGTAGAATTATAGCTCAGCAACGATAAAGATGAGGGAAAACTAACCTAACAATTCCCCACTCCGGACCATGTCGCATGCCAGAAACACGAATCGATGACGACACACTGCGATGAAAATACCTGATTCATCGAATACGGAGAACATTTTTTTGCGAGTGTCTGGTCCGGCATTACGCCACCGGTTGACGCACGTGAATGTCCCAGCACCTTCGTTTGCGGTGGTTTCATCTGTCCAGTTGTCATCGTCCGAATCCCTCTGCATAGCATAATCAGACTACAGTTGTGCACAGAGAGACGTCTTACCTGTCGTGTTCTGACTTCATCTTTGAACCTGTCTACATCACAAGTGTCAAGCCAGTAGTCCGACCGTGCCTTACGAGAATCTGTACGCCTGGTTGAGCCGTAGATCGCGGAGTCCCACCGTTTCAGACTATTGTTGCCATCTATAGACACCAGCCAATCGAATTCTAGAGCAGGCTCGTCCTCCAGCACGTAGAAGCATGCTGGGCATGCGTTAAGCATGCGCCAATGCGGTGTGGTGTGTTTCAGCGCCTTGCGAAGGCGCTGATTCACACGGTGGATGATTTCCAGATAAATATCGTAAGCGGCTGAAAATTGCACGCAAAGGTATGGTCGATAGGGAGACTATGACAGCATCATTAGCGAAGTCATAAGATGCGATTTATACGTACGTCATGCAGGAAACAGAGACTCTTGACTTGGGCTTGGACACTGAACCGAGGGCAAGTTCGATGTATTTGACGGTATGGCTGCAAGAGTGCGCAGTGATATGGCAACTGTTGGATAAATTGGTGAGCACCCGATGTAGCCATGATAGATCAATGTCTCATTGGGGTATTTGTGTGAGAGCCGTGATTGAGGTGAACTGTGGCTTCGTGCTGCAAATGAGTTAGGGTATGTAGAAGTAAAAAAAAAATTGTACGTACTAAATATATCAACAAGTTCAATGTTAGTCAATGAAACACTAGGAGAATCGCATAAAGGTGGTTCCGGATCTTTGAATGTCGGCATCCGTCACCAGAGTCGCGAGAACGGTAGTCGAGGTAAGCATCGACAAGCTGGTCTAGCTGAAGGTCCCATTGATCGGTTTGATTTTCTGTGCGGTCCTGTCGAGTGCGGAGGTCAACATAGCGACTAGTATATGGTATGAGTGAGAGAATATAGAGATAAAAACCATACGTGCTAGCCACTGATATCTGCGATCTGCTCAGCAAGTCCTTCGAATGCTTCATACTCTCCACCTGCATGACTGAATTCCATCCCTTCGTCTCCAGGAGGTGCCGTGAGCGGCAGGGTCTCAATATCCATGCCGCAGTCAGCCATCATCCTCCAATATGGCGATCCTCATTGGACATCTCTGACATGAGTGGGACGTGGGGGTTAGAGTTGTTGGATGACAACATCGACAACCTGCACGTATTAGTCATCGCATCACGGACCCATTAGACACCTTTATCTCTGTTGTTTCTCATTGTTTGTACCTCAGCGGTTTATCCATAACGCTGAGGTATGTTTGATTTCTGTCGTGCACGCCGCATCATTCTCACTTTATTTCGTCTATAGCATTGTGTCAGGTACTACTTAATAAACAAGCGGTTTATCCATAACGCTGAGCTTGTGTCAGTTTCTACAAGAGTTACAGGCGATAAAAACTATAAAGCAAAGAAATACCTTGAATTTGAGCCTGACGGCTTGCATCTGTAACTTCCCTGCGTTGAAGCTGCCGGCCAGCTGTCAGAATACGCGATTGGCGCTGTCTCCCTCGAAATTTGTGTGTGATGACCGAGTTTGAGAGGCCCTTGAGCTTATGATACCCTCCTCCACGAGACATGAGGAGCAAGAGTGATATTTGAATAGTGCAATCCCCAAGTGATGACTCTGTGGGCGTAGGTGAGTAGCTGAGAGCAGAGCGTTGGTGGGTGAATATCTGAATAGTGCGATCCCTAAGTGATGACTCTGTGGGCGTAGGTGTAGTAGCCGAGACTAGAGCGTTGGTGGGTGAATATCTGAATAGTGCGATCCCTAAGTGATGACTCTGTGGGCGTAGGTGAGTAGCCGAGACTAGAGCGTTGGTGGGGTGCACAGACCACTTGGGCAGGGGTTGTAGAGGGGGTGGTGGGCAAGGATAACAAGGTGGGAGGCAGGTTGGTGCAAGCAGCGTGCTGGGACAGGTGTTGTAGAGTGGGATGGGAGGCAGAATGCTGCAAGCAACGTGCTGGGGGCGCAGAGACGACTGCGGTGCTGGGATTTTGGGTGAGGCAGATGAGGCAGATGTTGTAGAGGGCAGTGGTGGCCTTGGGCAGATGTTGTAGAGGGCAGTGGCCAGGCTATAAGAGCAGCGAGGCGGCAGCGATTGCCTGCAGTGAGCAGCCTGCTATGTGGTCGGGATAAGGGAAAGGTCGTGGGAACCCGACAAACAACCTCTATGACGAGAAAATAG